AATTTCAATTCTTGACTATTGAGGCTTTATATCGCCATTTAGTTACACAGCACATAAACTATAACAGAAGGAAAATTTACATATACTTTTTAAAAGGTCAAAGGTTTACAATTGTGAGCTTGACAACTTTTTTAAAATATCATGTTTGTTCCTTGTGCTAAACAGCTCAAGTTTCTAATTAATAAGTGGACTTACAATTATGGTCCGACTTCAACGTTTGCTCACGTTTTGCTTGCGTAGTATTTCCTTATCAATTAGTGAATAAAAAAAGTAGAAATTTGGAGTTTCTTCAGGATGTGAATTGTCTGTCTTGCTTTATTTTTTGTTTTGAAATTTTAATGGACACTTGGACTTTGGTAACGAGCAGTTAATTTTATCGTTATAAATTTCGGAATAAGTTGTTTTTAAACTTAAAAGCAAACATTCTTTAGGATGATGTTACTAGCGTTTAGCTTTCTGTATAACCTGTTGCTAAAATTTGCATTAACGATAATTGGGAATATTTTTAGCGTATTTTAGACAATTTTGCTTTAATTTTAACAATTTGAAAAGGTGTTTGTTTAATTGTTATGTTCCAATTTTATAATTATAGTATTAACTACAAAATTATGGTATTACAGATTAAAAGTAAAACTCACACAATAAGTTGCAATTAGTGCTTAAACGGATTAAGTTATAGTAAGTCTTAGTTAGTTAAAATTACGCTCGAAACTGAACTAATCCCAGCTTTCGTTAGATAAGCTGAAACTTAGAATGACCGTTTAGAAAATAAAGGAAGATGTTTTGATTTTTGTGACATACGGCAATACTAGACAGTGGTAGTTTTAAGTACGGCGGAACGTCTGTGTAACAAATCGTTTCATGATTTTAAACTTGTTTATAAAAGAGTTTTAATATAGAGTTGCACTTGGCCGGGGATTTAAAAGTTGCTCGTTGTGCAGAACTTGCGTTAAAACGGAATTCACCATACAAGAGTTCTACTGTTGATTTTGCAATTACTGGCATATATTTCTCAATTTTTCATGGTTTTTAAACTGACGAATCATAACTTGCTTAACTGAATTTGTAGTCTAGCTGTCAAAACTGATAACATAATCAAAATTTTACTATTTGACAAACAAACTTCTTTTTCAACTTTAGTTATCAACTACAGTGGAACTCCTGTATAACAATGAATTCCATTGTAATTTGTAAGTTGTCCTTCCTGGGAAACGGCAAAACCTTTTACGGGTTTAATACGATTTCTTAACGCATATAAAATACGTAATGATTTATGTTTGCTGACGTACTTTTGAGTACACGAGCCCCGTTCTAAACATATAATAATTGTAATGGTATTTGTTTTATCTCTTGGGGACCAATTTCACACTATTTTTACTTTTACGTTTCCGTTGACGCGGCAATTGTAAAATATGGGAATGAATGTATGACTGTACAATTGGGCATTGTAAATTACGTTGATTGTATAGGAAATGAAATAAGTTGGTAAACTTATCCGTAATTTTAAACGCAAAAAAAGTAAAAAAAAACGTTGCAGTTTAAGTTTTTAGCAAATTTACTTCCAGCGCATAAAATAATATACGTTAGCTACCGTAATTACGTGAACGGTTACGTGACCTTAACGTTGGTTTTACAGCTGGAATTGGCAGCTTCAAAATTATACGCGCAAACTTTAATGTTATTATTTGTCAAGAAATGCGCATATAAACGTAGTTATACGTACACGCTATAACTAAAAATATTACTGTAAAACTTATATATAATGAACTTTACAAAAAAATTTACCTATAATGAGCAAACTTTGAATCTCCAAGCGATTCGTTATACAGGGTTTATACTGTAATTCAAAAGCCTTTGTTTGATTATACGACAGAAGATATAACTGTATAAGTCACTGTGAAAGAAGCCTTGCGGTGAATTGTAAAATGTTAAGCATCGTAGGGTAATGAAATTTACTTTTTTTGTTTAACAGGACCAGTTGTACATAAGGACTTTTTAGAGAAAAAAATTGAAGCACTAATATACGGCTAGAGCTAAAGCGATGACTAGGGCTAAGTCTTAACTGGCTGCACCACTGAACTTTCTTTGGGGTCTCCTTAGCAAAACACCGGCAAAATCAAATGTATTTTGTGTATCATTTTTTTATCATCCAACTTTCCCAACTTCACTCAAAGTTGATAGCGAATTGACCTCTGTTCTAGCGTCGTTCCGCCAATCGTTTTTGCAAAAGTCGGTTATCAGTTGCGATGAAGGAAGCTGACGACACGCGGACTCCCTCGTTCAAAGTTACAAAGTACAAGTTGTTGCGCAATTACTTTTAATTACGTTTATTTACGACTAATGTAAACGTTTTGTTGGTTGGGGTTAATTAGATTAGTCACACACTGACCTGTATGTACAAAACATATAGCTGTAGTGTGTGCACAAGATATAACTTTTATAAAAAAAGCATATGATGGAAGTGTATTGTTGTAGGGTGATGTAATTTGGAATTGCGGAGATTTAGTTGGTTTTTCTTTTGTATTCTACTGTACAAAGTTAAGGTATAAGCTGAGTGTTAATGGGAGGAAGTTTTTTAATCTTTTTTTTCTAGCCATTAGTTACTAGCCAAATCCTTACCTTTATCTAAAGTCGTAGGCTTAACCTTAATGTGAGTCATAGGCTTATTTGGTAGTTTTTGAAATTAGCTCCAGAAACGTTACAGTAACCAGTATCGTTAAATACAAAATCACAAACTAAACTTTGTTCGCTCTGATACACTCAAAGCTAAAAACACAAGTGCACGTGGTAAAAAAAGTACCAAAATAGCTCGTAATAAATAATACTTTAACGATTGATAGATTCTTTTCCCTGGGGACGGTGTAATTCGTTTTGTTTTGTAAGGCCGTGAGTCAGGCTTATTTACCTGACCTCTCTTTCAATGAAAATTTACTCGTTTTTCACACCAAAAAAAGGGAATTTCTTTAGATACGAAATCAGTGGGGTTAAACTAAAATGGTATATAAATACACAGGGCACAAACGGTTGTGGTTAGTTAGGGCTTTGGGGTTACTTATTTTTTTTTGGGTGAATGAGTAATGAGGGGAAAGGTTGGGTAGGGTAAAAGCGAGGGTTGTTTCTTTTCCGTTCTTACCGGTCGGTTTTGGTTTGCATATTTTTTTATTTACATTGGCATTGAAAAACGGGCAGTTTTGGACTAAATAGACCTGTAAAGAAACGAGTTCTTGGTTTAGGCCTTGGTTATTAAACCCGCGGGGGACCACTTTAAAAATTTTCAAAAAACATTTTTCCGCGTCTGCTTGGTGTGGCTTCCAATGAGTAGCGAAGCCAGGTTTTGGAATAGATTTTAGTCGGTTGGGGCAAGATCCGGTGAACACAGAAGATAATCCTAGAGTTTGTAGTTTAACACTTTGATAATTGTATCTGTCATCTTTGCAACGTGGGGCCAAGCGTTGTCTTAAAGAATTATTGGACCGCTCCTTCTGACCATTGTTGAGCTTCTTCTTCTGTGTCTCAGCTTGCATATCTGATAGCAGTAACTGTCGGTTGCGATAGTTTGACCAGGTTTCATGAACTCGTACTGGATAAATCTTAAGCCACACCACCAGACAGTCACCATCAGCTTCTTTCCGCGCAAGGATTATTCTGCTTTTCTTTCTGACCATTGTTGGAATATTGTGTCTCAGCTTGTCTATCTGATTACAATAGCTGTCAGTCATAGTAATTTGACCAGGTTTCATGGGCTCATACTGGAAACAAATAAAGAGTTTTTCCAATCTGCTGTAATATAATCTTTTGGCGAATTTTCAACGTTGCCTGCTATGAAGGGCAATCTTTTTTTTGAAATCGAATACAAAACTGTTTTCCTTTGTTACCCATGTTGTGCTTCCTTGATCCTATGAAACATTAACTTTTGACAAAATAATATGTCAATCCAATACCAAAATACCAAGATATTTGTGTACAATATCAGAATGTTTATGTACATATTTATAAACAATCAAATTCAATTATCCCTCAAATCCGTGAAAATCCGGGCGGATTAACGAGGATTAGCAAGTAAATTAGTAAGGCTTTCCGAAGGCCTACAAACTTAAACATCCCCTCAAAACAGTTTCTAGCGGCCGTTGTTCTGGAGACCGTTGTTGTTATTGATAGGGGGGCTAATCCGAATCCAGAAAAAGATTTAAAATTTTTTGATTTAAAAGTGTATGAATGGGAAGTCGGATTTAATTGATTTATCCCTGGCGGATTAGGCGCTTGAATGGTACAAAATACTAAAATGCACCAGCGGATGATAAACTACTAAGTGAGGGTGTTATGAAATGTGTGTGTACAAGCGAGACGGCCAAATCTTGGTCGGTTTTGGTATGAAAGGGGGTAAATAAGCTTTGGTATGAAAGGGGTAAATAAGTGCTGGAGGAAGTTGATGATCTTGGATCTGGCTACAGTTTTAAATAACGTTTAAGCTGGTGTTTGGAAGCTTGTGAATTTAATCTAATTTAATCTAGTTAGCCTAAGCATGAGTCTGACTCTATCTGCGCTTCAGCTTAAGCCCAAAGATAAGACTAAGCCTAAAACTATCCCTTGGGTAAAGTAACCTCTAGTCTAGCCTCTTTCGAGCTGTAAGAACCCATTTTTATGCCTTTTGTAAAAAGGTCATTAGGCTTAACTAATTGTGTAGCTTGCAATTGGCGATATGCACTAATTTTCTAAATTCCGGTTTACTTCCGGGAATTAGACAAAATCAAAAAGTTCTGATAAACGTAAATTTTGACACGAGACGAATCACAATTATTTTAATGCTGTCACATTGAAAAGTCAGGGCTTTAATTTGCAAAAAAATGAAAAAAGATACATTAAATTTTTTTTCGAATTCGAAGCAGTTAGGTCTAACTTAATCTTCTTTTTTGACCTAGTCTTAAGCTTAGCCTTAGGCTTAGAGTTAGCCTTAGATTTATCTTGAGCTTGAGTTGGAGCATGAAGTTGAACATGAGCCGCTAGTGAGTCTGAGCTTGAACCTGAGCTTTAGTTTGAGCTTTGTGATAAGCATGAGCATGAGCATGAGCATGAGCATGAGAATGAGAGTGAGCATGAGCATGAGCATAAGCATGAGCATGAGCATAAGCATAAGCATAAGCATAAGCATGAGCACGAGCATGGGCGTGAGCTTCAGTTTCAGTTTGATCTTGAGCTTGAGTTTGACCTTAAGCTTAACCTTTTGAGTCTTCGCATTAGTCTCTTGAGTTACTGCCTTTTTTGACAGCTTTAGCCATTGTCTTTCAATGTTGATTTTCAAGTTATCACAATAAGTGTCATAGTACAAAAATGAAGGTACAATTGGGCCGGTTTCCCACGCAAAAACGTCTTTATACAAAAATAAATAACAAGGTATATTATTGGCTCGGACATACTTGAAGTGTTTTACAATTCTAAAATTGTGGCTTCTTCAAATAGGCTTTGTCAGACATAACAATAAGGTTCTCCTTCAAAATGCTATTTATCATTGTATTTTTGACATCTTTTTGAAAAATATTTTTTAAGACAATTATGATAATATTATTGTAGTCAAATGTCATAAATGTGAGAAAAAGCCTTATTTACTTATGTTATCACTTTCAAAAAGTCAAGTTTTGTAATAATTTTAAAAGACATGACATTATGATGTATATGATGTCAATTAGAAGAAGAAAATGAAGTGAAATGTAGTAAAACATGTTACACAAAGATTAAATTTAGTTTTAATTACTGCAATGTAATTGAAGTTAAACATGCAACAATGCATATAAAAACGATTTTTGCATGAAAATGGCTAAGGCTAGGACTCTGGGCTAGGGCGCTGGTTTAGGGCTCTGGGCTAGGGCTCTGGGCTAGGGTTCTGGGCTAGGGCTCCGAGCTAAAGTTCTGGGCTAGGACTCTGAGCTAGGGCCGTGGGTTAGAACTCTGGGCTAGGGGTCTAAGCTACGGCTCTGGGCCAGGGGTCTAGGCTACGGCTCTGGGCTAGGGCTTTGGATTGGGGCTATGGGCTAGAGTCTTAGGCTAGGCCTTTGGGATAAGGCTGGGGCAGTACGACCAAAATGATACTATTTTAAGCCGCAGAAAAAGCTAAAAAATGTTTAAAAATTAACTTTTCGTGCATCAGCCTTTTTTTGTAGCATTTAGTCATAGACGTACGTCACGAGTTTCGTCACAGTGTAACAATTAAAATGTCACTACATATTAAAATTATTTTCAAATGCTAGTTTGAAATTCCAAGCATTTTAACAAAAAAACATCATACGCTTTGTCTTCAAAGTACATTATCTTTCTCGCTAGACTGTAAAGTGCTGTGTAATTGGTCTTACGGTATTTTTTCAAATTAGGTATTTTTATTTGAAGTTAAAAGTTTTAAATAGCAACAAGTAATTTGAAAATAGTGTAAAAAATCAATTTGAAGTCAAGGTCAATTATTTTTTAGTTTAAAAGATATTATCTGCCCTATCCAAAGCTTTTGCCTTAGCCCGAGCCTGAGCATACGCATGAGCCTGAGCATGAGCATGAGCATGAGCATGAGCATGAGCATGAGCATGAGCATGAGCATGAGCATGAGCATGAGCATGAGCAAGAGCATGAGCATGAGGCTGAGCCTAAGCCTGATCCTGAGCCTGAGGCTGAGGCTGAGCCTAAGCCTGATCCTGAGTTTGAGCCTGATTCTGAGCCTTAGTCTAACCTATAGTTTTAGTCCTATATTATAGTGGGCCGCTATATAGACTAGTTTAGCTTAGCCTTTTCGTAGCTTCTAATAGACCTTGTCTCTGCTCTAACCCAGCCTTTTCCCATAACCTCTAATAGGCCTTAGCTCTTCTCTAGCCCAGCCTGCTCTATCCCAAACCAATTCAGCGTTGAAACCCACCGTAAACTCCCAAATACATACATCTCTGGCATTTCACACCCCATTACAATTGTAAAAAACAGATTGTAAATTCCGGAAAGTTTTAACCATTAAAGTGTCTTATTGTGAAAATGATGATGCGATTATCTGTTTTCGTTTATATTAATTATCTTTATTACGGTTGTTATTTACTTTTATTTCTGAAATGGCAGGCCTGTCGAGTTGTAAAGATTTCGTGATTTTGAGTATTGTGCAATTGCAATTAGGGTTAGAGTAATTGTGTGTTTTACACTTTGATCGAATTCCTGCATCTAAACTTGTTTTTGTATGTTGTATTTGAGTTGGCGTCAATTGAGGATGGAAATTGTTTGGGTATGGCGAAATTTACAGTTTGTTTAATAAAATTAAGTCGTTTTGCTTATTTATAGATTATTTTTTATAAAGTTGAATTATTATTGGTTTTGAAAGCCTTTGTAAGATGAAATCATTTTAGAAATACAGTATATGAGGCAGGGTAGAAGTAAAACAGAGTAAGGTAGAGATAACGAAAACCCTGTATAATGAACAACTTTCGAACCACCGTCGACCACTACAAAATGCATTTAAAACTCCTGTATAACGAACTTTTCTATAACGAAACTCCTATATAACGAACAATTTTCAAGTCCCCGAGCGATTCGTCATACAGGAGTTCCACTGTAATTTACAGTTGCCTTGCTTTTTATTTTTAATACCTGGCATGCTTGCCTTATTATAACAACACAACAAAACAACCATGACTCAGTCTTACCCTTTTTCAAGCTGTGCTCTAGTTCTACGTTATCTGCACTCACTTTGGCTTAACCTTACTCTAACTCTCGTTCTAGTCTTGATTTAGTTTTTCCAAAAAAAGTTAAAACTGATCTTTAGTACAATTTAATCTGGAAACAAACATGTAGCTTAAACTCTTTTTTACATTTTTTGTAGCTCTAATTTATCTGAATAAGATAATGGGATTATATTACAATGTGTCGAAAAGGTTTCTTTATTCCACTAAACAGTTTTACTTTGAGTCCAATTGTACTTTGTGGGATTTAAGGGTGGTGTAAAAACTTTCTTATATGTTCGAATGCTTGAGGCTATTTGATGCACTGTTTTTTCTAAACTGTTCGATTTAGACTGGACTGATCGGTATAGGCGGGTCGGGATGAACAAATTTTTGGACTTGATTAGCCCTGAAATTGTAAGTCTTAAACTAGCTGAGTTATTGCCTGCGTTAATTTTCGGTGAAGGTTCCGTCGGATTTTGTCTAGACCGGATTGGCAAATATTAGGTTTGAAACGGACGGTCTGGACTAACTAAATGAAAAAATTGAAAAGGACTAGACGAATCAGACTTACAAAATAACAAGGCCGGGCTTGAAAAAATTTTGGCCAGACAGTCCAGGTAAAACAATGCGTTTATCTTTGGCTAGGGCTTTGGCTGGATTCATCCTTAGCTTTAGCCTTAACCTTAGCCTTAGCGTAAGGCTTAGGGTTAGCATAAGCCTTAGCCTTAGACTTAGTTTTTGTCGTAGATTTAGTTTTAGTCTAATAGTCCTGCAATTCACAAAAAAGTTTTTTTTGCAAAAATTGACAGAGGGGACCATGTTAAATTTTTTTACTGTTTTTTTACAATCAAAATTTTTTTTTTTTATTTTTACCTTTGGGCATTTCTCTGCACTTTTATGCAAATCCCATTCTACTTCCAAAACTTTGTACTTATCGAACCTAAGCCCTAAGGCGTTTTTTCTCTGCACTTTAAGGCGGAGCCGGTTCGCATTTTGAGCCAATAAGCGGCACGACTTATGTTTCTCGCCGTCCGCCCATTTCGGCTTTTTGTTGTCGAATTTGTATCCATTATTTATGTTTTCTTTTTCTTCACACTTTTGTTTAGGATTAAAGAGGTTGCGGGGCGGGGTTTGGGGCGATTTTAGCCATTCCCAATATAAATAGTTTCCTTTTTCGGACTCGACGACTCATTCGATTCATGGATTTTAAAGGTTATGGGTATGGCAGTTATTGATGTCATAGGCTTGGCATAAGTATGTTGGGTTTTGAAGGGCATGAGTATAGGTAGGTTGGGGTTTTAAGGGCATGGGTAGAAGTGTGATGGATTTTAAAGAGCAAGGAGTGGAGGTATGTTGGTTTTTAATGGGTGATAGGCAGGGCTTGTTTGTATGGCTAGGGTAGGGGTTTGTATGGCTAGGGTAGGGGTTTGTAGGTAGGGTTGAACTAATACAAGGCACAATATTAGCTTGAACCGAAAGTAGCGGGACACTTTTTCATTGTATAGGTACGTACAGTTTCATACTAAATAGTACGTACAGTTTTATATTGAATAGTACCTATAGTTTCATACTAAATAGTACGAACAGTATCATACTAAGTAGTACGTACTATTCCATACTAAATAGTACGTACTGTATCATACTAAATAGTACGAACAATTTCATATTAACAATTCCAGTAGGTATAAGAGTTCGATTTCCAAATAGGTCACTGCATAGGCTATGTGTTGCACATTGGCGGATGTTTGTTTAGCATTTGCGTCTTTGAACTTTTTTGGCATTTATAATATTTGTAGTTGTATATTTGCGCTTTTAATGTTACTATACGGGTTTTTACTCTTTTGGTGTTCATATCGTACTAAAATTTTTTTTAAAACTTTTTGAAATTTTGAGTTTTTAAAATTTAAAAAAATGGTGTTTATGGTCAGTTTTGGCAACTTTTATTGGCTTTTTTTGGCAATTTCAGCAACTCTAGCAACTTTTTAAAACTTTTCTTATTATTATTTCAAAAAAGCATGTACTGGACAACAAAATTTCAAAATATTTTTCATTTTAATTGTCATAATATTTAAAAAAAATTTTAAAAGTTGCCCTAAGGCACTTTACGCTTTAAAATCTAAAAAAAAGTCATTTTCTATTGTATTAGGTTGAACCAAAAGTAGCGGGACACTTTTTAATTGAAAAATAAGTGAAAAGCGTCCCGATACTTTTGATTCAACCTAAGTCATTTTGCGCTTTAAAATTTAATAAAAGTCATTTTTCATTGTAAATAAAAAAAAAAGTCATTTTGCGCTTTTAAAAGTCAAGTGAATTTGTTAAAACTTTTTTTTAAACTCACCTTTATTTTAAATTAGTTTTTTAAAATAATCGAATTCGTCGAAGAAAAAGTTATTTTTAGCTTCAACTTCGGAAACCCCGCCCCTTTTTCACTAATTTGATGGATAACATTATTGAAGTGGGTCGTTTTATAGTTTGAAGTAGCCATGTGGGGGACGGTTCTTGCTGAAAACATAGTGCTTGTAGGGTATGATAGCCTTTTTTAAAGGGCATGGGTGGGGTTGAAAATATTTTTTTCTTTTAGGGCAGGGGTGAAACAAAAAAAAATTTTTTTTGGAGGGCATGGGTGTTACTGAAAAATATTTTTTTTAGGGCAGGGGTGAAAAAAAAATTTTTTGCGGGGCATGGGTGGGATTAAAATTTTTTTTTTCTTTTAGGGCGTGGGTGGGACTAAAAATAGTTTTTTTTAGGACATGGGTGAGCTAGAAAATATTTTTTTCTTTTAGGGTGTGGGTGAAACAAAAAAAAATTTTTTTTGGAGGGCATGGGTGTTACTGAAAAAAAAAATTTTTTTCTTTTATAGGTATAGAGTTAAGTAACTGTAGTCTATCTTGTTTTCTCAAAACTGAACAAAGTGATCTGATTACAGTAAAACGTAGAAGGGGTATGATAGGTAGTTAGGGGAGATCTTTGGGTTGTTCTTTAACTTTTCATTTTGTTTTTGAGTTATTTATTGTGTGAAGTGTTACTGACCTTACTTTACTGGGTTTTACATTGCTATGCCCTACTTCACTTTACAGTTCCGTATCTTATCGTTCTCTACTTTATATTACCGCTCTTAACCTTATCATGTACTACCCTACCGTATTCTATTACTTCTATTACACCCTGCTCTTCTCTGCCTTACTTTACTTTAATTTATCATACTTTACCTTACTCTAATTTATCTTACTGTACCATACCATTTGTTTAACTACTTGCTTTACTTTATCAAACTCTACTCTACCTTCTCCTACCCTACCTAGACTTTCTTATCGTACCCAATTTATAAAAAAAACTTATTTTTAACTTATATTCTATTAGCTATTACTACCAGCCTCTTCTATAAAACGCTCAATATTACAATACAACTCACTATAAATAGAAAAGTATTACAATATCCACCTCTCCCCTTACCCTACCTATCTCCCCACCCATCCTTCGCTACCTCTCTACCCCACCACCTCACCCCACCACTCTTTCCCCACCATGTCACCCCACCTCTCCTTCCCCTACCCCTCCTCATGTTCTTGTTGTTAATAGCTGCCGAAAAAACAATTTAATTTGGTGTTGTTACGTGGCGCGGACGTACGTGTTTATTAAATCAATTTGAAACCGGAAAGCGGGCGCGGAAATGCGAAATTACGGCCGAAGTGTTGGCGGTGCATCCGGTGGAACGTGGCCCCGCCCGGAACTCGCTGGTTTATTTAAATTAGGGGAGGGGTGAAACGTGCGCGCGTGGTATGGCTAGAGAGGGGGGTTAAAAAGCAAACTTAGTTAGGGGGCTAGGGAGTATGATAAGGTAAAAGCTGAGTATTGGAGTGGTGTATGGGTGAGGAATGACTTTTTTTGTTATTCCATCTTTAATGACCTCTCCTTAATTTCTTTACCACAACTTCTTTCCTCCCCCCCCTTCGCCCCTTATAATGAACTCATTTTAAACCCATTTTGATTACCCACAATCCTACCGTAACCTTCCAAGAATTTGCTTGTTTACTTCGCCAATGGCCGGATCAACGACTCGTTTGTACTATTAAGAGCAAACATTTTGCTACGTCAGGATACGATACCATCTTCCAGACGCACGAAGCCGGAAATTAGGGGTTGCAGCCAAAATGGCAGAATGTAACGTCAGTCGGTTCGTTTGGTAGTTGTCATTGTAGTATATATACGATGGGTTTGGCAGTTTTTGTGTTTTGCCGTACCCTACCTTACCCTATCCTACCTTTTTCTACAGTACCCTACTTTACTCTAGGGCATATTGTACTACAACATATACCTTAAGATATCTTCACTGTGTAAAATAAGAAACGACACTGTATGTGACGACAGATATCATGTAGGTCAACATGTGTGACAATACGTATCAGTAGATGATGATATATAGGATTAGTACACAGTCTTTGTTATTTCGTATATACTATACATGCATAATGTATATATCATTTCAAACACGTAACTATGTGACATTTGGCCTGAGATATATATGGTATGTAGTAAAAAATACGTGTTTATACTATATAGTACGGTATATATAGTCATCATAGTACTGTATTTAGTAGTGACATTGTTGTTATATACTTTATTCATAGTTTAAAAAGTCTTGTCGTTGATTTGCACTGCTTTACATAGTAAAAAACGACAAAACTTTTTTTGATGTATCTTTTGCTGCCATTTTGAATCTTATTGCATCAAATAGTATTTACATCATCATATATTACATATATCATCATATACTCTCTATATCATCACACACTACCTATATCTTCACATATCATCTATATCATTATAAACTCTCAATATAGCCTTCAATATCATATAGTACTATATCCAAATGTAGAGATACGATAAGATGTTTAGCATAAGAGCCGCTAATACGATTGTATGTTTAAGACAAAGGATTACCATGGTATTAGCAGCGAGAGTGATTGTATTTTACTGTACATTTCGTTACATTGACGTGTCCCCCTATCGTTTTACAATCTTCGGATTGTAATGTTAAGGGGCCTTACCATCTCAACATCAGTTTTGAGATTTTTGATATGGGCGACATGTTATACGAAGAAAGGTGGTCAGTTGGAAAGGGAGTTTAGAGGAGTTTGAGGGTAAGACACATGTTATACGATGAAAGGTGTTCAGGAAGAAGAAGATTTTGGGAGTTTTGGGGTTAAGCGACATGTTATACGATAAAAGGTGCTCAGTTAGAAAGAGATTTTTGGGAATTTTGAGTTTAAGGAATATGTTATACGATGAAAGGTGTCTAGTTAAAGATTTTTTTATTTTTTGAGCTAGCGAGCTTGTTATCATATGAAAAATGTCTTAATAATGTTCATTTCACCTATAAAAATTCAAAATTTCAAAAAAATTCAAAAATTTTAAAAAATTTAAAAAAAATTTTTTTAAAAAAATTTTTGAAATTTTAAAAAAATTATTTTTTGTTTCTTACTGTAACTTCACTTTTGCCAACTTCAAACTATTTTTCTCAAAATTTGTCATTAATTAGCCATCATTACCTAAAAATACCCAAATCTTTGTTGGATTACCTTGCCTTCTTATACTCTAATATAATTTATATAGTATGATACTAAATAGTATGATATTCGATTACACAACATCATCTTCATAAGCTTCTTAGTCCAATTAGACTTTAATTTATGCAGTCTCCACCCCCTTCCACCTCCCTTAAGTTATTAAAACCCTTGTTTTCTAATATTGGCGTGATATTATTGTATTAAACAGCCGGCTTCCATAGACTTTACTGTTGTATATTAGTTTGTTGAATAGTATATGAGTTTACTTAATGGTATATTAGAGTTGCTAATGTGTTTGTGGTTACTGTAGCATTGATTAATCGTGTTTTTAAGGCTTTTAATCGCGTGCTTCAAAAAGTTTTGTCGTTCTTTTGCACTGAACACAGTGTTATATGGCGACAAAACTTTTTCCAAAGCTTGATAATAGGATTTACATAGTAAATATGGCGTGGTATTTGTACATAATTAACTTGTACATATACTTTTGGCTTTATTTAATCATTTTTTACTGTGTAATAAGCTTTTATACGTTGTATTTTACAGCGCCGTGTCTTACTGTATCTTTAGTATTGTACTGTACTTTAAATTATAGTAGTGTACCTTAATGCATTATACTGTACATTATAGTATCATACTGTACGTTGAAGTATCATTCTGTACTTTAACGCGTCTTACTGTACCTTAACGTGTCATACTGTAAATTACTTCACAACACTTTTACCGTACCCCACTTTCAGCTTGTTACCGTATGATATAGAATCACACGAACAACTCCACAACTACAGTAATCGACTACTGTAGCTTCTCCGCTTTATTTTTCCTATTCCGACGCCATATCACGCTTGGCTAGCCACATCACCTCACCCGAACCGAAACTAAAGTAATGTCGCCACAAACGGTGAATCGGCTTCTCGCTACCCTACTTTTAGTCCTGCTCAATATTACGGTAAGTTTTTGAGTTTTTTCGAAATTTTTTGAAATTTTGAAATTTTTTAAAAATTTTTAAGAATTAAATAAAATTGTCAAAACTTACTGTACAATCGCCATATTACTGTACAGCAGCTTAAGATACGATAAAACCCGTCAAAACATGATATTTTGGTGTAATTACAATATTACACATGGCTACATCAATATCCAGACACTAAACAGGTCGTAAATGTTATTTTTATAAAGTGTTGTGTCTGTAAAACGATAATAGGCTTTTCTAAATTGATTTTACTTTGCTATCTCAACATACGATAACATTTATACTAAAGTTCTTCAATTTGAAAAGCTATAAAGTTTGTCGTTTTTTTGCATTGAAATACATGTAAAACGACGACAAGACTTTTTTTGAAGCTTGATTTGTAAAGATATTGGTTTTTAAGTTAGAGTTTTGTATAACAAAAGCCATTTTTGATTTAAGGTCATATTAAAAATGGCAAAAAATTTTTAATATCATATAGAAAATGGCATAAAACCCTTTATATTAACTAAAAAATGGCCTTTTTTCCAATTTAAATCATCATAACAGCCTTTTTTAAATATATAAACAGTCATAAAATGTCATAACCTTAATTCCATTTACAATGTCAATAAGCTCAACATAAAACCCAGCCAAGATACGATGCTAACAATTAGAGAAATGGAATGTAAATCCTTGTTTTGATTAAATCTTACCATTGCGAAACGTTTACAATTGCCATTTTTAAATGAATAGTGAAATTTGAAAGCGCATTTCGATGATTTTCAAAGCGTATTTTGGCCCTTTCTTCGAAATACCAAAGTAAATAGGAATGTAAAGAAGAATGTATATGATACATGGCATTAAGGCTTAGAATCGACTGTAAATGTAAGCCCTAAGGCAGAGTAATAGTAATGATAAGGGAAATAATAGTATTAGGGTAATGCCTGATGGTATGTCAGTTTATGATGAGATTTCAAAAGGTTTAAGACTAGAATTAACTTTGAGGAGCTTTGAGTAAGCTCAGTATGTCGGCCCTATACCTATGTTAATATCACTATATAAAGCTTATAAGCCTTAGTTTTGGGTAATAAGTAGAAAGAGTAATCTGGTAAGAGTTTTAAGATACCTAAGGGCATTTTAAAGCCAATTTGAATTTTTTTTAAAAAATTTTTAAATTTCAAAAAATTTCAAAAAAATCAAAATCTGATCCAAAAACTTTCAGACCTCCACTGCCTCACACTCGAAAGCCCGTCTCAACATTTACTTCGAAGCACAGAACATGGAAAGCACACACTTCTTCAAAACACAGCTGTTGCCACTTTACGAGAACACGGAGCTCGGCAATCGGATCGAGCTGAGATTGGTACCCTACGGTCGGTCGCATTGTGATAACATCGAAAAGGACTATGTGTAAGTTGAGCCTGATTGACGATTTTAGTAGGACTATAATACTATATAGCACTGTAATACTATATTGTACCATAATGCTATATAGTACCATAATACTATATAGTATCGTCTTTAATAAAAAGACATTTTTTGGCCGGTTCAAAAAGAATTGGGTGATTTTGTTATGTAATCTCTATCAAAAAAGTCCAATTCTTTTTGACGCGATGGGTATAACCTCGTTTAACTTGGTTTTCTGCCATTTTTAATAGACGCCGTGCCTTAAAAATAAATTCCTATGACTCACAAGACGCTAACAAAGATACTGTAACAAAATTCAATTCGAAAATGTTACTTAAAATTACAGTATAAAACCAAAAACTTTTAAAATCAGGCTAAAACCCGGTAAAATCAACCTTAAAACCCCTAATTTTCCTTCATTTCAGCTGCTCCTGTCCTCACGGTGATGACGAATGTGAGCTAATGTACCTAATGTCCTGCGTTCTACACGACTACCGACATCACGGTCACGCCGTCGACACAGTAGCCTGCATTCAAGGCCAGCCTTCAATGCAAGCCGCGATGGACGAGTGCATTGCGCCATTAAGGCCGAAACAACGCAAATGGTACGGCCAGTGTTCGAACAACTTCCGCGGCCACTACCTCACGTGGCTGCAGGGATTGAGGACCAGCGCTCTCGGAGTACCATTGTCCAACATTCCGTTCGTCGTGCTGGATGGGCACGTCAACGATTTGGCCATTGAGAACTTGCAAGGCGAGGTTTGTGCGGCGTTATCGCATCCCAAGCCATCGGCTTGTTTCTAAACGGTGCTACATGATGATACAAATGAGTACGATAACGATTTGATGGCGTTTAATAGAGGAGATGTTGGGCTACATTTTGGTACTAACTTCGTGAATTTTGATGAAACATACGATGAGATATGGCAATTTGAACCTTGTTGGACCTTCAATATTATTCATATTGAAAGGGTCGTCTTTAATGCCATTTTTATTAGCATCTAGAGTCTAATTTTGAAAATTCATTATACCAATATTAACTATGGTATTCAAAGTACACAACAACGTACTTTGCATCTTTTCCTTCATCCATATCTTGTCGTAACATCAGTTCGAAGATATCATTGTTACCTAAATATCTATACCTATTCAATAGCATAATCTCATCACCCGAGTCAAACCCCGTTACCGTACCTTCAACCTACTGTCGATTGCAACGTATCTGTATGTAATAGTCGTATATTTATTTATATCCAGAGCTATATATATACCTATATATACATCTTGTTATTGTATCATTGAATGTATTTCCGTTTGTTAAGATGTACCGGATGTTCAGTACACATCTCATTGTTTTATCAGCGGACGTATTGTGGCTAAATTCGACGGCTTTTTGGGTATTGAGATTGGGAAATGTCATAGCACTTAACAAGGCCTATGTTGTCATAGGGTAGGTAGTGGGGAGTACTATGACATAACTGATCTTTGGCTTACTGTGACTTTAGTAGTAATATTACAGTAAGCTTGGTAGTACTAGATTTTAAGTCTACAGTAACATTATACAGACTCTACATAGTACTATATAGCTACAACTTAGTACTGTAAAAGATTGACATAGTACTTTATTAGCCTTAGATAGTACTATATAGGCTCCACTTAGTACTGTATAGGCACTACATAGTACTGTACTGGCTTTACATATTACTACATAGGCCCTTAAATGGTACTATACAGACTCTACATAGTACTATATAGACTCTTACATAATACTATATAGACCCTACATATGTAGTACTATACTGACCCAAAGTAGTACTACATAGAACTTCATCTAGTACTATATAGCCCTTACATAGTACCATACTGACTACACATAGTACCATCCACCTACCCACCTAAAATCCGCCGTTTAGCCACAGTACGCTCGTACCACACTTCGCGCCTTAATAGAATCCAATAGTTACTATACCTGTTATCATCGAGCCTTCGTATCTTTGTTCATTTATCTTAATATAACATCTGCTTAAAGTGTCATTGTGTTAATTTACAATTCCAAAAGTAATTGTTACCACGTCATTTTTCTTAAGCCTCTTTTAATCCCCCCCCCTCTCTATTTTTATTTATATCTTTTCTACCCCCCCCCCTTCTTCTCTCGTTTCCCCTTCTCCCCTCCCCCTCTTTTTAATTAATACTCTCCCCCCTCCCCCCCCTCCCCTCCTCTGCGGAGGACTTAAAACCCGGCTGCCAGATTTGCACAAGTGCGAGTCAAACTTGTATTTATAGAATGATGTTATACTAGGCCTCTACTTTATTGTTAATATATATGGTCTCCATTCGACGCTATTCTAGGATTTAAAAACCAATTGATCTCGTGGAAATTGATTATAATATATTTTTACATTTGTTAATTAATATTTATCAATAAATATTGAAAATCATAATGTTTGGGTGTGTTTTTAATTGTCAAACTTTAAAAATTCAAAAAAAATAGTTAATGCTAATTCAGTTTGGAATCAGCATTAGCCATGAACCTAGCCTAAGGTTGAGCATAAGCATGAGCATCAGTCCTAGTTTAAGCATGTGCATGAGCATGTGCATGAGCATGAGCATGAGCATGAGCATGAGCATGAGCATGAGCATGAGCATGAGCATGAGCATGAGCATGAGCATGAGCATGAGCATGAGCATGAGCGTGAGTATGAGCATGAGCATGAGAATGAGCATGAGCATGAGCATGAGCATGAGCATGAGCATGAGCATGAGCATGAGCATGAGCGTGAGTATGAGCATGAGCATGAGAATGAGCATGAGCATGAGCATGAGCATGAGCATGAGCATGAGCATGAGCATGAGCATGAGCATGAGCATGAGCATGAGCATGAGCATGAGCATGAGCGTGAGTATGAGCATGAGCATGAGCATAAGAGATTTAACCTGACTCTTACCCCCAGCCTAGTGTATCGTATTAGTCTTAGATAGTATGTACTAAATAAGCCTTACATATTACGAGGAAAGCCTGGGATAGTACTATACAGATTCTACATAGTACTTATATTTATATAAGCCTTAGCCTATGAGTAAACCTACGCGTAAGCCAAAGAGAGCTATAGCCAAAAGCTAACCCCAAGCCTATGAGTAAGAAGAAGCGCAAGCCGAAGCCTTAATTGTATCCTAAGATTGGTCGTAATTAATCATACTGTTTCTTCATTGCCTTCTTAAGCTACGGTTACATAATTTACAGTTATCTAAATATTCTTACTAAATTTCAAAAGCTACAAACCTTGCCTCTTCAAGTATGTCCATCTACAAATATACAAAAGTCAAATTCAGGTTTTCAAAAAGCTTACTGAAGTAAAAATACAATTTAGTACACATACGACGCATACTTCTTATAAAAATTGCAAAGTTTTGTAAATTGTTGCTACAAATTTAAAATTACACACAATTCCACGTATTTCAGCTACAAGGAAATGTATCTTATTTACGTACTTGAGCGGATATTATTGAAAACGAATTTTACATAGAGTTTTGTAAATGGTACCTTGACTCCAATTGGAAACGTACAGTTTAGCTTACAAGGAAAGTACCCGACCTGCCCTGCTCAGAATCGGCTCATAATTTTTATATGAATTCCTTGTACTACCACTAGTACCCATAAAAAATTTTATCTTGCGCATTTGAGTTTTAAATTTAAATTATTTTGTTTTCCCGCCAATTTGGCAAATTTGGCATTGTGTTTCAAGCACGTTTTTCGACTTTCTATGCAAGATACGCTTACAAATTTAAAAATTTAGATTCATTTAAAGGTATTCTACTAGTATATCAAAGAAAAATGATTAAAAGTCAAAAAATGGCAACGTTATAAGCTTGAAACACAATGCCAATTTGGCGGGAAATTCAAAACGTAATCTTTTGATCTCGATTTTCTCGAGATTTCCTGGAAAGCGCGATTTAGTACTTTGCTGAAGATGTTATATTTACATGATCTTTCTTTATAAAAAGTTTGAAGTCAATCAGAGCGGAGCAGGTCGGGAACTTTCCTTGTTAACATGTTGTTGTAAATCGTATCTGTCTTTGCTGAAACTTAAGTTTCTTTAATTTTGAGCCTTTTCTAGTTTTAAAGCTTAAAATTTAATTTTTTCAAGCTTCAACCCTACTATACTGTTTGAAAGCGCTAGTCCTATATACTATAGCCCTAAACTATAAATATTTTACAAATTATGCTAATTGTTACCTCCGGTTTGCAAATACTATAACATCCAAATTATAATTAAAAAGATTAGATTGTAAATTTTCATTGTAAAATATTTGGGATTGTGGAAACATTTACGGTAGTAACCATACAAAGCGCCGGAAATCCACTTTCAATTATAATTATTACTATTGTGACATTTCGTACCACACACAGTTTCACTGTAATCACGTGAGGAATGTCATCTATGGAATTGAGAATAAGTACATTCATGCAAAGTAGAGCAATCAAACAATCAGACACAAACATTTAAAGCAAGGTTCAAACTCTAGCTCAGGCTCAAACTCAGGCTCTGACATAGGTTCCGGTTTAATCTAAAACTCATGTTCAAATCCAGGCCATGACTCAGGCTAATAGTTCATGTTCAGGTTTAGGCAAAAGCTCAAACTTAAGCTCAATTTTAATCTTAGGCTCAAGCTCACCCCCATCATCAGGCTCAGGCTAAAGGTAAGACTAAGGCTAAGGCTAATGCTGAGGCTAAAGCTAAGGCTAAGGCTAAGGCTAAGGCTAAGGCTCAAGCTAAGGCTCAAGCTAAGGCTAAGGCTAAGGCTAAGGCTAAGGCTAAGGCTAAGGCTAAAGCTAAGCCTTAGCCTTAGCTACTTATATGTAGTGGAAGTCTGTATATGCTACTTAAAACATTATGTAGTAAAACATACTTAACATAGAATTAGTGCCATTTGCTAATTAACAATATTTACATTTTTTACAATGTTTATGCTACTTTTAAGTATACTTAATGATAAGGAAATGCAATTCTTCTATAGGACGTTGTAAACATTCTATTTTTGAAATATATTAATAACATTACATGACAACACTTTGTATAGGACCCTACATACTTCTAGTGCAGGGCTAAGGCTCTGGGCTAGGGCTCTGGGCTAGGGGTCTGGGCTAGGGCTCTGGGCTAGGGCTCTGGGCTAGGGCTCTGGGCTAGGGCTAGGGCTAGGGCTAGGGCTAGGGCTCTGGGCTAGGGTTCTGGGCTAGGGTTCTCGGCTAGAGCTCTAGGCTCTGGGCTAGTATTCTGGGATAGGGTTCTGGTCTAGGAATCTGAGCTAGGGCTCTGGGCTAGGGCTTTGGGATAGGGCTTTGGGCTAGGGCTCTAGTCTAAGGCTCTGGGCTAGAGCTCTGGGCTCCGGCTCTAAGCTAGAGCTCTAGACAAGGGCTCTAAGCTAGGGTTCTGGGCTAAAGCTCTGGGCTAGGGCTCTGGACTAAGGCTACGAAATCATAGCAAAAGTTACTGTGTAAACGTCATTACAAAGTAATCTACTCTATCACCTGCAAAATATCGACTATCATTCTGTAGCCAACTTCACATCAATTACAACTTCAATTCAGCTACAATTGCTTACGTCGTTACTGCGGAGTATCGTACCTTCACTTCATACGCATAATTTTAAAATTGTATTATTTTTAATACGAATTTATCATCAAATCGTATTTTATAAAGCGCACACGTATAGTTTTGAATTGTATCTTGCTACAATACACAATTGTACTGTATATTATGTTGCTACTCTACGTAAGTTTGAAAACAGTTGTAACATTTATGTATACTTCCGCCATATGACTAAGTTTTTCTATCGTAACCCCACCATAGTTTTAAGTTTGCTTTGCCCTACTCAAAGCAATCAACCTATTCTAAACCTATCCTAGCTCTATGATAGTCTTACAATATCCAAAACTTACAGTAGCCGTACCCATTGACCAACAAATACTACACTTGCAATAACCTACAAAAAATATTAAATTTTTCAAATAATTCTGTGCCCCCTCATCCCGGATATTTAGTTTGAAAAAGCACAGAATTATTTGAACAACCTAATACATACTACTGTTAGAGAAACCGGCAAAAAAAAGATAAAAATGCAAATAAATTATGAATTAATTGAAAAAGTGCAACAAGATTTGTCATTGAAACCTTAGCAAAAATTAGAAAAAGATTAAGAATAATTAATTGATGCTATCATATTTTATAGTAAGTCAATCTTCTATTGCTATATATAATACATATAAAAACAGACAATAGTTTTCTGCTTGCAATTTAAAAAAAATATTTTAAGCCTAAACTTTTATTTTTAAGCCTATAACTTGCAGTTTGAATTCTTAACTTAAACTTGCAATAAGCTTGAAATTTTAAGTTTAAGCCTAAAATTTCAACTTGAAGCTTGTTTTAGCATACTTGAGTCAGGCAAGAAGTACTCGCCTAGCCCTAGCTCTAGTTTTAGTTCTTGCTCTAGCTCTAGCTCTAAATCTAGTTGTAGCTCTAGCACTAACCCTATCCCTAGCTATAGCTCTAGCTCTAGCTTTAGCTCTAGTTCTAGTTCTAGCTTTAGCTCTAGCTCCAGTTACTAAAAGGTAAAAAACTCAGTCTTTACTTATTTATAACAAAAAACTATGGGGAATAAAACAATCTTTAAAAAAACTATATAAATTGCGTACAACATAAAGAAATCAACCGGTAAAGTTAGTCCGGGGACTTTTTACGCACCCTGTATAAGAAGAGTTGCGTATACAGATAGTTCACTATATAGAGAGACCACTGTATTTTATAATCCTAAATGTTGTATTTTTAAGCTTATAATGTTGTTTTCAAAATTATTGTTCTTCATCTCCAAACTATTGTACATTTAAAAAAACTATTTTTGTAAAGTATTCAAGAACCTTCCATTTTCAGTTTTTTATGCTACAATTACAATATAAACAAGACCTGAAGACTCTTCAAAACATAGGATAAATACATTTTGAAGTGACATTATCTGAAGTTTGCCTTATGACAAATTAAATTTTAATATAAATCTTCAAAATGCACTTTTGAAAACACTTGTACATGTTGTTTATATGCCAGTAAAGTCTTGTAACATGTTGTTTACGTGACAGTAAAGGCAGTGTTTACATTTTTACAAATTTTTCAAAAAACGTTTAAAAAAATTTTAATACCGGACCGATTCACAAAAAACCAAACCTGCCTTCCCCAACCTTTCATTAAGCTTCAAAATCTCTCCTCACCCAAGCCCAACATGCCATGCCCAGGTCATTCCACCCTCGCAGTGCTAATTGAGTACGATGACTCTCCGACAGTATGGCAAACCTTCAGTCAAAGTACAAGTCATAGTAAATCAACCGTAAAACACAGTCGATTATTAATTCATAAACCCGTTTTACTATGTTCCCACGCAGCCAAAACTAACCTCTGTACTTGCAACAAACTTGAGCTAATGCTATTTGTAACACGTTTACAGAGTGTTATGTCATTGGATTTAAAGATATTATTGTAGTCGAAAGATTCAAAACTAGTCTATCGCATAATTATAGAACTTCATGGTCTAGAATAGAGCTAAACTAAAGCCATGGTGAGGCTCCAGAAAAGCTAGGGAAGGAGTATAGTTAGAACCAAGTATAAACTAGAAACTAAGCTAGGATAGAGCAAAGATATAGCTAAAAGGTTAAGCTAGCGTTTAGCTAGAGCAAAGGCTATGTTAGAGTATACGCAGGGTTACAGTAGAGGTAGAGGGTTACAACTAGGACAATTCCTAGAACAAAACAAGGTAAAATTTGAAAAATAAATTTTTGTTTGAAAATTCATTTTTGAATTTTAAAAATGCAAAAAAAGTCAATAAAACACAACCACAAGCAAGTTAAATGAGTTCAAAGTATTTTCGAAATCTTGCAAAGTTAAACAAAACAAAACGTATTTTAAAACAAACTTTTAAAACTTGTTGCTAAGCTGAGTCATCGCTTAACTTTTTAAACTCTTAAAAATATTTTTTGAAAGATTACGCAATGTTTATGACAAAAATAGCACACAGTAAGACTAAAGAAAGCAAAGATAAAGCTATTTAGAATAAGGAATGGCTAGTCAGGATAAAGCCAAAGCTAAGCCTAAAACATTGCCTTAGATAAGAACACAAGCTAGAGCTTAGGCAACTCTTTGGATACGGTTTAAGCTAGAATTTAAGCTAGTAGGTCAACAAGAGCATAAGCTATTTATTACGAAATCTAAGGCTAAAGCTTATTAGTACACCTATGGCTAGAGTTAAGGCTTTAAGCTTAAAAACTAAGGCTTAAGCTAGGACTTAGGCTAGGGCTTAGGCTAGAGATGAACCTACGGCTTAAACCAGAGCTTAGGCTAAAGTTTATGCTTAGGCTAGAGCTTAGGTTAGGGCTTAGACTAAGTCTTAGGCTAGGGCTTAGGCTAGGGCTTAGGCTAGGGCTTAGGCTAGGACTTAGGCTAGGGCTTAGGCTAGGGCTTAGGCTAGAGCTTAGGCTAGGGCTTAGGCTAGGGCTTAGGCTAGGGCTTAGGCTAGGGCTTAGGCTAGGGCTTAGGCTTAGGCTAGGGCTTAAGCTAGAGCTTAGGCTAGGGCTTAGGCTAGGGCTTCGGCTAGGACTTAGGCTAGGGCTTAGGCTAGGGCTTAAGCTGAGGCTAAGGCTTAGGCTAGAACTTAAGCTTGGGCTAGGGCTTAGCCTAGGGCTTCGGCTAGGACTTAGGCTAGGGCTTAGGCTAAGGCTGAGGCTAGGGCTTAGGCTAGAACTTAGGCTTGGGCTACGGCTTAGGCTAGGGCTTAGGCTCAGCATTCATCACTAACGTCACTTCATCAAACTTTCTACTGTAACAAACAAGGAAACCAGATTAACGCTAATTTAGTTCCGGCTATTAACATTAACATCTTTTGCCTCTTAACAGTTTCAAATTACCATTAACACACGTTCGTCTTTGTCATTTGTAAAATTGGAAACAAATTTTTTTCGCCGTCACCGAATGTCACTAAATCTGTGTCAATGAAATTTGAATGTAATATTGTAAATGTATATTATAGTAAGAAAACAATTGGAAAGCCGGCTTAACGGGTGCAATATAAGATAAAACACTTCGTGATGACACGAATGATGAATATGTGTTTGAATACAAATTGAGAAACAAAGCGGCTTCTGGAAAAAACATGAGTACAATGCATTTAAAAGTATTTTAAGTACGATTGAGAAATTTTAAATGTTGCGAATGTTATGTCATAGCCAATACTACCCTTCCCTGTTCATAGAAATAGATCAAGCCTTTAGCCTAGCTTTAGACGAGCCTGAGGTCTAGCCTAAAATATTACCTAAAACCTAGCCTGAGGTTTAGCCTAGAACCTAGCCTAAAGCCTAGCCCAAAAACTAGCCTAAGCTTCAGTCTAAAGTCTAGCCTAAATCCCAGCCTAAAGACCAGCCTAAAGCCTAGCCTAAAGCATAGCCTAAAGCCCAGCCTAAAGCCCAGCCTAAAGCCTAGCCTAAAGCCTAGCCTAAAGCCTAGCCTAAAGCCTAGCCTAAAGCCTAGCCTAAAGCCTAGCCTAAAGCCTAGCCTAAAGCCTAGCCTAAAGCCTAGCCTAAAGCCCAGCCTAAGCCTAACCTAAGCCCTAGCTCAAACCCCAAGCCTAGCCTACTCTACCTTGTCACACCCTCAACTGACCTAGCTTTTGGCCGAACCTTTACCCTACAGTTAAGCTATAACCCTTGACCTGGTCCTTAGCCTAACCCTGCCCCTATCCTTCTTTATCCTCCCCTTCACAAACTCATTGCCTACAGTATTCCACCCTGGTCATACAACTTCGTACGCTGTCTTACAATGCCAACGCTTTATCTTTCCATGCCATACCAAATTTGCATTATACTCTTAATTTTAACAAGTATTACCCTACCTTCCAGCTTAACGCCTACTGCGTTCTATAATACCTTATCCTTACCTTTCTCTCCCTTCCCCTTTATCGTGCTGTGTCATACCCTTACTAAAATACTATTATAAAACATAACATAAACCAATTTTAAAAAACTCAATGTCAGAGTACCAAAGTACAAAACCCCAAAAATTTCTACTCAACAGTAAAAACCCTCCGTTTGATCAAAAAACCTAATTACGTAACACAACTTACCCGCGAGCGTATAAAGATAATATAAAAAATTTGAATATCCGATCGGAACTAAACTTATCAAACCACTTTAGGCTCAAAAATAATAAGTGTAAGTCTTGACGTAAGGTTTACCTTGTCTGACACTTGATCAAAAAATTAGGGTTTTAGCTTTTCATTCTTACTTTCTGTAAGCCTGCTGTTAAGCCGCAACGCTTAAAAACTGCCAAATTTTAATTGTTCATCTACTGTTCAGCTTGTTATCGACCAAAATGTAAGTTGGTTTTTTAATTTTTATTAATAATAATTTATGATTTAATACTTTTTTTAACTTTATTGTATTTTCTTGGCTTTAATGCTACCAAAATCTTATTTTTACGCTTTTTCTATGCCATACTAAAACTGTTTAACTACCTCTCACTGTCAGCTATTGTAATCTAGTCTACCTTGAAAAGAATACTGTAAAAATGATCTTGTAGAGCTTTTGGCACTAAAATTGTATTTTAAACCAATTTAACAGCAAAAATTAAGCCTTCTACTACTGCAGTTACTCATACTTATTTTTACTACATCACATCTTGGCTTTACTATTGTCTTCCAACTTTTTAACCCCTGTAATTACTGTCAAACCTTATAACAGTACTAAAAACGCCTGCATTTTTAAATTTAAAACTCAGTAGTCAACTCTGAAGCTAGTCCTAATTACGTAACGCAAATTACCCGCGAGCGTATATAAGATAATATAAAAATTTGAATATCCGATCGGAAGTAGGCTTATCAAACCACTTTAACCGCAGAAATAATAAATGTAGGGGTTGACGCAAGGTTGATCTTGTCCGGCACTTGATCAAAAAATTAGGATTTTTAAGTTTCATTCTTACTTCCTGCAAGCCTGCTGTTAAGCTGCAAAGTTTAAAAACTCTTCAATTGTTATTTTACCTCACTATTAATATTTTTGTAATCAAATGTAAGTATTTAAGTTTGATTAATAATGGATAATGATTTTTAATCGATGTTTTGGCTCTCCACAATTTTATCTTTGATTATCAAAACAATAAAATTGTTATACTATATTGTAAAACCTACTTAACTACCTCATGCTGTCATCTGTTGTAATCCAGTCTATTTTCAAAAGTTCTTTCTTCTTGATCTTGTACATCTGTTAACACAATACTTGTAATATTAGGTTGTTTCAAACAGAATGGCTGATTTTGGCGAACAAATCAAAATCGGCCATTCTTTTTGGGACAACAAAAATTTTCTTGTACTAACATATCATAAATCATGATGTTCTTGCATAAACACATCACAAAACATACATATAGTGTTATATCAAATTCTACTTTAATCTTCTTAAACCTATGTTTCATCAGCTTCAAGAACAACTTACTGACGGCCAATTTGTCCATCTTAGGCTTCTTTAAAGATCTATAATCTTCACCCTGTTCCAATAAGCCAAAAAATATGCAATTCTTTAATATATCATTTCTTTTGTTCATCAAAAATTTATAAATATAAAAAATCAACTCATCCTTTTTAGCAAAGATGTCATCCAACAAGAGCTACACCATCCGTATCGCTTCGGACCTCACCAACTTGGCGCCCATCAAGTTCCCATGGAGCGATGAAAGAATCGACCAAGCGGTCGAAGAAGCCCGATGTGCCGTGCGGTCTCTGAGACAGACTAGGCAGATTCTAACGGCCGCGACCAAAACGTCTCGCCGTAGACGAGTTAACGTAGCCAAGCTACACCCACTTTTCATGGTCGAAGAGAAGAAGCGACCAGAAAAAAAACCTCTGAAGGCCGTGAAGAACGTTCCATTAAATTCCATGGAAAATACCTCTCAACCGGCCATAAAGACCGCCAAGAAGCCAGATTCTGAACCTACCGTGAAAAAGCCGGAATTTGACTTCGATAAGGTAGATTTGGAAGAAATTGACGTGCCGTACAGCACATTTACATCATGTAAACTCGTCGATGATCTACTCATCGAAGACGCTGATGACTGGGCTGAAGAGAACGCCATAATCAAGAAAATGATGCAAGAAGACACGGATTGCCTTCTGATGCCTCCACCATCCAAACGTCCGAAAAGATGCTTCATTAACGCCGCCGAAAATAAAGAAATCTGCTACGACTTGGCAGACGTATTTCAAGAAGTTTCTTCCGAGCTAGAAGAGGCTGACGAAAACTTTGAGGTCAAGAAAGGCATGGAAAAGCTAGAAATTTGCAAAAAGCGTCTGGAGTGGCTGTACTCAAAATGGGACTTGCCTATGCCTAAGGGCTCAAACCAAACGTAGAGATCTTTAATATAACAATTTTTTAGTTTTTCTTTATTTTTATTGTTGTACCGGTGACTTCTTTACCATGTTTTAATGTTGTACCGATGACTTCTTTAAATTCCGAGTGAGTAATGTAATATACCATGTTAATATTAACATAAACTTTTATTGTATTATTTCTCTAATATTCTTTACCTAACTTTGTACTAGCAAAGATAGTGTACATTATTGTTGATTTTTAATGTTTAAAAATAAATTTTTATATAAAAATACGTTGAAATTTATTGTATCCTAAGCTATAGCCTAAGCCATAGCCTTAGTCATAGCCTAAGCCATAGCCTAAACTTTAGCCCTAGCATAAGCCCTAACCTAATCCCTAGCCTGACCTATATCTTATAGACAGAAGAAAATGGTTAGAAAGTTTCAAGTCCAAGCCTAGACCAAAAGCTAGGCCTAAGACAACAAGTTCAAGCTATCAGTACTCTAATTAAAAAGCCTAGTAATATACACCACAATCTTCAAATTGGATATCAAAGTAAGCTTATTTTCGAATAATCGTAAAATTTATTTTGGCCTTAACAATGAAATTGTCATTGACGTCAAAATAAAGCTGGTATGGGTGGTTTGAGCCGGCTTCTAAGCTGATATACTTGCTAAAACGCTTTTGCGCTACTGTAAAGTACACCCAAACAAGAGTCGATTTATGAAATTGGGCATTTCCGTTTGCATACAGTTTAAAAATGGCATTTACTTTAATTTGCAGAGTAAAAAGTGGCGTTTGCTTTAAGTTAAAGAGTAGAAAGTGGCCTTTAGTTTTATTTATAGGCTTCAAAATAGGCTTTTAGCTAGCTTACAGTAAAATATAGCATTTTCTAGCCAATAAAACATTAAAAAATGCAATTAAAAAGACAAAAAAAAGACATTACTCAGTAGTCTCAAGCAAAAATACCATCACATAGACCTGTTATCAATAAAAAACACCTTCTACAGCGTAAAAAATCCCTAAACAGCCTTCAAAAACCCAAAAACATAAAATTTTTTCACATTTTCAGCCAATACATCAATATTTCATAGCAGTAATACTAACAAAGTCCAACAACAATCTCCAAAACCCGAGTAAAATCTAGTTTATTTTAGTTCAGTCGTTTCTACAAGTGTACATTCTTCTGCCTTACTTTCTTCTCTGGTTACCGCCGCCCGTGATCATGACCATGCGAATGAAAATGTTCAGGATATCCATGTATAATGAGAGCTGAGCGTTGATTGGATCGTAGCCTCCAGTTCGGACTTCCTGAACCGGTTGTCCGTACTGATTGTAGTAGGTCTGAACTCCGCCAAACGGTTGAAATTCGGCTTTTTTGATGATCCTCTGGGTGTCGTAGAGAAGAAACATTGAGAAGAGGATCAGACCGCCGTAGACAACAATTGAGGCCAAGCCTAAAGCAAGATTATTAGAATTTAGGTAACATTTTAAAAAGTCTATCAACACATTATTCAAAAAAATATTAACCTACCAGCCCCAAGTGCGGTGTTAGCCGGGAAGAACAAGCTTCCAATGTTAGCCACAAAAACTACTCCTAATCCCATTGCCAACGGTCCAGACCACATCAAAAACTTCTCTGATGGAGCAAACATAGCCGTAGCCGAGAGTCCTCCAACCAGTCCAGCCGTGTACCACGCTGCTCTCATCAACACTGGTCCTCCGGCAAAGCAAAGTGGTGCCAATACAGCCCCCATCACTCCGCAATGAGCAGCCCACATCAGGATCTTGGCCATCTTGTTGTTGTCGTAGTCGATGCTCCTCACCAACATTCCTGTGCCAATGATCGCGGCCATACTGCCAGCAAAGACGAGGAGCCCACCGCCTGAGGTCAGGGCTAAAATGGCAGGAGTTCTGGCTGCGGCGACGCCTGCTGCAGCCGTTAGAGCCAAACTTCCGGCTAAGTAAGCGTATGTGGTTTGGAGTCGTTGTCGGACATGTTCTGGCCAAAGACTAAAATTTAAATGTTTAAAATTAAAACAAAATTTAACTTCTACTATTTCCCTAACCTCCAAAATAACAGTGAAAACAAAACTTCTTTGAAAAATTCTATATTACTCATGACCTAAATGTCGATAGCATTCATACCTCTAAACTAAAACTCTTATGGGCCATAGAATAAAAACAACATCATCAGCCTAAGCCTATTACTCCTCCTAAACATATAAATTTAATCAAAACACTTACGCAGCACGATCCATGGCGCTCAGGCCCTTGGACATTCCAGCTCCATAGTAGCACAACATACCAACTCCGAAAACTGAAGCGCCAGCAATTGCATATGTGCCATACAAAAATGCTAAAAGAAACAATATTAGCGACCTTTTTCAACTATATTTAGCATTAAAAACCTAAAAATCAAAGAAAACCTGTCTAAAAATGTTATCTTACGTTTGCCAGTAGTAGGTCCCAAAAGACGTTCACGAAGAGTTGGCCCAGCCTTTGTCTTTGTGCCAAATGTCTAAAAACAGTAAGAAATAAGCATATTACAACTCATATTATAACGAAATAAGTTTAGAAGCAGATTTGAGTAACAAAAAGTCATTTTTTCGATATTCTCCAAGGAGCCAAGGCCAAAAATTTTAAATCAACTCAAAAACGCCAAAAATAATTGCTAAAACTTGTTGTAAAGGTTCGTACAACATTCCTTTAAGCATTGCCAAGCAATACAATGCAACATATTACCTAAACTTCAAAAAAAAACAATAATAAACACTTACGTATTGAGTGAATCTGTTACCTTCAAATCGAGCTGCTTGTTTCGCGGAAACATGAAAGTTTCTGGCCACGGACGGTACAGCCACACGTCCGCCAAACATCGCTAGTCGTGACAGCATTTTGATGCTTTAGTATCTGAAACAAAAGTGCGATAAGACAGTCGAAAATCAAAATTTTACTTCAAGACTTGGCAAACACGACCGCTTAAAACAGTAAAATACGAACAAGTAAGAAGATTTCAATAAAAATTTGAGAACTTTCAAAACTTTAACACACCAAACCTTATACTCGTGAAGAAATGACGAAATTTTTCGAGAAAAATCTTGAAAAAAATGTTAGAAAATAATTTCGATGCCACAAGCCGGAATGTCACTATTGATTTCTTGACGAGAAGTTGTTTTTGAATAAAAATTTACGAAATTCTCACAAATTTGAATAGAATTGTGAAGTAAAATGTCAAAAACAACGTTGTTTTCAATTTCGATAGGAGTTTTGGTCGATTTGAAACGTTGCCGGTTGTGTTCAAAGGGTTAACTCCAAGTTTGGCGCTATGTTTGCTCGTTTGTTTCGTTGGAAAGAAGCGAAACTGAAGCCAAGTGAGGTCGAATATCAAGAATGGAAACAGTTTCAACGGGAAATCAACGAGAGTTGGAAGGTCGTCCATCGGGTAAGATTAGTGGTTTGATTTTTTTGATTGTTTTTATATATAAGTGGGTGGTGAAGATAAAAAAGTTCGTGAGCTAATGTAGGTTTGTTGGATTGGCTTGAAATTTTGTGAATAGGTTTAAAATAGTATATTATAAGTAGTGTGGATATGTTTCCTTTTATTCTTTCAAAAATAAAGGGAAAAGACGTGTTTTAAATTGAACAAATACCGGTGAAGAATTCAAAATGTACTAACTTTAACATTGATTTTCGCGAAAGTTATAAAAGCTAACAGAATGAATTTTTGTCACAACGTAAACCATTCTATCTTTTAACTATTCACCGAATTTGAGTCAAACCTAACAACTAAATATAAAGTTATAGTATTATCTATCAGCACCACTTAGTATGTTCATTTTTTTTATTTTTAACTTTTCGAAGTAATTTTACTATTTTTCAGAGAACGTTGTTGAGAACTCCATTCTTCCGTCAAATATTGACCCATGTTGAGCTGCACGAGTGTCTCTTGGCTGAGCAGATATTGTTGAAAGTGGAGGAAATTAACGAAACGTCGGAAAATTCAGAAGAAAGCCTGGCCAGAGTCACCGAATTACGTGACGCCATGGATCAATCTGAACGCCAACTCTTTACCAAGATTAACAACATTGCCGCAGTCTATATCCGGAAAGTCAACTCTAAATCGGCCGAGCAACCAACGGCTACTTGATCTTGGTTTAGGCCAAAATTTATCCATATTTGGTTGTGATAATTGCTTATTTATGTGGTATGTGTATTAAACATGAACGGATTTTTTGATCGGGCTGTGATAGCTAATACAAAATCTGCGCGCAATTTCAAGTAAAACAAAAAAAGGATCATCCAAGTCGGATTAATACTTTTCGAGAACGAAGCGTTTACTTTTTACAGAAATACTTGGGTCACCCTGTACATATGGTTTGGCACGCTTTGAAATTAAAAGCACGTTGGGCACAAAAAGAATGTTTTGCCTTCACTTTCTTATTGATTTTTATTGTAGTAGACTAGTATACGACTCTAGAGTGGTACTGTTTAAAAATAGACGCAAATCTCAGTGGGTTCACGATTTGGCACGGTTGAAGTTAAGAGCACGTTGGGCACAAAATGAAGGTTTTTCATTCATTTTCTTATAGAGATTATATTGTAGTAGACTACTGGGGGACTCAAAAGTGGTACTGTTAAAAATAGACGCAAATCTCAGTGGGTTCACGATTTGGCACGGTTGAAGTTTAGCGCACGTTGGGCACAAAATGAAGGTTTTTCTAGAGGTATAGTAAGGTACTTAGGTGTCTGTTACAGTATGGAAATGTAGGATTAGAGAGGAAATCTTTAAAATACAGTAAGACAGAGAGCTTTTACTGTAGTTTGACCAAAAAGATAAAGTTGGTGAGCGGAATGTTACAGTAGGGTTTATAGAGGTACTAGTACAGGTACTTAGGTGTCTGTTACAGTATGAAAATGTAGGATTAGAGAGGAAATCTTTAAAATACAGTAAGACAGTGAGCTTTTACTGTAGTTTGACCAAAAAGATAAAGTTGGTGAGCGGAATGTTACAGTAGGGTTTCTAGAGGTATAGTAAGGTATTTAGGTGTCTGTTACAGTATGAAAATGTAGGATTAGAGAGGAAATCTTTAAAATACAGTAAGACAGTGAGCTTTTACTGTAGTTTGACCAAAAAGATAAAGTTGGTGAGCGGAATGTTACAGTAGGGTTTATTGAGGTACTGTACAGTACTTAGGTGTCTGTTACAGTATGAAAATGTAGGATTTGAGAGGTAGTCTTTAAAATACAGTAAGACAGAGAGCTTTTACTGTAGTTTGACCAAAAAGATAAAGTTGGTGAGCGGAATGTTACAGTAGGGTTTATAGAGGTACTGTACAGTACTTAGGTGTCTGTTACAGTATGAAAATGTAGGATTTGAGAGGTAGTCTTTAAAATACAGTAAGACAGTGAGCTTTTACTGTAGTTTGACCAAAAAGATAAAGTTGGTGAGCGGAATGTTACAGTAGGGTTTATAGAGGTACTGTACAGTACTTAGGTGTCTGTTACAGTATGAAAATGTAAGATTTGAGAGGTAGTCTTTAAAATACAGTAAGACAGTGAGCTTTTACTGTAGTTTGACCAAAAAGTAAAGTTGGTGAGCGGAATGTTACAGTAGGCTTTCTAAAGGTATAGTAAGGTACTTAGGTGTCTGTTACAGTATGAAAATGTAGGATTAGAGAGGAAATCTTTAAAATACAGTAAGACAGTGAGCTTTTACTGTAGTTTGACCAAAAAGATAAAGTTGGTGAGCGGAATGTTACAGTAGGGTTTATAGAGGTATAGTAAGGTACTTAGGTGTCTGTTACAGTATGAAAATGTAGGATTTGAGAGGTAGTCTTTAAAATACAGTAAGACAGTGAGCTTTTACTGTAGTTTGACCAAAAAGATAAAGTTGGTGAGCGGAATGTTACAGTAGGGTTTATTGAGGTATAGTAAGGTACTTAGGTGTCTGTTACAGTATGAAAATGTAGGATTAGAGAGGAAATCTTTAAAATACAGTAAGACAGTGAGCTTTTACTGTAGTTTGACCAAAAAGATAAAGTTGGTGAGCGGAATGTTACAGTAGGGTTTATTAAGGTACTGTACAGTACTTAGGTGTCTGTTACAGTATGAAAATGTAGGATTAGAGAGGAAATCTTTAAAATACAGTAAGACAGTGAGCTTTTACTGTAGTTTGACCAAAAAGATAAAGTTGGTGAGCGGAATGTTACAGTAGGGTTTATAGAGGTACTGTACAGTACTTAGGTGTCTGTTACAGTATGAAAATGTAAGATTAGAGAGGAAATCTTTAAAATACAGTAAGACAGTGAGCTTTTACTGTAGTTTGACCAAAAAAGATAAAGTTGGTGAGCGGAATGTTACAGTAGGCTTTCTAAAGGTATAGTAAGGTACTTAGGTGTCTGTTACAGTATGAAAATGTAGGATTTGAGAGGTAGTCTTTAAAATACAGTAAGACAGTGAGCTTTTACTGTAGTTTGACCAAAAAGATAAAGTTGGTGAGCGGAATGTTACAGTAGGGTTTATTAGAGGTACTGTACAGTACTTAGGTGTCTGTTACAGTATGAAAATGTAGGATTTGAGAGGTAGTCTTTAAAATACAGTAAGACAGAGAGCTTTTACTGTAGTTTGACCAAAAAGTAAAGTTGGTGAGCGGAATGTTACAGTAGGCTTTCTAAAGGTATAGTAAGGTACTTAGGTGTCTGTTACAGTATGAAAATGTAGGATTAGAGAGGAAATCTTTAAAATACAGTAAGACAGTGAGCTTTTACTGTAGTTTGACCAAAAAGATAAAGTTGGTGAGCGGAATGTTACAGTAGGGTTTATAGAGGTACTGTACAGTACTTAGGTGTCTGTTACAGTATGAAAATGTAAGATTAGAGAGGAAATCTTTAAAATACAGTAAGACAGTGAGCTTTTACTGTAGTTTGACCAAAAAGATAAAGTTGGTGAGCGGAATGTTACAGTAGGCTTTCTAGAGGTATAGTAAGGTACTTAAATGTCTGTTACAGTATGAAAATGTAAGATTAGAGAGGAAATCTTTAAAATACAGTAAGACAGTGAGCTTTTACTGTAGTTTGACCAAAAAAGATAAAGTTGGTGAGCGGAATGTTACAGTAGGGTTTATAGAGGTACTGTACAGTACTTAGGTGTCTGTTACAGTATGAAAATGTAAGATTTGAGAGGTAGTCTTTAAAATACAGTAAGACAGTGAGCTTTTACTGTAGTTTGACCAAAAAGTAAAGTTGGTGAGCGGAATGTTACAGTAGGCTTTCTAAAGGTATAGTAAGGTACTTAGGTGTCTGTTACAGTATGAAAATGTAGGATTAGAGAGGAAATCTTTAAAATACAGTAAGACAGTGAGCTTTTACTGTAGTTTGACCAAAAAGATAAAGTTGGTGAGCGGAATGTTACAGTAGGGTTTATAGAGGTACTGTACAGTACTTAGGTGTCTGTTACAGTATGAAAATGTAGGATTAGAGAGGAAATCTTTAAAATACAGTAAGACAGTGAGCTTTTACTGTAGTTTGACCAAAAAGATAAAGTTGGTGAGCGGAATGTTACAGTAGGGTTTATAGAGGTATAGTAAGGTACTTTAGGTGTCTGTTACAGTATGAAAATGTAGGATTAGAGAGGAAATCTTTAAAATACAGTAAGACAGTGAGCTTTTACTGTAGTTTGACCAAAAAGATAAAGTTGGTGAGCGGAATGTTACAGTAGGGTTTATTGAGGTACTGTACAGTACTTAGGTGTCTGTTACAGTATGAAAATGTAGGATTTGAGAGGTAGTCTTTAAAATACAGTAAGACAGAGAGCTTTTACTGTAGTTTGACCAAAAAGATAAAGTTGGTGAGCGGAATGTTACAGTAGGGTTTATAGAGGTACTGTACAGTACTTAGGTGTCTGTTACAGTATGAAAATGTAGGATTTGAGAGGTAGTCTTTAAAATACAGTAAGACAGAGAGCTTTTACTGTAGTTTGACCAAAAAGATAAAGTTGGTGAGCGGAATGTTACAGTAGGGTTTATAGAGGTACTGTACAGTACTTAGGTGTCTGTTACAGTATGAAAATGTAAGATTTGAGAGGTAGTCTTTAAAATACAGTAAGACAGTGAGCTTTTACTGTAGTTTGACCAAAAAGATAAAGTTGGTGAGCGGAATGTTACAGTAGGCTTTATAGAGGTACTGTACAGTACTTAGGTGGCTGTTACAGTATGAAAATGTAAGATTAGAGAGGAAATCTTTAAAATACAGTAAGACAGTGAGCTTTTACTGTAGTTTGACCAAAAAGATAAAGTTGGTGAGCGGAATGTTACAGTAGGCTTTATAGAGGTACTGTACAGTACTTAGGTGGCTGTTACAGTAAGAAAATGTAGGATTTGAGATGAAATCTTTAAAATACAGTAAGACAGTGAGCTTTTACTGTAGTTTGACCAAAAAGATAAAGTTGGTGAGCGGAATGTTACAGTAGGCTTTATAGAGGTACTGTACAGTACTTAGGTGTCTGTTACAGTATGAAAATGTAAGATTTGAGAGGTAGTCTTTAAAATACAGTAAGACAGTGAGCTTTTACTGTAGTTTGACCAAAAAGTAAAGTTGGTGAGCGGAATGTTACAGTAGGCTTTCTAAAGGTATAGTAAGGTACTTAGGTGTCTGTTACAGTATGAAAATGTAGGATTAGAGAGGAAATCTTTAAAATACAGTAAGACAGTGAGCTTTTACTGTAGTTTGACCAAAAAGATAAAGTTGGTGAGCGGAATGTTACAGTAGGGTTTATTGAGGTATAGTAAGGTATTTAGGTGTCTGTTACAGTATGAAAATGTAGGATTAGAGAGGAAATCTTTAAAATACAGTAAGACAGTGAGCTTTTACTGTAGTTTGACCAAAAAGATAAAGTTGGTGAGCGGAATGTTACAGTAGGGTTTATAGAGGTACTGTACAGTACTTAGGTGTCTGTTACAGTATGAAAATGTAAGATTAGAGAGGAAATCTTTAAAATACAGTAAGACAGTGAGCTTTTACTGTAGTTTGACCAAAAAGATAAAGTTGGTGAGCGGAATGTTACAGTAGGGTTTATTGAGGTATAGTAAGGTATTTAGGTGTCTGTTACAGTATGAAAATGTAGGATTAGAGAGGAAATTTTTAAAATACAGTAAGACAGTGAGCTTTTACTGTAGTTTGACTAAAAAGATAAAGTTGGTGAGCGGAATGTTACAGTAGGGTTTATAGAGGTATAGTAAGGTACTTAGGTGTCTGTTACAGTATGAAAATGTAGGATTAGAGAGGAAATCTTTAAAAGTTTACATTTTGCTGAGGTTTTTTATATCTTGGAATGAATTTCGTTGGGATGAGAAGCCGAGAATTTGAGCTGCTTTTTACTGAAATGTGGAGGTAAATTACTAATTCGCTGTATTGTAGATTAGACTAAATTGTTAAAACAATAACAATTTTTAATAGAGACGCAATAATTTTTTAAATATTTTACGTTTTTTATAAGATTTTTGATTTTAAATTTTAATTTTTTTAAAAATATTGTTGTTACCTTTTTAACTTTTGGGTTTTTTTTGTTTTTAATAATTATTTTTTTATTTTTCAGATGATTTTTGGCTCTTTTTTACGACTCCACGTTACTTTTCAGCCTTCAGAAGCACGGGGGTTTAATTTTGTTTTGATCAGCTCTATAAGTACCTATAATTCAACTTTTGTTTGTACAGGTCAGTTTTTAAAGTTTTTGTAATTATAAGTGGTTTTTAATAGAATTTACTTGAATTTTGCGAATTTTCAAAAATTTTTAAACTAAAAAATTGGCTAGAGCATAAGAATGTTTTATTTGTGAAGGATTTTAGCATTTTTGAAAATTATTTTTTGTTATTTAGTGATTTTGTGTTTTGTGTTTTTTGGTTGTTAGTTATTTTTAATTTTTCAGATCCTTTCGCTACGAATCAACTTGTTTGCTGTGAATTCTATTTTATGGAGTCTAGTGGTTAAGAGGTTAGTCTGGCGTTTACATGGCAGTGTCAACAATTTGGGTGCTTGTCAATGTTAATGCGTTTCGTCTTCTTTTTACTCTTTGGGAGAGAAACCTTGTTGTCTATATGTACTGGTCTTATAAATGAACTGAAGTATTTTTGATTTTATTTGTTTTTTATAAAGTTTTTAAATTGTAATAATTTTGCTGCCATATTATTGCAAATAAAAAGTTAATGTTGATAATAAAATACTGTATATGAATTATCACCTTAAAGTCTTCTTCTTGATTAACGGGTCTGTGTACTGTAATGTGAGGTAAGATAATGTAAAATAGAGTACGGAAGACAAAGTAAAACAGGAAAATGTTCAATGAATAGTATTTTTAAATTAAATTTTTTTAATAGAACATAACATGGCTTTTGCATTGATACACAAGCATTGTTTTCGAGGTTGGCTGGTGGACTGTCAAGTTTAGACTTTGCCCATAAGCTATTTTTTATTGACAATGAGAGCATGTTTTGAACAGAAAGAATTTTAAAAGCTTAGAACCCGTGTTGATTATGAAGGGTGTTTTAAAATGAATTTATTGGTTAATATTAAATATATTGTTACAAGTTTAAGTCTAATTTTATACTCTGTCGGCTCTTAACTTCATTTCCATAGGCTTCAAGTCACTTTTTCTCTCATTTGGCTTGAACAAAGTTACAGTATTCTTTTTGAAGTTCAAACAAACTCCATTTTCCAACAGAAATCTGGCACCCAAAACGAATTTCTCATTGTTCTTCACGACATTCACCTTCAACGCACATATGTTGCCCTCGATTTTGGTGATGTAATCATGGATTGGCACGTCGAAAACCTCGCCGTTAATGCCGAACCGAAACGGTGCCGTTCTTTCACAACTACAGATGTATGTGCCGTACTTTTCGTCGTACCGTGAGCCCAACACTTCAGTTATAAACTCGAAATACGCTTCAGGTACGGTGAGTTCCTCAGTTGCTGTAGAAATAATGGCGTTCTCCGGGTTGTTTTGATGGAAACAGGCTAGCTTTACGAAGTCAAGCTTCACTTCCCATAGGCCTTCTGAATTGTCCACGGATTTTACTGTAGTTACTGGGTTTACTGCGGGTTTTCCTATTGTTGTGTATGGACTGGCACGACTGAAAATCAATTTTATTATAAAAAAAGATTACTCTGCTCTACCTCATCCTACCCTGCTCTACTCTACATTACTTTAGTCTACCCTACCTTACCCCTCGTTACCCACTCCTTACTCACTCCTAGCCTTAGCTCATTGATTTAGAGACTTACTCTTTGTACTTGATAGACGATACACAAACAGTTTTGTCATCATATTGATTCAGTAGATTGTCTCTCAAAACATTGTCAGCTGGCTTTCGGCTCAAACCTAGTACACCAACAGTCTGAGTGCCAGTAAAAGCATCAGCCGGGTTTTGGCCGTTTGATTTTTCAAAAATTCCAAATTGACTTCTAAAGACTTTCGGACCAACATGAATTTCGTCTTCTCCCACAGCCCCATTTACCGTAATTCGACCATTACTGTATTGACTGGAGAATCTTTGGTCGATATTTTTAAAAGTCTTCGAACTTCTGAAGTCAACTCCACGTTTTGGTGAAGCTACAGTGTTTTGCATCAGAAAAGATTGATGACTAGTTGTGTCTATTATTATATCACGGTCAAGTTTTGGGTTATCATTGAGTCTTACTGTAGCATAGAAGTTGGTTACATTGTATGAGAAAACTGGTGAGCCAAGGAGGAGGAAAGTGACAAGTTTGAAGGGGAACATGGCTGAAAATGGCAAACGGTAATATGTATTGGTTGCACAAAAGATATTCTATAGTTTAACATAGCTCGTGTCCTAACCTTAGCCCAGAGCTCTAACTCAGAGCCCTAGTCTAGAGCTCTAGCCCAGAGCCCTAGCCCAGAGCCCTAGCCCAGAGCCCTAGCCTAGAGCCTTAGTCCAGACCCCTAGCCTAGAGCCCTAGCTCAGAGCTCTAGCTCAGAGCCCTAGCCCAGAGCCCTAGCCCAGAGCCCTAGCCCAGAGCCCTAGCTTAGCTCTAGCCCAGAGCCCTAGCCCAGAGCCCTAGCCCAGAGCCCTAGCCCAGAGCCCTAGCCCAGAGCCCTAGCCCAGAGCCCTAGCCCAGAGCCCTAGCCCAGAGCCCTAGCCCAGAGCCCTAGCCCAGAGCCCTAGCCCAGAGCCCTAGCCCAGAGCCCTAGCCCAGAGCCCTAGCCCAGAGCCCTAGCCCAGAGCCCTAGCCCAGAGACCTAGCCCAGAGCCCTAGCCCAGAGCCCTAACCCAGATCTCTAGCCCAGAGCTCTAGCCTTAGCTTTAGCCCTAGCTCTACACCTAGAGCCAGCTTTTGCCGTTCCTCTAGACTCAGTACTAGCTTTAGCTCTAACATTAGCAATTCAACCATACCTTAGCTTTTGGCCTAGCTTTAAATTTACCTTAGCTTATTCTTAGTTTAACCCAACTCTATCCAAAAAAAATTAAAATCTTGTCGTCAAACTAAATATATTTTTAAGTTAAAAAACGACATAACTTTTATATAATTCTAGCAGAAAAAAATTAAAGCCAGAAAAGGAAAAAATGACATTCCATCATCATAACTACTTCCAAAAAGACTTAAATTTTGATAAATTTATCAGAAAACATCAGAATTTGTATTATTCCTTCTATTGTTTGTTAATGGGAACGGCAGCCCTTAATTACAAATTTCTGAACTTTGTCAATAGAATTAATCAAAGTATTGTTTAAGCAAGTTTACTGATAAGAATTCAAATGCAAAACACATGATCCAGGCGAAGCAGGAGGCCAATATCGAAGGAGTAACCAGGGTTTTAAGCTTTGCTATAAAGGATGCGCCAAAAGTTCTGTTACAAATGTAGAGGAGTTGAATATACATGTCTCTCCACTGTATTAATGGTAGTCTTGGCCGATCTTGGCATACATTGAGGCGTATAAAACATTGTCCGGGTCAGGCTCATCAGTTGTTTCAATCTCAGGCACTCCATTGCACATATGTTCGCTTACTATGTTATTTGTGTCTAACGGCTCGCCAAACTTATATAATGACGGATTCAGGTCAAATTGGGATTCAGAACAGCTTATGTAGCAGCTAGAAAAGTTATTTTTAAATAAATAAAATTTTTCAAAATTAAAAAAAAAAATTTTAAATTTTTTAAAATTTTAAAAACGTTTTTACCGTAATGGCCCTTCCTGTTCAAGAGTAATTTGTTGGAAGGCGTAGCTTAACGCATAGCCCAAATCGACCATTTGGCGATTACAAACCTTGCGGACATAACACGAAAACGGTCGAATGTAGTTGGTCAGGTCACTGTAATTGAATTTAAATCAGGTTTTTCAGTTGTTTTCTTATCCTACCCTACCCTACCTTACCCTACCCTATCCTATCCTACCCTACCCTACCCTACCCTACCCTACCCTACCCTACCCTACCCTACCCTACCCTACCCTACCCTACCCTACCCTACCCTACCCTACCCTACCCTACCCTACCCTACCCTACCCTACCCTACCCTACCCTACCCTGCCCTACCCTACAGTAACCTACCTTACCCTACTCTACCCTACCCTACAGTAACCTACCTTACCCTACTCTACCCTACCCTACATTACCCTATTCTACATTACCCTACCCTACAGTAACCTACCTTACCCTACTCTACCCTACCCTACATTACCCTATTCCACCCTACTCTACCCTACTCTGCTTTATCTTGCTACAATCTACCTTATACCATGCTTTACGCTGTCTTGTCTTTTCTACTTTACCCTACCCTATTATGTCCTACCTTATCCCTTGCCTTGCCTTTTCCTACCCTAGCCATATTCCCAATTTACGGTAGTTTAATCCTACGCTTCCCTACCTAACCTAATCTACCCTACCTACCATGTCTTATACTATCCTCTTTCTTACCCTGCCTTGAGTTTTCCTGCCTTAGTCAATTTCTAATCTTACTGTATTTTAATCTTTGACATTCTGGCTTCTTACATTACTGTAGCTAACGTACATTAACAAAGTCTGATGTAAATGTACCCATAGTACCACTATCTTACCGACAAAGCCGTTTCTGTGTCATGCACCTCTTTTTGTTTTTACCCATAGCCAGTTGATTGTATTGATGCATAAAGTTGAGCAGTTTAAAAGGCATTTTCTCATGAACTACTTTGCTACAATTCTCAAACGCTTCTGCACTTATTCCAGATGGAGTGTTGATAAGTTTGTACAATTTTTGCAACAAAATCTCTGGTTTTGTCACTCTGACGCAGGTTTCATTAGAAAAGTTCTTCACACATTTGTTTAGACGGGTTAACCTAAATAAATTACATTTTAGTATTTACTATTTCTAGCTGCCATAGTACTTAACGTACCTTTTTAAAGTATCATATAGTGCTAAAAGCCAAATACTACAACGTTAAACCATTAAAACCTCAGTAAAACGTTTGCACAACCAATTACAGGGAGCGCAAAAAGTTCTGTTACAAAACTTTACCGGTCGTTTTCTCATTTCACATTAACTTACACCTCAGTTTTGCTGAATTCCGAGCCTTTTCCTCCACATTTCACTGTTTCCAGTTGAAGATCATCGTCAATTTTTACCGCGGTTACACTCAAAATACTCAGTAGTAAAATAACTTTCATTTTTATTTAAAAGTACACGCAAATCTTGTAGGTTTTAAGCGTTCATTTTGTTTTTATTCCCTGTTGTTCACCATATAATTGGGCTTGATTATCGTCAAAACATGTCTGCTTACTGTTGGAGAGGCACTGTACTGCTTTACCTTAAGTTGTTAAGCGGTTTAGGTCCTTGGAATTGATTATGAAATCGATTTTTGGTTAAAAAACTAAGTTATTTTAATCTACCCTACCTTATACTATTCTACATCTAACCGACCCTATCTTACCTTACCTTACCCTATCCTACCCTAAACTACCCTACCCTACCCTACCCTACCCTATCCTATCCTACCCTAAACTACCCTACCCTACCCTACCCTACCCTACCCTACCCTACCCTACCCTACCCTACCCTACCCTAACCTACCCTACCCTACCCTACCCGACCCTCAAACATGAATGATCAACAAGTAACATAAGCCAACAAGAATAATCGACAAAAGATCGTTAAAAATGATAATATTATATATAGTTTATTTTTATTACAGTGCAGTAAGTTCAAATAAAAAATTTAAAAAAATTACAAAAATACTCGTATTGTTAAATGCACATATAGGACTGTCACCACATCAGGTGCTGGTGAAGAAATGAATGGCGGCTTCTGGGTTATTGTGAATCAGGTTTGTGTAGAGCTCCTTCTAAAACAATATAAAACTTTCAAAGAAAGTTATTTTTATTTCAAGGATCATTTCGCAAAAATAACAAAATTTTAAAACTTGAGACTAGGAAGCTCTAGAGCTGAAACTGGAGCTAACAAGGAAAGTACCCGACCTGCCCCGCTCTGATTGACTTCAAACTTTTTGTATAGAAAGATCATGTAAATATAAGATCTTCAGCAAAATACTAAATCGCGCTTTCCAGTCAATCTCGAGAAAATGGAGATCAAAAAATTGCGTTTTTAATTTCCCGCCAAATTGGCATTGTGTTTCAAGCTTATAACTTCGCCTTTTTTGACTTTTATTAATTTTTCTTTGATATACTAGTAAAATACCTTTAAATCAACCTACATTTTTAAATTTGTAAGCGCAGCTTGTCTGAAAAGACAAAAAAAAGTGCTTGAAACACAATGCCAATTGGCGGGAAACCAAAATATTTCAAATTTAAAACTCAAAAGCGCAAGCAAACATTTTTTATAGGTCCTACTGGTGGTACAAAGAATTCATATAAAAATTTTTAGCTGATTCTGAGCGAGGCAGGTAGGGTACTTTCCTTGAACCAAAAGTACATGGACACATTTCACTTCCTTGTTAAAAACATTTTTCTCTATATAAGTGGATCTTACTTTTTGTCCCTTAACAACCTCTTTGAAAACCTTTTTCCAACCCTATCTTACCTTACCCTTTATAGCAAAAAAAATTAAAACAAAAAAATCAAGCAACCTACAATATCATCCTTGGTCATGTAGGTATCGACGTATTTCTTAGCCTTTGAGGAAATGTCCACGCCTCCAAATTGACCAGCCAAACAAATGAGGTCAAGCACGTTGTTGCGGTTGATATTCTTCCCAACTTCGGCCAAACAATGATCTCTCAGGCCATCTAATTGAAAGTAGTCAGCCGCTTTTACAATCTCCGAGCAGTTCGAGTACGCTTCGTCCGAGATTTTATTATTGTAAATGTAGTAGAAGATCTCTTTTACAATCTGAAACCCAATTTTATGTTATTCAAGTACATGTTGTTAGTCTCAAATTTTAAAATTGTTATTCCAAACACCGTTTCAAAATTTAAAACCTCCAACTCTGCTTTTTTTAATCTTACAAGAAAAGCACCCGACCTGCCCCACTCAGAATCAGTTCAAAATTTTTACATGAGTTCCTTGTACCACCAATAGTACCCATAAAAAATTTTAGCTCGCGCTTTTGAGTTCTGAATTTAAATTATTTTGGTTTCCCGCCAATTTGGCATTCTGTTTCAAGCACTTTTTTCGACTTTCCAGCCAAGCTACGCTTACAAATTTAAAAATGTAGGTTCACTTAACGGTTTTCTACTAGTATATCAAAGAAAAACTCCTAAAAGTTAAAAATTGACAGAGTTATAAGCTTGAAACACAATGCCAACGTAGCGGGAAATTCAAAACGCAATTTTTTGATTTCGATTTTCTCGAGTTTGGCTGGAAGTGCGATTTATTTTGCTGAAGATCTTATATTTACATGATCTTTCTATATAAAAATTTTGAAGTTAATCAGAGCGGGGCAGGTCGGGTACTTTCATTGTTACCTTGTTAGCGTTTCAGCTCCAGAGCTTCCTAGTCTCAAATTTTAAAATTTTGTTATTTTTGCAAAATGATTCTTGCCCTAAAGATGTTATTAAAGCCATGTAAAACATCCAAAACCCGCTGTAAAACAATAAAATTTAATGTCACTCCATGCATTATGCATAAAAGTAAATTTAAATATAAATTGCTGTTAACACTCAAATGTCATGTCATTTTATATGGTGATTAAAGTCACAGTATATAAAGCGTAATGACATCAATTTGTCTCATTGTTCAAAATGAAGCTTTTATTGGTTTTTATGGTTACCGTTCCTTTTGTAAGTTACTGTGACGTTTTTTAAAATAAAAATTTTGTTCTATCGTTAATCTTCCCAAAATTTTTTTAAAATTAAGAAAAATATGTTATAGGTCTATTGTGACGATGATAAGCTAAAGAAGGTCTTAATAGGCTTGCTCAACTACTACCGGATCAACGTATCATACGAAATCGCCAATGAACACTTGTTACAGTACGAAGAGGACGTATGTGCAAAATAACGACTTATTTTCTAGCCCTTTACGTTAACTCTATAATAGCCATAGCCTTAGTTCTACCTCTTAGCGCTAGCCTTAGCCTTAGTCTTATTACCCCCTAGATCTATTTCACGGCTCTTACCCTAGCCTTTGCCTTAGCCCTCACCTCGACCCTAGCCCCCCAGGTTTAACACCAGCTTAAAACGTTTAAAAAATGCTTTAATATACCTAATTAAGGCGGTAAAACTTGGAGAAAAGTACAATGTGTATGATCAAATGTCGGTTCTTCTAGAACGCGCCAATGATAATATTATAGCTCTGCCACCTAACAAGTATCAAGGAAAACATTTCGATAAAGCCCTGGAGTCTCTGGTTGAACTACGAGACTTACTGGAGGCTAAAGCTAATGATGTTGAGCTACATTACATTGATTTCATAATTGATCTGCTCAGCGTTTTAAACCCGGTAAGATTGAACTAAAAATTAAAGGAATGGTTTAGTAAATCGAGCTAAATATGCGTTTCTAAGTTGGCATTCCTAAAAATTAATAACTCCAACTAACCATTAAAGAGTCATTAATAATATATTAATTTCTTAACTATTACCAGAGCCGCACCGTTTTGTCAGAACACACCATGATTGAGACCATACTAAAAGCGGCCGAAATCAACGTGTCCAAGTTCACAATCAACACCTTTATGCCCAACCTAATCCTAGAATGCTACCAAGACGGATCCAAACACGGTGTCAATCCGCACGACCTTCTCAACGATGTCAGACTACTTCTTCACCGTAACGATCAACAACACCCGCTCAGTACTGGTCTTCGTTTGTTGATTGGAAAACTTATTGATCTTGATCAGGCGGTTCATCCAAAAAGGAATGGCTTTGTTGGCAGAAGAGTTTTGCGCCAAATTTTGGACATATTAGCCTTGGCTAAGTCGCGACAAGACGATCGTATTCTCGATGACCTAACGGACAATGGCTTGACTATATTTGAGCAGCTGGTCGATAATTTGAAAGACTTGAAGACTGAACTTCTCCGTCGTGTTTGAATCATATTTTTGGCAATAAATTGAAATTTTAATAGCATTAAACCCTAATTTGATTATTTTTTCTAAACTAAAACACATATTTTGAAGTTTTTTCTTATTTTCTTAGTACATCCTGTAAGAAAAGTGCTATAATTAGGCCTAAAAAGAGCAACCAAATCTTGAGGCCCCCTTTCAGTTTTAGCTATAATAGTTAAGAGCCATTACACTTACATTCGGTTTAAAAGTGTTAACAACAGCTTCGCCATTTGCACTTTCTTCATGTTGGCCAAAGAACATTCCTTGAAAATAAGGCGAAGAAGGACCAACAATAACTTTATGTACTGGTATACGAATGGTCTCTTCTCCTTCGTATTCACAGACAAAAGTGAAGTCGCTGTATTTCTCGTCCATGAACATTTTTGATGCTTGGAACTTAAATAGTTTTTGAGTTTATAGTTGTAGTCTTTTATAACGTTGTATTTTTATCTAGTTTTAGTCTTTTATAATGTTCTATGCTTATCTAGTTTTAGTCTTTTACAATGTTCTATGCTTATGTAAGTTTTCTAACCTATATACAGGGTGCGCCAAAATTACTGTTACAAAACATAAAACAGAACTTTTGGCGCACCCTGTATTGACTCATTAAAAAGTTACTTTATTTTCTGGCTGATTTCGGTTCGATCTTCGCCCTTCTCCATTTTCAGCTTCATTGCGTTCGGTTGAGAATAAAAATTCAACACCACATTCTAGGCTACCTGGAACCGAAACGGCAGCGTACTGAAATCAAAAATTCTTGTAAAATAATAACGATAAACCTCAACAAATGTAAATTAACATCGATAAACCTTTTAACATTAACAAAGAAGATGTTTAAACATAAATTTAACACGTAAAAAAGCTTACCAATGCTTCGCCATTGTCAACTTTCTCCATTCGTAACATGTTGTTGGACAAGGGATTCCGAGAATCAAATCGAGAATCCCTCACGGACGCGATACGTACGTGAACTTTCTGCCATGCTGGTGAGATAGGTTGGATTTTAAAACCAATGCGTTTGTACTATAATTGTAACATTTATCTTCAATTAGACATGAGAAACTGGCCGGCCTTGAGCAAGATTTCGATCGGGCCGGGCCTGAGCAAAATTTCGATCCGGATATGAAAAATGGGTCCGGCCCGTTTTCCATGTCTACTTCAATATCACCCAGTGCAAAACCACAGGTTAATTAAGTTTTTTTACCAAAAAATAAGTAAACATAACTTACTCCACGGTTATATTCAATCAGTAAAGTCGTAGTAAACTGTGGACTGTCTTTAAAAGCGTCCACTTGAAGCTCCATTTCAACATTTTCACGCTGAGTGACGGTTAGAGGAACCCGCTTTGTGATTTGAGTACGCTCTCTGTTGAACTCAGCACGACGAATAGCTTCACGCTCCTGAAGAAAATTTTCTTCCATCTGAGGTTGTACTTCTCCCCATCTTCTTTGCCGAGCGTCTCTGTGTCTCCAGTTACCTGCTTCAGGTTGCCGAGCGTCTCCGCGTCTCCAGTTACCTGCTTCAGGAAAGGCATTATTGTGAAATGGTTCATCTAAAAATTGCGCTGGGTCTACGTCGTTCCATTCACCTTCCATTTTTTAATCTAAACTAATTTTTATTATGAATAGATTTGATATCTTATAACCTAAACGATGGCTCATCTAATTTAAAAAGCAAAGAAACGAGATTTATAGATTTATCGAAAAAAAATTTCGTCTTTGGAACAGAATGCCAAACCTTTTTTCGTTTCGCTAATTTTCCGCGGCTTTTAAAAAAATCTTTATTTGAAAAAAAGCTAGCCTCACTATTAACAAATCATTTGTTCACAATAAAAATTGTAGTCGTCTTTCTTTAATGTACTACAAACGAATTACACTGGAACCTCTAAATCGCTTGAAGATTAAAAATTTGTTCATTATAAGGCAGTTTTTTACATGAAGTCTCAACTTTTATCATTATACAATAAAAAAACACAGAGAATAAGCAAAAATAAAAAATTTCTAAATAATTTAACCGCAATATAGAGAAAACGACCGATAAAGTTTTGTAACAGAACTTTTGGCGCACCCTGTAATATACAATAATTTTAAATGTGCTGCATAGTGGTAGACGGGGCTCAAAACTTGTGGGTTACACGGAAATTCCGTTAACGAGGAGTTTGTTACACTCAAATTTCTAATGTATACAAAAATAGAATTTGAAAAGATTAAATATATGATAAAAAGACCTTAAGATAGAGCAGTCTCAAAAGAACAAATGAATCAGATTTATTTATATTCTTTAGACAGAACAGCTGGTATCAAAATTGGGGGTGGTAGGTCGAGAGTTTGGCGTTTCAAAACAACTCGACAATTGTTTCACGTGACGTTTCGAAAGTCTTGAAACCTAATTGGTATGGCATTTTTAAGAACAGCCATACTTAGCTTTGCGAGGATTTTTTGATAAAAAATCAAAATTTACATAAAATTTTTAAACAATTTTGGTGTGTAACTCCTCTATAACGAAATATATGTACAGTGGCGGCAATAAAAACATACGGTTTTGGGTAAAACTTTCCTGAAACTAAAAAAATAAGGCTTAAAATATTTGTGATTTTACAATATCCTTTTTGTCAACAAAATTGAAAAAAAAAATTTTGTTGATTCAAAAAAGTTACAGTAATTCTACCGTACCCTATACTTCCTAAGTATGTGCATAATTTTTTTGAAGTACGTTTTAAGAGCATAAAAAGTTGTACAACTTCTGAAAGTTTTCATATTGCATCTCCTATGGTAAAAGAGTTAAAGATTTTTTAAATTTAAAAAACCTCAGATTTTTCAAGCGGAATTGAACTTTTTTGGGTTTTGAACATTTTTAAATAAATTTTTAAATCAATAACTCATGAACAAAAACCAATTGAAAGATAAAACAACTTACTCAAAACCGTCGTGTCCCATTTTTCATTGCCGCCACTGTATAACGAGCAACTTTTGAATCCTTGGCCAACACTGCACAGTGTATCTACAACTCCTCTATACCGAACTTCCTTCATGAAGAACAATTTTTATGTTATTCACACGAGCGATTTGTTATACAAGTTCTACTGTAGACTACACAGCTTTTTCGCAAAATTTTTTAAAAGTTGGTTCCTTTCCTTATCTCCCATTGCCCTGCCCTGAAATTCCATTGTATAGATTTCTTAGTTCCTTAATAAAAACTATTTTTATGAGTAAAAAGTAAACTCACTTTGCCGTCGTACACAAACTATAAATCGTTATTTAACACAACACATAATACGATGGAGTTATGGAGATTTTGGAACGACCTTCTGATAGGTCAAGTTTTTTTTACTCTTTTCTAATTCACAAAGGTATTGAATTTTAATATCAACATTTCACAAATTATTTTTTTTTAACAACCACGAACGTACCACAGCAACGGCCAAGCATCAACTTACCTACATTAAGTTTACCCAATTTTTTTTTGTTGGATGATTATGAATATCTGCGAGTGCTTTGAATTGTTGGAGTTGATCGAGTATATCTTAGCCTTCTTGCAGTACTAAGTAGATATCCGATGATTCTTGTTTTGTAAAATTGTCAAACACTATCTTCTCCTGTGCGTATTCTTCCTCGTTTGATGAGCTTAGACCGGCCAACAAGTCCTCCCACTCTTGGAGGTATTTAATTACATTGGCTGTGGATTTTGTTAACTTGGAAATTTGTAACTCAGCGTTGTTTATGTATTCAGGAGGTGTGATGTCGGAGTCTGCTGTGTATTTAGGGAGGATAGCTTCGTTTATCTGTCTGGATAGGTGAGTGATGGATGGTCCCATGCCACGTCTGATGTGTCCGCTGCGGGACTTGAGTTTTGGAGGAGGATCTGCGGCCATTGTAAGAGGGGAGTACGTAAGGTTTCAGTGTTTGTAGTAGTAGATTTGGCGTTCGGCTTCTGTTGTTAATTCTGAGCACCCATGTAAGAAATAACAACAAATTAGATTAATATAGGACACAATTATAAAATATTCCAAATTAATATTATATATATATTTACTTTAGTAGTAATATACGGTAATATAGTAAATAGTAGTACAACAAAGTAGAATAGGTTAGTATTAAAGAAGTAGTGGTTAGAAATGTAGCTTTTGGAAGTGATGCTTTTACCCGGAACTAACGTCCCTTTTTATAGTAACTTCAGATGTTTTTTATGGCTGTAAAAAGGGCGGGTTTTTGTTAGTCGAACGGTTTGATTAAAAGGTCACTTAACAAATTGTAATTTGATTTGTCAATAACAAGGTCATTGTGTAAAACAACATTCAAACTAAAAATAGGTTTCAGTGCACTTTGCACATTATAGACATTTTGAAACGACCTTCTGATAGGTCGTTCGCCACCAAACTGTACTGATCGGACCTTACGGCGGGGCCTACCCCAACTGTTCAATACGAATTAAATTACGTCAAAATTTAACAGTAAATCCAAATATAACATAGCAAGGTAAACTACCTCAAAATTAACAATTGTATTACATATTTACCAATTGTATTATAAGTATCCATTGTATTACGAAACATTTACTCTTTTCTAATTCACAAAGATATTAAATGTAAATATCAACATTTCACAAATTATTTAATTACGTGATTTATGTAATCGCCATAACCTATGTTTACCTTTATGTGATATCCTTTCAACGTTACCTTTATAGCAAATGATGTACTAAGAACTTTGCGTTAAAGCCATCTAGTGTATAGAATACAGATGTTTGTAACATAAAAGTAGGCGAAATGTGAGCCAAATTTCAAAATTTGCCAAAATTACGACACTTTTTTAAAAGAATAAAGACAATTGTCCGGGTTACATGTTATAAACTGATAATCTTTCTAAAATATTTTGTAAAATAAAAAATAATAAGTTACTCAAACTTAACAATTTCACATCAGTTGGTTTTCGTATTTTTCTTACGAAATATCCTGTCCCAGTTTTTTGTTTATCGGCTTCGGTTGGCGACTTGTCTACAAGTTTTATCTGGGCAAGCATCAGCGACCTGTTCAGTGAGGACTTAAATCGCGGTAATTCGAAAGGAATATTCAATCTGTAATATTACGAATTTTTTAATATTTTTTTGACAATCCCTCAGACTCCCTGCCTTCTTGTTCGGAAGACGGCCGGATCGATCCGGACTGCTGATAACCTTGGCCTTTTATACAAATTTTGTATTCTTTAAAGTAACTCTGTAGGAATACCCATGTAAAACAATAGGTCGTTTTTACGCTACACAAACCATAAATTGTTATTTAAAACTACGGCGGTAAAAATAATAATCCCAACGACCCTTTTCTTCACAACTGAGCTGATTGTAGCACACGTTGTACTCTGTGGAATATTCAGATAGTACGTGTGGTTTTAAACTATGACAATTGGTAAGTAAAAATGTTGCTAGTTTCACTTAAACTTACGCTTGATGTGCTAGTATTCCAAGTGATGTTGGTTACGTAATTCGCTACCATTATTCTCTTTGAAAATCCCTGTAATTGACATGATTCAGTGTAAAATTACTTACGATACCATGTAGCAAAATTCTGGTGTCTGATGCTGTCCAAGTACGTTTTTTATGCAAAAGTGAGTATTACGATATAACTACTCTTTAAGACGAAATTTGAAACTCGAATATTATTAAAACTTAAAGATAAAATTTTTATTACGATATTAGTTTAGTGGAATAAAAACAATCTCTATATGCTTTGTTCCAATTTCACAGTTTTTTAAAAGATTTAATGTCATGTAGACTACATTTACCAGTCTAATTACGGACTTGTGGAATTGGCAATTGCTGACGGCAAATTTTGAACTAAAAACTTTGAAGTTTTTAACATTTCTAGAGAAGATTCTGTTGCAAAATGGTGTCAGCTACAGTTTCCAGACCATACCTGAACAGAACAAATGGTTTCCAGACCAGTAGTTCTGTTCCGGTACCCCTGAGGTTAAAAAGGCTGCAAAATCCATCAGAACGAACATCAGCGACTTACGGGATCGTCGATGGTGACAGTTGAACCAACTCGTGAAATAGCTTCGGTTAGTTTCAGCCAATGGGCCTTTTACGAATAGATGCTTCAGTGACAAAGAACTCTTTACCCTGTTTAAGTCACCGTTATCTTTGACCACAGATTGGACGTTGATTCCACCTCTAACGTGCAGGACTTGTGTTACGGGTAGTACTATAATGTTTTTTGGAGACAACCAAGAACCAACTTTGCTACAAAAATTAAAACGGTGTTGTGTTCGCATTGTCACAAGCGGTGAGATTGGCACTACGTAGAGTTTGTCACACACTAGTTGGCTTTGACAGGGTTGTCGCGAAGTTGCGAGTTAAGAAATACAAAAACATGTTTACAAAAATATAGAACCGATCCAGAACAAAGAAGGTCTTTTTTATCTTGCAAAAACTGTTTATAGTTAGGCCGATTTGGCCAAAAAATGAGAAGTCTCCAACCAACTAGACCGCGGATCGGTCGTATTTTATATTTTTGGATAAATAAATATTTTATATACTGTAACTTTAGCTAATACTACTCATATTCATAATAATTTATGACAGGGTACACCGCTTGATGTTTACTCAGCGTGCCAATACAACATTCGTGCTTCAATTCAGTTTTTCAACGTCACTTAAAGGCCTGTTGTTGTCTATAAAAGATCGGAATAGTTGGATGAAGTTGTTATAGTTGGATGGCGTACCATGGAAGACGGTGATGGTAATGCTTGAGAGGTGAACTGGGCGGTGCGTGATGTTCGGTGCGCTAATGTTTGTGTTTGTTGTCATATCTAGTGTGTTATAAGTGTTTATTGTCGTATCTAGTGTGTTATACGACAAATATGCAAGGTTGAGTTCTTCCCACAGTGTCGATAATTCATTCTCTGCTTCAGTCAATTTCAAAATGAACTGGTTTTGGTCTTAGAACGTAGTAAGTGCCTTATTTTCTTCTTCAAACTCCTTTTTACGATATTCGGCGGCCAATCTATCTAGTATTTGTTTCCATTCATCCAAGTAGCTGTTGATTCTATTTATTGTCTTTTAAAGCTTCTTTTCTAGGTTCCGCCCTCAAAAATCGCAATACGAACCGGCATTCATGTTTTTACGCCATTTTTTGACATTCCTTCGTAGTAAGATCCGGCGGATTTTACTACGATTTCTCTAACATGCGGATTTCCATTTAAAGCCGTCTCCTGCATTACGGTGGATGATTGTAGTTTGCATAGGAATTCAGAAGATATTATACATATTCAAAAATTCAGGAGATACGTATTCAACGGTATTCTTTTTGTAGATCGTAATGTCCCTCATTATGCCGGGTTCGTTGATTTGTTTATAGAAATTACAAGTCGGTACGTCGCACGTCGAGCCAGAATATAGGGAATGTTTCATTTCAATTTGTCAAATGGCTTCTTTTAAGAGAAAAATCAAATGTTTTCTAAAAAAAGCAATTGCCTATTGTAATGCTTCCTATCTCAAAAATGCATAGTTTTTGTAAACTTATACAAACTGGGGATATTCTTTTGAGCTTTAGCACGTCGAGCCAAAATATAGCGAATAATTTTGTTGCATTTGTGGCGATCCGTTCGATCTCGATTCGCGTAAAAAGGAAAGAGCGCAGACAAAAAAGCGAACGAGAGAACCGAAAACAGAAAGAGCTCCCACGCAGCCAAAAAGAGAGCGGTCAGACATTTATCCGATAGTCTTATAAAGGGGAAAAGACGAATCGCCACAAATTCAATGCGGATTTTGGCTCGACGTGCGTCGGGTATTGTCCAGAGAGCCTTTGCACGTCAAGTCGAAATAAAACAAAACGCGGACTTAACCGTTTTTTCACAATTCGTCGCAATCAATAGTTGCGAATAGTTGTTTTCGAAAAGAAAAAGATTTTTTTCTCGAATAATTTTTTAGTTGCCGGTCAAAAAGTAAATAGAAAAGTCAATTAAGACAGCCATATTAAGAAATAAAAATTCTACTTATTTTTTTGACCTAATTAGCATAATACAACGTTCTAAGCGACCAAAAGACCGGAATTATTTCCAACCGCAAAACAAAAAATATAATTTTATTTTTTGTGACATTCCGATTTTTCGACCCGATAACAAAGTGACAAAGCATCTTAGTCCGCTGTCAACTTGACGTGCATTGTGTTTCCATGGCAAACCTTTAGTTGGCCGAATTCACCTTGAATGAGACTAATCACTATCAAGAAGATTGTAGTGTAATCGATTTTTCGTGCTCCCTGGACGAGGAGGTACTTCGGTGTTTGGCTTTTGTTCCTTTTAGAGTTCTTGTTTGGTTTTTTAACCCATACGTTCGTCGTTGGATACATCTCTCTCCTCAAGAGGAAACGAGATATCAACGGCTCTGATGGCCGTCTTTCGGTTGGGGAATACTATTACGCAGTCGCGAACTTCGTTGTTCACTCATAATTCTGGCTAATTTCCACTCTTGCCGTTCTCAGTTTGAGGTCGATAAATCACCGGTTGTGGCAATACGAACACAACAACCGGTAACTTTGGTTGGCACCGCTCTGATATTTCTATAAGCTATAAATTTCCTTATTTTACGATTACTATTCGTATTTGTGAGTAGCCAGAGAAAAGATTGGTATGCTGTATAATTCAGAATTAAGTAGCTGATCAAACTAATTACGATCGCAAGTCTTTTGCGTGTAGGGGGGATGGCTACGGTCCCGTACCTGAAGGCAATGCAGCCAAAGGCAACGCATAACGGTCGTGAGTATCCTGGGGCCTATACCTAGTTCAGTGTTGGTATGCTAGATGGGGCCTATATCTAGTCCTGTCCAAGTTTATTGTGTGTTGTAATAACCCTGACCGGGTTCTATCCAAACAAGTTCATGATTTCTCGTAAATTCATTCCCTCGGATGATTCCTTCCAAGAGCGTTATATGTTAACTACGCTTTAAACGTACCTCGATAGCAAGAAGTAGTACGGCATCGAGTTCATTGTCAATATATAGAAAAACCATTAGTTTTAGTTTGCAATATATCTATATTATAGTATATAAAGAATAGTATTTAATGCTATAACAAGCATACTATTTGTAGTATATAAAAACAGCTATAACTAGCAATAGACGTTAAATAACAAAAAAACACGAGAGATAGCCCCCAGGGATCAAGAAACTACGTAAAAAATCACGTTTTAAGTAAAAGAGTTACTGTAAATTAAAAAGTTTTTAAAAACTTACGAGTGTTTCCGTTGCGTGATAAATTTCTAGTATTATAAATAGGATTATAAGTATTATATATAGCATTATAAGTATTATATATAGCATTATAAGTATTATATATAGCATTATATGTATTATATATAGCATTATATGTATTATATATAGTATTATAGGTAAAATATGTAGCATTATATAGTAGTATATATGAGTATTAGATATATTATATATAGCATTATATGTATTATATATAAAAAGTAGGTAACTACTAATCATTAAAAAGGTAATATAAAACAAAATTATAAAATAACCCTTCATTACATATAAACATTTACCCTTTCAACCCTTTATTATAAATCTTTATCCTTCCAACCCCTTTATTAACCCACAAAAATCAAAAAACCAAGTATCAGTTAGCTTCATATAAAAACGAATAGAAAAATAGATGCCAAGTATAACACATTTATCTATTTTTCTACCGAACTGTCGCTTAATGTTTCAATGAAAAATGTTGACAATAAACTTGCGAGGCCTCGCAGTCAATTGCGTTATACTTTTGCCTGTTTTGCTTTAAATAATAACTTGAGGTAAAGCAAGGCAAATAATATAAGTTACTACCAAGGACGGTAGAGTAGAGGAGAGCGGGGTAGAGTAGGGCAGGGTAGGGTAGAGTAATGTAGAGTAGGGTAGAGAAAGGAAGAGTAGGATTAGGTAGTATAGAGTAGGGAGAGATAAGGTCAGTAAAGCAGGGTAAGGTAGAGAAGAGTAGGGTATAGTAAGGGAAAGTGGGATAAGGTAGGGAAGAGTAAGGTCAAGTAGGGTATGGAAAAGAAGGGTAAGGAGTGGAAGGGCAATATAGTATAAAGTACCTATCTCTAAACCAAAAAAAAACTAGTTTCCACCCCCCCCTCATACAAATAGTATCAACAACAAAGCTTACCATATATAGGCCTGACCCAAACAAATTTGAAAGATGCCAGGTCGTGCGGGCCCGAAGGCTTGGCCCAGTCCTTCTTACAGGTCTACTACCCACAGTAAATGCCTAAACTTTTTTACTTTTACTCTACTTTTCCTTCATTAATACCACACTATACCTTACTAATCACTCCACAAAACAACACGACACACATATATAATAATAAAACTGCACAGTAAAACAACTTGTTAAGATCAACAAACATCAATCATTGCCAGTGAGTCAAGATATTCAAATTTATTCGCTCATAAATATATCTATTTACTTAATATAATTGAACAGAAATTCGTTGCAACACTTTTATACATCAATGTTTCACAGTTTGAGATTTTAGGGTTCACTTTCGGAGATGCTAGCGACTTGGATGCGGAGCGGTCGTTCCATGCGGCGGAACGTGTTGGCGGTTTCCTTTTGGAGGCGGCGTTGGTCCTTGTTGCGGATGACGCGCTTCTCGTCTTCGGTTGGGACTTTGCGCTCTTCTTGCGAATCACTGAAATTCAAATTTTAAATGTTTTGTATTATGTATAAATCTATATAAATTGTTAAATAATGTTTGAGGTGAGAAGATTGCGACCAAAAGAAAATGCTGAGAATAGTATATTAAAGTAGATCAGAGCAGAGTTTGATAATACAGAGTAGAACACAAAAAGGATAAGAAAGATAGCGAAAGACAAAACCGGGTAAGACAGAGTAGATTAGAGTAGAACAGAATTTGATAAAGCAGAGTAGGGTATGCAAAGACTAGGTAAGAGCAAAGTATGGTATGGACAATTAAGGCACGGTTGGGTAGAGTAGAGTAAGGAAAAGTAGAACAAAGCAAGGTATGATATAGTAAAGTAGAGTAAAGTAAAGCAGGGTAGAGTTTAGTGAGTTAGAAAGTAAAGTAAGCTAGGGAGTCGAAAAAAGTAAGGCAGTATAATAGAGAAGGATAAGGTAGAGCAGGGTAAAGCAGAATAAAGTAATGACTAACTAAAGAATGTTACCAATTAGCTCACTCCAAGCAAAAAAATCTAGTTACAAAATTTTCCCCTCCCAAATCAAAATGTTTTTAAACCTAACTGCCTTCCCTCATAACCCCCCCCAGAACTCCATCTCACGCCTTCGGCTCACCTCCCTTGAGCTCAAACTCACTCCTCCCTTCAAACCCACGCCCACAATTGGATTAATCAAGCTCCATATCCACACCCTAGCTCAAACCCTAAACTCATACCATACCGCAACTCAAAAACGCAAAACTTTCATACCACACCCTAGCTCAAAACCCCAACTTCTATCCCTTTCTTACCGAACATAGACCAATTTGCCATTGATATTCTCCAGATCCAAGTCCTCTCCGAACTCCACCGTCTCTATTAGCTCACTGATCGGCTTCGAGAACGGGTATCGAGCACAATGGTCGTCTTTGGCGGGAAATATTTTTGAGAATTCGACCCTTTCCACCGGTATTCCCGTTCGTTCCGCAATCTTGTACCTCAAGTTCTTGACGAACAGTTGGGGTTCTTCCAATGGGATGTAAACTTCGAACATTGGGAGGGTTTCGAAAGTTTCAGGACACCATCGTTGGACCATTATGACAATTGTGCATTCCAGTTCTTCGGGCGACGCTTCTTCCAGTTGAGTTAGGATTTTTTTGTCTGAAAATGGCAGAAATAAAAAAAATTCCGAAAAGCTTCAATTCCAATTTAAATTTCAAAAAATTTCAATTTTGAAAAAAATTTTTTTAGCCCTCCCCCCTTTCGTCTCCCCGCCTTTCAAAAAAAGCAGAAAAACATAACCACCACAACCCAAATATTCAAAATTTCTTTTAAAATTTTTTTGTCATTTTCAAAAAAATTTTTTTACCCCCTCCCCTTCTCTACACCACGCCCTTCAAAACTCCAAAAACCCTACCATCCAAAACCTGTAGAAACAGCTTCTTATCCAACGAAACCGGGTATGAGTTGGGTAGGACTGGTGCACAATCGTCGGCCAATACTCGTAGCTTCAACTGCCTTAGGGTATACTCTTCCGAGTAGACTTCCTTCAACAGCGCCTGACACTTCATCAGCAAATGTTCGACCGGTGATGTTTTATCGTAGGTGACATCGAATAGGACTTGTCGTTTGTCAATGTTGGGCTCGCCCGTGATATATTGATGAATGTTGAGGACGATTTCGCCTTGTCGTGGCATTAGTCGTGGTCGTACTTCGACTCGATGTAGATCTCGCATCACGTCGCGGACTAGGTCGCTTTGGTTCGGTCGTATTACGTAGCCACACGCGTCTTCGGCCGTGTACTTCCAGAACTCGACTTGGTTCGAGGGGAGTTTGATTTGATGTGATACCCAATCTTGCAACTGGCATACCGGCATTCTTTTGTCGACATTGAGTTGGAGTACTGAAAAATAGAAAATAAACTCTTGAAAGCACAGAATTAGTTAAACGACTTAATACAGAGAGCTCTACTCTACCCTAAGTCATCACCACACAACCTCCTACCCACCCTCTCCTTCCAAACTTACAAGTAGCACCATTAGCATCGAACCTCTTACTCTTCACCTCAATCATCCTCTCCACCTCACTATTGCCGTTCTTCACAAATCCACCTTCACCCGATGACGTAGGTATGTCCGTGGGTAGATCATCAATCTGTTGATACGATGGTGGTGATGAGATGATTTCATCCGACCATGACGCGTCCGACCCTCTGGCATTACACTGGCCTTTTAGTGAAGCGTCGTCGTCACTCTCCTCTAGGTTATACTGTTTTAGGTTTTCGGCCGTTAATGGAATTCCAACCGCTTCTTCGTACGATGGTAAGCCGTAGTCGTAGGCATAAGCGTCTGTTATGCTGACTTCCGGTGGTTGGTGGTCCCAGCTGTCGTATGATGGTGGTACTGATGCCGACTGGGATTGGGTTTCTGAATCGCCTAGCAAGAATTCCGTGTCTTCCGGGATTACCGTGTCTTTTAGCTCTGAAATTCAAAATTTTTGTTGTGGTGAAATATGTTATTTGGCTTAAAAACAATATTTAAATTTACAAAAAATAAAAAAAAACCGCTATACAAACTCAAAAACCGCCTTAAAATTATCAAAATCCGTCTTCAAACCCCAAAAGCCCCTCAAACCCATCATCACCCTCATCTTACCCAAGCTCTTCGAGCAAACCGCCTCGTCAGCCATTTCCAGCGAGTTCCTCTTATCATCGTTGTTACTCGGAGCCGATGAGTAAGTCGAGGAAGCTGATAGTGGAGTCGATGATGACGATCCTTGTACTTCACTCTTCAACGTTGACCCTTCCAGGAAGCTAACATTTGGTGTATCGCGAGTATCCGTCGGTACTGTAGCATCCCAGTTAGTGAAAACATCATTGTCGGCGGCTTCGTTGATTACTGAAGGGCATGGAGTCGAGGATGAGTTTGTATCTTCATTTAGGTCTGACACCGAGAAGGGTTTTCCATCGCCACGTTGGATTGCGAACGGTGAAGCGATTGGTGAGCGGGCGCCGTTCCTGCACATTATTGGTGGGAACACTCCGAGGCGACAGTAGTCATCTGAAATGGCAAGAAATTAGTTTTAAAATCATTTAGGTTCCATTAAATAACAAAGAATTCCATTTACTAAAGTAAAAAAGTCTTGTAATTTTTCACTGTACAAATACATAGAAATCGACGACAAAACATTAAAAATCCTTAAAACTGCTTTTCATTCAAAAAAGTTTTAAATATTCACATATAATGCTTGTCCTACAACATAAATTCTTTTTTTAAAGCTAAAATGGTTTTTCCATCAAAACCTACTCAAAGAAGGTAGGTGAAGTAGAAGTGGAATTTGATATAAGTGATTCTCCATTATTTTCAACATTTCCGACTTTGCGAACGGTCGAGCACGGTCGTTTTTCAGGCTCTGTGTTGGGCCTACATCAACGTACAACTGAAAAATAAAAATTTATTGCCTAAAAATTTAATTTCGACCTATTTTAATATCATTTTCCGTTCTAAAATAGTCAAAAACCCTTGGATTTCAACCAGCCTTCAAAATTAAAAAAAAAACTTAGTTTAACCAACTACAATAGACCAGTTTCTTCTAAAAATAGCCCAAAACCCCTAACTTCGAACCCAAAATTCATCGCATAAGCTGCCCTTCCTATCTGCCTCCCTCTTCCCTCCCATCGCACTTACCTGCGGATTCGTCCTGTACTGCCGTGTCAACTTATTAAACGGAGTATTAGCTTGATCCAACAACTTGATATTAGTGTCGTCATGATTCTGACTATAAATAATTCGCAGGTTCACCGGGTCAGCTTGGCCTATTCGTTCAATGGCACACAAATGGCCTCGGATCTCTTCGATCGTGGCTTCCGGATCGAAGGCTACACGTTTCACGGGGTAGACGGCACGTTGTTCGAGGTCGATCAGCCACACATCGGCCGTTTGAGAGTTTGGTGGGATTTCGTAAAAGTGGGCTCGCTCCAGAGAATCGACCATAATGTAGCATTCGGCTGGGCATGAACCCCAACGGCTAGCTGGTTTTAGGTGGTATAAAGGCTGAAAATAGCAGTTTTTAAAATCTTATTTAATTTTTATTTAAAATTTGAAAATAAAAAACTTTTCTAAAACTTCCATTTTTACCTACTATAACATACCTTTCTGCCCTATGATAACCTTAAAAACGCCTTTTATAAAGCAAAATAATTTTTTTTCTAAACTTCGATTTTGACCTACTACAATATACCTTTCAGCCCCAAAAATGGCCCAAAACCGCAAACTTATACCAACTTTCTTCCTCTCCTCTTTCCTATCCATTTCCTCTTCAATCACCTCACAATCTTACCGGTTTCCCCTCAATTTCCTTGTCCAACTCCTTGATCATGGCGAAATCCGGCTTGCACTCGACCAATCGGCTGTCTCTAGTCAAATCCGGGTACAAATCCAGCAATTTCTTCTTGATATCCTCGAAAGACGTCTCTTTGTGAATCATGACATCCTTTGGCTCGGTATGAATGTAGTGGAAGTCGTTACAGAGCACATTCACCTTTACCATGGACTTCTCTAGGGCCCGTCGTTCTTCTTTTTCCCGTTCTTCTCTTTCCATTTGTTCCTTGATGTTCTTTATGTGAGGTGGTAGATCGGGGGTGCTGATAAAGTGTTCGTTGCGTTTCTCGATTCGCCTGTACATGAGAAGATAGGCGTTGGAGTTGTTCATGCCGCCATAGCTAAAGGAACCGCCGAATGTGCGTTGGACTTCTTGATGCGAAGCAAAGTTGACGTTTGAGTCGTTGAAACACATCCATTTATGTTGGTCTAGATTTCTGAAAATAAAAAATAGTAACTTATCTAGTGTAATACAACGATATTGTGATTTAAAGACAAAAAATATTCAAAAAATCCACCGCTTAAAAAATTTTTTTACCCCGCCCAAAAGTTAAAACTGCTCTGTCACTGCCTTACCCTAAATATAATACAAATATAATAAAATCAAGAAAAGTGCCATAAATCCCTTAACGATAAAAATATAACAACAAGGCGCCCTAATACCTACTTGATATAAGCGTAGTAATGTCCTCCCGTTGCCGACCCTTGATGAACCATGACCGAAAACAATTCGTAGACATTGGGACCTTTTTCCAGCATCTTCTCTACGTCTTCCGAATCCGGAAGAATGTTGAACCAATCACCTTCGGGTTTGATTTCGGGTTCGGTTGGTACTGGGGATGGTCGCTTCTTGGCTACACTAGCCCACGACATTTTCGGCTTTTCTTCCGGCGGCTTATAAAGGTAGTCGTTAAGGTCGAGATAGTCGGGGAATGTAACACTAAAATGAATTATATTGTTTTAGGTAACAAAACAGATATTTTCAAAAAACTAAAAAAAAACTTTTTTTTAGCAAAAAAAATCAAAAATATCTTCTCCCAATTAGGAACAGAGCTACTGTACAGATTTTAGCTATACATGAGGAAAGGTAAGGGAATTTAAAATCACGCTTAATCACCTTACTCCCCTCCCTAGCTACGTCACTGCTATGAAAAAAAGCTTTTATTCTACCCCGCCCTCTCTCAAAATGCCCCTAAAAATGTGTATCCATGCGCTCTGTACACTATACCTTCCCTCGTGTTAAAATACTAATAATAAAAAAGTCTTGTCGTTTTTCACCCTGCAAAACAATGCAAATTGACGACATGTCTTTGTTAACCCCATGGTATTAAAAAAATCAACATTTGGCCCCCTCCCCGTAAAATGATCAAAAAACCTTCAAAAAAATATTAGCCCACCCCCGCCCTCCCTTAAGGAATGACAAAAAAAAAAACATCAAAACTCCCTTACCGATCGTTCAACTTGATCCGATGCATCGTATTATAATCGAAACTGAACCGTTTTAGTTGTACCACCAACATGTACGGAAACTTCGTGATTCCAAGACCTTTTTGTGCGTCCTGAAGTGAGTCGCACTTCTCGCATTTGTACTGGTTGTTGCCATTCAAAAGCTCTGGTTTGATAAAGCCTTTCATTGCTTCTTGCTGAAAAAAGATTGATTTAACTTGAATTTTCATTTTTTTATAGTGCTCTAGAGCTATTTTATGTTTATATAGTGCTAAAAATCTTTTTCATGTTTACATAATGATATAAACTAAAAAAGCTTAAAATCAAAAATTTTTTTTAATTTTAAAATTTTAAAAATTTCAAAAAAATGTCATTTTATCCTTCCATAACCCTTAAAATTCAAAAATATCACCATTCTTCCCCCGTCTATACCTAAAAACCTCAAAATCCCATAAAAACTTAATTTTCTTACCAAATTCTTATGACTTTCAACAGCACCATCCTCTCTAACGGCCAAAGGAAGATCCAGAAAGATGTCGTTCCTCGATTTTACTGTTTTACAATTCATACACTTCACATAGTCAATCACTTCTCCTTTAAACAACGTCTCTATTGAGCCTTTTAGAGGTGAATTAGCCCAGCGCTTCTCCAGCGCGTCGATCATTAAGCCTAGGAGTTCTTGAACATCGTGCTGGTCGTATACTAAAAGTATTTGATTAGAGCTATCTTAAAACAGAATATGATCAGCCGTTTCGAAGCTTTTATACTATAACCAGTCATTTTGCAGTTTTGATAGATTATCAGCCATTTCGCACCTTTAATACTACGATCATCCAATTCGAAGCTTTGATACCTAAAATCACAACAAAAAGCAAAGAATTACCTTCATTTTCCCAACCGAATGATTGAGTCAAATCCACCGTCTCCAATGTTAGTTTTTCGCTAGTTTGTAGTTGCAAAAATAGTTTTTGCAGTTGGAACGCTATATCTCTTGGGCTGGGTTTGCGTTCCACTCTGAAAGAAAAACATTACCTTATGATAAAATAGCATAATATCTAACAAAAGCTAGTATTTAACTAAAAATAAAGTAAAACACCTGATTATTGCCTAAAAATAAAATTTTAAAAAATTTATTTAAATTTTAAAAAATACTGAAAAATGAAAAGACCGTGACATACCTGTAAATAATGTTTCTGAACTCGGGAGTCATGTAAAGTGTTTGAATAAGTGAATTTAAGTAGCAGGTCATTGCTTGATTGACTAAACCAACATATCGGTGACCGTTCTCATCTTCATTCTGGTTATCGTATGCTACAGCTACAAAAATATTAATTACAAAGTAAATTCAGTAGAATATACATAATATCTTTACAAAATATAAGGTACGACAGTACCATCTTCAATTCGTAGACATTAAAGATGATGATGTCAAAAGTTATATCCAAAGCATAATAGTAGGAAAGGGGTTACTACTATGCTATATTCTACTAGTACTAAATGTATTTTAGTAACACAAACATTCAAGCTAGTATCACTCTACTTAATTAACATCCCCACTTCATCTAGAACATCCATTGTCTTAATACCATACTCCCCTAACAAGTACCAAACTCACAATTCGAGAACTCCGGCTCAGTAGCCTGTGAATAGCTGGGTGGTGCCGGTAGTGCCAATAGTGGTGGTGGTCCATGCATATTTTGGTCCAATGGTTCGTCCTCTGCGAACAATGGTCCAACAGCATCATCTTCCATTTGCGTTTCTTCGCTGACAGAAGGCAATTCTGCAGAAAAATCTAGATTAACATATAAAATTAATTGAAATCTATGATAAGGTAGTAAAAGTTATGTTAACATAAGGGTTTTCATATAAAAAACAATGTTAACATAAGCTAAATCACAATAAATATCTAAAAGTGTCAAAAAAGTATCAATTTATAGCTTATTCATCAACGTTCTTCTCAAAAAATGCCACTTTTTCAACGTTCCTTTAAACAAAATATCATTTTCCTCAACCCTCCTTTCATAAAATAGCCATTTTCAACAATACCCCTAAAGAATTCAAGCTCAAATCACAAAAAAAGTAACATAATAAGCCCAAGTTTCGTGATACAAATTCCAAATTTTCGTTTTGAACAAGTGTTTCGAGCATTTTTTATTCACGGCCAATCTATCTTTTCGTTTTTCGTGGAAGGAAAAGTACCTATATCACAAGTTTTCGCAATTATTTTTATTAAAATTCATTGGCTTTTTAATTTTAATAGTGTTTTAGATATTTTATCAGGCTCGAGTACATTGTTTTGATATTTTATTAGTCATAAGTATGTACTACGAACAAGATTTATACGTAGTAAAGGCAGATATCAATAGTTTGAGTAATCTAAAGCTTTGTAATAGCGTTTTAGCTAGACTACATTCTAAAAAGCCAGTAGTTACGATAAAACAAACCAGAATTCTACTGACAGTAAAAAAATACTTTTTCTGAGTTCCTGTGAGACAGTCAACTAAAACTGTTAATTTTCTTGAAATCCTGTAGTACAGTCTATCATCGTTACAAGAAACAATAAAAATGGTTATATTTTGTTTACTATAAGAAGAGTCGGTTATATGAAGTGTTCCATATAACGTCGTATCATTACATTTCATATAGAACAATTCATATAGACAACTCTCCTCATAATAAACAAAATATAGCCATTTTTATCGTTTCTTATAACGATGATCGACTGTACCACAGTATTTCAAGAAAATTAACAGTTTTAGTTGATTGTATCTCAGGAACTCCAGAAAAAAAAATATTTTTTTACTGTCAGTTGGATTCTGGTTTGTTTTGAAATAGCTACTGGTCTTTTTAAGGTTTAGCTAGGCTAAAGTTTTTTCTAAAAAAAGTACCTTCATGAAAAGGCCTTCAAAGTATCGTTATCCTCATAAAAATAACTTGAGTTTGTTTTTATACTTCCTCAATATAAAACAATTCTAAAAAATAACTTAAATTGTCGTTATTCTTCCCTTCTTAAAAATTAAAATTAGCCGTTTTCTTAGAAATAATGTCAGTTATTTTCTTGGTAATAAAATTATAGTTAAGCAGCAAAAAAAACTTGTTTACAAAGTAACATAGCAACCCAGACTACACATCTTTAGGTGAGTGGAATACAAATTTTGTTTTGTTTTGAAATGACAGGTTAAATGTGACTTTGTCTTTAAAGAAGTCACATAAAACCTGCCAATTACAGTGTTCACTAATATTATCATCCAACATTACTTTTCGTATTTTACCAAAAATCCTATTCCTAACTTTTACCACAATTTACACTACTTAAAAATATAATTTTACCAAAAGTTACCCTACCATGAGTGAGCGTGGTGAAGCGGTATATCACCGTAGTCCATAACATTTAGCAGACATTTGTTTTATTTTTAGCTTAACTCCTGTTTATTGAACAAACTTATCATCGCTTCCACTAATTGTTTACAACGTGTTTAAATTTATATTATAGTCTGCAAATCGATAATCTTGTTTTAGCTGGATTCAGACAAACATTAGCTGGATTCAAGTAAACCTTAGCTGAATCCAAATAAACCAACATTATCGATGCTCAGGGACGTCGCTACGGATTTTCTCTGGGGGAGGGGAGGTCGAAAAAAATTTTTTCGTCCACAGGTAGGTGGTACCTGTGGAATTTTTTTCGGATCGGCTCTGGGGGAGGGGGTACCCTCCTTACCCCCTCCCCCAAACGACGTCCCTGTCGATGCTCACTTCTTATTTGAAATTATATTAAAAGATATTGTGGTAGATTTGGAAAGTAAATTTAATAACGTTAATTCTTTATATTGTACTTGCTTTTTGGGTATTTCTTCATATTGTCTTTGTTTCTCTGCGTGTTTTTTGGCTATTTAAATTAGCAATATTTCTGTTTGACATTATTATAGTTAGTTTTTAAAGACTAATTTAAATATTGTTGTTCTTTGGTTTTTTGTCAGATTGTTACTTTCTTAAGCCTTAACTACACTATCTTTGCCTCCATAAACAATACTAGACAATCGCAGCTATCAAAACTTCCGTTTCACATTATTATACTATCTTCTTTGTATGTCTTCCCTCCTTTTAACCCCAAAAACATCTCGCACACGTGACACATCGTCAAATTATCATAAAAACCTCATTCCAAACATTAAATAATGGCCGTCCGAAAGCCTTTTGTTATCTCTAAACATTGAAAACAATACAAAAACGAAACTTACTAGTGTTCTCCTCCGTCCGCATCTTCTTGACTACAATCTGCGGCTGAAGATTGAAGGATCGTTTCGCCAGATTGTCAACTCTTCAACGATGGAGATTGTAGATGAATAATGGTTAAAAATTGAATGTTATTGGAACACTGAAAGCACGGAACGTCGGCGCCGTCTGAAAAAAAAAGAATTCCGGGATTAATTTTTGAGGAAGCTCCCACGACATTTTAATCCGCGTTGAGTTATTGCCAAGTGCTTCGACATTTCAAACGACACTTAAATACCCATTTGGTTGACGTTTTCGCAAAAAAAACTTCACGTGACATCAATATTTTCGCTATTACACTTGATGTATTGAACGTCAAGTGCAATATTGAAATTTTGGCATAAAAAGTGGTCAAAAAACTTCAAAAACTAAATTTAGACACTTCTTGTTACCTAAAAAAGCAAGAAATAAATAAAATTGTTCATCTTGACAAAAGTTTTGATTTAAACAAAAAATAATTAATTTTACTAAAAAATATAGAAAACCGCCAATACTTATGTAAAAATGACAAGTTAAATACTGTGTTCAAAATTCATGACGTAAATCCCCTTATTTGAGCCATGAATGACCAAGACAAGAGGTCCTCCAAGTCCCCATTTACACGAAAATAAAATATTGATGTGACTTGGCTTTCAAAGTTATAAATAGTCGATAATACTGAAAACCCCAAAAATTTGGACAAAACACAACATTTCTTACCTAAAATTCAACAGTTTTGTAAAATACAAGACCTTTCCTAGCCAATTCATCAATTTTCTTTTGATCGATTAACAAAATTCCACCTTCTTAAGCAATTTTAATTTAGGTAACACTTCCGATAAAATGTAACATTACGCCTTTTACTATCATTAAAAGAAGCCTCAAAAAAGTCAATAAATATTTGGTCGAGAAGGAGAACGGTTCGTTAATGTCGCGCAAAAAACACCTCAAACATGGATTGTCAAAAAATAACGGGAAAAACCGCAAATTCTACCCCCGTTACAGCTCAAAAATTCGTCTTTTTCAACTCATTTCCTGGCCTTTCGTAGGGTAATACAAACTATTCGCGTTAAGACATTGTGGCACGCTTAAAAGTTCAAAAAAATTGGGGCGAAACGTGAGAGAATCAAGCAAATGAACGTTCTTTTCCTCGAAACGCACAGCCGGACACCGTTGACTAGCGCCCGATGCTCGTATTTTTTGCGCAGCCTGCAGCGCTCGGATGGCCTATTTATTAATGCAGGCTGCGGAGTTGGGCCGCAGGTGAGGTCGAGAAATTCGGCGGAAAAATAAAAATTTCGCGCGGAATTTTAGAAATTTTGGTAATAAATCGGTTTTAAAATGCTTTTTTGTAGTAAAATCTTAACTTTTCAAATATTATAGTTTAAATATATAGTTTATTAGTATTTTTTGCTTTATATCTTGCAGAATTTTCTAAGTTTTGTTGGCTTAAAGTTAGCTTATTTCAGTATAACGTTGGGAAGGTGTGCGAAATATGGACGGACCGATCGACCCGGCTTTGTTGAAGAACCTGGAAAAGTTTGTAGAGTTGAGGAATGTTACTGAGGCTAACATATCAAAAGCTCATTTGGTTCGAGCCAAAATTGATCAAGATCTCGGACAAGTTGATCAAGGTAAGCTTTATTTTCTTGTTCTTTGAATTTTAGGCTTTTTTAGCGTTCTACTCAACTATTTTTGTTTGAAATGTTTTTAAAGGTGCTCTATAGAGTATGTTATCTCTATAGAACTGTTATTCAAGCTTACACTTGATTTAACACTTGATATTGTTCTAGATCAAATCGATGACCTGAAAGAGATGGTTAAGCGAGTCCAATGCTCGTTGGATGCTTCATCAACTACGTCTGATCAATTCTCTACAGTTGTGACGTCTTTCTTGAGTAATTTGAAGCAAACAGCCGAGATTTGTGAAAAGTTTGGGCCTTCTTTCGAAGGTCTGGCTACGATGGCCAGTATGTCAGAGCAAGTTTATGATTTGGAGCGGGTATTTGCTGATTACATTCATAAGATGGAAAAGTTTCGAAAAGGGATGGCGGAAGCGTGTGAAAGTGATGACAACGTTGATCTTAACGGAACGTATGTTGTTTTACATTAGTTTTTTTGGTTTAGGTTTGTTAGTGTTGGACATGGTAGGTGAAATGGAGTTTTTGGCTGTATTCTTTTGGGTTGACGTTTCATTTTGAATTTTTTAATAAGGATAAATGATTTTTATCGGTTTCTAGTTAGGACTTTGTGGAGACTTTATTAAATTGACTGATTTATCTTATGTTATACATCAAGGATCTCAAGTTTTACATTATTCCTGTTTTAGCTTTGGAATTTTAACCCTGCCGCCGGAAGTTCAACAAAAATACAACAAACAAACTGACAAGATCAGCAGGAAAGTTCTGGAAACTTCGAAACGTCTTCTATATTTTCAAAAGAAGCTTTATGCCTTGGAAAATGGGCAGATTTTGGCAGAAACCGAAGCCGACTTCACTGTAACTGTTGATGATGCAGCAGCACAAATTGAACATCTTGAACTTGAAGTCGAGGAGAATCGAACAGATGTTATAAAGTCTAGTCAACCAACTACTGATATTATCCATTCTTATGCCTCGAGTTTGGCAACGAATCAACCAAGAGGTATTAGGACTGTTGGAGCTACTGAACTGAAGAAAAAAGTGGATAAACCGGCTCCAGCTTCGACGAGTTTTAGTGTGCTAAGTCAGGATGACATATTGGATAGGATATTGACTCCGAAGAGGGTTACGGAGAGCAAGAATGTTAGAATTTCTCAACAGTCGCCTTCTGTCTTGCAGTTGGTTATTCAGTCTCAAGGTGGGTTTTTGGACGTTTTTTGGCTTTAATTGGGATTTCTTTGGTAGGGGTTGATAAATTTTTGTTTTTTTTTAATTGACTTTACTATTAGGTTGTTCACTTAATTATTCACTGGTAATTTTAAAGTTACTATGGGCGTATATTTTGGCGGAGTAATTTAAATTAAAAAATCGGAGAAAATGTTATTTTAGGTAAATGTACACACTTTTTTTAAATTAAAAAAATATATTTGTTTTTAGAAGCACAACCAGTACCACCTCCATCTTTGGTTCAAACGTCTCAATTTTCAGCTACTACAACACTTCAGAAGCCACCCGCTTCGCTGGGAACACCAGTTGTTCAAAAACAACCTTTAACTTCAACTAGGTAATTTTGGGTTTAAGTATTGTTTTATTATCTTTTTTAATGATAATTAGAAGGTAAAAGGTTTTATTAAAGCTATAATGAAGAAAGAAGATTCATATTATGGATGATATAAATTTTGTTAATCTTAATAGTTTTAGCTTTTTCTCAACTCCGAAGCTTTCAACGGCACCAAAAGAAGCTTCCAAAGATGAATCTAAGCCAGAAGCAGGTATAGAAACTCCCAAAACCTCACTTTTTGGTGTGGTCAAGAAAGAACAAACAACTCCAGCTTCAGAACTTAAATCAGAAGCTTCAACGACGTCAACTACGGCTACAACAACATCGGCAACATCTACAGCTTCTTCAACCGCAGCCACGGCAACTCCAGCAACTACAGGTGCCACAACAACTACTACAGCAGCTACTGTTGGTTTTTCTTTTGCTACAAGCGCTGCTACAGGTGCAACAACACCAACAGGCGCTACAACAACTCCATCAGGCGCTGGAGACGCGGCTACGACACTTGGCGCGGTGCCGACTTCAGGAACGGCTACAACAACAGCTGCGACGTCAATATTTGGAGCAAAGCCAGCGACAACTACGACTTCGATTTTTGGAGCAAAACCAGCAACAGCGACAACTTCAGCTACTTCTGGAGGTTTTTCTTTTGCTCCAGCGACTACAACAACAGCTACCGCCGGAGCTACTGGGTTTTCTTTCGCTCCAGCTGCAACATCAGCAACCTCAAGTGCATCTGGAGGATTCTCGTTTGCTCCAGCGTCGAATTCTGGAGCTATGACTACAACGGCATCGTCACAACCGACTACAACAACTACGGCCGCTTCTGGGACTACTGGGTTTTCGTTTGCTAGGTAGGGGAATATAAAGATTTTTATTGGTTTTTAGGTAATATATTGAGTTTTTAATAGGTGTAGAGGTTAGGAATTTTACTAGGAAGAGCTGGCTGGGGTAAATTTTTTAAGGGGGATGGTAAATATTTGTTATGGGGTGGAGTAAATATGGTATAAAAAGCCTTATTCCAGCACAACATCAGCTGCAAAGCCGGCGTTCTCTTTCAATTCGCAACCAGCAACAGCTGCAACATCAGCACCATCCTTTTCGTTTAATCCAACTGCAGCCACGTCAACTCAAGGTACTGGCTTCGGATTCAACACGGCTTCACAACAACCGAAAAGCATCTTTGGGGGAGGCACGTCGGCCGCAGGAACGTTGGGTCAGCCTGCCAACGATGATGGTATGATGGATGACACAACCGGTCAACAGGCTAATAGCTTGAACTTTTGCAGGTAGGAGGGGTTTTTTTGAAGGGGGGGGGGTGGTAAAATACGTTCTTCTCAATAAGGAGGTTTAAGAAGACTTTTGGGCGGGGTAAAAAAAATTTTTTTTAATTTATGAGAGTAAAAACGTTTTTTGGGTTGAGTAAAAAGTGTTTTTGGGCGGTGAAAAAAAATATTTTTTTTGGTCGGGGTAAAAAATGTTTTGGGGCGGGGTAAAAAAATATTTCTTTAGAAGGAGTGGTTAATCTAAAAGACAACTTTTGTGAGGGTAAAAATATTTTTTTTGGGTTGGTTCAAAAATATTTTTTGGGCGTGTTAAAATTTTTTGGGTTGGGTAAAAAAACTTTTTTTTTAGAGAGGGCGGTTGATATAAAAACAATTTTTATGCTTAATGACTGACTTACTAAACACTGTTTATTAATTTAGTTTTCTTACTAAAACACTTCTTTTCAGCACCGGTCTAGGTCAATCAGGCCCTCAAAACAAGACCGGAGGCGGTTTCCAACCGATCAACTTTGCCAATGCAAATACTGCTAAACCAGGCTTTGGCGGCTTCAATCCAACTCCAAAATCTGCCCAACCCTCTGGATTTGGCTCTTTTGGACAACAAAGTAAACCGGCTGGATCAGGGTTCGGAGCCACACCATCGTTCGGATCAGGCCCGGCCTTTGGAAGTGGCAGTGTTTTTGGAGGAGGAAGCTCGGTATTTGGTGGTAAACCGGTATTTGGGGGTGGAGCTCAACCACAACAAGGCACTCCTACTAATACTGGGTTTTCTGCGTGAGTTTTTATAATGTTTTGGATGGGTAAGGGGTGGTGATATTGGCAGGAGAGGGCTGTGGACTAAAACGTTTGATTTTTTTTCTTTTTTTAGTATCCCTCTCTCCCTCTCCCCGAAAAAAAATGCGAAACATAGAGAAAACGACCGATAAAGTTTTGTAACAGAACTTTTGGCACACCCTGTAGTAGAGAAATTTTAGATAATAATGCCATTTTTAATGTTATGTTCGTTTAGATTCGCCGGCAAAGCCACCTCTTTCGGCCAGCTAGCTCAGTCTCCACAACAATCCAGCTCTTTGTTCGGCGGCGGCGCTCAAGCACAACAACAATCGACCGGCTTCGGCTCGTTCGGCTCCTCTAACACAACCAATACTAACCCAGCATTCACAGCGTTTAGGAAATGATTAGATCATACGACTATTGTTATGTTTGAATACTGAAATTTTATAGTTGCGACAAGCTTTGATACTAGAGAATCTTTGATAGTATTGATGATAATATCAATATTGCTATGAGTTTGTCTGAGGATATCAGGCTTGTTCGTGGGGAATAAATTATATCGTGTAAAATACGGATGGACATTTTTTATTCGTTTTAATTATTGAATGTATAGGATTTTTGTTTATGATTAGGTGGAGCAGAGCTATGGCTAGATTAACGGTTGGCGAAGGAAGGGAAGGCTCTATATTAGACTAGAGGGGGAAGTCTATAGTTGCCTGGAGGTTGTTGAAGGTAACACTTGCACCTGTGGCAAAGGCAAAATCTTGAATAGCTGCTGTAGTAGTTGTTGTGGCAGCATTAGTTGCTGGAGTTGCAGTAGGTAATGTTGAAAGAGATTTAATTGTTGTAGATGTTGTTGTAGCTGAATTGGACGTTGTTCAATCTTCTATTAGGTCGAAAAACATTTTTGCCTAAAATAATATGATTATGTTTCTCACTCTTAAATATATGTACATACGTACGTAAAATTATAATTTTTATGGAATGTAAAACTTACAACGGACCAGCTTTACCTTTTGATTTCCTCGAGGAGAGCCACGTACTGTGTAATATATACGCTCTTTATTTTTCTGGTTATCAAGTAATTTGAACCCCATGAACAAACTACGGCCACAGTCTTTTATTTGTCGTCTTACAATCTCCTGTTGTTCGTAATATAGGGGGTTTTAATGCAACAGATCCGGCAAATGCCCCCTCCCTTGTTTTCCCCACCCCCCTCTCGACCCCTTAGACCACCCTCTCGCGCTTGGTTATGCTTATCATAATGAGTTATAAGCCCGTGTTTCTTACCCGTTGAAATCACATTGTCGATTAACGTTTTGCAGCTTTCGTAGTTGATGGTTTACATGTCCTGCTGTTCAAAGTTATGCCTCGTAGCTCTAAATCAAAATCTGTTTGTCCGGATTGGAGACCTTATGATTTCAAGGCATATTCTTTACGGATCGAGACTCTAAAACTCCTGTATCTCTCTGCTTTTTTTCTCGTCTTCCATGTCGCTCAAAAATTGGCCAGCTTGTATTGGAAACAGTCCGGATGCTTTGTCATAAGTAACTACGACTTTTAAGGTGAATTTGCAGTGTAGTAGCTTTGCGACCTTTTTCTTTTACCATAGCAGCCCACTTTTACATTTGTTACGGTCAATATTGCTTACAAAAATTTAACTACGACTATCGGTAGCTGGCTACGGCTGTTTACGTGAGGAATCAGTCTTACACTGGCTAAAGGGAGACTACGCAGTGCTGTACTATCCAAGTACAGACTGGAGTCTACGTGTGGCAAATTGGTCAAAGAATGAACTAAAAACGGACAGGCTCGGCGAAGGGCCGCTTTGTCCAAATCTACGTCATACACGGCAACTTTCACCGTAACAACACAACAAGGCACTTGCCGTGATAGCAGATACCCTAACGTGTCGTACACCGTTCAACCACGAATTTATGGTCCATGAGCTGACTACGCTGGATAACCAGAGGCTGGTTAGTTACGAGGCTTCTTATCATGGCTGCATAAGCCGGAAAAGTTTCCATCTCGCATGGCACAGATACGATGGGGTAACTAGTCAAATTGCTGATGATCGCAAGAATTTTGCGTGTAGGGGGAATGGATACAATTTTGAAGTCCTTGAGTTGAACCATACGTCTCAACGTTGCTGTTGGTCTTTTTGAACTACGACTACTGCCATCATTTTGGCGTTTGCTCCTATGGCAGTTAAACAATTTTCTTCTGAACTGATTTCGCGTAATTGGACTACGTGTTGTTTTAAAAGCAAAGGCCAGCAACGGTTGGTGGTCGTAAAATTAGACGCGTATTGCGACCTAAGTATGTAAAAACAACCTAAATGTAACCTAAACATGTAAAAACTGTTGGTCATTATAAAATACAATGCCGAAACGCTTATGTTGATAGTCGTAAAAATTGATGCTGAAAACTTCGAGGGTTTATAAGTGGTATCATAGGTACCTTAACTTCACAAGTATCTTACTCCAATACATAGCAAAAATGTATTCGCTGTGTGTACGCAATAAGCTTTTTGAAGGTAACATACACATTGTTGTCACTAACATCAATGTCTTTGGTAACGTGTTGAGGATTTATCAAAATGCTGTACAATTCTTCAGTTTCAGTACAAATACGGGTCATTGGCATATCATTTCTCATTGGCAAATGCGGATACCTCCCTCCCCCAACTACTCCTTATAAGCTTACTTCTACTCTTACCGCTACCACGTTTTTCTTTTGAAGGATTTACGGGGCCAATGAAGTATAGTACCCATATAATTACAAGATCATGACATAAAGAACCCTGCAACTTTTAAATCAAAACTTCAACCCAAACACTTAACCTGTGCCGAATGTCGCCGGCTAAAACTAAAGACTGTTGAATGGTCAACCAGTGCTGCCCAAACGATCAGACGGCCGACCTTCTTTTCTTCGATCGTCGCCAACCTCTTCGAGAGGTTGCGATCTCTTGCTGGAATGTACACCGACGTCTGGCCGCGTTGGCTGATTTGTTGGCGGCAGGCTTGGACACATGGCAGAGCATTGGCGAATTGGCACTTTTAACAGGAGTTCGACTAGCCAATTTGGCACAAGCTTCTTTTAATTTAAATTTATTCGAGAAAGAGTACTGTAATCACAGTATTCAACTACTGGAAGAGGACCTAGCTCTTTAGGCTTATTAGGTTTGGAAAAGGACTTACAGGGAAAGTACCCTACCTGTTCCGCTCAGAATCAGCTCAAAATTTTTATATGAATTCTTTGTACCACCAATAGTACCTATAAAAAATTTTAGCTTGCACTTTAGAGTTTTGTTTGAATTATTTAAGTTTCCCGCCAATTTGACAAATTTGGCAACGATTTGGCATGTTTCAAGCACGTTTACGCTTACAAATTTAAAAATGTAGGTTCATTTCAAGATTTTCTACTAGTATATCAAAGAAAAACTCCTAAAAGTCAAAAATTTACAGAGTTATAAGCTTGAAACACAATGCCAACGTGGCGGGAAATTCAAAACGCAATTTTTTGATCTCGATTTTATCGAGTTTGGCTGGAAAGCGCGATTTAGTACTTTGCTGAAGATCTTATATTTACATGATCTTCCTATATGAAAAGTTTGAATTCAATCAGGGCGTAGCAGGTCGGGCACTTTCCTTGTTAGCTCTTTAGGCCCATTAGGCCCTGCCCAGTCATTTTACAAGTATATATTGAGTTTTAAGTTCAATTTGCAGTATAAAGCGATGTTACACTTTTAATCTCTGTTTCATAATCAATAATGATCTGAACTCTGTAAAATAAACAAAAAAATTCACAAATATTTGCCTTTTTAAAGTATCAATAATCTGCAGGTCATATTTTTACCTTATATAGCTTTAAAAACAACACTTATTCACATTGAGTTGTCACAACAACAACAATATCAAAAACATTATATTGTCAACCCAAAAATACCAAAAAACTTTACATTGTCAATAAACATTCATTACGGACTCTGTTTATACGAACGGCCTAAAAATAACTGCAAATTGTTGCAATGTAAACAGTAATGTACGCATAAATAAACCGGATATCCATTTACTTTTTGATTTATTCGCATCAGATTGGGCTTGTTTACGTGAGTTCACACGTGGACCCCGAGGCCATGATAAATTACCAGTCGGAAGCGAGTTCATTCGATCTGTTTTGTCCACAAAAAGTGATTCTTTTATGCTTGATCACAGGTGTTTTGATTGGAAGGGTTAAGTATGGGAGTTATTTAATTAGTAGCGTTACGGATATAAGTTATGTTTAGGCTATTTTATGCAAATTTTGAAAAAATCAAATTTTTATTTTTCAATTCACGAGCTAAAGAAATTACTCAAATGAATATAGAGCCGGACCGGAACAGAACGAAAATTTTTCGGACCGGTCCGGAAAAAATTTTTTTTTTTTTTATTTTAGTAAATCTGTTTTAAAAATTGCAAATAAAATATATTTTTAACAGCTTTTAAACGTAAAGAAAGCAGTTTTAGCGCTCCTGACTCTTTTTAAAAATAAAAAAAATTTTCCGGACCGGACCGGACCGAAAAAGTTCTCATCCGGACCGGTCCGGCAAAACACTGAATAGACCGGGCCAGAGCAAATGTTAGGTCGGAGTTGGCTTGGAAATCCCGAAAAAGCCCGGCTCGTTTCCCGTGTCTATTCCTTAATGTTTGTATCAAAATCTAGCTGACAATAGTTCACAACACATTTTTATTAGGTTTTTAAATAATTTTTTATTAATTTTTTTAATTTTGTAAAAGCGTGCTAATCAAAATGTTATTTTCTAATTTTATTTTGTTTCATTTTTAGCCACCAGCCATGAATTGGCTAACAAATTTTGTATTTTTAATAACTCTTTGCATTATACATGCTGATCATCCAAGTAAAGTAAGTTTTTTTTAAAGTTCATGCTATTTTATGTTTTTTAAAGAAAGTTCTTGCTATTTTATGTTTTGTAAAGAAAGTTCTTGTCATTTAGAATGAAGTACAAACGTTAACAAGGTTCATTCTCCGCGGACCGTCGAGGAATACGGGTTTGGAATGGTTGGAGCCTTTGGTCGATGACTTTGGGCATAGGATGTTGTGCCGGAAGTCACTTGATGAGTAAGTTTTTTTTAAGATGACATAACATAAGCCATCGTATTTTAGAGTTTGACCTGTTTTTAAAAGCTTCAATATTTAATGACAGCTTAAAGGCATTATAACGAGAGCTTAACTTGTAATACATTTTTGTTTGAGACTCTTCATCAGGTTGTTCAAATAATTCTGAGCCACTGTTCAAAACAAATTTGTGATGTTAAGGGGCACTTAATTAGCTGAACAGTCTAATATTATTATATATTGTAGTATAATACCTCTAAACATAATTTTAAATTGTTTCTCATGGCCACTTTAGTGGGGTGGTTAATAATTTCTGCGCGCAGTATATAATACCTACTATAATATCCATCTTTAGTGCTATTGACTTCACCTTAGCCAGAATTCAAGGAGATGGCTTTGATAATGTTCACACTGAAGAAGCGCAAAATATGCCCAATTGGGAACGTGGAGATGATGTTGTGACATTGATTGAGCCCAGAAGGCTAAAGCTGAATATATTAACCATAGCTGGAGTTGAGCCAGCTAATGTGACTGCTGAAGCGGTGGTTTTGGAAGACTATGATCAGGTTAACGTAAGCCAGGATTAGTACTAAAGTTAGAGCTCTAAGCTAGGGCTCTGAGCTAGAGCTCTGGCTAGGGCTCTGGGCTAGGGCTCTCGGGCTAGGGCTCTCGGGCTAAGGCTTTGGTCTAGAGCTAAGGCTGTGGGCTAGGGCTAGTCGAAGTAGAAATGAATACTGTAGTATACTGTAACTTTCAGACTACAGACATACAGAACAAGATAGTAATATTCAATCAAAATTGGACCGGCTACTTTGACGATATCAAGTACCGTAGAGCAGCCAAAGACCTCAAAGCTCGTGGAGCAGTCGGTCTTCTAGCCAAGTCAGTGGGACCATTTTCCATTGGCTCACCTCATACTGGCAGTGGTACTGACGACCACCTACCATCAGCCTCGTTATCATTGGAGGAAGCCGAAATGCTTGGCCGGTTGGCACGAAGAAACAAGACTTTGGTGATCAATATGAACATCAAGTCTAGGAACTTGCCCAATTGCACCTCCAGAAACCTGATATTTGATATCACGGGTAGCGAGAAGCCGGATGAGATTGTCCTGATCTCTGGTCACATTGATTCATGGGACTTGGGCCAAGGAGCTCTAGATGATGGCGGAGGTTTGGCCGCTGTTTGGCAAGCGATGAAGGTTATAAGAGAGCTAGGTCAGACTGATGTGAGGTTTAGGCCAAAACGGTGAGTATTTTAAGAAAGACGATATGTATGTTACAGTAAGCTTTATATAGTACAGTATACGTTGCAAAAGTTTTTTATATTTCACCGTTTCCTACAGTACTCAACCCTACCCTACCCTACCCTACCCTAATCTACCTTACCCTATCCTACCCTACCCTACTCTACCCTACCTTTTACGTTTCATTTGTGGTACTAACAGTACACATTTTGGTACTAATGGTACATTTCTGGTAATACCAGTACGAAAGGTGTCACACAACCTAACACCCCGCCCCCTGTCCTCTGCTTTAACACTGAATATCTTACAACAACATTACTACAACATTTATTTTTCAACACAAAGAGCTTGTATGATCAAAGATTACTGTAAAAGAATTACGGTAATATTATGGTCATGACAGGGCTCATCAGTCATGCTTCTTCTTGTGATGGGGGCTAGAGGACTTATGGTGTGGACTGGACGTCTTATTGGTATTCTTTTTGCGTTTCTTCGAAACCCTGGGTTCACTCATGTCTACAGTTTTTTGCTTCATGTCCTCCATCAGCACCTTTGGGTCTTTGCATCTGAACATGGAAAATTACATTAAAAAAGGCGGGAACTTTCTTTACAATACATAAAATGGCAAGAACTTTCTTTAAAATACATAAAATAGCAAGAACTTTCTTTACAAAAGGTAAAATAGCAAGAATTTTCTTTACAATGCATAAAATGGCAAGAACTTTCTTTACAAAACAAATTGCAAGAACTTTCTTTACAAGACAAAAATGGCAAGAAATTTCTTTACAAAACTTAAAATGGCGAAAACTTTGTTTACAAAGCCTAAAATAGCAAGAAATTTCTTTAGAAAGTGAAAAATGGCAAGAAATTTGTTTACAAGGCATAAAATGGCAAGAACATTCTTTACAATATATAAAATGGCAAGAACTTTGTTTACAAAACAAGAAATGGCAAGAACTTTCTTTAAAAAGCAAAAAAACCGCGAAAACTTACTTTCCATCTTTGCCGAAGTAGGTGATTTTATTCTCCTCGATTTTGACGGTAATCTTCTTGTGCCGATCCTTGGCAATCAGTCCGAAGAACTCGCAAATGGCATTAATAAACTTGGTACAACAATCTGGATTCGACTCCTCCTTGATCTCAATTTGTGGCGTTCGCTCTCTCTGCTCCACCGTCATCGTGCCACCGTTCCGAAGTAGGACCAAAAATTTGAAATGAAGGTTTTGAGGAATTTGAATCTGAAATTGAATTTTTAAAATTTGAGAAAATTGGTGGGGACTCAAAGTGAAAAAGTAAAAATTTTAAAAAAATTTAAATTTAACAAAAGCTGAATTTTGGGAGCTTCCCTGCCTTGAATATTGCGCTACCCTACCCTACCTTACCACACTCTTCCTTGCACTATCCTGCCTTGGCATACCTAGCCCTGTCTTTGCTCTGCTTTATCCTGTGATACACTGTCATGCCCCGCTTTGCCCTACCTTACTCTGCCTTATCCTGTCCTTTATTTTTCTGTTTTGCTCTGCAATGCCATACCGGGCTTTGTTCTGCCCTATTCAAAGACGTCGCTACGATTTTTCTCTAGGGGGAGTCACCCCGATCATATCCTCTCCTAGCTTAACCTATCCCACATAAGCCTACTTTACCATGTCCAATATTTTTCTTTCCTAACCATGACATGCCCAATCTTGTTTTAACCTACTGTTCTTAAACTTGACCATACCCTAAGCACTTCCAATTTTTTCATACCTTACCCTACTCTACCCTCCCAGCATTACCCTAACCCAATTTTTCATACCCTGCCTTATCCTAAACCACTTTTTTCAAGTTTCTTGCCAGCCGCCTGCGTGTGCCATTTTTACGATAAAAATTTAACTTATAGTACCCATGTATATTTTATCTTTTCAGTACAATCCGAGCAGTGTTCTGGACTGCTGAAGAGCAAGGTTTCTTTGGAGCCAAACATTACTATGAGCAACATAAGGATGGCAATGAGAAGTTCTATTTTGTTTCGGAAACCGACCAAGGAGCTTTCAAGCCTACTACAACAAAGTCGGTTTTCCGGTTCAAAGGGAACAGTACTCATGTGAGTTGATATTAGGTTAGGTTAAAAGCTAATTTTTAAATTTAAAAAAAAATTCTATATTTGTCACCTTCAGCGTGCCAAACTGCATGAAATCGTGCACATTCTGAAGATCAATGGTATACCTTTAAGTATTCAAGACGGTGATATGCAAGGTGATGTCCAATCATGGGCCAATGAAGGTGTACCTTCGATAAACTATGTCTCTGACAAAGGCATCGACTACTACTTCTATTTTCACCACACTACTGGTGACTATTTGAATGTGTTCGAAGACGGTGATATCGATTACACCGCTGCCATCATGGCTACATTGGCTCATGTCATCGCTGGTCAGGAGAGCTGGTAGATGGATTAGTATATAAAGCTGTTTTACTATGGAAAACTGCCCATACCTAGTCTAGTCATTATTACAGAATGTAATGATAAACCATCTACCTTTCAGTAGAGTGCATTTGATTATACTGTAGAATAGTTTATTTGTACATAACATGTTTGTTCCTTAATTTGAATAAAGTAAAGCAGGATTGAAAGGGCTAATTTAAGATGTCAAAAACCAGATATGGCTTAGGCTATAGCTTAGGCTATAGCTTAGGCTATGGCTTAGGCTATGGCTTAGGCTATGGCTTAGGCTATGGCTTAGGCTATGGCTTAGGCTATGGCTTAGGCTATGGCTATGGCTATGGCTTAGGCTATGGCTTAGGCTGTGGCTTAGAATATGGCTTAGGCTATCAAAAATTTATTTTAAAACGTCATTAAATAAAAAATTTAATAATAATTTTTAAATGTCATCGAATTCTAAAATTATAAAAAAAGCCAAGAAATGTCATAAAAATCTTAAAAAATGTCCAAAACAATTCAAATTTCTTAACAATATATAAGCTACATACGCGGATTTATAAATCGATTTTGGTGCCAATCTTAAATGCAACGCATTCATTTTTGGCGTCTGTCATTTAATTTTAGCTTGGCACTTGCAAAAAACTTCTTTTTTTCTATTACATATTTCACTTTTAATTTATTGTCATTTCTACAACGATTGTTGATGATACAAACGGCCGTTATCGACAGAATGGTTACTGCAGTCAAGTTTAAAGACATACCCGATCACAATATTGATAATTGGCCGAGTACTATGAACGATAAGTATTCGTATTGGAAATCAAGTTTTATGAGAATGGTAAGTGGATTTGACTTACTAGGTTGTTCAAATAATTCTCTGCACCCAAAATTTGCTTTAAAAAAGGGCACAGAATTATATGAACAACGTAACAAAAATAAAAAACACCCTCCAAAGTTAAATCCTCCGATCATCAGCCAAGTCCATCAGATTCGAAGCCATATTCAACCATTGATTGAACGGAATCTCTACTGTTCGATCTCTAACAGCCAGTTCCGAGCCCAAAAATCGATTTCCACTTCGATTCACCAATAAAATATTACCATTTTCGGCCCATTTGACTCCCCGTTCCTGCCACGGCCCACCTAAGGTCTTGGTCAAAAAGTCTTGGGTCGGTTCGGCGCCAGCTCCTTCACGCAGTACGAGTCGATCATTGCCAAAATCGAATTGACGAGCATTCGGATTCAATGGCATTATTGGAGGCTGAGGCAGAAGGGCGTCCATTGGCTGGTTTGAGGGCTGGAAATGGCAGGTATATTCAGTTAGAAATCAAAAAATTTTAAAATTAAGGTTTATTATGGTTAGAAAAAAGTCTGGTCGTCATTTAGCATAGGTTTTCAAGGTCAAAAACGACAAGACTTTTTTAGACCCTTAAAAGTTAAAAATTTCTTATTTTTTTTTAATTTTTGAATTAAAAATCACCAAATTACCCTAAAACAAAAGTCACAAGGCAGTAATAGCAAGCATTTACTTACTATTATAAAATGAATCCAAAAGGGCTAAACCTACTAAAATCAATGAAAAAGCCGCTAACATCTAATAAAACAAATCCAAAAGCCGCCTATACCTACTAAAATCAATCTGAAAACCACTGATTCCAAAAAAAACCCACATTTAAAAGGCTAAAAAAATCTAATTGTGGAGCTCTAGTTGTTGTAGGCATCAACATTTCCAAAAAACTGTGTGCCAAGTTGTCCAACGGTGAATCCTTTTTCTGAATCTTTGCTTCTTCCTTCGCATTGATTCCATAAGGTATACCCTGCTTCTTCGGTTCTCCTTCCAGCATTTTCATCAAATCTGTCGCCAATTTTGCCGGAAGTTCTTGATTCGAAGACGTTTTCACAGGAAAGCCAAGTCCTGAGCTCACTATTCCCATTACATCTTGACCTGACGTGAATGCTGATGGAAATCCTTGAACAGAGACACTTGTTCCCGCTAATTCTTGACCCAAAGCCAAACAGAGCAACACAATGCGAAAACGCTCGAAAAACATAATTTTAAACTGGATTCAAATCGAAAGTCAGGTTTTGTGTTCGGCATATTCCGAGCGCCGCCGCCGTCTTTCACAGAATCACCGTCACTTTTCTGGTTTTTACTCGAGCGGATTATTCCCTTGCATATTCACCTGTGGAAAGTTTGTCACAGCCTGATTAAAGGCAACAATTGTTTTTTTGAAATGAGTTTCATTTATAAAATGAAAAATCTGTTCAGGTAGTGTAGATTTTATAGTGCGTTGGTGAAGAAGTGGACGGCCGCGTTCGGGTGTTGATTTATCAAATTATAATAAAGTTGCTTCTATAAAAAACATTTTTTAAATGAAATATAACTAGATGTTACACTGGCGTAAATTAAGGCGCAACTAGGAGGTGAGAAAGGTTTTAGGCCAATCATGCGAAAAATTCAAAACGTGCCGGTTTTTGAAATTTGGCTCGGCTCTCTATATCGAGAGCAGTGTTTCGCCCGGACCGGTCCGCAGCATGTTTCACCGGTCCGGTCAGGCGATTTTCGGGTCCGATCCAAACCCAAAATTTTCGGGTCCGCTCCAGACCGCAAAAAATTTTTTTTTATTTTTAAAAAAGCAAGAAGCGTTAAAACTGCTTTCTTTTTGCTTAAAAACTCTTAAAAATATATTTTATTTGCAATTTTTAAAACAGTTTTATTAAAATAAAAAAAAATTCTTCCGGACCGGTCCGGAGCTTTTTCTTCGGTCCGGGTCCGCAGGTTTTTGGGTCTGGTTCGCAAAAATCCTGATTTTGGTCCGTCCGCGGACCGGGCCAGTCCGGCAAAACACTGATCGAGGGAGCTGAAAAAACAGCTTACAAAAAAAGCCCTCCGTGTTTTAATCGTACATTAAGATAGCAAATTTAAAACTAATAACTTCGGTTTTTTTAAGTTAAAAGCAGGGGCAGGAGCAGGGTAAGCTAAAAAAAAGCGGGTTTGCCGTCTTTTGGGCTAAAAAAGGCGGGTTAGGCTTTTTTAGGGCTAAAAAAAGCAGGGTAATGTTTTTTCAGAAAACTATAAAAATAATTTAATAAGACAAATATATTTTAAAAAAAATCTTTTAAACATATAAGACATATAAATATTGATATCACCATATTACATGCTAATGAGAAATTTAATAGCGGCTTCTGGGTAATGAATGACGAGTTGAGAATAGAGCTCTTCCTAAAATGAAATAAAACTTAAATTTTAATAAATTCAAGTATTGCTTTTACGTTATAAAAATTCAAAAATATTTATTAAATTATAATAAAGTTGCTTCTATAAAAAACATTTTTTAGATGAAGTATAACTAGATGTTACACTGGCGTAACTTAAGGCGCGACTAGGAGGTAAAAAAGTTTTTAGGCCGATCATGTAAAAAATTCAAAACGAGCCGGTTTTTGAAATTTGGCTCGGCTCTCTAAATCGAGAGAGCTGAAAAAAAAACAGCTTACAAAATAAGCCCTCCGTGTTTTAAGCGTATATTAAGATAGCAAAGTTAAAACTGATTACTTTGTTTTTTTCAAGTTAAGAGCATAAATAAACATACAATATCCTTTGATTCCATATATGTATCAATGTATTCCTTTGCCTTTACCGCAATTTCTACGTTTTCAAGTTGCTCACTTAAACAAATCAATTTTAAAACGTTGTTACGGTTAATAGATTTAGCTATTTCCGACATAAGGTTCTTTTTTAACTCGTCCAACTGAAAGTATTCGGCCGCTCGTTCAATTTCTGGCAATTTTAAGTATGCGTTTTCTGACAACCGCCCGTGGTAAATATAATAAAGAATCTCTTTGACAATCTGAAATCGAAAAAATTATTTAAGAAATCCTTATGTAGTAAAAAAAAACTTTTTTCCAACTTTTTCAAAATCGAAAATAGTAGTCTAAAGACAGTTTATATATATATATTAGCAGGGCCAGGCGCGAGGGGAAGGGGGGGGGGGCGGGGGGGTACTCCCCCCAGAAAAAAAATTTTCGAAAAAATTTGAACGTGGTCCTCCCTGTGCCCTGTGGATTTTTTAGAAAAAAATTTTCGCAAAAAATCGGCACAGGTAGCTCTACCTGTGCCGATTTTTTGGACCCCTGCCCCCAGACCAAAAGTCCCCGCCCGGCCCTCTATATTAGGGGTCCTAACCAGTGTTTTGCCGAACCGAAACCAAAATTTTTGCGAATCGAACCCAAAAACCTGTGAACCCGGACTAAGAAAAAGCTCCAGGCCGGTCCGCGAAATTTTGTTTTTTATTTTAATAAAACTGTTTTAAAAATTGCAAATAAAATATATTTTTAAGAGTTTTTAAGCAAAAAGAAAGCCGTTTTAGCGCTTCTTGCTTTTTTTAAAAATAAAAAAAAAATTTTGCGGACTGGACCGGACCTAAAAATTTGAAATTCGGACCGGACCGAAAATCGCCGGACCAGACCGATGAAACAAGCTCCGGACCGGGCAAAACACTGGCCCTAACGTTAAACTTCACAAGACTGTTACAAGTTGTAATTTTTTTGAAAATAAATATTAAGTTTGTTAAAAAAATGAAGTTTATATCATCAACTGATAAATAAGATTCACTTACACCTGCTTTGACAGCGTTTATAGCTGCTTCCTTATCTAATCTCCCATTTGTTTTGTTGAAAAAAATATTTTTAAAATGTGAAGAAGAGGGTCCAACAATAACTTTATGAACAGGTATGCGTACGGTTTCTTCTGTTATGCCGTTGCATACGAATGGAAAATCACTGTATTCGTGTTTCATAAACGCTTGAGATGGTTGAAACTATAAATGGAATATCAAATGATTTTAAAACTACCTTTTCTTGATGCAACTCACTGAAACCCCTCCTTTCGCTTTACCTATCCTTACTCTTATTTTTACATCTACCCCTATGTGTAAAGATAACAGTCCCTACCCTTATCCCCACTCTCCTCCTAGCGCCCGGCCTTGAATAAGGTAGAATAGAAATTTAGAAAGGTATAGTAATTTTTTACGTTCTAAATGAAAGTTTTTGGTTTATATCTTCAAACTATTATATTCTAAACGATGGGAGTGAATACTTTACGTAAAAAACAATTGAATATTACTTACCAAACCAATCGAAAACAGAAATTCAACAGAATACTCGTCAAATTCGTTTGGAGACGGAAGTGCCACGTACTGTAATAATTTACTCTTTTAACGTTAAGCTTAAAAACGGAAAAAAAAACTACAGCATCCGTTATAACCGTTGCTGTAAAAGTCAAAACATTCTTAAAGCGCTCCGCTTACTGATTTTTAATAATACAGTACTCTCTCTATACAAGAAAGGACCGGCATTTCTTGTTTACTATAAGGAGAGTTGCTTATACAGATGGTTCACTATATAGAGAGAACGCTGTATTTTAAAAACCTTTGTTAGTGATTTTCCGTCCACCTTGAGATCTTCAAAACATGCCTGTGAGTTGTCAGTTACAATCCTTTCCATTTGAGTCTGGTTGGAGATAAAATTTTCATCTTCCGAGTTCGATTTTATTCGAAAACTGACTTTTGCAAAAACGTTTTGCCATTTTGAAGATATCGGTAGTAATTTTAGGCTTATTCGCTTTCGCTGAAATAAAAAAGTCGTAATTGTCCCCCTTGTTAATAAAAATGTAATTAAAAATAGTTTTTTTTATTAGAACGGTTTTTATTGTTCAGCTATAAAAACATTTATTAGGTGCCGACATAAAGAACCCGCCACACTTTTCCTGTAATTTCATGTAAAAAATGGTGGGTTCTTTTTGTTGAAACCTAATATATTTAAACGTACTTAGTCGTCATAACCAGTGTGTAATGTTGTCTTGAGCCAACAAAGAAAACCACCTGGTGCTCCTTTTGGTGCAATTTATTTAGGGAAATTAGTTCGCGCATATCACTGTAAACACAAAGGTGAATGACGTTTGTTTGGAGGGAGGAGAAACGCCAAGAATACGGACAAAGCCACGCATGCCCGCTTTTATGAATGACGTTTGGGATTATGTAGACTTGTAAAGAGGCCAATATCAATGCTTAATAAAGCGAAGCATTCACCTATATTCCCTAGTTTTGAAAGAAATATACTACAACGTTACCCAGCATGTGTGTACGCGCAACGAAATAGAAAAAAAGAGCGCGACCAACTTCGTAGATGTTGTATCTCACTAGACTATCACAAGCGCTGTTTGAGAAATCGAACTGTGCGCTCTTTTTTTACCCCACCTTCCCCTAATATTCAAGGTGAAATTAGATTTCTGCGGTCATCCGCCAACTCCATCAGCTTCGAACATATATTAAGTCATTAATTAATCTCCTTACAGCATTTCCATCGTATCAGTCGCCAATTTTGCTGGAAATTTTCGATTGTAGGACGTTTTCACAGGAAAGCCAAGTCCTGAGCCCGCTTTTCCCATTACGATTTGATATTAAAGACAGTATTTTCAAATGAAAATACCTTTGCTCATAAACAACATCATTCTTCCATTAAAAATATAAACAAAAACCATTATTCTTAACATCAAAGTAATGATACAATTAAAAAAAATACAAAAGCCCGATTAAAATACCTCAATATTCTTTATTTATAATTCTCTAATGTTTGAATACAATTGAAGCTAATGTCCCCAGCTGGTGTGTCCCTTCTTGAAGTACGAATAGGCTTCTTCAATAGCAATAACACCCGCAGCAATCGCTAAACCTGGCTTCATTCCAACGAAGATGAACTGAAACAAATGAAGATAAAGATTAAATAAAGTTAATACAAAGTGAAAGCTTAAAAAATAAATTAAAAAACAAAGAAAAATTAAAAAATGTAATTTATAGATGTCTTCATGATAATATTGATAAAAAACTATATAAAAATCAATTGCTTGACTGATTTTCTTCTCGATGATCACAAATAATAGATACTATTATTCAATTTAAACCACATCAACATCCTAAATTGACAAAAAAATTAAAGAAAAACTCACAGATTTAAGGACGGTCCAGTTAGTTTGATGAATTCCAATCTTTGGATCGTATCTATGAGCAAAATTTCTGAAACATAACAAAATACACATTATTAAAACAATACAAATATACTTTAAAAGATACTATCTACACTTTGCAACAAATCGATTGGACTCACCTAATCCAAGGGTCTTTCAAGCCCAATCTCTCCAACTTCTTGGCATGATCAACTACCTGCGGGATGTGGTCCCAATTGCTAAATTTGGTGTAATGTGGCACTTCAAATGGTTCGTGATGTCCGTGACCCATTCTAAAACGATATAAACGTAAATTTACAACAAACAATGTGGTTTTTACTTGAGTTGATCAAGTTATCTATCAAAAGCCTGAAGGAAAAAAGAAAAACTTTTATTTTTTATTGTGCGAGCTGCGCCCAAGCAAAGCGACATGTTATACGTTAGCAAACTAAAAAGCCAAGTTGTAAAATAAGATAATTAAAAATTGATGTACAATAAAGTAAAAGTAAATAAAATTATACATTTTAAAACTGTTTTTAAATTTTAATCTTAATAATTTTGTTATAAACACATAAAACCGCAATAACTACAAACATAAGGCCAATTTTCGTTGTAAGACCAAAAATTAGACGTCAGTTTGGTTTTTGGAGATTTTTCGTCGTACGACGGACGGGTCCGTGGTAAAAGTACGTCATGTTAAGTTATTGTGCACTTTGTTAAGGTCACTGTCTACATTAGACGTTTCTCTATCGATCTTTATATTAATCATGACGTTAAAACGTAAGTTTTTTATTGTTTTCTTTGATTTTTAGGTAAAAGTTTTGAATTTTTCTAAACTTTGAAATGTAAGTTGTAAAAAACGGCTTTCTTAAGCTTGTGAATAACCTTTTCTGTTGTGTCAGAAGGTTTACTTATGTCTTTACTTTCAGAGTGTCTTTCAACTGCTGTTTTGGTGGTGGTATACTGGACTTTTTGGCTTGTTTCGTGTGTTCGAGCGGTGTTCTCCTTGGAAACGCTTAAGGGATTGGCACGTTTAGTTGGTGTAACTGAAGACGAATGTAAAGGATGCTTTGAAGACTTGAAAATACCTCAACATTTGGCTGTTTTGTTTGGAAGGAATCAAAGTTTTGTGGATTTGGTAAGTTTTTGATGTTGTTTTTTGAGTTTTAGGTATTAACGCAGGATTTTTGGAGCATTGCTTGTGCAAACGATGCTTGAAAGGTTTATTAATGTTTGGGCTGCGTTATGATATTAAAATCCTATTAAAAATTACATTTATATTGAGTTAGTGTAAACCTATGTTGCATTAGTTCGCCAAATCTTTTTGGGCTTTCAGTATAGTTTTAAATTGTTTTACACTATTAGTTATAGTTGTAAAATACGAAGTCTAATTTTTTGTAGGTTTATCATGAGTATTTTCGATTTCAGAACGTAATCTTTGACTTTATCTACTTCTCAAGCCTAAATGGAGTGAAACGTCTGACGTTTTACGACGATAATGGGATATTGAAGTCAATGTTGTATAATGTGGAACGTGGATGGGATTCGTACATAAAGAGGAAGGAGTTTTTTAAAAGTATATTGTTTTATAAGGGTCAAGATGGCAAAGAAACATATCCTGGTCAACTTACAGTGCATTTTCTGGACAAACGAGACGGAAAGCCTATGATGGCTGAGGTTTGTAGGGAGGTAAGTGTGAATAGCTATAGTATATTTTGGCGTAATTTAGAAGTAAATTTAATTTTTTTAAATTATATCGTTATATTTTTGTTACCTAAACTTTCATTTTTAAGTTTATTGAGGCATCGCCTTGGCCTTTATGGCAAAATTAATCTAAAAGTAAAGTTTAAAACCTCAATTTTTAGCTGACTCATAGCCGCGAGCCCGTGACTGTAGCTCGAGTCACGTCCAAACTGGCCACGAAGGGGGTTCACGAAGTGGACTTTTTGCTGGCCGTCGGATGCGCAAACAATTTGGACGGTTTTCCAGCCTGGTCTCTTCGTGTGGCCGAAATTCAGCAGATGAAGTTTTGGTCCGATCGCCTAACGGAATCCTCGTATCGGTCAATTTTGGCTTCGTTTAGCTGTAGAGATAGGAGATTGGGGCGATGAGTCGGATTTTGAAGGCTATGGATGAGGTTATGAAGGCGAAAGATGGAGATTCTGAAGGCTGTAGATGTGATTCTGAAGTCTAGGTATTCCATATGAAGTTTAGAAGGTGTTAAAGATGTTATATGATAGATATGCTACAAAATATCGGCTTCAGAAGTCGTTTTGTTAAAGGAAGTTGTATCTAGAAGTGATTTACAGTTAAAAAAGGCTATAAAAGTCAAAGTTTAAAGTTTATTTTTTAATTTTTGCTTTTAAAAAACATTGTAAAATTAAGTTGTTTTTGATAATTTGTAAAATCAAGTTGTTTTAATATCTACTTGGAATTAGAATAACAAAATCTGTGATTTTTTCACTTTCCATGTGGCCTTTTTGGCTTTAAAACTTGATTTTTGATCGTTTTAAATGACTTTTCAGTGTCTTTTTTGGTTTTCTAAAATTATTTTTTGTAACTGTTGACGTTTTATAAGGATTTACATTTCATTTATCATTGTATCTTTTGAAAACGAAGTTATATCAAGCTCAAACATGTTGTTTATGACAGTTTTTTAATGATTTTTGAGGAAAACTGCGGTCTAACTGGGGTTTTTGAGAATGTTTAAAATTTTTTTGTTGTTATTATGACATTCTTTATGTGAACTTTTTCCGGTGTAAAATTTGAGTTTTTTATTGTTTATGTTATGTTAGGTCAGTTGAAAGTTTTTTTGCACGGTGCAAACATAAAAATGGGCGTTGCACCGTGCAGTTCTAAATAAGATTGCAACGTGCAAAACTTTTTTTCTATTTTGGCCTACCTGTTAACCAAAAATGGCAAAAACTATATTCTAAATGTCGATGAAATACCAAAAAAAAAAATTCTCTAAAGCCACGGTAATTTAATAATTTATATTGTAGCAGCACGAACATGACGGGTACCAAGCTCCTTATTCTTCCCATTCTCTTTGTTGAATTCACTTGTTGTCTTTGTTTTTATTTTGTTGTCGGTCTGAATAAATGTTACGAAAAGTCAAGTAAAATACGATTAAAATGCGTTACACAACGAGTCTTATACCTTGAGTACGTGTTCGATGTTGTACTTGGTCGGAGTTTGTAGTTTGGTGGTTTTTTGTTTGAAAAAAGGCTTTTTATTGAAAGGAATTGTAGTTTTGGCTTTGGAATTGTATTTGAGGACACGTTTTTATAGTTGGTAGGGTTGGGAATGGCAGAAAAGTGTTGTTTTATTAAAAAATGGCATGTAAAGGTAGATTTTGATCGTTTTTCGAAGGTTTTTCTATGATATAGTACCTTTTTTAATACTAAACTGATGCTCGTCAGTATGATTTACATCTTTATGACAATTTTTTATAATATACGTTAGTCAAAAATGGCATAAAAGGTCGCTTACTTTTACTTTTTGCTTATTTTTTGATATCATAGTAGTTTTTTTGATGTTATACTAACCTTTCAGCCAAAAAATCAAGTTTTTTTGGTAAAATACGAGTTCCCATTGTAGTATTTAATAACTAATATTATTTAAAAAAGGTACACAAGCTCTGTTTTATTAAGGTTTTTCGACATTTAAGCCGTCTATTTTTGATGTTATGTTTGCCATTTTTAATTGAAACAGTCTTTTTTATGTCAATTTCAAGTAAAACACTTAAAACAACCATATCATACACAACTATAGTTCATATGATTATTACCTATTCTTTGTAGGAAAACAATCTTTGAGAGCTTGTAGTTTGTAGTTTTCGTTAAATTTTGCTGACAATCTTCACCAAGATTATGAAACAAACACGTTTTGAGGCGGAGTTTAAAGAATTTAAAGGTTGAAATAAAAAAAACAAAGTTAGAATGTTACTTTAAACATACGAAAAGGGCAAGTGTAAGCGCAGAGTAGTTGGTATGAGAGGAGGAATTTTGTTTTAGGACTAAAATTAGGAGTTTTAAAGGAAAAAATTGACGTTTTTGTGACGGTTTGATAGGTTTGGGTAGAGTAGGGTAGGGCAGTTTTGGGTAGAGTTGGGTATGGATAAGAGTACGGTTTTATTTTGGTCTAGGGGTAGTAGTATGTGTAGACCAGGGGGTAGGATAACATAGGATTTGGGTAGAGGTAAACGTAGGGTAAGGTAAGGATGGGGAAGATGACATTTTAAAACAAAATGATTGTGTTTTATGTTCGGTAATAGTAGATTATTTATAAAAAAAAATTTCGTTTTTGGCATTAAAAATGACTTTTTGTTAGAAAAAACATCAATTTTTGGCCTAAAACAACACTTCTTGGACTTTTTTAGGTAAAAAACTGACGTTTTCTTGTTATTTATGAAATTTAAAATGGCATAATAAAAAATTTTTTGTTTTTAATTTGGTCAACCTAGTATCAGTTATGGTAGGGCAAGATAGGGTGGAGTAGGGTAGGGGTAACTTAAGGTAAGGTAGGGTAGGGTAAACTATTGTAACATAAGGTACGTTAAGTTAAGGTAGGCTAAAGTAGAGTAAGACAAGGTATGATAGCTTAAAGTCAGGTCGGATAGGATAAGTTACTCTGTCCCTACCAAAACTACACATTTTTGTCCATTTTTGTGACAAAAAATAATTTGTAAACGATAAATTAATCTTTTCACTTTAAAATTGAAGACCTATACAAAAGGCATGTCATGATTTGAATGCGTTTTGATCCATCGCTCTTTTTTCTCTATAAATTTATGTTTTAGTGATGAGAAGTCGAAGTTTAAAGTTTTTTATTATTTTTCTAACGAAGTCTACGTGAGTAGCTTGAGTGTTGCATCACAAGGTTTTTGGGAATGCTAAGAGTAGGTTGTTTAAATAATTCAGTGCCCTCTCTCAAAGCACGTTTTTGGTGTTAGGGGGCACTGAATTATTTGAAAAACCTAAAGTTTTATTTTTTAATAATATAATATTGAAATTATCGTAGTATAATAGGTGGGGGAGGGGGAGGGAAGGGGGATGAAGGGAAGGAAGGGACGGCGATGGAAAGCGTAAAATTTTTTTGACGTAATCGTATTTTACATTTTTTTTAAAATTTGGGTTTTTACCAGTTGTGGAAAATGATATATCAAAGCTTAAAAGTAAAAATGTTTGTCATCGTACGTTTTATATGGTCAAACATGTCCGTATTGAAGAAATGCCATTTTTTATATGACAGCTTTTAATATGGTATAAAAAGGGGTTTTTTATTGAAAATTTAAAAAAATTCGTTTTATACAACTGATAATACAAATTTTTTAAAAAGTTATGTTTTTACTACTTAAAATGTCTAAACATCTAACATAATATTATCGCGTTATTAAATTAATGTACTATATATTAACGTACTCTTATTACCAAAAACTACTTTAAAGTCTAATTTCTTCACAATTTCAGTGATGGGTCTTCTAACCAAAGGAACCCCACTAACCTGGGCCGAACTACAACCTTATGTTAAGTTTGTGAAGGAGCATGGAATAGCTCAGTTTATTACCTTATATCATCGACTAAAGGACAGAGAAGGGGATCAGCTACGATGGGGAGACGAAGTCGAATATACGATTGTTAAATTTGACCATGATAACAAAAAAGTAAGGGTTTTTGATTGTTTTTTGTGATTTTAGGTAATGAAGAGGATGAAAATGAAGAAAATGAGGGTGTTGTTGACGGAGAATTAGGGATATGAGGTTGTTATTGAAGGAGAATTAAGGAATTAAGGCTGTTGTTGAAGAAGGATTAAGAAAATGTAGTTGTTTTTGGAAAAAATTGGTGTTATTGATGTTTCTGTGGGCTTAGAAGGATGTATGAAGGTTAAATAGATAAGAAAATGGCGTTTTAAATGTTGTTTTAGATAGAGATTAGGTCTTTTTTGGGATTTTTGATTTCAAGAAGAGGTGTAAAAGAGGTGTTTTTAGTGTAATATGGATGTTATTTATGTTTTATGAGCTTTAGTTAGATAAAACAATAGAGTTTTGATAAGAAAATGGCATATTTAAGCTTGTTTTAGATGTTTTTTTTCTACTTCTACCTTCATCTTTACTTCCAACTTATACTCAATTTATTAATTTGTCATTTAAAGCAATGTAAACCGATATTATTATAGGTAAGAGTATGTCTCCGAGCCGACGATCTCCTCAAACGTCTGCAAGCTCAAGAGGAAGTCAACAACATGGTCGGAACCGAGAACCGCGCTCTCTGGCGTCCAGAATTTGCGGCCTACATGGTGGAAGGTACTCCAGGCGTACCCTACGGTGGCCTGATGTCATGCTTCAACATTGTCGAATCCAACATGATTCTACGTCGAGCCGAAGCCACTCAGCTACTGAAAAAGAACGAAAGCTTGTTATCAGTCAGTTTCCCATCACTAGGAGTGCCAGACTTCACCGACCCTCCATCACAACCGACTCCAAATGACGTCGACGGTGCGGGCCGTAGCGTCTTCTTCCCCGACGATGCCATTTACTCAGGTCATCCGAGGTTCAGGAACTTGGTGAGGAATATAAGACAACGTCGTGGACGACGTGTAGCCATCAACGTGCCAATCTACAAAGATGTGAACACTCAGTCGCCGTATCTAGAGGAATTCACGGATTCTGAAGCCAAAGTCATGGCGAAACCGGATCATATCTACATGGATCATATGGGATTTGGAATGGGATGTTGTTGTCTTCAAATGACCTTCCAGGCTGTCAATATTCAAGAGGCTAGATGGCTGTATGACCAGTTAACTCCAATCACTCCTATCTTGGTGGCGTTGAGCGCGGCTACACCGATCTTCAGAAGCCGGTTGGCTGATGTGGACTCTAGATGGGATATTATCTCGGCTGTAAGTTGGATTTTGAAGTTATACTCTTGCCACTTATCTTGCTCCAACCTACTCTAGTCTTCTTTATCCTACCTTATCCTACCCTAACCGACCTTTTCTTACCCTACCTTACCGTACCTTACTTTATCCTATTGTACTCTATCTTACAATACTTTTCTCTATCCTACCGTACTATACCCTACTCTATCTTACCCTGCTCTACCTTACTTTTGTAAATTTGTTCTTGTTTTCAGAGTGTAGACGATCGTACGGCCGAAGAGCTGGGCGAAGTCCCCCTCAAGAACGATGAATTCCAAATCAAGAAATCTCGCTACGACTCAACCGACTGTTACATCTACCCATGCTCCGCCGCCTACAATGATATCGACCTGGAATACGATCCCAAAGTCCTGAAACAACTACTAGATGGTGGTGTAGACGAAATCCTGGCTAAACACATTGCTCACATGTTCATCCGAGACCCACTACAGGTCTTCAAAGAACGAATCGAACAAGATGATGCCAAGAGTACCGAGCATTTCGAGACCATTCAGTCCTCGAACTGGATGAATATGCGCTTCAAACCCCCACCACCAGATGCACCTGAGATCGGGTGGAGAGTGGAGTTTAGACCGACCGAAGTTCAACTGACTGATTTTGAGAATGCCGCTTATTGCTGTTTCGTGGTGTTGTTGACTAGGTAAGGGTGGATTTGATTTTTTTTGGGGAAAGGGAGAGAGCGAAGAGGGGGGGGGGTGTGAGACACTCGCTTAGACATGAGGAACGGGACGGGCCAAAAATTTTGCTCGGGCTGAAAATTGGGCTTGGTTTGTTCCTCATGTCTACACTCGTTAGATGGGGGGGGGGGGGGGAGGAGTTATTTATTTTTTAAAGAAGACAATGTGCGAGGTGGTAATTTTTTTTTGAAGGGAAGAGGGTAATGTGTAGATTTTTATTTTTAGGAGTGGGAGCAGGGACGTCGCTACGGTTTTTCTCTGGGGGGGGGGAGGTCGAAAAATTTTTTTTGGTCCACAGGTAGCTAGCCGATTTTTCAAAAATTCAGGTACCTACCTGTGGAATTTTTTTCGGATCGGCTCTGGAGGGGGGGGGGTGGCAGGGGGGGGCCTAACGACGTCCCTGAGTGGGAGGTAGTAGATTTTTTAAATTGGGAAAGGGCGTGGTGGTAATCGTTTTTTTTAGGAGTGGGTAGGTGAATTTTTTTTGAGGCAGTGATTTAAAAAAATATTTAGGAAAGGAGGGGGGGATGGTACTTTTTTTTTTGGATGGAGGGAGGGATGGGATATGCCTTGGTGGGTTTTTAAAAGGGGAGGCTCGTATTTTCATTTTTTATGGAATGGAGGGATAGAAATGCTATTTTTTGAGGTACGGTTGGGGTAGATTTTTTATTGTTTAAAGGGTGGTGAGTTTTGGTGTGGGGCAAGTTTTTTTTGTTTTTTTTGTTGGTAGGGGTAGATTTTGAGAATTTTATAAATAGGGGAGGGTTTTTTTAAAAGAACAGGATTTTTCATGTCTTTACTAAACTCTGTTTTTACCACTACTTATACCCTTAACTCTTACCCTACCTCTTACTCTTATTCTTACCCTTATCCCCTTAACCCTACTCGTAACTCAACCATTACTCTTACCTTTACCCAAACTCCTATCTGGCAAAAACAAAGCTTTAAAAAGTGTTTTTTTTTCACTAATTACAAAAAATGAGCAACTTTATTTTTGCTTTCGTATTTTACAAAAAAAATATTTTTTATTTTTAGAGTCATCGTATCCTACAAACTCACTTTCCTATCGCCAATCTCCAAAGTCACCGAAAATATGAAGCGTGCCCAAACCCGTGGCGCCGTTCTGAATCAGAAACTTTTCTTCCGCTCCAAGCTAGCTACTTGTGACGCTCCACCGGACAATTATGGGGACGGCCCAACTAAGAAACCCGATCTGGACACGGTCGAAATGACCATAAACCAGATTATTAATGGCGATGGCAAAGAATTCCCGGGACTAGTACCACTAATCAGACAATTTTTGGATGGTGCTGATGTTGATGTAGACACCAGATGCACCATTACTCAGTATTTGAACTTTATTCAGAAGAGGGCATCAGGCGAGATTCAGACTTTGGCTCATTGGATGAGAGAGTTTGTTCAAGAACATCCGGACTACAAAAAGGATTCCATCGTCCCGGATTCTACTGTTTACGATCTGATGGTTCAGGTAAGGGTTAGGCATTTATTTTGGATTGACAAGGTCAGGAGGAGAAAGGGGAGGAGGAGTGTGGTTTTGATTTTTTTTGGGGTGGCAAAGGGTAGACTTAACTTCGGTTGGCTTAGTAGGCTGAGGCTTAGTAGGCTGTTGAGTAGAATTAGGGTATCTGGGTTATTATTAGTAGAAATTGACTTATTAGTCTCGTTCTTTGCAGACTTAAGAATGGTAGGCTTAGGCTTACAAGGAAAGTGGGCAATGAACAGTACAGTAGGATAGGGTAGTGTAGGAATTGTAAGGTAGGGTTGGAAAGGTTATGATAGGGTAGGCTGTTTGAGAGTAGAATACAGTAGGGCAGGGAAATGTGAAACAAAAAATACAGTATAATTTGTAATTTTAAAAATTTTAAGTTTTTGGCTCATTCTTTAAAACATTTTCCATTTTCAGATGGACGAAATCTCAAAAGGCACTCAGCATTGCCACAAACTTTTGGGCTGTTTCCGCACCAAAACCGACGAACGTATTCCGAACGCCGTGCGCCGCGCCGAAGAAGCCCTCATCATGAGCATGGCGAAGCGTCGCACTCACTAACTTAACATTGTGATATAGCCATAATCGTTATTAATCTCTAGAAGCATTTGTTATTCTCTAGAAGCATAATTAAGCATTTAGACGTATAAACTATAGTGTGATGGAATCGGCATGGAATGATTGGTTATTATGTTGGGCTAACATGTTGTCGTACTTGCTTTTGTTTTTAACGTTTTTTGCTAATTTTACGTTGGTTTTTTAATGGTGATGGAGTAATTTTTTACGTTATTTGTGTTACACGTGTTTGTGTGGTGTTATAAGGGCTTTTTGTGGTGATATTGTGGCGGTATGCGTATAAGTGGCACGGCAAGGGTACGAAAGGTTAAGCTAGTGTATAAAAGAAGTTTTGAAAGCTATTTTAGGTAACAAAACTTGATATTTCAATTGATTCTTTGATTTTTTAGCCGAAGAAACGTTTTTAAAGCTCATTTACGTAGTATATAACTAGTATATTTTTAATGCATTTTTTGGTTTTTAATAAATTGAAAGAAAGTTCGATTTTTACGTACGATAATGTGTGGTTTAATGTCATAAGTAAGCTCAAAAACCCGTTTTTAATAGAATGATCAAAAAATATAACAGAACATGAACACAAGTATATCAAGTTGAGGTAGTATAGCATGTAGTAGTAAAAAATAAAAATTCAGTTGTTTAGTGCTATACGACATCAGCCGGCGCTATATCGAAGGCGTCTTGACTTTGGCCTACGTTTTCCTGAAATTAGGTAATTGAATAAGTTGGCGTTTCGTATTTTAAAAGCCTACCCTTAATCATAACCCTGCCCTTATTTTTACCCCTACCCCTATCCTACCCCTACCTTTAACCCTACCCGTACCCCTATCCTACCCCTACCCCTACCCCTACCCCTACCCCTACCCCTACCCCTACCCCTACCCCTACCCCTACTCCTACCCCTATCCTACCCCTACCTTTAACCCTACCCCTACCCCTATCCTACCCCTACCTTTACCCCCTACCCGTACCTTTAACCCTACCCGTACCCCTATCCTACCCCTACCCCTACCCCTACTCCTACCCCTATCCTACCCCTACCTTTAACCCTACCCCTATCCTACCCCTACCTTTACCCCTACCCCTACCCCTACCCCTACCCCTACCCCTACCCCTACCCCTACCCCTACCCCTACCCCTACCCCCTACCCCTACCCCTACCCCCTACCCCTACCCCTACCCCTACCCCTACCCCTACCCCTACCCCTACCCCTACCCCTACCCCTACCCCTACCCCCTACCCCTACCCCTACCCCCTACCCCTACCCCCTACTCCTACTCCTACCCCTACCCCTACCCCTACCCTTATCTCTAACACGGCTTCTATTCCTACCCCTACACTTACTCTTGTACTTTACTTTACTCTACCATAACTCATCATTACCCTACCGTAATTCTATTTCAACCCCTACCCTTAGTCTACCCTAAAATATTAACTATACCTTACCCTGATATAAAAAGCCCTACCTCAGGAATAATCTCGATGGTAGGCGGTCGTTTCACCTGCGAAATGGCCTCAAGCCCTTTGATACCCATAACCTGTTGTAGTAGTATCATGGACGGCTTCTCGGCCATAGGTACAGCGATGAAGGTCTCCAAGCCCTCTTCCAAGGTCTCAGGGTTGGTTTTGTCAGCCGGCTGATAGCACCAACATAGCACGTATTTCAGGATTAGGTTTCGGAATAACTTAAAAACATTTTGGCGGTTGTTTATTTTTTAAAGGGGTAGTTAGGGGGTAGATTTTTATTATTTTTGATAATTTAGAGCAGGGCGAGCGTAGAGAAGGCTATGGCAAGTTTTGGTAGGGTAATGTTGGGCATGGTAGAGAAAGGTAGGGTAGGGTAGGGGTAGGGTAGAGAAGGGTTGTGAAGACTGGACATGGGGAACGGGCCGGCCCTGAAAAAAGTCAACTCGGGCCAAGCTTGAATGTTAGACCCGGGTCGTTCCTCATGTCTAGTGAAGAGTAAGGCAAGGTAAGGTAGGGCAGAGTATTTTAGACTGAGGTAATGCATAACATAAGGCAGAGCGGGGTAAATTAGGGTAGGATTGACCAATATATAATTTTTAAAATATTTTGAAAAAAAAATTTTTTTTTATTTAAATAATGATTTTTTTTTGAAATTTCGTGCTATTTTATGTAAAATACGATGCCTTCTTTTTTGTTTGGACTAATTAAAAATATTTGCTTTTAGCCAAATCCCCTTCTCCGCTATACCTCCAAAACCAATGAACCAACGTGGCAAAGCGAGGCAACGAAACATCGAAAATGACGTAAGTTCATCGATCATTTTGATTTATGTTCTCCCCAAAAGTTGGGGCTAATCTCTAGAAAAAAACTGACCTGAGGCGATGCACATAGAATTATGACCAGCATCCAGCCCACCAGGAAACAAATCCCCAGTTGGAAGATATGTTTGTCGTTCTCATTGTCGTCCGGACTCTGAAATGATGGAACGATAAGCTATTAGAGAGTTGATAATGATATGGCATAGGTATGGTACGGGGATTGACATAGGTATGGCAAGGGATTGGCATAGAAATAGTAAGGGGATTGGCATAGATATGGCAAGGGGATTATCTAGGGGGGAGGGGAGGGGGGAAAGGTGAACATTGATAGATGCATCCTACCCTTCCACCCCCTCCCCTCTCTACGTAAAAAACCCTAAAAATGGTAGCTAGGACCCTAGGAATGGCAATCACGGTTGGACACAGGGCATAGCACAGAAATGAAATGCCTTTACCGGGCAGGGTACGGAACTGAAATGCCTTTACCGGGCAGGGCATGGAACTGAAAGGCCTTTACCGGGCAGGGGACGGAATTGAAATGCCTTTATCGGGCAGGACCCGGAAGTTAAATGCTTTTACCGGGCAGGGTACGGAACTGATGCTCTTTGTATTGGGCAGGGCAGGGAATTTAGATAATTTTACCGGGCAGGGCACGAAAAACTTTATATGCTCTGCTTTGTGTCCAAGCCTGATGGCAATGCAATAGCTACAAGCCAAGATAATCTACCAAAACATGTCAGTTAAAGCTTCAAATCTTGTTCCGGAATCTGGCTAAACATGTCAGTTTCCGTATTTCTATCTGGATGTTTAGACAGATTATGGAGATATCCGTAGACTTTTGTGACATTAAGGAAGTAAACAATAGTCAGGAAGGATTTTTTCCGTTGATGGATTGTAAATGACAGGAGAATATAATTATAAATACGGTAATTGGTTTTCTTTGTAGTTTGGTTGAAGTACGATGTAGAGATGGTTCTAGTACTGCAGTGCTAAGGTCGGGTAAATATAGATTTGTGGGAGAAATAAGGTACGATAAGTTAGGGTTGGGTAGGGCTAGGTTAAACTAAGGCAAGGTATGTTGAGCAATGTAAGAGAGGGTATAGTAGAGTAATGTATGAAAACGTACAGTAAGGTAATGCAATGTATGTTAAGGTAAGGTATGACAGGATAGGGTAAGTTAAGGTAAATTAAGGTACGGTAGTGTAGTGTAATGCAAAGTAGAGTAGGTTACGAATGTATTACGATAAGTCTAAGATGAATGTGTGTTAGGACTGAGGTACGGCAAGTGCTTGGTTAAATTAAAGTAATGCAAGGTACTGTAGAGAGTGAAAGAATGGGCTAGGCTTTACAGTATTATTGTATTGTACGGTAGGGGAACGTAAGTTAGGGTAGGGTAGGCTAGGTTAGGGTAGGGTAGGAAAAAGTAAAGTAGGGTAGAGTAAGGCAGAATAGGTTCAGCTATAATAGCGAGAAGTATGGTATGCAAAATTAAGGTACAGTAGTTTAGAAAACAGTTAATAGTGTGAGATAAAAGGACGTTTTCCTACCGGAAATTGACGTCAAAAGCGAAAGAATTGATTAAAAATCAACGAAAGACATAGAAGCGGTTAATCAAATTGTGAAAAACGTTAAAATAGCCGCTTAAAAACAAGCTTTTAGTAGTAAAATACGTTTTACATAACGAATACTGCAATAAAATATATTAACTTACAGTCGTGCTCATATCCAACCGCCCAATACCAACGAATCCGCTCGCAAAACAGTGTTAAATTGGGTACGAAAAGCAAAATATTTTTGCCACCATTATCTCTAAAATCACTTGTGATTCCTTTGTGGCAGGAAATGACAGCTGTGCCCACTCGCGGAACACGAAAACGTGGTTCTGTTATGACCTGAAAGAGGCAGGGCTTGTTAAGGACAGGGCGTGCAAAATATATAAATCACTGTAAGTGGATAAATCACGGTAATTATATAAATCACTGTAGGCACGGTAGTTGTATAAATTGCGGTGATAATAGCAGGTCCTGATTCCGTTTGTGTTGTTATTAGGTAGTCAATAAACTATATACCAAGTTTGGTCCCAATCGGTTCACTCACAGCCAAGTTAGAGGGGGGGGGGTGAAAAATTTCTGCCTTCAGTATATTAATCAAGGTAAATGTGGCGGGATTAGTAAATTTTATGGTCTGTTAAGGACATTGGTTTGTCTGTCTGTAGTAGGGGGTGGTAGGTAAGAATTGGGGGTCAATCGCGGTTGGACACAGGTCAGAGTGTTCTGTGTTTTGGCTTGTCTTGCCTTGTCTTGCCTAGCCCTGCCCCACTCTGCTTTACTTTGCCTTGCCTTGCCTTGCCTTGCCTTGCCTTGCCTTGCCTTGCCTTGCCTTGCCTTGCCTTGCCTTGCCTTGCCTTGCCTTGGCTTGCCTTGCCTTGTCTTGCCTTGTCTTGTCTTGCCTTGCCTTGCCCTGCCTTGCCTTGCCTTGCCCACGGACAGGAAGTAATAAAGCCGGTAGAAAAGTCAGGAAACGGCCGAGGTTTCGAATCGGTACAAGTGGGCTAGTCGTAAACCGAATTTAAGATTCATGACTAGAAATTTCTGCACTCAATTTCTTCAAAAGTGTTCCAGCACCGACTTTCTTCAGAAATACATTAGTAATTGCCTTTCTTCAGAAAAGTGCTAGCACTGGCTTCCTTCAAGAATGCGTTTCCTTATTTTATAAATTTTAAATTGCACTAGCGATAGGGAAAAGAATGTGCTGGAAAACGGGGTTTTCTGAAAAAAAAACGGTTTTGGGTATTTTTTCTTTACTTGTTGAACTTGTCGGAGCTTGAGAGGGTAAAAAAGAAGAAAAAAGATGCCTATTGCTTTTCCATGCAAACTTATGTGTTGTATTTACTACACAAGTTTGCAGGGAAAGGCAATAGGCATCTTTTTTGATAAGTGGTTACCTGTCAAGCGCGAATGCAATAAATTCTGGACACGGTAAAGCCTTCTCTAGAACCTTACTCAGGGCAGGGTCAAGTCTTCTATAGAATGATACATAGGGCAGGGTAAAAATTTCTCTAGAGCCTTACTCTGGGCTGTGTCAAGGCTTCCCGACAATATTTTTCTGGGTAGGGTTAAGTCTTCTCCAGTGCCGGGCGGGGACTTTTGGTCTGTGGGCGAGGGTCGAAAAAATCGGCACAGGTAGCTGTGCCGATTTTTTGCGAAAATTTTTTTTAGAGAGTCCACAGGAGGGAACCACGTACAACTTTTTTCAAAAATTTTTTTTTCTGGAGGGGGGGGGGGTTTGACTAGGCTTCTCTAATGTCTTATTCTAGACAATGTAAAGGATTTTTGAAAATTGTGCTCTGGGCAAGGTGAAGTCTACTCTAGGATGATACTTTGGGAAGGGTAAACGTTCTTTCAAAAAAAGTTTGAAAGGAAGTATAGAATGGAAAGCTTTTGATTTCTTGACTTTTGTGTCGTCAGAAAATTCATAGAAGTCTAGCCAAAGCTTATTGAAGTCATTTGATGCATAATGATTTACTTTTTCTAACCTGCCGGCAAATAAAAACAAAAAAAATTTCATTTCAAAAACGGCCGTCTTGAACTTTGGCTTCAGGAATGTAGGGCACAAAAATGGTTTTACTTCCAATTTATAAAATATAAAGTATTAGGTGCTGACATAAAGAACCCGTCGTACTTTTTTGTAATTTCTTGTGAGAAATGGCGGGTTCTTTATGTCGAAACCTAATATTTACTGTAGTAATATAACGTTGAGGTTAGGTGAGTTAGCCTACGCAGGGACGTCGTTTGGGGGAGGGGGAGGGGGGGGTACCCCCCCCCTCCCAGAGCCGATCCGAAAAAAATTCCACAGGTAGGTGGTAGCTTACCTGTGGACCAAAAAATTTTTTTGACCTGCCTTCCCGCCAGTGAAAAACCGTAGCGACGTCCCTGAGCCTACGTATTTATACTATTAAATTTTCAAAGGTACTGTATTTTAGGTCAGTGTAGGATACGATAGGGTAGAAGAGCGCAGGATATGGTAGGGTTGTTTAAGGTAGGGCAAGGCAAGGTTAGGCAAGGCAATGCAAGGCAAGCCAAGGCAAGGGAAGGCAAGGCAAGGCAAGGCAAGGCAAGGCGAGGCGAGGCAAAACAAGACAAGACAAGTCAAGGCAAATAAAGGCAAGCCAACGCAATGCACAAGATACGACAAGGCAGGGCTTAGCATGGCATGGCAGAGTAGGAAGGATACTGTACGGTATGGTAAAGTAGGGTAGAGTGAAAAAGATCCAAGGTCACTATCCTAAAAATATAAAACAAGATCCACCGTATGAAGGCGACAAATAAAAATTGGGTACTAATATTTCCCGACACAAACGACTCTGCCTCTATCAAGTTATGACCCAACCCAATAAACTTGTCAACCCTAAACCCGTCGCGTCTTGAAGACCGTCGAAAAGAACGTGGAGCGAATAATTGAATGTGTGTTTTGCCTACCGGCCGTTGCCCTTATAAAAGGCGGGGCGGAACCGGCCGCAAACTCGATGCCGGCGAACGAGATGGAAGGTTAGGTTCGTCTTGTGGGCGCTTCGTCGTGTATATTGCCTTTTCTCCAGGATAAGACCATGTATTCTTATGGTCGTGTCCCGCGGGAAATCTTCTTGTTTACTTACTTATACTCGTCAGTGTGTTTTTCGTTATGCCTTCTGGAGTTGATAGGTGGAAGCGAGCGGGAGGAACCGAGTCAATTTGAAATTGGAGCTTAATTATCCATCTTGTCACATGTTGATTTTTGGAATGTTATGAAGTTGTTTGAGGAAAATTCTAGGCATTGTTCGGATATTGATCTAGGAAGATTTGGGTGTCAGTTATGATATTGTTTTAGAAAGTTTTTGTGATAGTTGAGATGTTGTGATAGGGTGGTTTTATGTAAAGCTCAAAGAGTATTTCTGTATGATGGTGGAATTTCTGAAAAGAGTTTTGTATAGAGTTGGTGGTTCATAAGGTTGATTTGTGAAAAGTCAGTAATAAATTTAATGTTTTTTTTTGTAAGACGATTTGATGGTCTTTGGTTTACTGTAATAACTTAAAATGTTAGGAAAAATAGTTGTAGCCTTAGCCCTAGCATTATTTCTAGTCTTGGCTTGAGCTCTAGCTCTGCTTTCAGCCCTAGCCTTAGTTCTAATCTTGACCATACTTCTTCGTTAGCTTTTTACTGGCTTTGGTTTACTGTAGTAAATTTAGGAAACTAGTCCTAGCCTTGCTCTAGTTCTACCCGTAGTGTTAGCTAGGCGTGAGGAACGGCCTGAAAATCAAGACCGGCCTGTTTGCACAAAAAAGAATTTTTGGGCCGGGCCTGAGCAAAATTTTGATCAGGCCGGGCCTAACGCTCAGGCGGGAGCCGGCCTGTTTTCTATGTCTAGTGTTAGCTTAAGCTTCAGAATGGTTTAGCTTTACCCTAGCTCTACCCTAGATTTTGATTAGCTTCGTTTTACTGCAGTAAATTAGGTAAATTAGTTCTAGTCTTGCTTCTAACCTTACCTCTGGTTTCAGCCTTGACCCGAGCATAGCCTAGGTCGCTCAACTAAGTGAACACTTATGTTTTGTCTGTCTACAATGACAAACATAATGTGATATTACGAGTTTAATCAAAAACAGATCAAATTTCAATCCTAGAGTTGCTAAATACTTTCTTATATGAGCTCCATGGCTAAATTTTACGTCTCATTTTACTAGTAAAATGACCAATTTCTTGGGAAACATTAAATTAGGTTGAAAATTGTTTTAGCTACAGTGAAACCTCTGTACAACGAATCTCTAGGGGATTTACAATTTGTTCGTTATGCAGAGGTTTTGTTATATAGGGGTTCCTTATATAATTCTTATAAATTCTGAAGTTGATATGAAATGCAGAATACATAAACACATCAAGCTTACGAAGAAGTAATTTACGTAATGATGTGCAGAGATCATATTGAAACCTAAAAAACTTTGAAAATACGCAATTTATGTGACAAAAGACAATCTATATGATGAATAACAAACAAAACACAATTTATAAGAACTGACAAATGATTAGAAAGAATAGGCGTCAAGTTAAAAAAAAGTTTTGTCGTTAATTTACATTTGTCTGTAAGGCTAAAAACGACAAAAATTTTTTTTAATTTGAATTATAAGCGAAAAACAGAGTAAAATACGAAAATTAAAATTGCATATAAACATAAGTTTAAAATACTTTAAACACTGATAAATATTGACTGAGGCTTCGAAAAGTGTAACAAAAGTACATCAGATACTATGGGTACGTTGGGACTGCAAAACGCTTCAAAAATGACTTGTAAACATGTCACTTTTGATGGTTTTTGCAATAAATGTTTGTGTAAAAGTTTGAAAAGCTAAAATACTGAGTAAAATACGGTGATTCATTAGGGCGGGTTAGATTTGAAAGGGAACCTAGGGCTTAAAACCAAGGCCCTAGACACCTAGTTTAGGTCCCGCAACGACAGATTTGACTTGAAAAAAATTTAAAACTAATTTTACAGATTTTGCCAGAAGTAACCGAGTACTACAATGGTAAACCGGTCAATAAGGCAAAGCAGAATCAAAAGTTCAGTCCAAAAAGACTGTTTAAAGAAATATTCTTGCCAAGTGGATACCCTCACAGTGTCACCACTGATTACTTGGCCTATCAGTTCTGGGACACTGTACAAGCATTGGCTTCATCACTAACTGGAGTTCTATCGACGGCCGCGATTTTGAAGGGCGCTGGAGTTGGGAATCAGGTGGGTTAATGGCTTGTATGGTATGGGGGATACAGCGGGCAGAATACGGTACAGTAGGGGTAGGTTGGAATAGTGTAGAGTAAGGGAGGGTAGTGTAGGTATAGTAGGTTGGGCTTAAATAGGGATAGCTAGATTTACTGTAACGTAGCGTAGCTTTGGGTAGGAGGGGGAGGGATGACATATGTTACAGTAGCTTTAAACAGGCAAGGCATGGTTTGGCTTTTATTATGGAAAATTTATTTTGGCGTGTGTAGAGAAGGTTAAAGACAGGTATGAAATAGATTACGGTAGTGTAAAGTCAAGTGAAGTCATTTTTAAAAGATAGTCAGAGTAGGGGTATGGCTCAAAATAGAGGTTAGTACAGATGTATTAGTAAGGGTAGGGGTAAGATGATAAATATAAAGGGTAGGGTAGGGTAGCGTAGGGTAGCGTAGGGTAGCGTAGGGTAGCGTAGGGTAGGGTAGGGTAGGGAAGGGCAGGGTCGGGTAGGGTAAAGTATGGTAGGATATTGCAGGGTAAGGGTAGGGCTTTTATATAAGTAGTACTGTATTTTTCAGGAAGCTACAGTACTCTCGGCGGCGTTGTCATGGATATTGAAAGACGGTGTTGGTATGATTGGTCGAATCATTTTCGCTTGGTGCTATGGCACTTGCTTGGATTCGGGTGGGTTTTACTATAAGATAAAATAATGATTTTATATACTAATATATAAAATTTTTAACATGTATTCACGTATTTTACTTTGTAAAACTATTATATATATCTAAATTTATATTATTATAGACAGCAAACGCTGGCGTTTGATGGCCGACCTTCTGAATGACGTTTCCTTCTTCGTCGATCTTCTGGCCGGGTTCTTGCCACAATCCTACTTTGTCTTTATTGTTTGTATGTCAACATTGATGAGAACGATTGTTGGCGTATCAGGTGGGGCGACCCGAATGGCCATTATCAGACATCAGGCAAGGACTTTCTTTACAGTTTTTGAATTTTTAAGGTTTTGGAAGAAACTTTGTTTACAACTTTGAAAAAATGGCTTTTTACGAAAAGGGAAGAAACTTTCTTTACAAAAATGGAAAAATTTTTTTTGGTGTGTTTGAAGGAACTTTCTTTACAAAATTGAAAAAAATGAGTTTTTACGCAAAAACTTTCTTTACAGCCTTATTCTTCATTAAAAAACATAATTTCAGGCCAGACGAGAAAACCTAGCCGACGTAGCGGCCAAAGACGGCTCACAAGAAACCCTGGTCGGCCTGATATCACTGGCTTTGAGTATCATAACCTTGCCATTAGTCGAAAGCAACAAACATCTTGTTTGGATATTGTTTACCATATTGACTGCCATTCATTTGACTGCCAATTACAAAGCGGTTACTGTGCTGGAATTCGACGTGTTTAACGAAAATCGACTGAAAATTGTGGCAAAGTAAGTGGTTTTGTAGGTTTTGCGAAGAAACTTTGTTTACAAGCATTTTTTAAGTTTTTGACATTTTTTGTTTTGTAAAGAAAGTTCTTGCCATTTTGTGGTTTGTAAAGAAAGTTCTTACGATTTTACAGGGCGTCTTGTAATGTTTGTAAATAAAGTTTTTGCTATTTGTCATTTTGTATAGAAAGTTCTTCTCATTTCATGCTTTGTAAAGAAAGTTCTTGTCAACTTTTGTTTTGTAAAGAAAGTTTTCGCCATTTCATGTTTTGTAAAGAAAATTCTTGCCATTTTTTGTTTTGTAAAGAAAGTTATTGCCATTTTTTTTGTAAAGAAAGTTATTGAATTTTAAACCTTAATTATATACTTTTAGAGAATTTACAAAATCCGGTCGAATTTTACGAAAAAAAGAAGCGAATTCACGCGAAAATCAGCAATTGTTCTGCTTCGAATCCAAAAATCGATATTATGGATGCTCATTGAAGAAGATTGAAGAGTTTGAATCAAAAAAGACTGTAAAATACGCTGTTGGCGGCTGTAATGCAATTATTGCCTACAATGAAAAAGAAGGTGGAGCCATTTTCAATAAGGATATCACTGTTAAAGAACTACTTTTGGCCGCTTTTCGATTGGAATTTGAAATTTTGGGAAGGTGGGTTTGAATTTTTAAAAAACAGTTGAACACCTGTAGATTAGGGTAGGGTTGGGCAATTTATGTTAGAGTAGAGTAGTGAGGGTAGGGTGATATGCTGTAAAACTACGAAAAAATTGAGGCTATTATAGAGGTAAGGTCGATGAACATTTGGGCTGGTATGGTTAAGTTAAGTGTGGAGTAGGGTAAAAGATGGCGGGGGAGGATAGGGTGGGGGCAGGGGCGTAGCTACAGATTTTTTCTTGGAGGACGGAAGTCAAAAAAGTTTTTTTTTTTGGTTTACAGGCAGGGTAGGTATCTTATTCTGCAGTTGTCTGCCTTACTCTATACTACTTTAACCTACCCTATCTTGCCTTATTCTACCCTTTTCTGCCCAACCCCACCCTATTTTTCCCTACCTTACTCTACCCGACCAGTGCATCTATTTTAAGTTAAAGAAAAACAGCATACGGTTTTATAGGGTAGGGTAAGCTATTGGATGGCAAAGTAGTTTGTAGTAGGGTGATATAAAGTTTGGAAGATCATAGTGATTAACAAAGTAATTAAAAATATTAATTTTTTAAAATTTGTAAAATTTGTGTTGTAAAATACGGTGTAGGAATCATTTGTTTGCATTCTTTAAATTATAGCACCAAATTCGACGCCACAGAATTTGCCGAAAAACTGAAACGAAATGGTTGGTCGTTGGACTCGCATCTTTTGTTAATGGACGAGTATTCGTTTGAGGATTAACGAGAAAATAGCATAATATTATACTCTAGTTGTTATTTATTAAAACATTACTATTTATTTATTGTTTATATAAATATTTTTTGTCATAACAAAGTTGGCTGACTAAATTTTTAATTTGGAGAGGGTCACAAAAAGTTTTGACGCTTTTAACCTTGCAAAATTCGATTGTGATATGAAAAAGCAACCAAATGTTATTGCTTAGGCCAAAGCTTAAAGTAGGGTAAGGCTTAAAATTGTCAGAAAAGGCAAAATGTTTAGCCAGGAGCATACAGACTATCAAAAATTTAAAATCTGATTATTTTGTTTATAAGACGGTGTTTTTAAATAAGTTTTAAAAGTTTATTAAAATCTGCTGCCATAGCAAATGTTATTACTTTTTAAATTTTTTATTATGTTGTTAACACAGTGGAACTCATGTCAATACACATGTCAACCAACTTTTCTGTGACAAAAGACCCATATGTAACAAACTTTAAATTCCCGCACGATTCGTTATACAGAAGACCCACTGTATCTGTAAGCTAAACGCTTTCTAGGTCAAAACAAGCGGTGGCTTACATAAAAGAGGCACTACGCGCCAAAAAGAGCCTCCTTATAAAAAGGGGCAGTACGTTTTAGCGCGTCGCTTTTTGCCTGCCATTCATTTATCTCCAACCCCTTATTCTCATTCGATCTCAGGTGAACTAACGCTTGTTAGTTTAATATTATTGTTAAAGTTTTTGATATTTTTATCAAATTAATATTTTTAAAGATGTTCGCTCCAGCTGTAAGTTTTTTAAACATTTTTTGCTTTGTACTTTTTAAAAAAGTTTTTCTTGTTGTTAGTAATTTTTAACATAGTAAAAATCGCTTAAAAGTCTTTATATTAGGTTGAACTAAAAGTAGCGGGACACTTTTCATTTATTTTATAACTAAAACTGTCCCGCTACTTTTGTTCAACCTAATAGTAATAAAAAGTTGTTTATGAATTTGTTTTTTATAGGTTTGGTCTAAAATCATTGGCCACGTTGAATTTATGGAAGATGTAGCTGCCTTGGCCACGATCAACAAGGAGTTCTACAAATTTGTTGGAGTCGACTTCAAGAAGATCTGCCATGACAATTTAATTGTTCGTGGTCAGACAGATGAGTGTTGGGCGGACGTTGTAAGAGAGTAAGTTATTTTTATTACACTGTTTTTATAGCTTTTTTTACACTTGTTTGGACGATATTATTGTAATGACGTATGTTGAAACAAATTTGTAGTTTTGTACAATATGTAACAAACACAAATGTAACAACGCAAGACATAAATAAATGATTGTAGTTACAGTTATTAGTATATAGAAATTTATTTTATTTATTTTAGTGCTGAGCATCGCCTGTTCTACAACTGTACCAACAACTTTACGTGGTGCCGGTTTACGGGTGCATTGGCCGTTAAGCAGTATGGCAATAAAGTTTTGTTGGCCAACCTGGACTTTTCGACCGCTGGGGGTTTTGTCATTTCCGCCCCTAGCGAAATCGTGAGGCTTCAGTTTATAAACAGAGGAACCCATCTGATCATCACTACGGAAAAAGGGTTGCTTCTGTTCGACACCATCAACAAAGTATACCTGGCCAACTACAGATGCAACTACTTCAAAGCATCAAATTATGTAATCCAAGTGGACGATCAAAAAATATTCGACATGTACACGCAACAGGTGGTGGACTTCAACTACGCACGTGTCACCTTCATATATTATAATAATCCTACCGACTACAGGAAGCACCTTGTGCTAATGAACAAGCAGGAGGAGTTGATTGTCCTAAATTTGGAAACAATGGAGCAAGTGAAGCTATGCAATTTGTTTGCAGAAGAAGTTCAAGTACGGATATTGGCGGAAAGCGAATCAGTATTAGTTGATGGTAAGTAAATTGTAAAACAATATAACGATGTTTAAGTTAAATGTAAATCAATACGAAAATTAAATTTTACGATTTTAGATCAAGATCGATTCACGATCTTCAGTTTGATTACGGGAGAGGTGTTATACGACGGATGGTTGACGTACAGCATGAATCGGAGCATACTGTCCGAAAACGTCATTGAGTTTTTGGATAAAGATGAGGTATGTCTATTTAAAATACAACAATCTGAAAACAATCATTTTTTTAATTCCTACATGGTCTCAAAGTCAACTTTAACTATGCATCAGTACAATAATATTGCAAAAAGTAATTTCCAATTTATAGGTACTGTATTACGATTCACAGGCCAAACAATGGATATCTAAAAGAGTACAGTCAAGGATCTCAACCGCCGTTTTATCCGACTACTACAACATTCCGAATAATGGTCACAGCACCATTCATTTTGTTAACGAAAAGGCTGAGATGACGAATTTCTTTTATGCTGAAAGTATTAAAAGTAAGTTATTCAAACAATTTTTTTACTATTGATTACACAAACTTTAAAACACAATAAAATACTTTATTATTATACTGCGACAGAGTTTCATGAAAATATTATAGATGAACTCTTCATCAAAAGCTTCAAGCCCGCACCGTATTGTAAACAATGGTTTGAACAGCCCTTCGAGAAAACCGTGAACGACATACTGATTGCAATGGACAAACGGATTCAACAGGAAACGCAGACAGAGTTTGTAGGTGAAGTCGTGGAGTTTCAATACGAGGACCCGGAGGAACAACTAATGGTTCAAAGATGTATAGAAAACTTCCAGTATGTTCACGAGGATGATAGATTAAATGGATACATGGATTTTGAATAATTGATTGTAAAATTGGTGCTAAACGGTTATGTAACTAATAAATATATATTGTTATTAACTTTTGCATTATGCTTTGGTATTGAAACATGAATACGTTTTTAAGAGGAAATTTGCGGGTTTTGAAATATGTTTTCTTTTTTGTCTGTAGTCCAGCAGTTAGAAGTAAAATTATTATTGAACGGATTCTTTGTGATATAGTTTTTTCATTTATTAATAAAACAAAACAAAAAAGCACAGAACAAACATTCCAATCACGCTAACTTGCAACGAATTAGCTGCTTTTGGTTTGTCTGCTAGCCATTTTCGAATCTCTTCCTTATATTTCTTTCGTGCTTCGAAGACATGAGGATTATTGCCAGCCTTCAAATCGTGACAATGAGTACCGTTTTGAATAGTAAAGGTCACAATTGATTTATCGTCAGTGTTGTACTGTGTTAAGCCTTGACCACTCCATGGGTCCAACTCCGAGTTGGTTATTATCATATTTTTGGTGTTGAAGATGTTTGTGACACCATAAATGTCCCATGAATTTTGAACGTACTTTTCAATTTGTTCATAGGTGTAGTTGGAGCCAAAGCGTTGTTCACATTCTCTTGAATTTGAAAAATTTTTAAAAAATTTGTGTTTTTGATATGAACATAAGAAAAACGGTTACTTTACTAATTTGTATGTCTAAATTAAGGCCTAAGACATTTGAAAAGTAAAAAAAAGTTTTTCGCTTACTTTTGAAAAACTTCTTTGATGTCATAACTGCCTTTAGCAAAGCAACTTTTGTCGTTTGGTGAGTAGAAAAAGCCGAATTCATTACAAACTTGCCATAACCATGACCCCCAAGTTTTGTTTTGGAAATCGTCAGCAGTGAATTCGAAATGGCTAGCCATTTCAGTTAGTGGTTTTTCCGTTTTTACATCAAAGTTTTTGCACTGAAAAGCATGATTTTAAACTTAAAAAATATATATATCTTGGTTACAATAGGAGTAGATTAAGTAGGGTAGGGTAGAGTAGGGTAGGGTAGAGTAGGGTAGGGTAATGTAGGGTAGGGTAGGGTAGGGTAGGGTAGGGTAGGGTAGGTTAGGGTAGGGTAGGGTAAGGCAGGGTAGGATACGGTAGATCAGAGTAGGTTATTGTACGGTATGGTGGGTTAGAGTCAGGGCTGGACGCAGGGCAGGGCATTTCAACAGGGCATTTTTTTGAATTTCGTTTTCCCGCCAAACTCATATCTTGAAAACTGTAATAGCTATCAAGAAAATAACAATGTAAAATGGATTAGCAGTGTTTAAAATCCATTTCTAGAAATTTTTGCGTTTTTAGGCCTAGCCAAAAAAAAATTTAAAAAAAAGCGCGCCAAAAAAAACAATTCAAAAATGCCCTGTTACAGGGCCCATGCCCTGCCCTGCGTCCAACCCTGGTTAGAGTACTTACAATTCCATCGACGTTGAATTGAATCTGAGTGTATGCATCTGATACGACATGGTATGAAAACCAATTTCTTTCGTGTTCATTAGTCAAATCGTATCTTTTGGACAAGTCTTTGTACAACTTTTTCAAATCATCGTATTTATTTTGGTCTTTTATCATGGTTGTGAACTGCTTTAGAGCTATTTCTAGTTTGCCGTGACATTCTGGGTTCCTCTTCTTGTAGCCTTCTTGGGATATTTCCATGAAGCCTAGAGTTACATTATTGGGTTTAGGTATCAAGTATAATATGAACTTGTAATATATATTTTGTAACGTTTCTGGCATTGACGTAGTTTACAAAGAGTTTCGAATACACTTTTTTAAATTTCAAAAATTTAAAAAATCCAAACTCACTAGTAAAGTTAACCACCGATTTGATGGGTGCCGACGAAGAGATAGCTCCAACGGTTAAGTCAGGGTACATTTGTCTGAACCATAACGACAACATTCCTGGGTACGATCCGCCAATAACAACCCATTTGGCATTTGGTATGATTTCGTTTTGAGCTCGGATAAAGCGGCTCAAATCTTCAATGGCTTGATCACTGGATAGGTATTTAAAGTCTTTGGCTGTTTCGGGGTTACTGTAATAAAAATGTTGTAAATAGGGTATAATTAAGGGTAGGGGAAAGAAGAATAATGTCGAGTAGACTAAATAAGATCGGGAAGGGTAGGAAAAAAGAGTACAGGTTAAAGCATATCATAGCAAGGCAGGGCAGAATAAGAGGGTAAGGAAAAGCAAAAAAAGTAAGGTCAGGGCCAGGGCCAGGGCCGGGCGGGGACTTTTGGTCTGGGGGCAGGGGTAGCTACCTGTGCCGATTTTTTGCAAATTTTTTTTTCCAAAAATCCACAGGGGGGACCACGTTCAACTTTTTCCAAAAATTTTTTTCTAGGAGGGGGGGTACCCCCTCCCACCCTCGCGCCCGGCCCTTATCAGGACATATCACAGCAAGGCAGGTCACGACAGATCAGAACAAGGTAGAGCAATTTTTAGATTGGGCTAGGCTAGCTTACTGAACAGGATAACTCCTTGAATAATATCGGTGTTCAAGTTTAAAAACCGTAGCATTAAAAGTTTCATGTAGATCATCAACAATGTCTGGGTAGGAGGTACTATCAGCTGTAAATTCAGGTGTTTTAACTTCATTTGGAGCTTCACCCAGTATATACAGGATATGGACGTTTGAGGTACCATTATGGGTTTGGGTGTAGTACTAAAAAATTTTTTTAAAATTTTTTTTAGGTAAATGTAGGGTAGGGGTAAAAGTAGGGTAGGGGTAATAGTAGGGTAGGACTAATAGTAGGGTGTGGGTAAAAGCACTGTAGGGGCAATAGTAGAGTAGGGGTAATAGTAGCGTAAGGCTAAAAGTAGGGTAGGGGTAAAACTAGCGTAGGGATAACAAATAGGAAAGGGGTAGAAGTCGGGCGTGTAACTAGGGGAGGGGTAAAAATAAAAAAAATTTTGCAAAAAAAAATATTTTTACCTGTTTGTACGTGTCAGTGCCACTTCCGTAATTATCTTTTAACGCTAAAATATAAGTCCCCTTCTCGTCTTCTCCAAATACGTCATCTTCTTCGGCTCTTAGACACTAAAATAAAGTGTTTAGGCTTAAAAAAGTTGAAATCAAAATTATTTTTAAAATTTTAAGTTTTTAAAAACTTCAAAGGCCACTTACTTGTAACGTCAATAGCAACAAAAAGCTCCACTTGATTGCTGCCATTTTGCTACAAAAAGTAATCGAATTTTGATTGGAAGCGCTTTTTAAACAAAAACGTTTGTCTTATCACACGATGACTTCAATTATTAGATTATCAGTTGAAACTGTTTTAATTAGAAGAGTTAAAAAATAGTTGACTCATTATTACAGTCTGTCCAACGTTACTATCATACATCTCATTCTACAGAGTGGCGTAGTGTAACGTACGGGTAGGATAGGGAAGGATAGGATAGGGTAAAATAAAGTAGATTAGGATAGATTATGGTAGGGTAAAAAAAGTTAGGGTAGGAAGGGATAAGGCAAGGTAGGGTAGCATAGGATAACGTATGGGTAGGGAGGGTCACTTATCTGTATCGATACAGTGAAGTATATTATAGTAAAGTTGGGTAGGAAAGGATAAGTAGGTCAGAGCGAGGAAAAAGTAAGGTAGAATAGAGTAGGGTAGAGCTGAGTAGTGTAGGGTAAGACAAGGCAAGGCAGGGCAGGGCAGGGCAAGGCAAGGCAAGGCAAGGCAAGGCAAGGCAAGGCAAGGCAAGGCAAGGCAAGGCAAGGCAAGACAAGACAAGGCAAGGCAAGACAAGGCAAGGCAAGACAAGGCAATGCACAGTAAGGTAAAATAAGATATTTTTGAAAAAATTAAATGTTAATGTTGTGTACTAGTACAAAACGATGTAGGCCTCAATTTTGACAAAAATGTGTTGCTTAACACTGACTACACATACAATAAAAAATCATTTCAAGATTAATAAAAAGAAAGAGTAATGTCGTGTGACTACAAACACGCATTAGTAATTATGGTACAGCTTGTGTCAGCCCTAAATGACTAACGATTTCTTCAAAATAAACATGTCTATCTTGAACTATGCCTTTTACAAAAAATGTGCTCGATTGAGCGATATGCTTGAAAGAAGGGTAGTCATTGTATGTTTTGTAACAAAAAATGACGTGATACACGAGTTTGACACTAAAAAATGTAATAAAAACTTTATTGATATCAATGACAAACAAAACGACACATTTGGTCGTAATATAACGTGAAGTAGAGTGATAAGGTTTCGTAGACAGTCAGTTTTTAATGAATTAAAAGTCATTTTGATTTACTAAATGGTTAATGTTTGGTACCACCGATGTAGTAGGGTAAATTAAAATACAGTATGGCGGGTCGGGATAAGTTAAGGTAGATAATATATAGCTGGGTACTTTTGTACGAAATAGTGTAGGTAAGGTAGGATAGGGCCATGTAGAGTAGATTAAGATACAGTAAGGTTGAGTAAGGAATATAGGGTAGAGTAAGGTAAGCGACAGTAACATAGGGTAGGGTAAGGTAGGGTAGAATAGGATAGGGTAGAAAAATTTAAGGTAAAGAAAAGTTTTCCAAGTTTAGATAAGGCCATATTAAAGTATTGTAAAGCAAGATCAAGCTAGGTTATAAATTGAAATTAGCGTATAAAGCCGCTAAAAGCTAGGGTATGTTCGGATAGGGCATTGTAAAGTATGTAAAGCTACATAGAGAAAACTACTATCAAAGTAAGAAAGTCCAGATCAAGTAACTTCCTCTACCCTGTCTTTCGTGTAAAGGAAGACAAGGCAGAGAAGTTTTAATCATACATTACTCTACTTAGTTAAAGTAAAGTAGGCTCAAGCCAAGTCTGCTGTAGTAAAGGTGCAGGAACTTTAATATGACATAGAGAAGATCGCAACGATGGTAGGTAAGGGTATGAATTCAACTACTATATAGTCTTATAAAACCCTCTTGCCAAAAAAATCAACTTTGCTTAAGTAAAAAGGTTTTATTAACTCAAAAAACTGTTAACAATGATTACTATCGCCATTACTTCACTATATTTCCTAAAACACCTTAATTCCACATGTCCAAGACGATTCTTCCATTGACCTCATTCTTCAACAGCCTCTTGAACACGTCACTGATGTTCTTCAAAGGTTGCATTTCAACCGGAATCTTGATCAAGCCTCTGGCGAAGAAGTCCAAAGCTTCGTCCATATCTTGCCTCGTACCAACGTGTGATCCTTTCACCGTAATCGAACGTAGAATCGCCCAAAATACCTTGACGGTTACGGTGGCATCTTTTGGCAGGGCTACCAGGACTACAGTACCACGAGTACGGACGTAGTCGATTGCGGTTTCGGCCGCTGATGGGGTTGTAGCCAGGTTGAGAACACCGTGAGGGCCACCGTTGGTCAGACGTTGCACTTCCGAGGCAACGTCGGCTTTTCCGTAGGCATCGACGAACCATTCGGCTCCTGGAAATGGTTTTTATATTGCTTTGTTTTACTGTAACCGACCGTACTCCACCTTATTTTAGTCTACCTTACCCTACTCTACCATGTCCTACCCTATTGTACTTTACTCCACCGTACTCTACTATCCCCTACCCTACATTAACATTCCCAAACCCCACCCAAAGCCATCCAATACACTCTCCCCTACCCCAACCTACCTAAATCTCTGCAATGTTGTTCCTTCTCCTTCCTGGTAATAGCCAATACTCTCATACCCATAGCCCGAGCATACTGAATAGCCATTGAACCCAAGCCACCCCCAGCTCCATTAATGGCCACGATCTGTCCCGGCTTCACATCAGCCTCCTTCAAGGCTTTGTATACAGTAAGACCAGCACACATCACCGGAGCTACCGTCTTCATATCAGCTTCAGCTGGAATTGGAGCGGCTTCTGAAGCCTTGCACGTTGCGTATTGTTGGAAAGAACCGTCACGATGGTACCCGGATAGGACTAGGTTAGGACAGTTAGTCTCGTAGCCACGTTTACAGTACTCGCAGGATAGGCAGGAGGAGTTCATCCACTAAAATTAACAAAAGTTTAATTTAAAATGGCATTTTTTTGATGTTTTTAAAATTTTTAATGATCTAAAGTAATATTTTGCTCTAAAACTATAAGTTCCCGCCAAAAATAACATCTTTTTCATATGAAATACTAACCAGAAGACTTTTATGTATATTCTACACCCAATTTAAAATCTATTTACCCACCGTGCCTCCTTCTGAAGCCCCAAAACTCACCTTAACTCCAGCCCGATCCCCGACCTTGAAGTTGGTCACATTTGCGCCAACCTTGACGACAACACCAGCTCCTTCATGTCCTCCAACGATTGGTGGGTTCTTGATTGGCACTGGAAAGTCACCGTCCCAAGCATGGACATCAGTTCGGCATACACCTGCAATATTACTTTAGATTTCCAAAAAAGTAAGAAAAAATTGGAGGTGGTCCAACTAAAACGATGTTTTCGCTAACAGAATATAACATAATATACCGTATTTTAAAGCCAATTCTTTAGGCTATCTTTTAATACCAAATTTGCAATATTAAACTTACCGGAGTACAAGATTTTGACCAAAACATTTTCGGGACCAATCTCTGGAACGGGGATCTCGCGAACTTCCACTGGGCCTTTGTGGGCATCATAAACGGCAGCCTTTTGGGTTCTTGGTACGTCGGACATGTCGAACTCTCGGAAATATACCACCATACGCTAAAATGTTACCTACTTTATTCCTATTTCTTAATTATATTATTTTAGGTTATCAATCTAAAACAATATCGCTAAAATTGGCCATAACACTTTTCTTTTTGACTAAAACAATATTCTAATTAATGAAAAATGGGTAGAAAAGGCTTGTTGAAATCAGAAACATGTACTTACCCTTATATACCATGATTTATTATCAGTAATTTGGCTGTTTCCATAAAAACTGTTCAATTAAGCACAGTGACCTCAACATTCTTCATTGTTCGTCAATGTAGGTGGTAAAGTTTTTCAACACGTACTTTAATGATAATGCTACAATAATTCTACTTAACAGACATAAAAAACGGCTTACCTCGCTTTATCAGTAATTTTCCGGTTCGAGCAAAGTTTGTTCATTTGGGCTTCTGATCAAAGGTTTGTACTAATAGCGATTAATCAAAAAATTGGCTAAAAATAAATTTTTAAGATTAATATCATTTTTCGGGTAACATATTAACTTAATATTGTAATATTAACACTAAAAGTAGCTATTTGGCAGAAGAATGAATCTTCGTACAATGATAAAGGCGCAGGCTGCAGAACAAAATTTTGTTTTTGCGCGCGAGCTGCGCAAATAAATATTTATTAGAAATTGGAGAAAATAAACAAAGATAACTTGATTATGTGTATATTTTATTGATAAAAGACTCTATAATTTATATTTTTGATTAATAACATTAGAAGAAATCAATTTATTTATAAAAAATGGACTCAACACTTGAAACTCACTTATGGGACGGACAGGCAAGTTCTTTGAAATTGTTTTATGTTTTTAGTTATTTCAATGATCTTTAAACTATATGTTGTATACATCAAAAGCTTCAGTAAAATGTATAGCATCTTTTAAATTACAATTTTATTGTTTTAGTTTACAGTCCAACAAGATGAAGAGCAATATGCGAAGATGTCTCAAATATTGGACTTGCTAGTGTCCGCCGGCTATTTTCGGGCCAAAATCGATGGTCTAAGTGTGTTTGATAAGGTTAGTAAGTTGTATTTTACATGCTCCAATGTTTTTAAATTTAGATTGTTGGTGGAATGGTCTGGTGCATTCAGTTATGTGCCGAAGTTGTTGATGTTGACCTACTTTACTCGGAAAACTCGTCGATTGGACAAAAAATGTATGATGATTTTAGGGATTCGATATGAAAAAGTTAAAATAGATTAATATTGACATTTTGGGATAAATAGAATGGTCAAAAATTGACGTTTAATATAGTTATGAGGGTTTATATTAGGTATAGGTCACGGGTAATATTCTTTGTTTCAGAGCTCTAACTCAAAATATTGTGAAAGTGTTGCCTAATTTCAAATGCCCACATGCCATAGAGCCTCATCAGATTCAAGGACTTGATTGTATCAACATTTATCCAGTTGTTCAGGTAATTTATCTTATTATTTTATCTAACTTTATATAATAAAGCAAAAAGCATTTACTATTTTAATATTTCATTTCAGTGGTTAGTAAAAGAAGCCATAGAAGCTAAAAAGAAACACGGAGACGAGATTTTACGATATGCAAACTCACAATTTAAGAACACAGGTTGGGAAGTTGAGGATGATTTGGAAAAGCCATTTAGTTCAAATGAAGCTGAGAGGCCTAAACCCTATAGGAAGATGGAGCGGACGACAAAAACGGAATTTAAGGACATTAAGGATGATGTTAGAAGCACTTTACTTGAGTTTGGATTGTAAGTTTTACTTTTATAGGCGAGTTATGATCAATTATATTATTTTAGAGACGTATCAGATGTAGTGAAGAAAGAAACTCAATTTGATGATGATCTTGGCCGAGAAAAACGAAAAGAACTTGAAGAATCATTCCTTCGTGACCTCAAGATAGCAGAACAACTTAAAAACGATCTAGTTGAGGCGGATCCAGTCCAGCAGAAGCGAGTTTCGGCCAGGAAGGTCAATTCTATAATCGATTCCACTGCTTTGGAAAAGGTCGCTAAAGATTCTGAAGGCTTAAGACTGGGACGAATTGAGGAATCTGAACAAAGTTTAGAGGAAATGGAAGTTAGGTTAAAAGAGGAGTTGGATAATATACAACGAGAAAACAAGGAAATAGAAGAGGAAGTAGAGAAAAATAGGGAAAATTTGAATAAAATTGAGGAAAAAGAAAGAGAATATGATGAATTGGTCAAGAATACTGATCCTGGTGAGTTTGGTGATGTTGAGGATGTTAACTTTTGTATATTTTGTGGAATTTTAAATTTTTGGAAAAAAATTTTGAAAATTTAATACCTAAATTTGATTTTTTCGATTTTTTGATATTTAAAATTTTTTTAATTTTTTGGTATTTGAATTTTGATTCTTTACAAGTTTTTAGGCAAAAAAATTATGTTTTGTTACCTAAAAACCAAATTTTCATGTTTTTTGGAGCTTTTGATACCTAAAAATAATTTTTTAAAATTTTTTCAAACTTTTTGTTACCTAAAATCTTATTTTTCAGACCTTTACAAACAAATAACGGACCTTTTGGACCAATGCCAAGAAATGCGAAACCACGAATCTGAATTCAAACGTGAATGTCGACGTCAAATCGAGCAAGTCGAAGCGGAAATCGACCGTCTAAAACAAATAGAAGGTCCAGATGCATCAGAAGTTGAACATCTTACTCAAGAATTTCAAAAACTCGAAGCAGAACTAGCTGAAATCAACGAAAAAGTGTTCTATATGTCGAAGAAGATTGATCAGAAGCCGAGTCAGATCGAACTAAACCAATATCAAAGAAGGTTTATTGAGTTGTACAACTTGGTAACAGCGAAACATCTGGAAGCGAGGAGGTTGTACATGTTGAATAACCATCTTGTCGATGCTTGCAAGTTTATAAAGAGAGAAATTGATCTGCTGATGAATATTGATGAACAGAAGGAGCTGTAAGTTGTGGTTTTGGCTGGGGAAATTAAATTTTAAAATTTTAGGTAATAAAGGGGGTTTTTGGCTAAGAAAATGAAATTTTTAGGCAATAAAAGGTCGAATATAGCTCATAATTTTATAATAACACAAATATAATACCTTTTATTACCTAAAAATATAGCTTTTAGTCTAATATCAGGGACTTAAAAAGTTTTGTCGTTTTTTGCCTTGCGTAACATAGCGAATAGACGACAAGACTTTGTTAATGTACTAATTATGAGACAAGACTCATATTTTTAGGTAATAAAAGGTTGACTAGACTTTAAACTTACCAATGACATTGATTTTAAGATTAAAAAAGTCTTGTCGTCATTTCTCTATGATTTACACGGAAAAAAACGACAAGACTTTTATAATGCTTTAATGATAAGGCAAAACTTACAATTTTGGGTAATAAAAAGTTGCCTAGTCTTTAAAATTGCCAATATCATTAAAAGGCTTAAAAAAGTCTTGTCGTTATTTTCCTATGATTTACACGACAAAAAACGACAAGACTTTTTGTCACTCTAATTATGAGGTATAACTGAAAAAAAAAGCTTTCTTTAGGTAACAAAGTATATAAATATAACTTTCCAGATCAATAAAAGAAGCCTACAAGGTGTCATTCGTGGATAACCTACGAAAAATAGTGGCAGGCGTCGAGGAGAGTGTGGAGAAGATCCTCAAGAAGCGGGCTCAAACCCAACAAGCAAAAGATGTGTCATTCCGAGCACTACAAGACCTGAGAAAGCAGAAACGATTGTATATCAAGACTATCGCTGATTTCCAACATGAATGCCAGAAAAACGAGAAATTGAGGGAAAAGCTGGGGGAATAGTCTGTTTTTTTTTTGGTTTTTAAAAGATTTTTAAGGAATACTGTAGTTTTGAGTCAAAACTTTTGAGGGTTCACTGTAGATATTTTTTTTGTATTTTTTAGCTTTATTTTGAGATGTATTTATTTTGATTTTTTTTATTTTTTATTTACTCATATTTTGCCATATCTCTATAAAAATGACGAGTTTCAACTTTAAAAACGCTGATTTTATGTCAAAAAATAAAATTTTTTTTAATTTTTTAAAAAACTTTCTGACAAATAGTGTAAAAATCAATTCGTTGTAGTAAGAGACCAAATACTTTGGTGATGGTAACACCTGGAAAAATACATAATTGATTTTATGTTAAAGGTATTAGAGCCATAAAATGATGGGAATTCTGCTACGCATAATATGCAAGCTCCAAAATGAAATTCTGATTTGTCCTAATGAAGTAAAAGCTGGTAGAAAAGAGAGATTTTGGGGCAGGAATTGGAGAAGAATCTTTTCTATACCCTACCCCTGTTTATATTCGCATCCCTATCTCTTATCCTTACCCCTACCTTTGTCACAAAACTATGTTACGTCCTACGTTTTAAAGGGAAATTATTTATTTGTTTTTTAAAAACATGTTTTACAGTAAAACTACTACGTGATTTTGCATGAATTACCCCAATTTTTGCATTAGTCATTACAATAATATATTATATTACGGATTAAAAGCAATATTATGTTTACTTTCATATGTTGTTTTTTAAACTGTATTTAGTTGGTAAACGTATAGCTTGAGCTTCTAAACTTCTATTTATTAGCCTAAACTTTAGGAGAGAGGATAACGTAAAATGGGGTAGGGTAATGTAAGGTCGGGGTAAGGTCAGGGGTATAAGATACAAGCAGTGTTTTGCCGGACCGGTTCGGTCCGCAGACGGGTCCGGTCCGGACCGGACGGACCGAAACAAAATTTTTTGCGGACCGGACCGGACCCAAAATCCTGCGGACCCGGACTGAAGAAAAAGCTCCGGACCGGTCCGGAAAAATTTTTTTTTATTTTATTAAAACTGCTTTAAAAATTGCAAAGAAAACATATTTTTAAGTGTTTTTAAACGTAGAAAAAAGCAATTTTAGCGCTCTTTGCTTTTTTTAAAAATAAAAAGAAATTTTTTTGCGGACCGGACTCAAAAATTTGAAGTTTGGACCGGACCAGACCCGAAAATCGCCGGACCGGACCGGTGAAAAACGCTCCGGACCAGTCCGGGCAAAACACTGGATACAAGTCAAATTTGCTCATAGACATGCGATTGCTATTTTGCACTTTTCAGTTCATTATTTTGTGAATGCTTGTTGAATGTTTCAAATTATGAATTCAACTTTCAATTCACACGTTTTGTTTTTATTAAATTCGTAAAAATACTTTTCATTTTCACGCATGAAGAGACGGAAACGTGGGGGTATAGCTCAGCGGTAGAGCAATCGACTGCAGATCGATAGGTCCCTGGTTCAACTCCGGGTGCCCCCTAGTCATGTTTTTGCTAATTTTAAAATTTTTTGTAAATTTAAAATCAAAAACTTTATTTTCAAACTTGGGATGCCTTGTATATCCGGGGCTAGGGCGAAAGCAAAAAAAATGGGTAGTGTAAGGAGGATTAGAGTAGTGTAGTATAGGGCGGGGTAGAACAATACAGGGGCAGGGATAGACTAATATAAGGCCAGATAGGACAAGGTACGGTTTAGGGTAGTGAAGGGAAGGATGGAACAGAGGTAACGGTAGGGTAGGGGTAGTACTAGGGGTAGGACTAGAGGGAGGAGTAGAGAAGGGTAGAGTAACAATAGGGCAGTAGGGGCCGTGTAGAGGAGGGTAAGGTAGAATAGGGTTGGGTAGGGTAGGGTAAGGTACGGTAGGGTAGGGTAGGGTAGGGTAGGGTAGGGTAGGGTAGGGTAGGGTAGGGTAGGGTAGGGTAGGATAGAATAGGGTTGGGTAGGGTAAGGTATGGTAGGGTAGGGTAGGGTAGGGTAAGGTATGGTAGGGCAGGGTAAGGTAGCGTAGCTTAGAGTATGGTAGGGTAGATAAAGGCAAGGTAGGGTAGGATTAAGGTAGGGGTAGAGAAGTGTAGGGTAGGTATGTTATTACAATATACCAACCTCTCTTTGTGATTATTAATTCCTGCTTCTTACTTTATCACCATCACTTATCAAAACTTTGTTATTTTGTCTACATTTCCAAGACCACACTCGACTTTACCGAGTTTTTATGTTATGATAGTTTATTACTTTGTTATCACATCAGTTATGGGCCTTTTCTGGTGCACTTTTAAATGAAAAGTGCATTTTTTATTTGAAAATTACATTTGTGAAATCAGCGTGAACGGTGAAAAGAAAATTGTTATCAAAAGACACTTTTTTATATTGCTGTAGAGGGGAGGGCTATCAATCAGTAGGGGTAACTTATAACAAAGTGATAAGTGATACAGACAAAAAAAAACTGTGTTGATTTTTACGGCAGCGATGGTGGGTGGTCGAGGAAGGAAGGCTAGATTGCGTTTGTTTGGTTGGAAATGGAAGGGTTAGGCTTAGGTTTAGATTTATTTTTAGGCTAAGGTTAGGCTTAGATTTAAGATCAAACTTCGGGCTAAGGCTGCGACTATGGTTTGTGCTTAGACATAGATTTTGACGCAGGCTTAGCTTTGGGCTTAGGCTTCAACTTATGCTTAAACTCGAACTTAGGGTTAGTCTAGCGCTGGCTTGGCTAGGGCATGGCGGGAGCTGAGACAAAGGCTAGTGATAGGACATAGGCTAACACTTAGGCCAGGGCTTAGACTAGGGCTTAGGCTAGGGCTTAGGCTAGGGCTTAGGCTAGGGCTTAGGCTAGGGCTTAGGCTATGGCTTAGGTTAGGGTTAGGGCTATATGGCTTGGAAGGATAAGATAAAGTTCACCATTTTTAACCAAATATCACCATATGTTATACTTTAACCTTCTAATTCACTAAAAATGTCAAAAAAGCAAGATACAAACAATTTTTTTTATCAATACCGTCTTTGTTACAAAATAAACAATGCATTGGTAAGCCGTTTATCAGTGAAAGTAGATCAGATGGAGTTAATTTTGCATTTTTGGCAAGATAAAGGTTTCAAAAAGCATATGACCTTTTACGTGCAACTTGTCATAGACATTCGTAATGATTTTTTGAACTTGAAATTTAGTTTTATTAAGTTAGGCTTGGCTTGCCTTTTTTTGCTTTTGCATTAGCTCTAGCTCTAGTCTTAACTCTAGCTTTTTCAATATCCTAAACCCTGGCCTACGCCCTTGCTTAAGTCATATCCCTAGCTCAGAACTCTAGCCCAGAGCCCTAGCCTACAGCCCTATCCCGTGGCTTTAGCCGAAGCTCTAGAAATAGAGCTAGCCCTAGCTCAAGCCCAGAGCCCTAGCTCAGGGCCCTATCCTACACTCTAGCCTTTGCTCTAGCCTAAGCCCTAGCTTAACACCTAGCCCAGAGCCCTAGTCCAGAGCCCTAGCCGAGAGCCCTAGCCCAGAGCCTTAGCCCAAAGCAGAGATCCCAGTGTCCTAGCTTAGAGATCTAGTCCAGAGCCCTAGCTCTATTAATCCTAGCCGCCGCTTAGTCCTAGTTCTAGATCAGCCTTACCTTTAGCCAGAGCGCTCGCCTTACAATTGTTAGCTCTAAAATAAGCATTTGCCCTTCCCTTAACCTGACCACTTTGATAACCTACTGTTACAAAATCAAACAATACGTTGATATTGTGTTTCATATCACCTCCCAAACTTTTGTCTGCAAACAACATCTATAAATCTACAAAAAGTAGAACAAAAAACGTTGGGAACGTTGAAAGTGCAATGGGTGGAGCTAGCTTATTTTCATAAACGTGAGAAAAAAAAACAGACGGATTGATAAATTGACTTATCGAAACAGTCAAATTGTCAAATACTGTGTGGTCCGAACTTTATTCTTTCCAATATTTAAAATCAACCTTCAATGCACTTTTATAACAGTATCGGGATGGGTATTGAAGATTAGGTGGGTTGGCAAAATAAAGGTAGGGTTGGAATAATGGCATTTAATTTTGAAATTTCATTTTTATGGTCGGCTATGTGTTTTTTAAATTTTGGGCTGCGGTGGGAAAGGGAGGGTAAATGTTAAGTGTTGGAAATAGGGCAGGGCATAAGCTAGAGATTAGAAACTTAAAATGACTTGAGTAGAGGAGTGGATTGGTTAGGGCAGGAGAGGGTAGAGCAACGCATAGGGTATGTGCCTTTATTTATATAATGCACTATATATGTATAGGACGAGCGTAGCAGCCGCTGTAGGTAATGGAGAAGATAAGTTTAAAGTCGGTATTAAAAAAGATAGGATAGGGGTTAAGAAAAGAATAACGTAGGGATTAGATTAGACTGAACACTTATGATAGGGCTAGTACGAAGGCATGCGTTACGGTACAAAGTAATGTAAGGAAGGTCTTAAGCTTAAATTAAGTAAAGTTAAGATAGGACAGCGATAAGGATGGGACAAAAGTAGGGCTAAGGCTCTTAGACACAAGCAACGGGCCGAGCTCAATTTTTAGGCCTGGCTCGTTTTTGATTTTGGTCAGACCCGGCCCGTTGCTCATGTCTAAGGGCTCTGGCAGGAATGGGGCTACATTTATGGGTAGAATACGGTACTGTGGGTTACTTTAAGCAATGGTAGGGTAGAATATGGTAGGGTAGGGTAGGGTAGGGTAGGGTAAGGTAGGGTAGGTTAAGGTAGGGTAGGATAGGGTAGGGTAAGGTAGGATAGGGTAGGGTAAGGTAAGATAGGGTAGGGTAGGGTAGGATACGGTAAGCAATGGAAAGGTAAGCTTGAGATAGATAAGGCGTGTAGCGTTGGATAGAGAGCTCTGAAAAGAATAATTTTTCATTTTTAAAAACTTTTTTTAATTCCAAAGTTTGCTTTTTTAATATTTTTTTTCACTTTCTCTAAACATATGATCAAATATTTACCCAAGTGTTTGTATGACTTTGAAAACGGTTGCGATGCTCCCTCCTATTGTTAGTGGCAACTCAAATAGAATAACAAGAGTGTAGTTTGTAACATTTGAAGAATGTTCTCGAAGTTTCAAAAAAGAACGTCAAAATGGGAGTGTTTTTTAGATTCTTGAACTTGGGATTGAACTTTGTTTGAAGAGAGCGGGCAAGGTTTTTCACGTTTATTTTGTCATTCTATTTGTCAAAAATTGAAAATTTTTGTCAATTTTTTGTTTTTTTTTTGCCAATTAGACTGAAAGATAGGGAAGGGTGCTAAGCTTAATGGTAAGGGTAGCGACGATTTTTAAGCGCTTAGGGATAGGGGCAGTTTTAACGGCAGAGACAAGGCAGGTGTCTAAAAAAAGCTATTAGGAGTAGGGGTTGGGCCAGTTTTGAAGTGTCCAGAGGTGGTTAGCTGAAGTATAGGCGTATGGTCGATTTACAATGTACTGGGGTGAGGGAGGAGGTCTGTGCACAAGATACTGGGAGAGGGGTAGGGGTGGTTTTTTGTGTTTTTTTTTAATTTTGTAACTGTATCAGGTTACAAAACAAAAAATGGCAATAACTTTCTTTACAAAACATAAAATGGCAATAACTTTCTTTACAAAACATAAAATGGCAATAACTTTCTTTACAAAACATGAAATGGCAAGAACTTTCTTTACAAAACATAAAATAGCAATAACTTTCTTTACAAAATATAAAATGGCAATAACTTTCTTTACAAAACATGAAATGGCAAGAACTTTCTTTACAAAACATAAAATGGCAATAACTTTCTTTACAAAACATAAAGTGGCAAGAATTTTCTTTACAAAGCATAAAATAGCAAGAACTTTCTTTACAAAACATAAAATGGCAATAACTTTCTTTACAAAACATAAAATGGCAATAACTTTCTTTACAAAACATAAAATGGCAATAACTTTCTTTACAAAACATAAAATGGCAATAACTTTCTTTACAAAACATAAAATGGCAATAACTTTCTTTACAAAACATGAAATGGCAAGAACTTTCTTTACAAAACATAAAATAGCAATAACTTTCTTTACAAAATATAAAATGGCAATAACTTTCTTTACAAAACATAAAATAGCAATAACTTTCTTTACAAAATATAAAATGACAAGAACTTGTTTTCAAAGCATAAAATGGCAATAACTTTCTTTACAAAACATGAAATGGCAAGAACTTTCTTTACAAAACATAAAATAGCAAGGACTTTCTTTACAAAACATAAAATGGCAATAACTTTCTTTACAAAACATAAAATGGCAATAACTTTCTTTACAAAACATAAAATGGCAATAACTTTCTTTACAAAACATGAAATGGCAAGAACTTTCTTTACAAAACATAAAATAGCAATAACTTTCTTTACAAAACATGAAATGGCAAGAACTTTCTTTACAAAACATAAAATAGCAATAACTTTCTTTACAAAATATAAAATGACAAGAACTTGTTTTCAAAGCATAAAATGGCAATAACTTTCTTTACAAAACATAAAGTGGCAAGAATTTTCTTTACAAAGCATAAAATAGCAAGAACTTTCTTTACAAAACATAAAATGGCAATAACTTTCTTTACAAAACATAAAATGGCAATAACTTTCTTTACAAAACATAAAATGGCAATAACTTTCTTTACAAAACATAAAATGGCAATAACTTTCTTTACAAAACATAAAATGGCAAGGACTTTCTTTACAAAACATAAAATGACAAGAACTTGTTTTCAAAGCATAAAATGGCAATAACTTTCTTTACAAAACATAAAATGGCAATAACTTTCTTTACAAAACATGAAATGGCAAGAACTTTCTTTACAAAACATAAAATGGCAAGGACTTTCTTTACAAAACATAAAATGACAAGAACTTGTTTTCAAAGCATAAAATGGCAATAACTTTCTTTACAAAACATGAAATGGCAAGAACTTTCTTTACAAAACATAAAATGGCAATAACTTTCTTTACAAAACATAAAGTGGCAAGAATTTTCTTTACAAAGCATAAAATAGCAAGAACTTTCTTTACAAAACATAAAATGGCAATAACTTTCTTTACAAAACATAAAATGGCAATAACTTTCTTTACAAAACATAAAATGGCAATAACTTTCTTTACAAAACATAAAATGGCAAGAACTTTCTTTACAAAACATAAAATAGCAAGGACTTTCTTTACAAAACATAAAATGGCAATAACTTTCTTTACAAAACATAAAATAGCAAGGACTTTCTTTACAAAACATAAAATGGCAAGAACTTTCTTTACAAAACATAAAATGGCAATAACTTTCTTTACAAAACATAAAATGGCAATAACTTTCTTTACAAAACATGAAATGGCAAGAACTTTCTTTACAAAACATAAAATAGCAATAACTTTCTTTACAAAATATAAAATGGCAATAACTTTCTTTACAAAACATGAAATGGCAAGAACTTTCTTTACAAAACATAAAATGGCAAGGACTTTCTTTACAAAGCATAAAATGACAAGAACTTGTTTTCAAAGCATAAAATGGCAATAACTTTCTTTACAAAACATGAAATGGCAAGAACTTTCTTTACAAAACATAAAATAGCAATAACTTTCTTTACAAAATATAAAATGGCAATAACTTTCTTTACAAAACATAAAATGGCAATAACTTTCTTTACAAAACATGAAATGGCAAGAACTTTCTTTACAAAACATAAAATGGCAAGGACTTTCTTTACAAAGCATAAAATAGCAAGAATTTTCTTTACAAAACATAAAATAGTTCTTGAGGCCTAAATGTAGGCTAATCCTGTGTAACATACCCTACCCTCGCTTTCCAAATTGTATAGCATACTTTGATACCCTATTTAGTAATTTGTGATTAGTTACAATTCAATTATACTGACATACCTCTTACAGTTTCCGACTTACAAACCTTCTATTGCCTTTTCTAATCTAATTACCGTTTTATGTAAAACCAATTTTATCAGTGGTTACCACTGTGATGTTAACGTAATGTTATCAATGAAAAAAGGGTTTTTGTCAATTCACTGTAACATTTTTACATTCTTGTAACTTTTTACCTAACGTTGCGGAAAATTGGAACCGTTCCTGATCAAATTTAGTTGCATTAACAGCTGTCAAAGCTAATTAATAACCCTTTACTCAAGCTATCCAATGTTACTGTGCTCGAATGACTTTAAACTTTTTACGTCATTTATATTTGGAAACAGATACAGACTACAGTAATATTGGTTTTAAACGGTTCGACTCTATTGTAATGGTTTTGAAAATAACATTTGTGGACTTTGAGATTGACGGTAGGGAAAAAAAATTTTTAAATTTCTGAAGACATGTATTTCAAGGCTTGTTTAAGGATGATAGGGCGGGTAAAGTAAAGCGTAAAAGAATAGGCTTGGCATTACAGTAATATTGTACGGTAGGGAATTAAATAAGATAGTATAGGCCAGGATAGAATAATATAAAATAATATAAAGGTAGGCGTGGGCGGGGTAAAAACAAAGCCTCAGTTGGGCTAGGTTTTGGTTTGGGCAATACCTCGGGCTAAGGGGCTAGGACTCTGGGCTAGGGCTAGGGTTCTGGGCTAGGGCTCTGGGCTAGGGCTCTGAGCTAGGACTCTGGGCTAGGGTTCTGAGCTAGGACTCTGGGCTAGGGCTCTGGGCTAGGGCTCTGGGCTAGGGCTCTGGGCTAGGGCTCTGGGCTAGGACTCTGGGGTAGGGCTCTGGGCTAGTGCTCTGGGCTAGGACTCTGGGCTAGGGCTCTGGGCTAGAGCTCTCGGCTAGGGCTCTGGGCTAGGGTAATTTACTTTTTTAATACCTTGAAATCAGCCGTTTGCACGATGATATAATCGTGCAAAAACGGCTGATTGTGCTTGTTTCGATTTTTCTTTTTTATCACGGAAACTTAACTTCTAGGCTCCACCTTAATATTCTTATACCGTTTTTACTATCAGCAGTTTGCAGTTACATATAAAAAGGGTTTAACTTTTATTTTAACATTATTTTTCCACGTAAAATCAATTGTGATAATCATGTAACCTACCCTACCTTACCCTACCCAACCCTACGCTACCCTACCTTACCCTACCCAACCCTACGCTACCCTACCTTACCTTACCCTACCCTACCCAACCCTACCCTACCCTACGCTACCCTACTCTACTCTACTCTACCCTCTATGAAAATATTTCCCCCCCCTGTCAAAACTTTTACAAACCCCACCCCTTTAGTCATAACTATTTTGGTCTTTTGCTCTTTTTCGCTAGCCAATTGTCGGCCGGGTTCTTTGCTTTTTTTGCTGATTAAATTAACCTTGACGAGAGGCTTAGGCTTTAAGGAGTTGCATGTGATAGGCAAAGTTCGCTCGGTTCATGTCAGGGTATTTAAACTTGCTTAGAATTTGTTTTGGGCATTTTTGCAAATGATTATTGTGATTACATTTAGAGGACCAAACATTGAACAAAGGTTATATTGGGTTTGTAGTCGAATGATAGGGAAGTTGTAGGTAGGGTTATTGTAAGGGCTATAGTAGGGCATGGGGAAGGGAGGGTTAAAGTTGGCTTTAAAAGGACTGGGGTAGGGTTTAAGGCAAGGATAGGGTTAGACATGGTTTGAGCTTGAGGTAGGCTAGGATAGGGGTAGGGCTAGCTTCCTGGGCTTGGGCGCTAGGCTAGGGCAGGTCTCGGGCAAGAACTGGACAAGACTCGGACAGCGCGAAGACAAGGCTAGCGCAGGGCAGGGCTTTGGGCTTGGGCTCTGGGCTAGGGCTCTGGGCTAGGGCTCTGGGCTAGGACTCTGCACTAGGGCTCTGGGCTAGGGCAGGACTTTTTTATGATCTTTTATAACTTTCTTGTCTACGTTAATATAATTTGTGTACTACTAAAATTTTTAGTACCGTGCTAAATCTATTTGATTTTCAGTAAACTTGTGGTGCTGTTTCTTCACCTTTTCATTCTCCCTCAACCCCCGAAGAACAGTAACGTACTATAAGAATGGGTCGCCGTGGGAAGAGAGTAGTCCCTTTTGACATGAAACCTAAATTCCCTACTTTGTTCGAACAAAAAGTCATTGGGGCTAAGGTAAGGACCATTTTAGGCTTAATCTCATAATATTTTTCGAAATTTCAAAAAAATTTTAAATTTTAATTTTCAAAAAAAAATTTTTTAATCAAATTTTAAAGCGACTTCCTGCCATTTCCAGAGAATATTGGTCAAAAATTTTAAAAAAATAAAAATTAAATTTTTAATAAAAATGACAATTCCATAAACTTTTTGACCAAGAATTATAAAAAATGTTTTTTAAAAATAAATTTTTGAAAAAAGGTATTATATCATGTGCTTCCGGTGTTCATTTACGTTAGAAAAATCAATCAAAGCTATGTCGCTTTGTGACATTTTGAAACAATGACACCTTCTGAGCATATGACAGTTTGGAAAAGATCACGGCGGCCAAATTTCAACGTGATAAACAATTTTTTTTAAATAAAAAATTTTTTTTTTATTTAAAAATTTTTTTGGAAATTGAAAAAAAAACTTTTTTTAATTTTACTCTACCCTACCTTACCCCACCCTACTTTAGCATACCACTTTACCTTATCCACCATGTTTGGCTCGGTAAAACCCTACTACACCTTTTTCAAAACTTTAATTCCACCCCCTTTTTCAGAAATTCGTCCACAACACCCTCTACCCCCTGCCACCATGGGTATGTTCAGCCATTTTCATCTCCACCCTGGCTAGCCAACTGTATAAAACTCCCATTTCATCAATAATATCACTAGAAACTGTCAATTCTCTTTACATGTCCGCTTTGGCCACGTTAGCACCATTAGCACTAGCCAAGTTGTACTTGTACGGGTTTGTTTTCCGTTACAAGGCATGGCTCTTCGATAATCCAAAAAAGCCGTCATTGATGACGAAATTATGGGGAATTTCATTCAAAATGCTTCAGAAGTTGAATCCACCCAAGCTTTATACTTGTACTCATTTGCTGCCACGACAACCAGTACCAATGGTCGAGGATACGGTCAGAGGGTACTTGGAGTCTATCAAGACTATTGTGGATAAGGTAAGGTGTGGGTAGGGGGATGAGTAGGGACTGAAATAATTTTATGTTGCTCAAATTGTCCAGCTTTTACTCATTTTACTTATATCTATCATTTTAAAATGTTATAGACAATGTTTCGGCGAGCTATTGAACGACTTTGCCAAGTTTTAGCTAAAATAAGGTCGAATATGAAAGGAAAAGTTTTTGTTTTATATTTTTAAATTATTTTTTAAGTAAAAAATTCCTTATTCATATCAAACTTGCTTCTTTTCATCAGCTTACGAACGATATTTTAGAGTTTTGCAAAGTGATATTGTTTTAGATGAATCTTTGGGTAATATCAATGAATTTGAGAGTGATAGAAAAGGAAATACGAAAATAATAGATCAGTTAACAATAACTTAACGTTTAAAAATATTTTTGGCTACAACTCCGCTCAAAAAAATACTGAAAAACGTTTTATTTTCTTCGGATATTGTTTTAGATCCATTTTTAAGAATTTCTTGCTTTTTAAAATTTATCCAAAAGTCTTGTAGAAACATCGAATAACCTTTATATAACCAAGTGCTTTACATGATTTACCTTCCAAATCAAGCAAAAATCCAAAAGATTACCAAAATTTTCGTCTACAACAATATCCCACTGCAAAACTCTAAAAATAGAGCTCGAAAACTGGTGAAAACTGACGAGAATGTAGCAAAAACAATTCTTTTACCTAAAAACACAAAACAATGTAAAATAAAGGACTTACCATTCCAAATTTAATCTTACTTTAGCTAAAACACCGCGAAAGTCCTCAAAAATTGCTAAATCATTGTTTTTAATGTCATAAATGAGTGGATTTGAGGTGAATTTAGAAACCTTGAGCTACTGAGCATTCTTTTTGATAAGATGGAACATATTTATACCTGAAAATAAAGGATATATCAATTAAACTGGCGGATATTATGCTTGAAAGACGATTTCTCGCGAGATTTTCGGTGAACTTGAAACAAAAGGCCAAACCGGCTATTTTGTAGTTTAAAAACCGCGTTTTTAAAACAAATTATTGTTGAGAAATGTAGGTTTAACCAAGTTCATTTTATTTTTAATTCAAATTTTTGATACAAACTTTATAAAATGTCGTTATCATTAATAAAAGTCTTCATTTCAGCTCGAATTCGACGAGATCAAAGCAAAAGCCGACTATTTCCTGGTGAAAGAAGGTCCCCAGCTTCAGAAGTATGCCCAATTCCTTAGCTGGACTCGTCGCAACTACATTTCCGACTTTTGGGAAAAGTATATTTATCTGGCTAGCCGTGAGCCACTCCTCATCAACAGCAGTGTTGGCTATGGTGATGGTCAATACGTGAAGAAGTGTTCGATGGCCAGACGAGGTGCTAAACATTGTCACATGCTGGCGTTGAATGCGATGGCATTTAACAATGGCAATATGAAGCCGACGGCCGATGGACTGTGCTTTACAGAGATGCATCATCGTATCTTCACGTACAATCGAATTCCTCAGAAACATTGTGATCGATTCTTGGATCATGGACTGACAAGACACGTGTTGATCATGTATAATGGATGTTATTATAAGGTGGATGTGTTTGATCCAAAAGATAACCGAGTTTACAGTGTGGCTGAGATTGAGGCGTAAGTTCATTAGGGTTATCTTGTGATTGTTCTAGCCAATTCATTTTTAATTTCTACTTTTTTTTAGTATTTTCAACGACATCATAGCCCGTGCCGACACCCCCTCGCCAGCCGAAAAGAACGTTGCTTCATTGACCAATGATAACCGTGACAAATGGGCTGAGAATCGTGAAAGATTCTTCCTTAAGAACGCTACCAACTACAAGTTCCTTCAAGACGCTGAGACCGCTCTCTTCGCCATGGCATTGGATCCAAATGAGTATGGTGATATTGATAATGACAGTGATAAGACCAGTGAGTATATGAGGGTTATGACATGTGGCTTGGGTAATGACAGATGGACTGATAAGCCCTTCAATTATCACGTCACTGGCTGTGGACGGGTTGGTGGTACTCTGGAGCATGGTGTGTGTGATGGCGCTGAGTATAGGACAGTATGTGAGACTACGCTGCATTGTGAAGATGCTTACTTGGACCAGGACGACTATGTGTTGCCTGAGGTAAGTGGGTAATGAAGTGGGACGTTTTTTTTGAAAATGGGGTTTTTTTAAAGTTGTGGTACCAAAAAATGGTACTACTAGAAATAGTACTATTATTTTTGAAAGTTTGGTACTAATGTTTTAAATATGGTACCATATTTGATTAATATGGTACTGTTTCCAAAAAATAGAGTTATTTTTAAAAAATACGGTACCAACTTTGAAAATATTGCTCTAATTTAAAAAATGGTATAATTTTTAAGTTTTCAAATTAAAAATTTTTAAAAAATTTTCATTTTTAGGAAAAGAAATCCACGATTCAATTAGCCAAAAGAATGGTGATCGACGAAGTTCCCGGCCTTTTGGAGGAAACCTCACGATGCTACGAAGAGAGTGTAGCCAGAGCCAACGATATGGATTTGGCTTCGAAGATTTTCAGAGATTTCGGAAAAGGACTAATTAAAAAAATTAAAATGCACCCCCGATGGATTCTTGCAAATGGCTATTCAGGTAGGGAACGGGGTTTGGCAGGGGCAGGGTAAATGAGTGTAGGGTGTTTTAAGTAAATGAGTGTAGGGTGTTTTAAGGGGGGGGGGAAAGGTAGGTGAAGAAACAGATAGGGCAAGATGAAAGTACGGCTTAATGTCAGTTTAAGGTATACTGTAATAAGTTACAGTATGACGGGCTTTAGTACGGTATGTGAAGCAGGGTACGGTAAGTAGGGTAGGTTGAAATAGGAATATACAGTAATGTTGGAGTAAGGTATAGAGTAGGGTAAGGTAGGGTAGGGTAAGGCACGATACTGTACTGTAGGATAGGGTATCATAAAGTAGAATACATTCATATTTAAAATTTTCAGCTAGCCTACTACAAGCTAAACCACAAGTTCGTACCAACTTATGAAGCCGGCTCATCTCACTTCTTTGATTACTCTCGAACCGAGACCTTGAGATCTGTTGGCAAGGAATCTTGTGAATTCGTGGAATCTGTTATCAATGATGAAGATGTCAGTGAAAGAAAAGCCAAACTACTAAAGGCATGTGAAGCTCATTCGAACAAAAACAAGAAGGTTATGGTTGGCAAGGGTGTGGACCGTCATTTGTTCGTCATGTATGTGTTGAGCAAGTACAAAGGCATGACATCCGACTTCTTGGAGCATTATGTTAGTCAGAAGTGGACTTTGAGCACTACTCAGGTAAGTATCATACCCTACTCTACCCAACCCTACCTTACCCTATCCCACCCCACCCTACTCTACTCTACCCACCCTACCACACCATACCCTACTCTACCCTACCCTATCTTTCCCTACCCTACCCTACTTTACCCTACCCTACTCTACTCTACCTTACCCTACTTTACTCTACCTTACCCTGCACTACTTTATCCTACCTTGCATTGGCCTTTGCCCTGCCCAGCTGAGCGCATTCCAAAGCAGCCGAACTCAGCTTAGCCCGGCATAGACCAGTTCAGCTGAGCCAAACTCTTCCTTGTCTAGCCCAGACTAGCCTAGACTAAGTTAGCCTAGAATAGCCTAGTCCACACTAGCCTAGCTTGACCTAACCTAGTCCAGCTTACCCAGCCTAACCTTACCTTGCGATGTTCTGCCCAGCCTTTCGTGGCCTTGGCTTTGCTTTGGTATGTCCTACCTTGTCTTTTCTTGTTTCGCCCTGCCCTATACCTACTTTATTATTAGCCTAACCTACTTTACCCTACCCTACGCCGTACATCTACCTCTCCCTTACATATCTTATAAACACCTTACTGCATAATATAAAAATTATTTTTCAACTTTTTCAGCCCCCCAACGTGACGAATGTGTGTGAAGAAGACGAGCATCCACCCCAATCCTGGATGGGTGGTGCGTTCGGCGCCGTGGACAAGAATGGCTATGGCGTTGTGTACAAGTTTTTGGGGGAGAATGCAATCGGGCTTCACGTCTCATCGTATCACTCGTGCTCAAAAACCAATTCGAAGTTGATGAGGGAGAATATTCTGGAGTCGCTGAAGGAAATGGTCTCCTATTTTGAGCATTAGGCTTGTCTGGGGCTTTGTTTTGTGAATTAGGGGGTGTTTTGACCTTTTGCTATGTTCATATTGATCTGTGTTGTTATATACATACGTTTTCACATGTCTTTACTTATTTATATTGTTGTAAATTACCAAAGGGAGTTTGTACAGAAATAAAATCAAAAATTTTTGTAATTTCGAATTTTTAAAAAATTTAAAATTTCGAATTTTTGAAAAAATTTTAAAATTTCGAATTAAAAAAAATTGTTTAAATTGCCATATTTTATCGGTCGTGCCGTAAAACTAACATTTGAGTACTAGAAAGTACACTTATATACTGAAGGCCAGAGATTGCTGCCAAATCCGTTTAGGCCGAACACAAACGCTTGTAAGAGTTTCGGCCGACAATTAAGAACTTTGCACTTTTTTAAAGTGGCTTTTGATGTCATTTTGCAGGTTTTTAAAGGTACTATAATGTCTGCAATACTACCCTACGCTGCTACCCTACCCACCCTACCATACGATACTCTACCCTACTTTGCCCTTCCCTAACCTACCATAGCCTACCCTACCATACCCTACCCTACCATACCCTACTCTACCTTATCCTACCCTGCTCTACCCTAGCCTACCCTACCGTACTCTTCCTTACCCTACTCTACCCTACCCTACTCTACCCTATTCTACTCTACCGTGCCCCATCCTACATTAACCTACCCTATAACCTGTACTTCTAAACACTATTTTTTTCTATCCTAGACTACCCTACCCTACACTGCCATATCCTATCTTATCCCATCCCATACCCTATCCTAGCGGAATTAAACAAACTCTTTGTGGCCTTTCAGGTCACTATCTACTACAACTTTCACACGTTATTTGTCATGCCCGTTTATTCAACCCTGCCCTTTGCACCCCTTACTTTATCTTTCCGTGCCCTACTTTAACTATTAAAAAGCATTGCTTTACTCACGCATGTCTGCGCTATCGTACCATACCCTGCCCTTGCATATCTTACCTTGACCTTATTTGATCTTATATGTTCTGTCATACCCGTACTCACTTAAAAAAAGCCCTACCCTACACACGCAAGCACTTTTATGTACTACCCTATTTTGCCCTGCCCTACCTACACTGTGTGTAATTCACTGTAAGATAAAACATTTGATAAGCCCTAACATGCCCTATCGTACTTTAAACTACCCTAATCTGTAATGTCCTGCTTTCCCTGCCTTGCCTTCTTTTGCCTTGCCCCTGTCCTGCCTTGCCTTGCTTTGCCATGCTCCGCCTTGCCTTGCCTACTGCCCCGCCCTACACACCCTTTATGGGATCTACTATAATTTTAAATCTCTGATAAGCCCTAACATACCCATTCACTCTTCTAAATACCCCAATCAACCCCCTACATAATTTTTCTAACAAAATATTACCTAAACTAAAGCAGCACGTTTAAATAATTCTTCCCCCCAACCATCTTCCTCCTCCTTCCCTGCCCTTTTTTTGGGATAGTTTCAATACTTTTTCACACGACTGAATACCCAAACATATCTTCGCACTTTTACATTACCACAACGTATTACTCGCACTTTTATATCAATTTTTGAGAGTAAATTTAGGCGGGGGGGGGGGCGGCGGGTTCGGATTAAACATTTACTTAAGCGCCATTTTAAGAAGACGACCTCTTTCCCTCATGGCGGGGTAAAACGGCGTGAAAGTGACGGCTTGAAGAGGTTTTGGTTTGTGACCAGCATCAGTTTATTATGATATTATACTTGGAGGAGGAAGAGGAATGGGATAGCGATGTTGGATATTATACTAGAGAGTCGGGGGTAGTGCTGTAGGATATCATACTGGAGAGAAAGGGGGGGGGGTGGGAGTACTATTACGATACAAAAAAGAAAAGAAGGGAGGGGGTGGATTGGATAAGACAAAAATAAGTAAAGGTAGAGAAGGGCAGAAAAATCAAAGCCATGAGACATATTAGGGTGAGGTAGGGTAAGACGTAATAGGTAAAGGTAGAATACGGTAGGATGGGTTTGGGTAGAGTAGGGTAGAATAGAAATAGATTTAGGCATGAGGAACGTTCTTCATGTCTAGGTAGGCTATGTTAGGGTAAGGTAGGGTAGGGAAGAGTACGGTAGAGAAAGGTAAGTTAGGGTAAGGTAGAGTAAGGTAAAGTAAGGTAAAGTAGGATATGGCAGGGTAGGGTAGGGTGAGGTAGGGTAAAGTAGGGTAGGGCCGGGTAGGGTAGAGTAGGGTAGGGTAGGGAAAAGTAGGGCCGGTTAGTGTGAAATGAAAAAAAATTGCCCCCCCCTCCTCGTTTATTCAAAATTTTTTCCCCCCCTCACATACCAAAATCCCCCCCGCCAATCCGTCAGCCTTGTACTGTAACACGTTTTTATCTGTAGAATGGCCTCAAGATATTAAAAATAAACTTCTAACCATGCTTTGTTTTTCAACAACCATAAAATATGTAAAATCCGCGAGGATTCAGTGATATGGTGAGCTTTGCAAATCCCGCTAGGGACATTTCATTCCGTTATTTTAGCGCAGCCCGCGGCTCTTTCCTGACACTGAAACTGCCAAAACCTCCAAAAAACAATGGCTTTTTGAATTTATATGGAAAAATATTTTGAAATAGGGGGGGGGGAGGGGGGGGAGGGGGAGAAAGGGAAGGTTAAAACCGTCACGTAATTTTTGAGGTTTTTTTACCGCAGTAGGCTTAGAGTACCCTATGGTAGAGTAGGGTAGGGTTGCGTAGCATAGGGTAGGTTAAGGTAGGGTACTGTACTTTTTTCTAACATACCTTGTTCTACTTTACCGTGCTCTGCTTTAATCAACCTACACTACGCTGTCTTACCCTATTTTACCGTACCTCACTGTACCTTACCCTAACTTATTCTATACCTCTGTCTGACCCTGCCCTACCGCACCCTATCTTGCTCTACCCTATTTTACCCAACTTTACCATACCCTACTCAAGGGGTAAAAAACGACCCGAACTCACTTTTGAGTCCCGGCCCAGACCCGGGGCTAAGTTTCAGGCCAGACCCGTTTTCATATTTACCTCAGACCGGCTCGGCCCTAGACACGAGGATCGGGCCGGACCTAAAATTTAAAACCGGCCCGTTCTTCATGCCTACGCGGCCCGAATTTTTTTACGTGCAACCGGGCCGGACTTGTCTGGCCGGGCCTTGACTTTTTTTTGGCCTTGTTTTTTCAGGCCCGGCCCGACCTAAAATTAGCTCAAGGCCGGCCCGTTTCTCATGTCTACCCAGCGCTGCGCTAGCTCTGTTCTAGTAATACCTTTGCCCTGTCCGAACAAATCATCTTACAAAAAAAATTATTTATCCACCCCCTACCCAAAAAAATCAAATTCAGCTCCAAGAATTTGATTTTTCGTAGTCAAATGCCCTCCGGCCAATTATCCAATTTATCTGTTAATTTTTTTTAATTTTTGGGCGCTAAACGGCCGGAAATGCGCGGCCGCCGAGTGCATTATCCCATGGAAGCGCGACGCGTCCCTCCAGGGGCTTTCCAACTCCATTCTTTTTCCTTTTTCGGGTTTAAAAAGCCTCTGGCAATGTCGAGGCCGCGGCATGGTCTCTTTCTTTTAGGGCGTGTCTAAAAACGCGGTATTTTTCGGGTTTTTCTTTGCCGTCTCTTAAAGTTATGCAGTGTTTTGGGGGCTTTTTGGTATGAAGATTTTTTATTTAAATTCTGAAAAAAATTTTAATTATTTTTGTTGATTACGGTAGTAATTAAAAAGCAATGCGCTGAGAAATACATTGGGATAGTTATGGCAAAGATCAAGAGGGGTGGGGAATGTAAAAACAAAAAAATTTTAAATTTGGAAATTATTCCCCAGCCTATTAAAATGCACTTTAGTCTTACCATACCCTTCCTCTTACATAGCCACTACAGAACATCCCTGCTTTAGCCTTCCTTACTCTAAGAGTGCTCTAGTCGTACCCCTGGCCTAGCCATATCCTAACTATAATCTTGCCATAGCCTTATCGTAGTCATACCGTAGTCTACCGTTATTTTCTGTCATTTCCTATCATATTGTACCGTACCCTACTTTACTATACCCTATTTTACCCTAAACTACCATTACCTACTATACTTTACATTTTCGTGCCCTGTCATGACCTGTCCTACCCTCACCTTGCTCTTCCTTCACCGCAACCTGCTCCATACCTTCTTATTTTACTTTACCCTACCATACCCTGCTTTACCCTGCCCTAACCTACCTTACCTTACCCTACCCTTCCCTACCCTACTTTATCCTACCCTACCATACCCTGCTTTACCCTGCCCTAACCTACCTTACCCTACCCTACCCTTCCCTACCCTACTTTATCCTACCCTACCTTGCCCTACCCTATTCTACCCTACTTTATTTTACCCTACCCCCTCTTTCCCTACCGCCTACAATATTTCCCCTCCCTCCCAACACCTCCCCACCGGACTATCTTCAACCCCCTTTCCATCTCATCCCACTCTCAAGCAAGTCCGCACTCCATGCCCTAGGGCCAGTTCATGTTCATCTCCCGCGTTTCTCGTCTGTCTCGCCTTTCTTGGGGCCGCCACGAATTTCGACGGCCGCTGCCAAAGAAACCGGCGCAAAAAAGCCGAGTTTTTCGTTTTACTCGCGGCTTTTTTCGACGGTTTTAAGGCATTTTTGGCATTTTTTATGAATTTTCAAAAAAATTTTTTATGAAAAGTTTGGTTATTGTTTGGCGCGGGTTGGCGGCACGGGTTTTTGCGGGGTTTTAGGGGCTAAAGGGGGGAGAAGTACGAGAGTAGTAAGGTAATGGTAATAGAATCGTCTTAAAATTATCTTAACCCTACCAAAAAAGGTAAAAAGTAAGCTAGTGTGGAGTTAGTTAAGGCAGGGTAGGGTACGCTAGGGTAGGGCAGAGTAACGAAAGGTAAAGCATTCCCTTTCCCACTGCTTACTCTTTCAAAATATGAAAAAGATTGCCTATTGAGCCATAATTCCGCTAGTTATAAACCAATCTAGCCTAAAATACAAACTTTTAATTTGACAACTTATTTTTAATTGTCTCCAGTGTTTTGCCCGGACCGGTCCAGCGATTTCTGCGGTCCAAGCTTCAAATTTTTGGGTCCGGTCCAAACCCAAAATTTTTGTGGCCGGTCCTGTTCGCAATTTTTTTTATTTTTTGAAAAAAATAAGACGTGCCGTATTTTACTTTCAATTTGCCGGATTTATAAAATTTTGACAATTTTTAAAAACTTTCAGGTTTTAGTGGCAGGCCAAGCGCTTCATGCCGCGGCCGCAAATTAATCAAGGCCGGCCGAATGAAAAAGGGCAAGGTAAGTTCGAACCGTTATTTTATTACCCATATTTTAGTATGTTGTTCAAATAATTCTGTGCCCTCTAACTACAAAAATTTGCATTGTCGAGAAGGAGGTACAGAATTATTTGAACAACCTAATAGATAAAAGCTGAACTTTGGTGTTTCTATGGACTTTTTGACCGTACCATTTGGTCTTTCTACGAACTTTTTGACCGTACCAATTGGTTTTTCTATGAACTTTTTGACCATACCATAAAACTTTACTATACCAACCCAACCAGCTAAACCTATATTTTTCTCATCCTCAAAATCATACCCTACTCTAGCTTCCTTAAAGCCTTCCAATCCCAATACAAACAAGCAAAGCCAAACAAAACTAGTACAAGAAAAGCCAGCCAAAAATAGCCAAAACTAGTACCAATACCTATATAAACCTTTAATAAACCTAAATGAATACCATTTCAGTACCGCTAAACTGCCAACTATCAGAAGATGCGTACCGACGAATCAAACAAGTCGATCAACAAAGCTCAACACTAACGAATCAGGGAATTCAGGGGTTTTCGGCGCGAATCCTAGACCGTGCCGAGTACCCAACGCCGGACGGCAAGGATCTGAGTGTGGTACAGTTGATAGAAATCATCAAAAAACCCGGGCAAAGTCTGGGCCTGTACCTGAGGGAGGGCAATGGTAAGTGTGGGGGTTGGGAGAACCTCCGTCTTCCCGCCTCGTTAAAACACGTTTTTTGTAAGGGCCGAGAACCCGACTCGACAGGAAAAAAGTCAATGTCTCAGAAATGCCTAAAAATTGAATATATGTTTTGTTAAATAGCTAGAAATTTAAAAATACAAAAAAAAATTTGACAACAACAAACATTATGGTGAAAACCGCATGTCTGTATGACGTTTCGTTCTTGAGTTATAAAAAATGAGGTCAAGCTACAGTACTCCATGATACTGTAACTTCGAAAATTTTTTTTTGTATTTTTGAATTTCTAGCTATTCAACAAAACATATATTCAATTTTTAGGCATTTCTGAGACATCGACTTTTTTTCCTGTCGAGTCAGGCATTCAATTTGCTCGATTCTTAGAAAAAACGTGTTTTAAGAGGAGAGGATAAGACGGAAAGGTAAGAACAACAACTTTAAGAAAAGATGGGACACTAGGATTAATAAAGCTGTCATCCGGCCCAAAAACGATCAAAGCTTACACCTGAAGGGGTCAACTAGACCCGACTAGGACAAAGCCAGTCCAAAAAACTAGGCCCACCCCTCCTCCCAAAAAAACTTAAGCCTAACCTAACCCAACACCAAGTTCCAGGCTACGACTGCAGTTACGGTGTATTTGCTTCGCGATTCGGAGAAGGCTCAGAACTCGAAAAGATGGGTAATATAATCCGTCCTGGAGACGAAATTCTCAATGTGAATAACGTCGAGGTGCGCGACATGAGCATCGACGATGTAGTTTATGCTTTAAGTATACCAAGAAGACTGGTTTTGAGAACAAGGCAAGTTTTTTACTATTTTTTTGGATTTTAGGTAACAAATTAGAATTGAATTGGCTGTAAAAGGCTGTGAAGTCATCTTTATCTCACTGAAATGAGCTAGAGATAGCGATTTAGACTAGGCTATGATTAGAATATGATGACTAATCAAAAACCGCTTCAGATTCCTAGAAAACCGCCGAGATATGGTGGATCCTTCGATGAAAAACGTCGAGAAACCAGTGATAATTCGAACTGCCGAAGATCGAAACGAAAGCGATCGACAGTCAATGTTCATGAACCCAAAACCCCAACCCAGCATCTTAACGAAACCAGCACGAACGGCCAGTACGTGGCTTGGAAAACGCGCTAGACAACAACAGGAAAGCGAGGTAAGACTAAGTAGAAGTAGGACTAGATTAAGACTAAAATAGGCATAAGATAAGGTTTAAGTAGGGTAGACTAGAGCAATATTAAGGTAAGACTTTTGCAGACTAGGTAAAGACTAGGGCAGAAGCAACCCGTATTTTACAAAAAAAATACAACGTTCTATTTCAGAAGCAAAACCACATGCTACACCAGCAATACAGCCAAGACCTAACCCCAATGTCCTCACAATCCACTCCCCCATCTACATCAACATTGAAACGAGTTCCAGCTCAATACAGTAACTACAGTCCACCTTCCGTCGCTCAAACCGCCTTTGTACCGCCGCCCAAGATTTGGAACGATCCGTACGGTGAGAACGGTCAACGATTTGGCTCTCAAAACGCATTAGGAAGTCAAGCTGAGAACCCTTATCAGTATGGAGAACGGTACTGTAGGTACGGTGGTATGACATCAAGTCAGCCGAATCCGTACAGCTCGAACAATGTTATGAGCTCTTCGATGGGTCAAGGTTTTGGGCAGGGTTTGGGACAAAATATTGGCCAAGGATTAGGCCAGGGTATGAACCAAGCTTTAGGGCAAGGCATGGGCCAACCTTTGGGCCAAAATATCCAACCGCTAGGCCAAGGAATGACCAAAAACCTGCCCTACAACACTCTCAACCCCCAAAACCAGCCTTTCAACCCCAGCCTCAACCCTCAACTCAATCCCATGTCATCAACAATGTCCTCAGCCATCCCTCCAGGCCTTTCCCAACCCTACGGCAATCTAAACTACATTAATCCAGCCCTAAATCCATCAGTGCCACCATTAACACCAGGTTATAACTACAAAAGCAACTCGTTGCCAAGAAGGAGGATTCAGTCCGAAGTTGCTGGACCAGCAGGACCATTAAGGTCAGTGAAGTGGAGAAACGACGTGATCAGCCCAGGGGGCGCTATCTATGGCGGCCGATCGGCTATGAGTGATATTGCTTCGCCACTAACGCAAAGACGGATGGACTATGCGCAAGCTGGCCGTGCTCATTCTACTATCTCTTCGCCTGGGACTACTAGTACGTTTTAGGTTTTCTTTGCTTAAGTTTTCCTAGTTTAGGCTTAGGCGTGAGTAGAAAAAACGATTTTTTAAATTTTTTTTGGCAAAAGGAGCGCTGATATTCATTTTTAATTTCTGTGTCTCCTCTCTTTATACATCCTTTAAAAATGGCATAAAGGTCACGTAAAGATACCTAATTTCAGGATCAGCCCCAGGACGATCAGTTATGGATATATTCTCAGCTCAAGAATATCGAAATTGGGCCGATCCGTACGGTCAACCGCCCGACGGTCCCATCTATGGTAGAACACCAACAAGACTAGGCTATGGAATGAGATCTACATCGCTACCTTCAAGAACTATTATTGTAGGTTTAGATGTCAAATCTTTAACTATCCCTTAGACTAGCCGGCCCTGCCCTAGCTTTGATTTGTACCACCGGATAATTACCCTAACTTATTTCTACCTCAACCCTGTGCTAACTTTCCACTAGTTTTACCTTACTCTTACCGTACCTTATTATAATGCAAAAAAGTTGATAAAGTAACCGTTCTGCCACTTTAGAACTCACTAACAAGCAACGACCTTGACTTACGTCGTCAACGGCCGAATTACGCTCAACCCGAGCCAGCGGCCCAATTCCCAACCCAAAACCCAATGGAACGACAATGCCAAATCCTGGACCGGCTCCACCTCAGCCCTCTAGTCAATCGACGCGTACCACTACGAGCTGCTGGACCCGGCTTTGACGTGGACCAAGTTTCACTCTCTTCCTTAACCGGCATAATCACCGTCTGGATTCTGGAAGGCCGAAACTTGCGAATTCCAGACAAAAACCAGTCAAATCAACTGTACGTCGTGCTCGAAATCGACGAAGTTCATCGTGCACGGACCGGAATCTCAACTCCCGAGCAGAAGTTCCGATGGCGAGAAGGGTTTGAAATCGACGTTCAAAATGCCATTAATGCACAATTCTTTGTCTACTCATGGCATCCTCAATATCGTCACAGGTTTTGTCATAAAGCGTCGATGAAGTTGGCCGATGCCTTCTTCGTTGATCAGCTGAATGGAGTTCGGGTATTTGCTTTGAATTTGGAGCCAAAAGGCCAGCTGATGGTACGGGTGGCGTTCAGTGACATGGCACATGCTTATCGACGTGCTGTGAACGTTCGGTGAGTTGTGGAGGGTTCTGGGGTAAAAAGGTAGAAAATAAAGAAAAAACTTACTTTTAACTTTGAAAAGTGATGGTTTGAGGTACCTAAAACATAGATAACGCCTAAGAAAAAGTATATTTAACCCAGAGGTTTGACTAAAAAAAGATTTAAATCTAAAAATTGATAAATCCATCAAAAAACAAGCTAAAACATTATCAAAACACAAAAAATACATCCAAAAATCCAAAATTATTTTTTTTATATCCCTAACACAACATAAATAATTAAATTACCTATTAAATATCAATCAAAACAGCCAAGGTAACTAAAATAATATTTTCAACTAATTTATTTGCATCGGAATGCCACAAAAGATATTTTTCTGATTTCGTTGCAGGACCTACTGAAAAAGGAGGTGTTATAAGATTTTACTGCCAAATTATTGTTAGGTTAACCAAAGTATCTTTAAAAAGTAACCGTGGAGTAATTTTACAGGTATAATGCGTCATTTGGAGTCCCATTAAATCAGCTATGTCAGCGAGAAGAAAAGGAAACATCAACAGTGTTCTTGAGGTTGATAACGGAGATTGAGAAGCGTGGAGTTGATGTTCCTGGGCTTTATTATTGTAAGTCGATTTGATTTTTGTTTGCTACTAGTCTACTTTATGTTTTGGTTTACAATTTAAAATTTTGAGATTGATTTAGGGCTTTTAATTCATTGTGCAGTCTTCTGGGTAAAATTAGACTTCATGATCAATATTTTTTTCGCTATAACTTTTGGCTCAGTGGTCCAATAGGTTTCATTTTTCTTACATAGGTAGAAAATAGTATAATCTTTAAAATCTTATCAAAAAATTACAATATAACTTTCAAATTACAGTATCCGGAGCGCTGGAACGCAAGAACTACATCAAGGAACTGATGAACCGTGACCCAATTGGAACTGATATCAGTCAAGTACCCGTACCAGACATCAATCTATTGACATGTCTAGTTAAAGACTTTCTAAAGGAACTGCCAGAACCATTAGTACTACCGAATATCTACGCAATGTTGGTTGATGCGAGCTCTGCGATATTACCATCGGATAAAGAGGGGAATCAAGGAATTATGCTCAAGATTGTTGATTGTTTGAGCAATTACAACAAGGTAAGGGAGTTGACAAGGGAGAAAATTTAGTTTTCTATGTTTTATATTGATTTAGGTTGGTTTTTGGGGACTTGGGACGGTATTATGAAGAGATTTAGCTGAATAGGTCATGGTTTATATGGAGTTTAAGGGTTTTAAAACTATTTTTTGATGTGATTCTGGTTGAATTTAATGTAGTAGGCTTGCAGAAAGTATTGCAAAATAAATTTCGTTTAATATTTTGATATTTTGAAAACCGCAAGTACTTTCTTTTCAGTTGAAAAGAAGGAAAAGCCGTACAAATTGGGTTCAAACGTGTTTGAAGACCTTATCATTAGTTTTCACTGCTTTTTTATAACTCTAATGACTTTCTTTTTACTTTTAATTAAAGTACAAAACTCCGAATTCACGTATTTTACCTTTTCAAACCCTAAAGATGTTGTTTTAGACCACATTGATTCAACTAATCGATCACATTCAAAAGCTGATCGGCTCGGAACCTCATAATGGCTTAACAATGAATAGAATTTGTGCAGTTTTTGGTCCACTGATATTCTGCACGAATGATGCTAACAACTTGGCGAGGAAATCGGATTCTGAAATGAGGAAGGTCGATCTACTCGATGCTGCCCAAGCTACAACATCATTGAAGTTGGTGTTGGAGAACTGGCCTAGTCGGTTTAGTAAGTGTAAATTTGGTCTAGGGGGGTTTTGAGGGCGGGTATGGCGTTTGTAAGGGTTAATATGGCATTTTAAGCATGATTTAGATATTTTGGGGGTGTGAAGTTGAAAATTTTTCAAAAAAATTTTTTTTTGAAATTTTGAATATTTTTGAAAAGTTTTGTTTTGAATCTATTTTTTAGGTATAATATAAATTTTGATGTCAAGACAGACTCTTTCTGATTATAAAATCTTAATTTTTTAAAAAAAATTAAATTTAAAAAAAATTTAAAATTTTTTTTTAAAAACCTCATTTTAGGCAGTGAAAACAGTTCCTTGGACGAGAGTGCCAATTCTCAGCTGCAAGAGCAACAATCAGCCGCAACTTTGCCGCGACAATCATCATTGGCAAACCAACGAAATCGACCGGTCAGCGATTTGAACCAAAGGCAACCAAATGGCTGTGTTCGGTTTCAAGTCGATTGAAATTTAAAATATTAGGTCTGTCTTCTTTATTTCGAATCAAAATTGTAAATTTAGGTCTATCTTTGTTTTCTAAAGCTTTGTACTGTTTTAGGCTTAATTTTTCGTTAAACATTAGATTTTATGACTATTTTTGGTGAAAAAGTAAGGTTTTACGGGTTGGAAAGTGAAGTTTTAGGCCTATTATAAGTCAATAATCAACGTTTTAGGCTTATTTTTCATTAAAAATTAAACCTTTAAGCCTCTTTTTTAACGAAAAATTAAGTTTTTTGAACTTTTTTTTTAATTTTCTAATCTTTCTGGTGCTTGGTAGTACTCTATATTAGCTTATCTTTGTATTTTTTCCTTTATTTTTGATGTTTTTTTCAAATTTTAGGTTTATGGTTTTTCTTGCGCACTCTTTTTTTGCACGCTCTTTCTCTCGTTTCGGTCGTTTCTCTCTTTCTCTGGCCGTTTTTTCTCACCCTCTCTAACTTCTGTACTATTTTTTGTTCATAAGTACCCTACTATTACCCTCTCTTAGTACTGTACTATAAGCCTCTCTTAGTACTGTTCTATAAGCTTCCCTTAGTACTGTACTATAAGCCTCTCTTAGTACTGTACTATAAGCCTCCCTTAGTACTGTACTACTAGCCTTACTTAGTACCATTCTTTAATCGTACTTTATTTCTCTGTTTTCCACAGCACGGTACTATTCTCTCTCCATCCCCAGAGAATAGTACCGAACTATTAGCCCACTATTTCTCGGCTTCTTACAGTACGGTACTATTCCCTCTCTTAAGGAAAAGTACCGTACTGTAGGTTAATCTAAGTACCATGCTACTCCCCTTTCTCACCCTCTTCAATCCCCGCACTATCTCGGTTTTCTCTCTTTCACTTACTCGATCTCACTAACAATAGTCATCTTCACTACAATATAAACTCAAAACGGGTACCCGCAACGTGCAATAGCGTCGTAACAATCTGCAATTACAAATTCTCATGCTGCTCGATATGACATTTTAAGTTGGATTTTGGAGACTTTGATAATCAGCTCACTATGACAATATTTTTAAAGCTTTGTAACTTGTTCTAAAGGATCTACGGTTGACTTTTGGTTTGGCAATGTTAATATGAATTGGACAATGGGTGGTTGGGGGTTATGGTGAGGCTTCCCCTGCCTCTTTCTGAACTTATTCCTTCAAAAGCTTCTCTATCTTTGTGAAAAATATGAACATGCCACTCCCCCCCCTTCCCTCCCCCTTCCCTCCCCCCCCTTTCCCCTACACCTTGAGTTTTTCCTATATACCCAAAAATGTCATTTTATATGCGTTGCTCATAACAAAAGTCGACTGTACTGTAAATTTGCCAAAATATATACTGCCCCATGTATTGTACACTTGTTTTTGTTGACGATTATTTGGCAATAAAAGGTTTTGTGATAATTTTGGGAAAAAGATCAATATTGGGTTATGAAAAGGTGAATGTTTTGGCTTAAAACTCCATAACTTTTTTTAAAAATTAGGTATAAACTTTAAATTTTCAGACATTATAGGTGATTAATATAGTCAGCTAATGTCAAAAGAGCGTTTTAAAATTTTTGAAAATGAAAAAGTTACAGTAGTTTGACTGGGCCCCTCTATTCAAAAATTCCAAAAAAAAAAACGAATTTTAAATTCAAAATTCCATAACTTTTTTTACAAATTAGGTATAAACTTTAAATTTTTAGACATTATAGGTCATTAATATAGTCAGCTAATGGCAAAAGAGCGTTTTAAAATTTTTGAAAATGAAAAAGTTACAGTAATTTAATTGGAGCCCGCTTTAAAAAAAACTTTTCTAAAAATTTTGAGTTATGAATTTAAAATGTCATGACTTTTTTAAGACTTACATACGAGCTTGAAATTTACAGATATATATAGGTCCTTAATATTGTCGTGTAATGATAAAATGGCATTTAAAAATATTTGGAAATAAAAAAGTTACAGTAATTTTTTGAAACCGTTTTGAAAGAAATGTTTCCAAAGATAAAAACAAATTCAAATTTCAGAAAAAAGCGAAAAGACTATAAATGATGCTACAACATGTTTATTCGTATTATACATTAACCTTGATTTTCCGAGTGTTGTGTTTGTTGTGTGGTTTCGGCGGTTAGCTGTGTTGCATCGGGTTGGCCTTCGCTTGGGGGTGGTTTGTTCTGTTCTTCTACGTCATCATCTGAAACAAGAAGTGGTAATAGTGTTCTTACCCTACCTTCCTATACCCTACCCTACCTTACCCTAATCTACCCTACCCTACCCTACCCTACCTTACCCTACCCTACCCTACCCTACTAACTTCCACTACCATACCTTAATTTACTTTATCTTACCGGGCCCTACTTTACATTGTGCTAACTGAAGGCAGAAATTTTTCACCCCCCCCCCCCCCTCTAACTTGGCTGTGAGTGAACCGATTGGGACCAAACTTGGTATAAATACTCATAAAGTACTGGGGACTGCTTTGATATAGCGAAGTGTCAATTGGCTTGTGGCATTTCGTTTTATAAAAAAAAATTTTTTTTGCGGTGAAAAAAGTGGGAATTTATTGTTGACCCCCTTGTGAAATAGAGCGTTGTTGCTGTGATTTTGTCGAATCTTTGCAAGAAAAAGGTAAGGCATGGCTATTCCATCATTTAAGGTAGTTTTTAGGATGTTGACTCAAAAAGAAAGAGATGAGATTGCCGACTGTTACAAAATGGCTATGAGTATCAAGGAAGTTGAGAGACGGACCGGTCACAGTAGAAATACTGTTAGAAGAGTTATCAGAAACGTGCCTACAAAGCAGGTTGGACGTCCAGAAAAGATTGACGCTGCTACTTTTCGCAGAATCCGACGGTTTGTAGAGAAGGAAGTTCGTGCTGGACATAAGGTAACGGCAAAAATAATCAAGGAGAACTTAAATCTGGGGGTAACTCGCCGGACAATTAACATTGCGTTGAAGAAAAATAGCATTACTTACGAAATAGTTAAAAGAAGACTTCCGTTGAGCCCTTCTCATTTGGTTTGTCGCATGAACTTTGCGAAAAAGCACCTTGACCTGAAGACCGATTTCAGTAAGTGGATTTTTACGGACGAAAAGAAGTTTTCTTTTGATGGTCCTGACAATATGGCCAGCTACGGTACTCCCAATGCACGCTTAAAGCGGATCAAGCGCCAGATGGGCGGAGGAAGTGTAATGGTACTAGGTGCTATTTGCAGTAATGGCAATATCAAGATTAAGGTGAGTAAAACCCAACACAAAATGTGATCATGAGGGCTGTTTTAGGTTGTAAACGGAAAATACAAATCAAAAGACTACATCAAAGACCTGAAGACCACCTTCATCCCCTGGGTAATTGAACAGAAGGGCCGTAAAGGCTGGTGTTGGCAACAAGACAACTGTACCATTCACACATCCAAAGAAACCATGGACTTCTTGACGAAGAAAAAGGTCACAGTAGTTGATTGGCCATCCCGATCGCCTGATTTGAGTATTATAGAAAACGTCTGGAAGCTTCTAGAGGATCGGGTTCATCAACACGGCCAGTTTTACGACAAGGGCACGTTGGAGCAGAAGATTTTAGAATGCAGCGAAAACTTTCCAAAAGATGTGATTCTAAATCTTTATTCATCGATCCCTCGACGATTGGAAAAAGTTCTAGCCGCAGGCGGTGACGAAATCTAGGTATTTTAGAAGGGGGGGGGGTTAAGATTTAATTCCCACTTTTTTGACCCTTTTTTTTAAATGTTTGTTATTTTTTGTTAACGGTAACCCAGCAGGTCCTGGTTCCGTTTGTGTTGTTATTAGGTAGTCAATAAACTATATACCAAGTTTGGTCCCAATCGGTTCACTCACAGCCAAGTTAGAGGGGGTGAAAAATTTCTGCCTTCAGTATAACTTACTCTACCTTACCTACCCTAACCTACCGTACACTTCCCTACATCATCCTAACTTTATCTACCCTATCCTAATCAAATTTACCCTACCTTTATTACCTTAACTTGCCCTACCCTTCCCTAGCGTGCAATACCGTACCCTACTTTGCTCTACTTTCCGTATCTTAACCTACCCTACCCACCTTTCCTTAACCCTACAGTACTTCAAATTAAATCTCTCTCAACAAAATTGAAAAACGAAAGTATTAATGGATCCTTCAACTCACAGTCGTCTCTGAACGAATGTTCTTTTATGTTCTTCTTGGGCATGACATAATCACTGTGCCTTTTCTGTGGTTCACTTGCCATTTCGTCTTCGGGCTTGTACCGTCTCCTCTTGTGTCTGTCTTTGGAGCGGTGTCTACCCTTCTTTTTGTGCTTTTTAAAGTCCTAAAATTGAAAAAAAATTTAAAATGTGGTTTTTAGGGTTGGAAACAAAGTTTCTGCCAATTTTTTCAAAATTTCATTGGGAACAAAGTTTTTTGCGAATTTTATGAAATTGGTCTGTACACAAAGTTTCTGCAAGTTTTTCAAAATTTCAATGGAAACAAAGTTTTTGCAAATTGTTCGAAATTTCATTGGAAACAAAGTTTTTGCGCATTTTATAAAATTTCATTGGAAACAAAGTTTTTGCGCATTTTATAAAATTTCATTGGAAACAAAGTTTTTGCAAATTTTTTGAAATTTCATTGGAAAAAAGTTTTTGCAAATTATTCGAAATTTCATTGGAAACAAAGTTTTTGCAAATTGTTCGAAATTTCATTGGAAACAAAGTTTTTGCGCATTTTATAAAATTTCATTGGAAACAAAGTTTTTGCAAATTTTTTGAAATTTCATTGGAAAAAAGTTTTTGCAAATTATTCGAAATTTCATTGGAAACAAAGTTTTTGCAAATTATTCAAAATTTCATTGGAAACAAAGTTTTTGCGCATTTTATAAAATTTCATTGGAAACAAAGTTTTTGCGCATTTTATAAAATTTCATTGGAAACAAAGTTTTTGCGCATTTTATAAAATTTCATTGGAAACAAAGTTTTTGCGCATTTTTATAAAATTTCATTGGAAAAAAAGTTTTTGCAAATTATTCGAAATTTCATTGGAAAAAAGTTTTTGCAAATTATTCGAAATTTCATTGGAAACAAAGTTTTTGCAAATTATTCAAAATTTCATTGGAAACAAAGTTTTTGCAAGTTTTATAAAATTTCATTGGAAAAAAGTTTTTGCAAATTATTCGAAATTTCATTGGAAACAAAGCTTCTACAAATTTTTTTTGAAATTCCATTGGAAACAAATTTTTTGCAAGTTTTCCAAAAATTGATCTGTAAACAAAGTTTTTGCAAATTTTTCAAAATTTCATTGGAAACAAAGTTTTTGCGCATTTTATAAAATTTCATTGGAAACAAAGTTTTTGCAAATTTTTTGAAATTTTATTGGAAAAAAAGTTCCTACCGAAGTTTTACTTTCGGCCTCTCGTGATGGTGTATTGCCTGTAGTGGTGGTGGTCGACCGTATTATCGTAGTGCCTGTAGCAGTCGACAAGGCTGGTTGGGGGGAAGGATCGGTGGCTTCGATTCCTGAAGACGTAGCTGAGGCGTTGGAAACCGGACTTTTGTTTGATTCACTGGAGCTTGCTGGTGCTGGTTGCTTTCTTTTCTGGAAAAAAGTTGAGTTATAAACCTTACCCTACTCTAATCTACCCTACCTTACTGTACTCTACTCTGCCTAACTCTAATCTACCCTATCCTACCCTACCCTACCCTACCCTACCCTACCCTACCCTACCCTACCCTACCCTACCCTACCCTACCCTACCCTACCCTACCCCTACCCTACCCCTACCCTACCCTACCCTACCCTACCCTACCCTACCCTACCCTACCCTACCCTACCCTATCCTACCCTACCCTACCCTACCCTACTCTACTTACCCTAATCTTACTGTAGTTCGATTTTAGACAAACTTGAAGCCTACAGTATCCTTTTTAATTTAGTATTATCTTACGATCTACCGTACTCTTACAGCATCTGTACCCTTAATAGTAGTCTTATTGTACATCTGTCCTAGCCTAATTGACTGACGGCTATGTAAAGTTATTGTACTTCATCTTACTTTACTTTACCTTACTTAACCTTTACGTGCACATCAGTAATGTGCTTTGCTGTTCTCTATTATGTCCTACCCTACTTTACCCTACCCTATTTTACCCTTCACTACCCTACCATACCATAGCTCACCCTTTGCTACCGCGTACCTATCTTACCCCAAATCAAGAAAGCAAAAGGTATATTATACATGTTCGTATAAAAATCATCGCATAAAACGGCTTTGAACTCACCTGTGAACAACATATTAAACCAATCAGCGCGAGAATAACCTGACCAAATGATAGGACAACTGCTCTGTTCAATAACTCAAAACTGTTCTTGTCCATTTATTCGCTTTGACTCATATGTAGGTACATCTGAAACAGGCTATATATATTTAATTATAGTACGCATATAAAGTGCGTACTGAATAGTACCATACTGAATACAGTACGAAAAGAAATTACTGTATGGTACTACAGGTAGTTCATATTAAGATTACAATACATAGTGCAAAAACGTGTGATAGGCAATAATTTTAAAAAAGTTTTTGAAAGGGCGGGGGTAAAAAATTTTTTAGAGAGTAGGGGGATGTGGCAAAAAATACCGTTCAAAACTTTTTTTTGTAACTTCAGAAAAGCATACCAATTGCAAGTTTGAGACAATTTTTAGAGCAGTTTAGGTTAAAAGTCTATCTATCTTCCAAATCCTGTGTCCGACCGACTTTGACGAATAAAGTATAAAAATGAAAATCTTGGAGAAAGTGGCGAATGGCCATGAAATCTTGAGAAAAAAATTTTATTTTTTGAAAAAATCTAATTTACCTTTTTGTTCAGATATTTTAGGTGCCGACCAGGCACGTCGCTACGGTTTTTCTCTGGGGGGAGTCACCCCGAACCACCCCCCCCAAACGACGTCCCTGGTGCCGACATAAACAACCCGCCATTTTGTACAAGAAATTACAGGAAAAGTATAGCGGGTTCTCTATGTCGTACCTAATATAATGTAATCTGTGCCGGCCCGAAAATTTTGTAAGGGTGAGAAACGGGCCGAGCCGGCCTAGAGCTAAATTTGAAACAAGGCGGACTTGAAAAGTGGGCCCGGCCCGTTTCGCACCCCTAGATTTTGAACTCAGAGGGGGGGGGGAGAGGAGTTTAAAATTTCTTTTGATGAACAGACCTGTCAAATAAGTTCTTCTAGAAAGAGGGTTAAGTCACTGGCCACCATCTCCCTCTAGCTATTATACATGATGAACAAGCCGGGCCTCAGGAAAATTTAAGTCGTGCCGGGCCTGAAAATCTACCCCCCGGCCCGTTTGTAAGTAAAAAAATGGGACGTGCCTCAGGAAAATTTAGATCAAGCCGGGCCTAACACTCAAGCTCGCTGGCCGAGTCTAGAAAAATGGGAACCCGGGGAGGGCTAACCCGTGTGTTCACATAAAAAAACTCGGGCTGGCAAAATTTACGTTGGGCCGGGTTTGAAAATCGTGACTCGGCCCGTTGGCACAAAAAAAATTCAGGCCAAGTCGGAGAAAATATTAGATCAAGCCGGCAGGGGCGTCGCTACGGACTTTTTCTGAGGGGGGGGAGTCAAGTCCCAAAATTTAGCTAGCTACATGTGAACCAATTTTAAAAAAAAACATTTTTTCGCGTATGGGTACCGCCTATCTGTGGAATTTTTTTTCAGATCGACTCTAGGGGGGGGCACCCCCCCTTCACCCCCCCCTCCTAGCGACGCCCCTGCAAGCTGGGCCTAAGTAACACTCAGGATTGGTCTGGCCCAGTCCGTTCCCCATATCTACCCTTAGCGTCCACCCCTAGGTGGGGTTAGAAAAAGCTATTTTTTTACTTTCATTTTTCCAAAGTTCAAAAAACTTTATTTCTATTCGATGACCATGTTTCAGGCGGTTGTCAAGGTGTTCTTGTTCTGGTCGATTTTGTTTGGTCGATTCCGCGCATACGACATACCCAAATGGAGCGAGCTGGAGTATAAAGATTACTACAACACCAGCCACCTAGCCGACACGGCCTGCCAGACGGACTATCCGGACAAAACGTGCGTGCCCATCAGCGTGGACGCCTTCGAACAATACTTTATGGACATTGCTTACGTTACGGGTAGAAATACGTTTGGCTATATGCAGGGAATGAGTAAGTCGTACCATGTTTATATGTTGTACTCAAACCCACCCTGCCCAACTTTCAGTTCAATGTTTCTATTTAACAGGAAAAGTACCACAACATACATGTATAACTATTTTCAGACAAGAACCTCAGCTCAAAAGAACTGGTTCTCAGCTTATATGGCCACTGTAAGTTTTTGGCTTAGTTGAAGTACAGTACACTCTATGTAAGCAACCCGAAAAGACCCACATTTTGGGTTTACTATAAGAGGTGTTGTCCTTATATAGTGATTTTTTATTGCAACTGGACTTGGCGGGGCCAAATTTCTTGTTTACTATGAGGAGAGTTGCTTATACAGATGGCTTTTTAGATGAAATACGAAATAGTCCACTAGGCCATTATAAAGAACAGTTTTGGTATCCGCTGACTTCGGAGGAGACGCCGACGGCCTTAAACATTGGCGGTGGATATATGAAACTCGTGAAGGCGTCGGGTAATGATCCAAAAAAGGGTAAATTTGTAAGTACTTAGACAATTTGATCGTATAACATATCCCCCCCCAGCTTGCATGCATAGGTGAAGAGGTAAGGGTAGAAATAGGAGTACAGGTAGAGGTAAGGGGTAGGCTTAGGGGTAAAGGTAGGCAGAGGGGTAGGGATAGAGGTAGGGGTAGAAGTAGGGGTAGGGGTCGAAATAGAGGTAGGAGTGGGGGTAGGGGTAGGGTTAGAAGTAGGGGTAGGAGTGTGAGTAGACATGAAGAACGGACCGGGACTAACTCAAATTTAGGTTAGGTCGGGCCTGAAAAAGTAGACACGGCCCAACCCATCTGTAATAGGTATAGGTAAGCAGAGGGGTAAGGGTGGGAAGAGAAGTAGGCATAGGGTAAAGATAGAGATAAGCAGAGGGTTAAGGGTTAAAATAGAGGTAAAAGCAGGGGTAGGACATCGTCCGGAGCAGTTACTAAAACCTTAGTCTTTTTCATAAAAAGTTTTTAGCAAATGGACAGTCCTGGCTTTGGTTCGTTGGTCTACAAGAATTATTTGTTTGGGAGCAATGACAGCACAATCTATGACTTGAGAGACTTCATTAATGGAAAAGGCGATCCGTAAGTTGTAAAATTAAAATTTTTTAAAGCTTTAGCCTCGGACTTCGCCTGAGGCTTGCAGCTTCTTTTCAGGTTTCAAAAGATTTGAATTTTTGACTAACAACAAAAGTACCCCCCCCACCTGTCCCACCCATAAGAACTTTTAGCTCGCGCTTTTGAGTTTTAAATTTTGAATATTTTGGGTTTGCCGCCATCTTGGAAAATTTGGCATTGTGTTTCAAGCACATTTTCCAGTCAAGCTACACTTACAAATTTAAAAATGGAGGGTCATTTAAAGGTGTTCGACTAGTATACCAAAGAAAAATAATTAAAAGTCAAAAAATGGCTGAGTTATAAGCTTGAAACACAATGCCAATTAGGCGGAAAATTTAAAACGAAGTTGTTTGATCTCGCTTTTCTCGTGTTTTCCTGGAAAGCACGATTCAATACCGTAAAAGTTTCAATAAACCTAGAGAAAAGCTAAACAGAATAACTTTTCAAAGCAAAAACAAGTTGTGAACGTAAACCAGTGCGCCCGAAACAGCGCGCGACAAGTTATACGAAAGAATATGGCCGAGTGTAAAGTGGTTTTTTTGACAAAATTATATAAAATAACCTTGTATAAACATTATCTTAGCAGATTTTACATTTTTTGTTTAAATCAATATTAATCGGTATTTTTTAATCAGCCTATCCCTCAATTCCAATATCAAGCATGTCCATCGTTTGGCGTTTACTTTTTTGTCCTTGAACGTGAACTCACCCCTTTTATGAATCAGAATTGCAAGACGAAATAGATTGAACAAACATATTATGCTGAAATTTATACTTTCGATTTCATGCAAGTGTTATCATCGCTTTTTAATTTTTTAAAATTTGTCATTGTGTGAACGCTAGTCCTAATTTTTAGCTTTAGGCTTAGCCTAGCCTTATATTTTTTTTCAAATTGTGATTCAACGTGCCTTTAATATCACGTTTTACCAGAATACACACTAGATTTGACGTTTTTAGAATACTTTCAGCGTTTTAAAAGCTTTGCCGAATTCTTATAATGAAGGGATGTTACAGTTTCCAAGCAACATTTTCAGCTTGAATTTGTTATTCGCTTGTTTGGAGAAGTTATGGTGGCACGGCGCTTGGTATTACATTATTTATTCTTAACATAGAGCTAGGACCAAATTAAGCTTATCTTTGAGCTTACGCAAGGGGTTAGTGCAATGCCTAAATGTAGGTTTAGACTTAGCCTTAGGTTTAGCATTTGCCTTAGAATTTGCCATAGGTTTTGATTCAGATTGAGGCTTAGGCTTATGCTAATGCTCATGCTTAAGCTCAGGCTAAAGCACAAGCTCAGGCTCAAGCCCAGGCTCAGGCTTAGGTTTGGGCTCAGGCTCAGATTCAGGCTTAGGCTTAAACTTAGACTTAGGCTTAGGCTTAGGCTTAGGCTTGGGCTTGGGCTTGGGCTTGGGCTTGGGCTTAGGCTTAGGCTTAGGCTTAGGCTTAGGCTCAAGCTCAGGCTCAGGATTAGGCTCAGACTCAGGCTCAGGGCTCAGGCTCAGGCTCAGGCTCAGGCTCAGGCTTAGGCTCAGACTCAGGCTCAGGCCCAGGCTCAGGCTCAAGCTCAGGCTTATACATAAGCGTATGTTTAATTTTCGGTTTTGGATTGGACTTAGGCTTTTTTTGTGCTGGCTCTTTGGTTTCGGTTTAGGCTTAAGGTGAAGATTATGTTTTATTTGCTTAAAATAGGCTTATTTTGTTATACTAAGGCTACAATTAGGGTTGAAAGCATACATAAGAACAAAGTACAGCCTGGATAACATGTAATTAGCCGTCGTTCTTAGCCAAACAAGTTTTATTCCATTTAATGAAGACGACTATGAACATATAATAAACAGCCATCTTTTTTCAAGTATCTGTTAATGGCCAAGTAATTGCGAGAGTATTAAAATTTGTGGGTAATTGACGTGTTCTGGCCTTGGAAAGTATATTATGCTTTAGGGAGAATGGGGGTTGAGAGGACTGACTTTGAAACTTTTTGGTTTTACGTGTTTGTGGGGAGTTACTGAGGGTTTTTAATGTATTTTAGGATTTAAATCATCTTGAAATGGCACAAGGAGTACTTTATTTTACTGTCATTGTAAAGCGCTTACTATAGTTAGTCATAAGAAAGCTGTTCTTTATTAAAAATGACATTTAAGCTTACATTTAAAGCTTTAAAAAAGTTTTGTCGTCAATTTCGTATGAAAAACATGTCAAAAAACGACAAAACTTATTTTTTGCAAAAAATGACGAATCTTTTTAACTTTTTAATGCTATTAGCTGCCTATTTTACATTTCTCATATGACTCTACGTATTTCTCGAGCTCTTGCCCATGTTATTACCTAATACTATGTCACTTAACCGGCTATTAGTTTCCTAATATAACATTGAAATAGGGATTACCTTGTATGAACGATGTTTGTTTTGCAAATGTTATATTGTTTTATATTGGGTTACAAGTTAATGAATATGTTGTGAATTAATGTCTTTTGTACTAATGTATGTTGCTCACAGTTGAGGTACTATAATATTATAAATTTTTATGCATTGTTGCAACTTGCAAGTATATTTTAGAGTAGTATGTACTAGTAAGATAATATAAGGTTGTTAAAGCTTGACTTTATTTATACGTATATTTTATATATAGAGGCTTGGGTAAGATAAGACTTTAATAGGGTAGTGGACGGTAAAGTAAAGCGAGGGTAACACGTTTAAAAAGAAATTTTTTAAGGCTTTGGCTTCAATTATATCTTAGGCTTAGACTTAGGCTTAGGCTTAGACTGGGGTTTAGCCTCAGTCTTGGACTATGGCCTTAGAATTAAGCTCGGGTTTAGGCTTAGGCTAGGGCTTGGGCTTATGCTAGGGCTTAAGCTAGGTCCCTGGTCTAAGGCTGTGGGCTATGGCTTGAGCTAAGGCTAGTTCTAGGGCTGTAAGCTAGGGCCATTTGCTAGTGCTGTGGACTAGGACTTTGGGCTAGTGCTTTGGGAAGTTAAATGGTAAAGTACAAACAGCTTAATGGCCTACTTGTAGCCAATTATCGTACCACGTTCATAGCCAGACATAAAAAAGCCATAAGAGGGTTAACTAAGATTCATGTTTACACCACTTATATCCGTTTATTCGAGTATGTTCGACTCGGTCTTTCCATAATACATATGTAGTAAAATTAACGAATTCACAGTTAAATACGAACATGTGAAAAGAGGTGTAACACCTGTCTATAAGTTATTTTAGAGTTACACGGGGGCCAAAGTGCGGGTTATAAATTAGGTTTGATAACGAAGTTAGTCTCTATGGTTTTTCTTCTTACTTGCGTACACTTCTTATCGTATAAGGTGTCACTGATGTGGTATTACTACCTCATATTAAGGATCTTTGGTGTGTTATTGACATTTTTTACATTTAAAGGCGATTTTCAAACTTTTGTTTGCTTTTATTGTTTTATCATTACTAGGCGACATGTTATACGATGAAACATGTAAGGTAATGTAGGCGAGAGCATGTTTTATCGTATAACTTGTCTTCTCAACTAATATTTTTTACTTTTTTGTTGATAACTTTATCATTTTTGATATTTCAGAACGTGTTTTACATCAGTTTTCATATTATTTTTAAAAGGCGACACTACGATGAAACATGTTTCACGCAATTATATATAACGTTACCTGAGCTAATATTTTTACATTTTTTTGGTATTATTAACAGTTTTGATGTTCTATAAGGTATTTAAGCCAATTTTTATATGATGTTCTATAAGTTATTTAAGCCAATTTTCAAAAGCCGACATTTTATACGATGAAACATGTTTCGACGTATAACATGTCACCTGAACTAAAAGTAAAATTTTTTTTGCATAGTTGTAACAGTTTGGATATTTGAGAGCTTTTTTTCATCGAATTTCATAGCACTTTCTATAAGGCGACATGTTATACGACGGAGAGTGTTTGTTAACCTATATTATTCATGCTTTGTTGCTCTCATTGTAGCCAGATATTTTAAAAGTTAGGCTATTTTTTAGTAAATTAGATATAAGATCTTTTACATTAAGCTAAAGACCTTGATTATCTCAAAAAAACTTGACAAAACCATTACAAAAACAAGCTTAAACTCGAATTAGTCATTGCGCACGGCTGATTCAGAACTGATTTCGTCGATTCAGAAGCCTTTTTTCGGTTAAAAGAGAACAAAAAGCCAAAAAAAACGGCTAGCCAAAAATAAACAATTGAGAGTTGAAAATAGTTACTACTTTACAATCCCCCTTTCCCCTTCCAATTACTCACGTTGTTATTGTAAAAACGCTGTTAACATTCGTTTTTCGTTCTTTAATGCACTTGAAATTTGGAACGTTGGAAATGACGAGGAACGGCGCGGTAATGAAATGGCGATTTGATAGTTCATGTACCATTCGAAAAGTTTAAAATTTTTTGAATTTCAAATTTTTTTCAAAATTTTTTTTGGGGGGGACAAAAAAATTTATTGCTTTTTTAAATTCAGAATACTCATTTTAAACCTGTAAACGCGTATTTTAGTTTATTTTTCCAATTTATAATTGCGACCACATGTTATACGATAAAACATGTTTCATCAAAACATGTTTCGTCGTATAACTTGTCATCAAAATATTTTTTTACGTAGTTTTCTGACGGATCTGACATTTTAAACCTGTAAAACCTTATGTAATAGTTTTTTTTTAAATTTTTAGCTATGGCGACACTATATACGCTGAAACATGTTTCATCGTATAAATTATCACCAACATCTTTTTTTGCATAGTTTTTTTGACTGACCATACATTTTAAACATTTTAAAGCTTATTTAATAGCTTATTTTTCAATTTTTAGCTATGGCGACATGTTATACGCTGAAACATGTCTTATCGAAAACATGTTTCATCGTATAACTTGTCACCAAACAGATCTTTCCGAAGTTTTATGACATTTTTAAAAATAATGGCCATTTCAAGTTATATTGTGTCAAGTTTTTATTATTTTTCAAAAAAATTTCATTTTTTGAAAATTTTTAAAATTTAAACAAATTTTGAAAATTACCGTAGCGTGTTACACTCGACCACAAGCCGTAATGTATGTGTTGGTTTGACACGAACGTCCAGGTAACATTAAGGTTTTTTGTTGTCATTTTGAGTTATTGCGTGTTCCTACGTAGTTTGAAAATATTAATTGTGGCAAGACCGTCTCATTGGGGTGGGGTAATTTTGAGAAATCTAGTTGTAAAGAAAGTTCTTGCCATTTTTGATTTCTATAGAAAATTTTTGTTAATTTTTGTTTTGTAAAGAAAGTTATTGCCATTTTATGTTTTGCAAAGAAAGTCCTTGTCATTTTTTGTTTTGTAAAGAAAGTTCTTGCCATTTTATGTTTTGTAAAGAAAGTTCTTGCCATTATTTGTTTTGTAAAGAAAGTTCTTGCCATTTTATGTTTTGTAAAGAAAGTTCTTGCCATTTTCATCTTTTTTAAGCTTGAAAAAAAGTCTTGTCGTTTTTGGCTGTTTAAATCCACGGGAAACGACGACAAGGCTTTTTAATATTAAAAAATTGATAAATTTAAATAAAAAATGTTAATTAATGCCATTTTTAACATGAAAAATCATTTTTCCAAAAACCGGAAATAAGAGGCATTGAGCAAGTTTTTATATTATTCTGGACTCTTATCAGTCCAGCAAAAGGGGAATTATTTCGATTTTCAAGTGGAAACAAGCTTCGAAATTAGCGGTTTTTGTGATTTCTCCACGTTTTATTCATATTTCAAGCCAAAAAACATGTTTATGTGAGGCATGGAATAAACATTTTGATTCGCCTTTGTGATGGCTATGTTAATATTTGATTGAGAAATCTTTCATTTTGTAAAGGGTGGGGTACATTTTTTTGGGAGAGGAGAAGGAGAGGTAAAACGGACGTGAAGTTGAAAAATGAAAGATAGTTTACTTTGGGGTAGAGTAGAGGTATAATAAGATTGGGAAGGGTAGGGTAGGAGCAAAATTAAATAAAATGTTTCCTGGGTCCAGCTTCATCTTACTTTAACTCTAAATTAGCTGAACTCAAATCATACCCAAATCCCTCTCTAAGTCTTACATTTCAACCTTATCTTTCCTTTAGTCTAGCTTTGTTTTAGTGCTGTTTATTCTAGTCTTATTTAGTATCTAGCCTAGTTGCATTGTAACCTAGCTTTAGTCCTACATTTGCCTTAGTCTACATTTATCATAGCCTTATCATTAGAGTCGAAAGAGGGCCACTAGGCCTGATCTTGCCTTATCCCCCCCCCCCCCCCTTCGGCCTTGTCTTAAGCATAAACTAATCTGAAAAGGTCATAAGTTGTCCCAATTATATGTTGATTAATTTTTATAGATAGTCAAAAGGGGCCATGACCAATACAACTTTATAAGAGACCGGGTCGAAAAACTGGGCCCGACCCAACTGTTTTGCTAGCCGAGTTATTTATTATAACATTATGTATTTATTAATTCTACGTTATCGTAACTTTGCTTTGCTTTACTTTAACACTATTTGTCGTAAACTCTTTCGAAATTTGCATATTATTTTTACATTTAATATAATTATAGTTTTCTAAGTATTATTTTACGTTTTGCCAATGATAATGTAGTTACAACGTGAAACAAGTAGTAACTTACAATTATATAATTGTAGTTCAGTCTTATGGTAGCACAAAAATAAAAAAAACCAGTTTTACACCTGTATATCTATAATTAATTTTGTGGTCAGTCATAAGACATATATCAGTATGTTGAAGTATGCATGTGATTGTACATTTTGTACGTTTGCACATAAAATGCTACTGTAGTACCAGTATGAAAGTTGCAGGTTGGGTACTTTCCTTTTAAGCCTGTGCCAAAGCTAATAGTGGCTATCGGCAGTGCCGGTCGGGGACTTTTAGTCTGGGGGCGGGGGTCGAAAAAACTTGCACAACTACTCGTGCCACAGAAGAGGTCGGGCCGGGTTTGATAATCAAGGCCTGGCTCGTTTTCACGTAAAAAATATTTTGACTGCGCCGGGCTTGAGCAAAATTTTAATTGGGCCAGGCTTAACATTCAGGCCCGGCTTGTTAATTATGTCTAGGGCAGGGCAGGTATTCTAAAATAAGGTAGGAATAAAGCTAGACGAGATTAAACTAGGGCTCTGGGCTAGGACTCTAGGCTAGGGTTCCGGGCTAGGGCTTTGGGTTAGTGCTCTGGGCTATGGCTTGGGGATAGGGTTCTGAGCCAGGGCTCTGGGCTAGAGCTCTGGGCTAGAGATAGGACTCGGGGCAAGGACTTTGAGCTAGGGCTAGGGCTCTGGGCTAGGTTAGGGGTGTGTCTATTCATTTTAAGCTTCTTTCAAACTCAGTGAAAGCACTTTTTTCGAAACGATTTATTTTTTTTTCATCTTTTTACAAGCCGAACGTCACTTGTATTGTAAAAACGTGACGGATAATCGAACCGAGAGCTCGATTCGATTATTGTTTTTGCGGATTTTGTCACTTTTTTCACAAATTTTTCTCGATTTTTCATTTTTTGACGGGGTTTTTGGTCGTATTTTTCGAAATTTTTTGATTTTTTAACATTTTTTTTTCACTTTTTTTTTAATTTTTTGAATTTTTAAGTAAAATTTTGAAATATAGGTAACATTTTTTAAATTTGAGATAAAGTTTTTTATGTTTTAAACACATTTTGATACTTAATTTTATCATATTCTTCTTGGTAAATCACGGTTTTACTTATGATAACGTATAATATTGAATACGTGAAACAAGTAGGTGTATATAATGATAGTTCTACTACAATATACTACCTTTTTATAACGCAAAAATGCAAAAAAGAAAGTTGTTTTACACCTGCATATCTCTAATTGTATTCGTGGTTACGATAAACTTATCTTAACTATGACTTTTGTATGTTTTACGTTAACTACAGTAAGCTAGAAGGCAGCATGTCAATAGTTGAACTACAGTAAGATTACAAAGGATAGGGTAGAACACTTTTTTTGCATATATATTGCATTTTTAATATATTTCGCGTACTATCCTCTATTGTACTTACACTGCTCATTTGTATAGATGCATTATATCTTACTGTAGCTACTTATGCTCAAATTACTGTATTTTCAGCTGCTCCAAGAACCATACAAAAAGCCAAAAACGGCTGTTTTTTCAACATTAAATGAACGGCGTCACGCCGAAACCCGAGGACACGGTGACTAGCTCAACGTCCACAACTTCAGATAAACATCATGGGATTACGGTAACCAAAGGCCCGCCGGTGCATCGACGCAATTCTTCACAATGGATACCTCCAAATGCACCAATATACGAACGGGCACTGGATCTGACAAATTTGGTGGCTTCGAAAGGCTTCTGGAAGGGACGGGTGAAAAGTCGACCGTAAGTCTTACTGTAGTTACTGTAGGGGTAGATGGTAGTGTAAAATACGGGGATTGGTTTTTCGTGTTGTAAAGTAAGCTATTTAGTGTTTTGGACAAGGGTTCTAGCAATTTAAACTCATTTGCAAGTTATTTATTGCAAATTCACGTTTTCGTGGTGGGACACAAAATATATTTAAAATTTTAATTTTTTTACAAATTATAAGTAAAATACGTCGTATACCTCTGTGAAAGTTTTTATTATTTTTTGTTATTAAGTGCCATTTCTAATCAATAAAACTATTACATTTTATTCTCATTTGGGTCCCACCACGAAAACTATTTTCTTGGCATTCCGTTATTTATTTAAAAAAATATTTTAGTGACCGAATAATCGAACCAAATTGGCTAACTCCACATATACCACGATATCATTTAAATAATTTCAAAAGATATGCCGACAATAAGATCCGGACCTCCAAATACACATGGTTAACATTCTTGCCCAAGAATTTGTGGGAACAGTTCCATCGATGGGCCAATATCTACTTTATTATCATTATGTGTAAGGTTTTTACTATCTTTTGCGGAGATTTGGTTTGGATTTGTTGAGTTAGGCAAAAGTTATGAGCAAAAGTTTGGGGCTATACCTATATAAATGGTAAAATTGGTACGGATAAGATAACTTTAGTCGTAGAAAGTTGTAGTTTGGTCAAAGTTAGTTAAATTTGGTATTATTTTGTAGAGAAATGTTTATTCTACTTATGACGTGTTAATTTAGATATATCTGGACATTTACAAAAAAGTTATAGTGAAAAAATTCAGGTCAATAGCTAAAAAATCGAAAAAAATTGATATGGGTAACATAATATTCTTCGCAGAAAGCTGAAACTTGATCAAATATGTTCAAATTTCATATTATTATGTAGAGGACTGTCTGATCAACTAAACTGATATGTTTTAGCTATGAACTGGGTGCCACAACTACAGGCTTTCAGCAAGTACCTCGGCATGATACCTGTTTGTGCGGTCTTATCCATGACGGCCATAAAGGACTTTTTGGAAGATTGGAGGAGGAAACGAGCTGATAAACGGTTGAATCATAATACAGTTCATGTTTGGGACAAGTGAGAGTTTAATTTTGAGATGTTTAGATTGGTTTTGTCAATTTTTCGGGTTTTTTGTTAGAAAATGTTGAAAAATATTGTTTTTGAGTAAATTTTTGCGAAGAAAATCGGTTTTAACCAGTTTTAATCTGAATATTCGCTTGTTTTAGCGTGAAAAAACGATTCCGTCGAACCTTATGGGAGCTGGTGATAGTAGGAGACTATGTTCACATCTCCAGCGATGAAACCATACCAGCTGATATTGTTTTAATCCGATCGGCCGATCCACAAGGCTGCGCTTTCGTGGAAACTTCGAACCTGGACGGCGAAAACAATTTGAAACAGAAGGTTGTGCCACAAAAGTTCAAGAACCTATGTCTTATGGATTCGTTCGATCCATCTGATGTTTATCTGCAGATCACGGTGAATCCACCTGATAACAGGATGAATCATATCAATGGGAGGATTGATTATGGCAATGGAGAGAATGAGAAGATAACAAAGGAAAATGTGGTTTTAAGGGGATGTCAGCTGAAGAACACCAGTTTTGCTGAGGGCATTGTCATTTATACTGGTAAGTAAGGAGTGTTTTAAAAAACTTTTGGCGCGAAATTCAAAAACCACTTTTTAAGTGGGAGAGTTTTTTGTTTTTTTTGGAGGGGAGGGGGGGAAGGGTAGGGGATTAATATCGTTTTATATTTTGATTCTATATAATACTAACAACCTATAGATCAATTTTTAGCCAATTTGGCACTTTAAAAATTGAAAAAATTGAATTTTACTTTTTGGCGGGAAAAATCAAAATTCAAATTTTAAAAAGTGCAAATTGTGAACTAAAAATTAGACACATTTGAAATTCCTGGTTTGAGAAGGCTATAAACTAAATTTGAAATGATTTCGGCCATTAGAAACCGATAAAATTAATTTTTAATTTTTGGCGCGAAAATCAAAATTCAAATTTTAAAAGTGCAAGATTGGTGCTAAAGTTTTGCATTCTGAATTTTGATTGTATAGTTACGTTGAATTTAAAATTTGAGTGAATTTGGAGTGTTGTCGAAAAAATTAATTCAGCTCTGGTTAATATGTAATATGGTCATTTTTATGTCGATAAACATGGTTTATATGACATTTTTAATAACTTGTAGTTGAAAACGGATAAAATGAGTTGTGTAGACACTGAAAAATTAAAACACATCAATATATTTTGTCACTTTCAGGCTGTGAGACCAAGTTAATGTTGTCCAATGGGCCAGTTCGCTATAAACGAAGCTCCATCGAACAGATGACAAACTACTTTATCCTCTTCTGTGTCATATTATTAATCATCATGGTTGTCGGGTGTGGAATATGCTCCATTTTCTGGTTGATTTCCGTTGATGCTCATGACAAAAACATTCCATTCGTGGTGCTTTTCACCGACTCGGCCATCAATGACGGGTTGATCAATATGGCTGCTAATATACTGGTTTATCAGGTATGTTATTAGTAAATTCTAATAGGGAAATATGAGAGAGAACGATGACAATGGTATTTTTTTGTAAAATACGTAATATCGGTGTGTATTTAAGATGAAAAGTAGTAAAAATGAAAAAAAATCAATAATTTTTGTGACATTTCGTCCAAATTTCCAATCTTTTTTTGTGACATTTTGTTAAATTTTTGAACTACGGTTAGTTTTAACTATTACAGTGCTATCTAGTGTTCAGAAAAGCGTTTTTAAAGGTTTTAAGACATTTTAGAAATTCCAATAATTTGTGACACTTCGTCCAAATTTTCAATATTTTTTTTGACATTTCGTTGAAAGTTAAAAATTAGCTTTAGTGAGTCAAATAGATATTAAATATGCGTTTTCAACTTATATTTGGATCAAGTACGGACTGAAAATTTTTTTGTGATATTTTGTTCATATTTCCAATAATTTTTGTGGCATCTTGCCGCATTTGCAAAATTTTGTTTTCAGCTAAAACTAAGCTTAAAAATGTAATTTGGACGATATAATATATGTTTTTAACTCCTTTCATCGTATTTTACCTACTTGTCAACGTATAATAGTTTACCTACTTCAATATACTAAACAAAGCCATTTCCAGACCCTAATCCCCTTATCTCTGTACATATCAATTGAAATCATAAAACTCGGCCAGAACTACCTGATGACACAAGACTTGGACATGTATGACGAGGAAAGAGACAAAAAGTTACTGTGTCGATCGTTGAACATACCCGAGGAGCTGGGTCAAGTCAAATATATATTGTCGGACAAAACTGGCACCTTGACCGAAAATAAAATGGTTTTTAAGTAAGAAGGGGTTGAAAGGCGAGGACTTTCTTTACAAAGCTTAAAATTGCAAGAACTTTCTTTACAAGGCACAAAATGACAAGAACTTTCTTTACAAAACAAAAAATAGCAAAGACTTTGTTTACAAACGATAAAATGGCAAGAACTTTCTTTACAAAACGTAAAATGGCAAGAACTTTCTTTCCAAAACTTTAAATGGCAAGAACTTTCTTTACAAAACAAAATAGCAAGAATTTTCTTTACATGCCTTAAAATGGCAAGAACTTTCTTTACAAAACACAAAATGGCAAGAACTTTCTTTACTAAACTTAAAATTTCAATTTTTTTCAAAATTTTGAAATTTTCAGAAGCTGCACGATAGACGGTGAGATTCACGAAGCTGAGAACGCTCGCCGCCGTACCAGAACGTTCTCATTGGTGGAAGACGAAAAGATTGAAATTTCACCAGCTTTGAAACGTGATCTACACACATCACTCGAGAAGGATGACAAGTTTTACATGATGATGAACATGGCCGTATGTAATACGGTGATGGTAAGAAGAAGACAACAATTGGATGACGTGGAGTTGGGATACTTTGAGAATAATATTTATAACGTCGGAAACAGCGCTTTCTATGTTCCAATTGAGACAATTCCAGCTGGACTGACTCCGACTGCGTAAGTTGCTTTGGTTTTGCTATTCTATCTCACAAGGAAAGTACCCGACCTGATTGGTTTTACACTGTTTATATTGAAAGATCATATAAATATAACACCGTCAGCAAAATACTAAATCGCGCTTTCCAGCCAATCTCGAGAAAATCGAGACCAAAAAATGGCATTTTGAATTTCCCGCCAACTTGGCATTGTGTTTCAAGCTTGTAACTTTGTCATTTTTTGTCTTTTAATTTGATATACTAGTAGAATACCTTTAAATGAACCTATATTTTTAAATTTGTAAGCGTAGCTTGGCTGGAAAGCCGAAAGAAGTGCTTGAAATACAATGCCAAATTTGCCAAATTGGCGGGAAACCCAAATAAGTTAAATTTAAAACTTAAAAGCGCGAGCTAAAATTTTTTATGGGTACTATTGGTGGTACAAGGAATTCATACAAAAATTTTGAGCTGATTCTGAGCGAGGCTGGTAGGGTACTTTCCTTGTTAATTAAGTTTATATGCACTAGCCTTATTGTACCTCTACGTAAGCCTTTGCTTCAGCTTTGACTTTTGACCACCATAGCTCTACACTGGTCTTATTCTGTAGCTTTAATCAAGCTGTACTATTGTCCTAATCTGGCCTTACTCTTGCTTACCTCTAGCCTCTACTTTTGCTCTTACTTTAGCTTTTGATCTAACTTTAACTATATCTTTATTTGAGGTAACTATATCTTTATTTGAGGCTCACCTTACTTTATATTAGTATAATATTGTGCTAAATTTCAGAGAGATCATTCCACAAATAAACAATCTAATTCTACGACAATTTGCTTTCAGTCCAACCGATTTGCTGAAGAGATTTGGGAGCTTAACATCTCTGTCGAAGTAAGTCAAGTTTTAGCTTTACCTTACTTGTCTTTGTACTAAAATTTGAAAAAAAAATTTTTCAATGTAATTTTTGAAAATTTTTAAAAAATTTAAAATTTTGAAAATTTTTGAAATTTAAAATTTTTGAAATTTAAATTTTTCGAATTTGTAAAAATATTTCAGAATTTTTACAAAAAGAGAGACGATTCTCCGTCGCTTAACCCAAAAATCAGATGAACGAAACTACGATGCGGAAAGCCCAGACGAATTGGCGTTAGTCAAAGCAGCCGACGCCTACGGCTTCACCCTGGTCAGTAGAAGCGCGACGGACATTCGGCTAGCCATCCCAACCACCAACGACGCCAATGAATACACACAATCAGAAGTCGAGGTCAAGGTCATCAAGATTCTGAATTTCGACTCAAATCGAAAAAGAATGTCCATCGTGGTACGATACGACGGTAAACTACTCCTACTGACCAAAGGCGCAGACGAACAAGTTTTTCCGAAGCTAGCCGACGATGAATCCGAGGAATTCCGAAGTTTGGTCGATGAAACAAGGCGGATTCTGGAAGAATACGGTCGATTTGGGCTGAGAACGTTGGTAATGGCAATGAAAGAGTTGGATGAAGAAGAGTTTGAAGACTGGCTAGCCACACGAGAATTTGTAGAATCCATCGACGACGATGAATCTGAAGCCTTGCTTTCAGAATCCTCAGCCCAACTTGAAGTAGGCCTTCACCTTCTCGGCGTAACGGCTATTGAAGACCGGCTACAGAACGGTGTGACAGACACAATCTCAGCACTAAGGCACGCTGGGATTCAGATATGGGTATTGACTGGTGACAAGTGCGAAACGGCTGTTAACATAGCCAAGAGCTGCCACTTATTCAACAAAAAGTGCAAAATCATAGTGTTTAGAGAGTTGAAGGACCTGGTTGATTTCGATGAGGAAAAGCGAATCAACGCCGTCTTTTCGAGCGAAGTCGTGAGGTTGATCAAGGAAGGGAACGATGATGCCTTTAGGGTCATTGAAAGGTAATTTTTCGTTGATTATGGCAAGTAAAATGAATGAAATGCTGTTTTTGGTCGATTTTTCGACTGGAAAGAAAGTTCTTGCGGTTTTAAAAAAATTTGAAGTTTTGAATTGTTTTGTCATTTATTATGCTATTCCAGCTTAAAATTGATGACTAAGTGCATTGTAAGTCGAGTTTTGCCTGGAAACAAAGTTCTTGCGGTTTTGAAAATTTTTTGAAATTTTGGTTTTTTTGTTATTTTCTATCTCATACCTACCTAAAATTGATGACTAAGCGCATTTTAAGTCGATTTTTGCCTGGAAACAAAGTTCTTGCGGTTTTTGAAAAAATTGAAATTTTGAATTGTTTTGTCATTTATTATGCCAGGCTAGCCTAAAATTGATGACCAAGCTTATTTTAAGTCTACTTTCTCCCTGGAAACAAAGTTCTTGCGGTTTTAAAAAATTTTTAAAATTTCACAAATTCATTTCATTTTCAGATGCGAAGCCATCGTATGTTACCGTATGACACCGGCGGAGAAGGCGGACGTAGTAAACGCAGTAAAAACCCGCCTCAAAGGCAAGACTTTGGCCATTGGGGATGGGGCCAACGATGTGCCAATGATTCTAGGAGCCGACGTTGGAATCGGAATCTCCGGTCACGAAGGGCTACAGGCTGTGATGGCGTCGGATTTCGCAATTTCGAAGTTTCGGTTCTTGAAAAAGCTACTCCTGGTACATGGCCATTGGAACTACTATCGCCTGGCCAATGCCATCATGTACTTTTTGGAGAAAAATGCGGTTTTTGTGTTTGTCATCTTCTGGGGACAAATCTTCATGGGATTCAGCTCCGGCTTCTTCATTGACCCGATTTATTCAATGCTTTATCCCATATTGTTCACAAGGTAAGGATGGGTGGGTTAAGGGGTTTTTGGGTGGGTAGGGTCCATTTTTTGGAGGGGTAGGGTCCTAAAGCTGGGCTCGAGGGGGGGGGGTACTCCCCGCAGAAAAAATTTTTTTGGAAAAAGTAGAACGTGGTCCCCCCTGTGGATTTCTGGAAAAAAATTTTCAGTTTCCGCTCTTAGACCAAAAGTGGCCGTCTGGCTTTGGGTTGGTAGTACTAACGGTACGAGTAGAGATAGTACTTTATGGTACGAATAGAGGTAGGGGTACGGATGCTGTGGGTCAGATGTAAGTATATATAGCTTGTTGCAGTAAAGGTAAAGTTAGTAGTAAGGGTAAAGGTATGGGTAGAGTAGGGCAGGAGTATAGGGGGGGGGGTAGAGGTATGGGTAGGGACAAGGGTAGGCGTAGGAGTTAGGGGTAGGTATGGGTAGGGACAAGGGCAGGAGTTAGGGGTAGTAATAGAGGTGTGGGTACGGAAACAAAACACAATGGAAAGAACTTTCTTTACAAAGCAAACATTGGCAAGAACTTTCTTTACAGAACATGAAATGGCAAGAACTTTCTTTAAAAAACGTATAATGGCAAAAACTTTCTTTACAAAGCATAAAATGGCAAAAACTTTTTTTACAAAACGAAAAATGGCAAGAACTTTCTTTACAAAACGTAAAATGGCAAGAACTTTCTTTATGTAAAAAACTTGAAAAGTGGTTTATCCACCTCCTATTACTTTTTTTTCTGCCTTACTATAAAATATACCTGATTTCAGTGTCCAACCCATAGTCTACAGCATTTTCGACCAGGATTTATCGAAAGAAGTCCTACTAAAATACCCGAAATTGTACGAAACTGGCCGAGAAGCGACCTTGTGCACGTACAGAAACTTTGGGCTAAGCATGTTGGATGCTATATATCAGTCGGCCGTCTTGTTCTTCATACCTTTTTTGGTGTGTTTCGTATGGTAGTATAGTTTCATTCACGTGGTATTATAGTTCTAACGTTTTTTCAAGAAAAAACTTTTTGACGCGAAGGTTTTAATTTGAATTTTTGAGTGTAATTTTTCGCTTTTTTTAGGCCTAAATAATGCTTTTTATGCGAAAATTTTATTTTTCACAAAACTTTATGATAATTCTAAACCTGTTTTTACATTTGAAACGTTATGCCAAGAAAATTTTTTTTGGCGCGGAATTTTAAATTTGAAAATTGATCTAAGGTTTATGTTGACTTTGACCTTAAATTATGATTGTTGTGCTTTAGTTTGATTACAGGATAAAAATTATGATAGATATTTGCCTGTTTTACACTTGAAACATTATGCCAAGAAAAAAATGTTTGGCGCGAAATTTTAGGTTTAAAAATTTAAATGTTGGTCGACTTATTTTAGGCTTAAATCCTGCTTTTTCTAAGTTTTTCAGTTTAAAAATGAATATTACAGTTCTGCATCTGTTAATTTATACATTTTTATACATTATTTCATATATAAATGTCATTTTCAGTGCGTCCTGTCATCGGACATTCGCTATTGGCAGTTCTCCTTTGTCCTCTCTACATCAATGTTCCTGGTTAATAGTGTTCACTTGGCCATATTAATACGAAGATGGACCTTCCCATTACTTATAGTGCAATTGATGTTTATTGGCGTGCATTTCAGCTTCTTTGTCGTCTATACCTACTTTGTGAATTCGTCGCTGAACACCAAAGACCCGCCTCTATTAGTGGCATGGACAATGTTAGCTCAATTCCAGTTTTGGTCGATTGTTCTACTGACTGTTATTGTGGCTGTGTTACCGCGGTAAGGGATTGGGAAGGGTTGTAAAGCTTAAAAATGGAAAGGACTTTGTTTACAAAACACAAAATGGCAATAACTTTCTTTACAAAACATAAAATGGCAAGAACTTCCTTTACAATAGGAAAAATGGCAAGAACTTTGTTTACAAAACATAAAATAGCAAGAACTTTCTTTACAATATTACTGTTTTTCAGGTTTGTCATAACAATAGTCCAAACCCAGTTCTGGCCCGATCCACACGAGATCACGCTGCGCCAGGAACGCCACCTGCCTATTCCAATTCACATCGACTCCAACGTGCAATCCAAATCCGAACATTCCTAAAATACGAGTATTTTTAAGTCGTAGTCAATAGATATTGTTACCTAATCTTCTCTATTTGTTGATTTTTTGTTTTTAAAAATTTTTGAAATTTCTGCACGGTGCAGAGTTTTCAACCATACACCTACTCCTACCTTTATCACTACCCCCACCCCCCCTCTTCTCTTTACCGTTTATTCTCTTTGTCTTGAGCTAAAAAAGTAGCTAGTCCAGCTCTAGTAAACTAACTAATTAATTTTGTATCTTGTCATTGTGTCTTATCATTCATTCCCCATGGAAACGTGTGTCATACATATCAAATGTTTAATGTAAAATTTGCTTTTATGTTGATCTCAAGAATCCAATTTTTTACGTGTTTCAAACAATTTTGAAGTTTGTTAGGTTTTCTAAAATTTAATTTTTAAATAAATAATAATTTTAATTTTTGTTTTATTTAACCTCCATGTTACCCTACTCTTACCTCTACTTCGACCTTATTTACCTTGCAGGGCATTGACCCAAATTTAGGCCGGGCCGGATCTAAAAATCAAGGTCCGGAAAGCTTGGCCCGTTTTGCACGTAAAAATTCGGATAGGGTCGGGCCGGCCCTGAGCCTGACAATCTTTATCAGCTGTCTTACAACGACGCCGAAGCTGTTAAATTTTCTGAAGGCAGGGAAAATAAAGTTACTTTTGCTGTTGGTTTCGTTATTCCAGGTGATAAGGTGCTCAACTTTTTTCCAGAGCACAAAAAATTTTAAAGTTTAATAATTTGTCAAGCTGCTTAATTTTTGTATTCAAATGATTAAAACTAGTCTGTTGACTGTTGTACAGTATAAAAAACAAAAAAAATTTTTTTTGGAAGCTGTTAAAGCAAAACGAGTTGGCGGGGATTGAACCCTTATCCTTTCACCCCTAAACCCAACACCTAACCACCGAATCATCGGTTCTCCTTGTTTTCTTTCTCGCTCCCAATCGTTTTCAATCTCAAACCAAGGAAAGCACTGCAAATTTTTAAACCGTCATAACTTGCCTCAGGGGCTTATTCGGCAGCTAAATTTTTTTTGTTGAATTCGTATTCAAATAGGCTTTCAAATGAGCCTAGTCTCGATTCATATCTCCGGAATGAGGTGAGACACTTAAGTGCACTTCCCTTGTGAGCAAAACGAAGATCCCCCAATTTTCAGACCCGGTTCGTTCCTCGTGTCTAGATCAACGTACAGCCTAGCTCATTATTCTAAGTTTGCTTCAAGTTTTTCTCTTCATTTTTTTCGGTCGAATTTCGAATATTTTTATAATGTTTTTTTTAAATTTGAAGTTTATTGAAGATCTAAAGTTATGTTCAGGCTTCTCTGTTTATACTTTACTACATTTTTGTTGCTTTTACCTTATTTAGGCCTTCAATTGACCATACTTCGAAGTTCATTGAGTGGTCGGCCAGAATTTCGTCAAAAACTGATGTTATTACTGTTGATAACTCTTTTTATCTTTTAGTTTTTGTTTTGATCTTTTACTTTTTTACTTTTAGGTTCATTATAAAGACATGGTTTGAATTTGCACTCATTTTACCGGTCGATTTTTCTCTTTTTCCGTCGATTTGCCGCATGAATCGTTGACGAAAGGCTTGAAAGTGAGAGAAAGGCTATAACTACGTCAAATTTGCCGTTGTTTTGGCAAAATTTGGCAAACTACTGATGTGGTGAGGTCAAAGTTGATGTGCTGATGTTAATGCTGATTTGCTGATGCCAATGCTGATGTGCTAAGGTCAAAGCTAATGTGCTGATGTCAAAACTGATGTGCTGATGTCAAAGCTGATACCAAAATGTCAAACCTGACACCATGATATCATGTGAAGATTGGTGAGTTATCTTCCAGCAATTTTTTTTGTAATTAGGCAGTCCTTCTACAACAAAATCCATCTGACTCAATATAAATCAAAACCATTGACTCACATTTGAATATTCGGCCGAAATTCATTTTAATTACTGTTAAAGATGAAGTGTGGTGTTGTTTTCGTATTCCTGATTGTCAGTAATGTTGTACATGCTAATGATGATGGTCAAAGGCTTTTGCATGGGCTAGGTTCATATGGAGGAGGTATTGTTAACAAGGTGGCTACACCACTGACCGATGATAATATCAAGGAGCTGAGCGAAGATTTTAAGAATGTTGCTACTGTAGGTTTTGGTTTTGAAATTTGAAATTTTTGTTAATTTTTAAATTCTTGAAAAAATAATTTATTTGAAATTTTGCACTGTGCAAAACCTTATTTTTTAAAATTTTCAGCCAAAATTTGAAATTTCAAAACTAAAAGCTCATAATTTCAGTGGAAGACCTACCTCTATCCATTGTTAAGAGCAAGTATAGCAATCGTCGCAGTAACACTTATTTTATACATTGGCTTCATCGTATCTACATGTATATGTTGTTGTGTCTCAATAAAAGGCTCAAAGCCATGCCGAATGATATTAAATGGAGTAATATTGGCCTTGATTGCGATTACCATGTTATTTGGCGCTTTTTCATTGTATGCAGCAGCGGTCACATCGACCAAACTGATCGATTCATCCAAAACGGCTATCGACTACATCAAACAGATCGAAGACTTGGCTGATAAGAATTGTCAGGTAAGGGTGGGGTTACAGTAGGGTAGGGTAGAGTAGGAGGAAGTAGGATAGGATTACGGTAGAATTAGATTAAGATAAAGAGGGTAGGTTAGGGTACGGTGGGATTAAAGGCTAAGGATGGGTGAAACTTAGGATTGGGTAGAATAGTAAGTTATGGAGGTAAGGGCAAGGCATGTCGGAGTAGGGTTTTTTAAAAATTTTTTGTAAATTCTCAGGGCTTATCAGAGGAATCACAAAACGCTGTGAATATGATTAAAAAATGGGGAATGGACAAAGCATTGAAAAGGATTTCAAATCTACCCAAAAGTGTCAGGAAGTACCTCTCCCATAACTTGAAGGACTTCAATGACAAAACTGCTAAAAGTAAGTTTTTCTATTTACACTGACCCCTACCCTACCCTTTATCCTACTTTATTTTACCCTACCGTACCTTACCCTATCTTACTCTAACCTACTCTACCCCATCCTATACTACCTTACCTCACTCTACCTTACTCTTACTCCTACCCTTACCCTTACTCCTACTCTTACTGTTACTCCTACTTTATTAAACTCAAACATCTTTGACTAAAACATGTTGCTATAGTTGTTACTCTTATAAACGGAACAAATGTGGAATGTATCAACGACCTGCTTAACATTATCAACACCCATCCTGAGGCTAAATCGATCGTTTCACCAATTCAAACTATAAGTTTATATTTATTTTTTGTAATGTTCTACTACTTTTTTAAAATTTTTATATTTATCGTTTCCACTCTCTCCCCCTTCTTCACTTTCCTAAATCACCCCTCCCCCCCCCGTTTTTTACAAAAAATTACCTCCTCCCTCTTTCCTCTCGTGCAAATACTGCACCATATTACAAAAAGCGTCCCCTCCTATCAACTTTGCCAAATTATTCCTCCCCCGCCCTACTAAACTTACCCCTCTCTTGTATTTTTTTCGTTGAAACTTGTCTTAGATTTTGAAAAAAGTTTTAAATTTTCTTCAATGAGACTTCCACATTCTTGGACTAAAGATACCCCCGCCCAACGATGAAGATGAAGAAAATAATGTGAAAAACGTTTTAGAACCGGCTCAAACAACTAGAGCAAAGTTTTGAATATGGCAAAAAACTGAAGTACTTGAACGTGGAGAACGAAGTCAAACTCAAGTTTGATGCAATCGAAGCCAAAATAACAAAGAATGTTAGAGTTAAACTGATTGGTAAGGACGATTTTTGGTAGGGGACTGTAGGGTAAAATGGAAAAGTATATTTCTCGAGAAGGTAGATCAAGCAAAGTAGGATACTTCAGAACAGGGTGTTAAAGGCTATGATAGGGTAAGGTAGAGTTGATTGGGGAAGAAAAGTGTAAAGCAGGGCAGGCTAGGGTACAGTGTTTTATAAAAGGTTGGGGTACAGTAAGGTAGGGCGGGGTAATTCAGAATCGAGCAAGTTAAGACAAGGTAAACTGTAATAGGTCAGGGTTTAGTCCAGGTTGGTAGGGTAAAATAGGGGGAATTAAGTTAGAATGGAATAGGTAAGGGTAAGTTAGAGTAAAGTGGAATAGGTCACAGGGGGGGGTACAGCGGGGGTAGAGTAATTTACATTCAAATTTTAGAAGTTCTGAACAAGCTTGAAGCCAAGGTCTCAAATGGCATGAGACCAGTCGACAATTTTTGTAAGCAGAAGTACAGCGACCAAGGTGTGGATATGGTAAATCAAGCTAAAGCGGCCATCGGGGAAAAAAATCTTAAAATTCCGTAAGTGTTGTGCTTCTACTGTTATCTCTACCTACAACTTTATAATTAGCCTTACCCTGACTTTTACCCATACTCCTACCCTTATCGCTACCACTGAACTTACTCTTACCATTACTCTTACTCTCATTTTTACCGCTACCCTTACCTTACTTTGCCGTACGTAATCCTAATTTGACCCTACTGCACTTTGTTGTACACGCTCCTACCGTATCCTACTATTAGGTTATTCACTTAATTCTGCGCCTCTTTTTAAACAAATTTCTGGCGTTGTGGGGCGCAGAATTAAGTGAACGACCTTATATTTATTTTCTTTACTTTAATTAACATTTTTATTCGATATTGATGACTTTGTATGTTTAGATATTACATTGGCCTCACGGTTGCAATAGCTCTGATCATTGGCTTAGCGATTGCTGCAATTGCAGTCGTCTTGAATATTGTCTTTTCCACGGGCATTTCACGTTGTAATCTGTTGAATACGTGAGCTTTTTACTATTATTTTTAGTAAAGAAAGGGTGGGTACAGTAAGAAAGGGCAGGTTAGAGTACAATAGAGTAAGGCATGGGAGGCGAATATTGTGTAGGACGGGGTAGGATAATTTCAGGTAGTGTAGGCCAGGGTAGGATAACCTGAGGCAGTGTAGGGCAGCGTAGGGTAGAACAAAGCAGCGTAGAGTAGTGTAAAAGTAAGGTAAGGTAAGAGAACGAAAGGTAAGGTAGAGATTGGTGAAGTAGTGTTTTGTCAGGTTAGAGCAGGATATGATGGGTAACTTAGGTTAACTTTTGACATATGAGGGTGAGGTAGGGTAGAGTAAAGTAGGGTATGGTCGAATCGGGTAAGGTAGTGTAGAGTATGGTAGGGTAGAGTAGGGTTGGAGGGGGGGGTAGGGTAGGGCAGGGTAGGGCAGGGTAGGGTAGGGTAAGGTACAGTATTTTACAAAATTTTTAATATTTTTCAATTTTAGTGGAACCTTCCTAATCGCATCGTATCTACCATTGATTGCCATCTTGGCAGCCTTTCTTTTACTAATTGGAGGCACAGGCACATTACTTTGTGAACCATTGCAAAAGCCATTGGAACATCCGGATATCATACAGTTCTTTGACAATCTTCTCTTAAAGCAACTCCCAGATACGGTAGCCTTCAACAACAAGACCTACAAGATAACGGAGCTGCTATCAGAGACTCCAATCACCAAGTTTCTAAAAGACTGCCGGAGGGAAAAGAGCGTGGTGAATGTGTTCGGACTGGTCGAAAAGCTGCAGATCAACGAAACTCTGAATGCCAATAGTAAACGTGCCCAAGACAGATATACGAAGCAGTTGAATGAGTATAACATTGGAAGTGTCACGGGTTTGTATCGAAAAGAAATCGAGAAAATGAGAGATCAGATCAATGCGGGTGGTGATTTTGATACGCAGGATTACACGGATTGGCAGGTGACTTGGTTTTTGTTTTGGCTTGTATGGCTTTAGCTGAACGGCTGGCGGGGCAGTTTTAGCTCAGTGGCATGCATGGGAGGGGCGTTAGTTTAATGGCTGAGGAGAAGCGGGGGTGGGAGGGGCAAGGATTGGTTTTAGCTCAATGGCTGATGGAGCGGATTTAGTTGAGTGGCTGGTAGGGTCATTTTATTTTGAGGGGGGGGTTAAAGACAAAAAATTTAATCAATCGGTATAGGACCAGTGGACTAAAAAAATGCTTCTTTGAAAGTTAGCAATGGGTTATGTTGAACTTTTTGAAAAATCTACTCTTACCTCTATCTTAACCATCTCCTCCTCTTCTACCTCTACCTTACTTTAACTCTACTTCTATTCATATTTTTATCGCTACTCTTACCTTTACATAATAAATCGCGCTTTCCAGGAAATCTCGAGAAAATCGAGATCAAAAGATTACGTTTTGAATTTCCCGCCAAATTGGCATTGTGTTTCAAGCATATAACTTTACCATTTTTTGACTTTTAAGCATTTTTCTTCGATATACTAGTAGAAAACCTTTAAATGAACCTATATTTTTAAATTTGTAAGCGTAGCTTGTCTGAAACATCGAAAAAAGTGCTTGAAACACAATGCCAAAGTTGCCAATTTGGCGGGAAACCAAAATAATTCAAATTTAAAACTTAAAAGGGTGAGCTAAAATATTTTATAGATACTATTTGTGGTACAAAAAATTTATATTAAAATTTAGAGCTGATTCTGAGTGTGGCAGATTGGGTAATTTCTTTGTAAGTTGTGTAAAAAATATTGAGCTACGTCTCTTTAATATTATACTAACTAGTAACCTTTTTTTCAGCTGTTTGCAGACTCTCCAGAAATTGAAAAAGCGATAAAAGGAGTAGAGCAAGTGATTGAGAACATGAATCAGATCAAGAAGTTGTTGCCAACCGACAAAGAGCTAAATAGGTTTACGATAGTGACGAAGCCATCAAATATCAAGAAGGTAATCAACAGGCAGCTCGAGCTCTTCAACAAAGACCGCAACGTCATGATCAATCAACTGTTGCGATCACTGAAGAGAGGTATTGATCAGAAGATTCTGAACTGTGGCGACCTTCGGCAACTGGTCGATAATCTGCGAACCGAAGTTTGTGTGAACACCGTGGACCCACTGAATGCCTGGTGGGTGTCCCTACTTCATGTCATCGTATTTGCCTTTCCATTGGTCTATATTGGATTGTACTTGAGCAAGTTGTACAAGGGAGAGGAAGGATCGTCCACTGAGGAGAACTCACCTCAGTATGAGAGTAATAATAATGACAAATAAATGTTATCTTATGCATCAGTTACGTTTATTAAGTAGTAGGGTAGGAAGAAATACTATATGTTAGAGTAGTGTAAGGTAAGAAGGCGGTAAGTGTAGAACAGTATAGTAAGGTAAGCTACGACGATGTAAGAGTAGAAGATAGGGTAGAGCAACATATACAGCTATGTTAAGACTAGTAAACAATAAGGCAAACCTAGGATATTAAGTTTATCGCTAGGTAAGAAGGACAAAGTAAGGTATAACATGAAAAGCAAGGCTAAAGTAGAGCAAAGCAGGGTAGAGTAGAGAAGAAGAGCATAAATTAAAGCTACATAAAGCACAATATAGTTGGGTCTAGGCAGGATAGGGTAAAGTATTACAGAGTAGGGCAAGATAGGGTGGGGTAAGGTAGGGTAGGGTAGGTTAGAGTAGGGTAGGGTAGGGTAGGGTAGGGTAGGGTAGGGTAGGGTAGGGTAGGGTAGGGTAGGGTAGGGTAGGGTAGGGGTAGGGTAGGGTAGGGTAGGGTAGGGTAGGGTAGGGTAGGGTAGGGTAGGGTAGGGTAGGGTAGGGTAAGGTAGGGTAGGGTAGGGTAGGGTAAAAAAAACGTAATTTTCAAGTTAAATTCAAAGTTTATTTTACATTATATTACGCTATATAAATATACATGAGATCAAGACGTGTAGTTTTCATTCCAACCCAAACCCAAAGCTAATATAATCGATATGATACACTTTCAAGAACAACTCCAGCAACTTTTTGTTGCTTTTAATCTTCCTTACAAAAAATTCTTTCAAATTGTCAGCAACCTTATCCTCCTTCCAGACCTCCTTTTCAAAGTCAACATGAACATTGTCTATGTCATCTTGTGTCACTCCATTCTTACTACCAAATTCTTTAATTTGCATAAACACATTAGGCAAGTCCTTATGAAACTCCTCGTATTTTACAATTTTGAAGTTTTGTAAATGACGATTGAAGTCGCAATACCAAGATTGTGGTGAGAACTCGTATGCTAATGAGCTGTTTTTATGTTGTAGTAGATGAGAGTGTAGATTACCCAGGAAGCAGGTTATGTTGTGATGACAAGAGAGGCAGTGGGTTGAGTTTTGGAAAGCTTGGGAACTAAAATTACAGTAAGATTTAAGACTAATGTTATATATTGAGTTGAACCAAAAGTAATGGGACATTTCGAATTTACTTTTCAAATAAAACTGCCCCGCTACTTTTAGTTCAACCATATAGATTACTCCTACTAGACCTGCCTTTCGGACCGGGCCAAACCAACTTTTGAGCCCAACCCGAAAGCCAGGTCCACCTCCTACCCTAATACAACTTACCGTAGGCAATAGTCAATGTATTTCCCAACAAATCGTTGTAGAGGATCTTGAATTACTGCGTAATGTAAGACACTGTTAATATCTATGTTTTGGTTGGAAAAGTCAGCCCAAATCTTCGGTATCGACCGCTCTTCTGATACTACTATGCAGAACCTAAAGAAGTGGAATTTTTTTAAACTAAGGAGGACTAGAGCTAGAAATAAGGTTAAAGCTAAGGTTAGGGGGATTGGCTGTAGACACGAGAAACGAGCCGGCCCGGCCTTGACTAAAATTTAGATCCTGCCGGGGCAGCCTTGAGCAAAATTTAGATCGGACTGAGCCTAACACTTAAGCCTGGCTTGTTCTTCATGTCTATTACGGGCTAGGTGGTAGGAGGCTAGATGGAGAAGGATAAAGCTGAAGCTAGCGCTAGGGCTAGAGCTAAGGCTCTGGGCTTGGTTTCTAGACTAGAGTTAGGGCTACGGGCTAATGCTCTAAGCTAAGGCTCTAAATTAGGATTCTGAGCTAGAGCTCTGGGCTAGGGCTTTGAGATAGGGTTCTGGGCTAGAACTATGGGCTAGGGCACTGGGTTAGGGTTCTGGGCTATGGCTCAGTGCTAGGGCTCTGGGCTAGGGCTCTGGGCTAGGGTTCTGGGCTATGGCTCTGTGCTAGGGCTCTGAGCTAGGGCTCCGGGCTAGGGTTCTGGGCTGTGGCTCTGTGCTAGGGCTCTGGGCTAGGGCTCTGGGCTAGGGCTCTGGGCTAGGGTTCTGGGCTAGGGCTCTGAGCTAGGACAAACTTACTTTTTCATTTCATTATACTTCAAGAAGGTCTTAGCTCTGTTGAACATCTTTTGATCATATAGGTAACAAGTCATTGTTTCCACTACTTTTGTCATGTCATTTTCGGCTAAACATCCGACTATCTTGTGCTTTGTTGAGTACTGAAATGTATTGTTAACTGCCTAACGCTGAACTGATTAAAAGTTGAACTTCGTAAAAATTTTACCCTTTCCAATATATTATACTTACCCTAAGCCGGTTGTCTATTGAAACCCTTCCATTGAGGCATTCTGATCTATATTTACATTGATTTAGTAAGAAGTCTGGCGTTTCTATCGTGAAATTTTCTTCAATCTAAACAAAACTTTAAGAAATATATAAAATAGAAGAAGAACTACATGAAAAAGAAGAAGGAAAAGCAGAATATAATGAAAAAAATAGAAAAACACAATGAAGAAAACGAAAAAGAAGAAAAACATTAAGAAAAATACAAAAAAAAAGAAGAAAAAAGAAGAAAAACGTAAAGAAAAAGACATGAAACCTGAAGAGAAAAAAAGAAAAATAAGATGAAAGAGATAAAAATAAAGCAGAAAAATAGTTATTGTACTCTTAAAATTTAAAAAATTTTTAACGTTTAATTGGAGATCTCTTACATGACTGTCACCAGTAATATTGTGATAGTCACCCTCTGTTAAATATGAAGCAACATAATAACCCGATGAAATCATTTCATTTTCTTTGTTTTGTGACATTTCTTGTGAATATGGCATGCAATTACTAATTTCTTGCTTTTTTAGTAACGTCCAGTACGTTAACAATGTAAAAGCAAAGAACAGTACCAAGCATAATATTGTTATTGGGGTTGAGATCGTCATAGCGTTTTTCTAAAAAAATTTGAAAAATATAGCGTTTACCCTACCCTACCCTATCCTACCCTACCCTACTTTACCCTACCCTACCCTACTTTACCCTACCCTACTTTACCTTACTTTACTTTACCCTACCCTACCCTACCCTACCCTACCCTACCCTACCCTACCCTACCCTACCCTACCCTACCCTACCCTACCCTACCCTACCCTACCCTACCCTACCCTACCCTACCCTACCCTACCCTACCCTATCCTACCTTACCCTACCCTACCTTAACCTATCCTACTCTTTGTGAAAAGTTGAACGTGGTCCCCCCTGTGGATTCTTTCGACCCCCGCCTTCCGATCAAAAATGCCTACAAGGCCCTGGCTCAGATTATGCCAAAATAAAAAACATACCATATTACCATTATATTGTGACAAAAAGTAGTATAAAAATTGTTAAAATACAGCCAAATATTAATGTAAATGTTGAAAAAGGTCCAAAGTTTAACCGTTTTTGAAGTTACCGCGGCGTATTAGCATAAATAATCTGAAAAAAAAGTATTAGAGTTTCGACCTTTTCACTCAGAAATATCTCAAGTGTGAAGTGCAAATTCAATTTAGCATTAATTTTTCAACATTTTACAGGAAAACAGGGGGAGCAGAAGTCAAAAAATTAAAAAATGTGGCTAGTATTTAGTCCAGAATCCTTGTTCAAAGATTTAGCTCAGAGCCCTAGCCCAGAGCCCTAGCCCAGAACCCTAGGCCAGAGCCCTAGCCCAGAGCCCTAGCCCAGAGCCCTAGCCCATTCTACCTTACCCCAGAATAACCGCCCTGCACTGTCTTAGCCTTTACTTATACTTAAGACACGGCGAATAGCTGCTAGCCTATTATCTACTTGCGCACTTATGTAAGTAAAGACTCTTTTGTTATATGCAAGGGTCAAGAAATGGCATGATGAACATATTGTCATGCAATTAGAAACTTGCTTAAAAAACTGCAGAAAAACTATTTTTAAGTTTATATTATGTTAGACCACACAGCGTCATAGAAAATTAAACCGGAATTGCAAAAAAAAATCAAAAAAAAATTTTTTTTACTTTTTCCCTCCCCTCGTTCTCCTTCTCCCTCTCCTTATCATGAAAATTTTATATTAGGTGCCGACATAAAAAACCCGCCATACTTTTCTGTATTTTTGTAAAAAATGGCGGGTTCTTTATGTCGGCAACTATTTAAATGTCGGCACCTTACAGTTACATACAGGGCCTAACACGAGAGGGGGAGGGGGCAAAAAGAAAAAAGAAATATGCCGCTGCCCTAGAAAAATTGAAAAAATTTGAACGTAGTATCTGTAAATTTTTCAAAAAAAGTTTGTTTGGAGGAATGCCATACCCCCCCCAGCCCCCCCCTCCTCCCCCCCCTCGCCCCGTCCTTGTTACATATACTCGTACATTCAAGATTATATGAAAAATAGTAAAAGAACATCAAACCCTACCCCCCCCTTCCCCCCCCGCTCCTCAAAAAGATCAATTTGTTTACCACAAACAGCTTAATCGACCGCCAAACAACAATAGAGATTGACACTTCGATTATTGTGAAAAGCGCATTGTAAAAGTAGCCGCCTCTTTATGAAAAAAACCATCGAAAAGCAAACATCTGGATGCTTGAGCAGTAAAATTTGATAGTCAATAAAAATAGTCAAGGTATACCTAATTTCAGTTCACCGGAAAACCACTAACATTAAAGCTACGTCATTGAATTGGAGAAGAATGGGGTCAAGTGCGTGGGCAGGTAGGTAGGTGTATGTAAGATTACCCTACCCTACCCTACCTTGCCTTACTTTGTTCTACCGTACCCTACAATACTGTATTCTATTCTAATTTATTCAACCTTACACTACCCTGCCCTATCTTATCCTGACAATAGATTTACTCTGGTCCTGCCCCGCCCTACTCAACTGCTACTTTACCTATTCTCAAACCCTATCCTATCCTTACTCCAGCTTTAAAAAACTCTTGTACATTTGCCCTACTGTAGCAAAATTTTTGTACTCCAACTATTATATTATACATATTATTATACATACTATGATTCATACATTATCATGTCATTCTTAATCACAATCACAATTTGTATTTCCACTTCCGGTTCTTCACCCCGCCGCTATAAACAACATACGACGAAAGCGAACACGGTATTCGCGCACAAACCACAACACGAAGGCGACGTGTTAGCCTGCGAATTTTAATAACCAGCTTAACGCGACACACTAGAACGTTTATAAATAATAACGTGCGGGTAATAAGTTGTGTCTACAGTGTGCGGCGACGTTCGACTTACCGGTCGTTAGCCGGTATTTTGGACACAATGTTCTTGCGGTTCAGGTGAGTTACTTTGTACAAGGATTTTCAAGTATTGGAGGAGAGGGGGGGGGGTGATTTTGATATTTTTAACTTTTTTAAACCAATTTTTTCAAAAAAATTAAATTTAAATTACAACTTCTATTATAGTCAGCACAAAAATTAGTAAAGCTAAAGTAACGCTGAAACATATCAGAGCTAAATATGACATTAGGTTAGCATAATAAGAGTAAAACTAAAAGAAGTTAAGGATAAAGCAATGTTTGAGCTAGGGTAATGCTACAACATGGCTAGGATAAGGCTAAAGCAAAGCTAAGAAAAAGCTAGGATTAAACTACTGTAAGGTCAGGGTATAGAGAGCAGGGCAGACAAATTTACAATAGAATAAGAATTGGCTAGAGCTAGGAGAAGACTGGGGAAAAACCAAAACAGTTATAGAGTAAGGCCAAGATAAAGTCAGAGTAAGAAAATATAAGACCAGCGTAAGGTATAGACAACTTCATTGATTAAGATAAACGTTTTGTACTAATAGAAGCGAGGCTGAACAAATTTAGGGCAAAGCTAAAGCTAGTGTGAAGCATACATAAAACTAGAGCAACGTAGGCAAAATTAGGTTATTGTATGACTAAACTGGAGGCAGTAGAAGGCATAGACAAAAACGCTAGAATATAGGTAAAAATAGACATAACCAAACCCAAGCACTATCTACTGTTAAAGCAAAGGAAGAACTAAAACTATTGATTGAGCTGCTCCAGGAATGAATAAGGCTAGGCTATAAAAGAAAACTTTCTTTTGCCCCTTCTACCCAGCTTTCCAACTCCAGTAAAAAATATGACTTTGCAATAACCACCCATTTTCAGTATACCATTCCTTCTGTTATTCGTCCTGTTTGTCTACACAAACTCCTGCGATTGTTGCTGTTGTTGTGGGGGTTGTTCGTCATCGACCCCGACCCTAATGACAACAACCACCACTACCACAATGATGACCGAGACGACGACGGTAGAGTTGGACATTAACGTATCCAGACGACGACGTGCGTTTGAGGATTCTGAAGTTAGGCTGACGTATTTGCCTCGAGTTCAACGAGATCACGGTGATGATCATTATGATTTTGGGCATGAAGATGAACATGTAGATGAGAATGAAGGTGATGCAGAGCATGAAGGGGCAGGTAATGGCGAGAGGCATGAAAAGGAAGAAGAGAAACATAAAGTAGAAGAAGAAAAAGATAAAAAAGTAGAAGAAAAACATGAAAAAGAAGAAGAAAAAGAAGAACATAAAGAAGAACAAGAAGAAAAAGAAGACAAAAGTACCCATAATAACAAAGAATCTCACAAAAACAAAGAAGATGACGATCAAAATGACCATGAAAAACCCCATAAACCCATAAAATCGTCACAAAATCAGAATTCACATCATCGTACAACTTCAGAATCCAATAAACCATCAGAAAATCATAAAGAATGTAATTGTACTTGCCATAACTTGAGTACGACTACTACAACATACGACCATGTTAAACAATATCATGGTCAAAATGTCACTACTGCAAGATATCATGAAGATACGACGAGGAGAGTAACTTCTAAGCCTATATTCCCTATTGTCGCTGATCCATCGGCTTTCAACGATGATTCTGAAGCTCTGAAGCTCAATGGCAATCCCGATTCTGAAGGCTTCAGACTTAATGACGGTCCAGATTCTGAAGTCTTTAAGCTCAATGATGATGGTGATTCTGAAGCTTCTAAACTCAATGACAACCCAGATTCTGAATCTCTTCGTCAACAAAGCTATGAGGCCTTAGAATCCGTTCATCATAACGATGCGTTACCTTCAGAATCCCTTCATCAGAACGATGCGTTATCTTCAGAATCCCTCAATATCAATCAAAATGATGAAGAACAACCTTCCAAAAATATTAACCATGATCAAAGCTACTTCAAACGCTTTGCCCAATCATTAGCGAACTTTATGTTCAACAGCCCATCTACTACAATATCGCCTGAGCTCAAACTCGATTCTCCGGTAAACAATGCCACTATTCCACCAATTCTAGTATAAGGGTTCAAATCGATCAAAAGTTACGGTAACTTTTGTTACTGCAACCATTAGAAGTTACTGTAACCATGACAAGTTACTGTAACTTTATTTACTGCGATCATCATAAGTTACTGTAACTTTTTTTACTGTGGCCATCAAAAGTTACTGTAGCTTTTTTTACTGTAACAATCATAAGTTACTGTGGCTCTTGTTACTGCAACAATCATAAGTTACTGTATTTTTTTGTGTTTTTAATCGTATTTTTTGTTGTTGTATGTATTGGAAGTAAACTTGATATTAAGTACTAGTATTTGCTTTCAAAAATTTTAAAATAAAAAAAATAAAATGTTTTTATCAAAATAATAGAAATAAAACTAGTGATAATAATAAGCATTTAATAGAACCCTAATTAGCACGCTCTCTACTGTTTCTTCAAGGCCTTCGAGCCCATTAGGCGGTGCTTCAGCCGGTCGTAGAACTTTATCCATTCGTCCACGCGGCGGCCAAAACTACGGTAGGCGTCGGCCGCTAGCGACGCAGTCGCTGCGCTCAGGTGATAGGCATGACGTAGCAGATGAAGTGTGAAGTGGAACAGGTCAACCAGAACTCGCCAGAGCAAATTCTAAAGTTATATCATAAATATTTTGTCAATGAAACGAAATTTTTGGTTTTTGGGATTAAAATTATATTATCCATGATAAAAAGGTCAATGGTTTGTAAAATACGAACAAGAGTCTTAAAAATCTTAATTTTTAACTAATGAGTTAACAAATCTATCATTAACAGTCATAAAATGGCTTTATAAACTCCATAAAATACCTAAAATCATTAAAAAGTATCGTTACCTACAAGCTGTTTACTACAACATACTCAAAAGCGTATAACTTAAAAATGTCTTTACCCCTACCATCAAATTTATATTTTTAGGTAACAAATACACTAGAATTTCATATAAAATCATAAAATGAACTTATATTTCACTAGAAAATCAAAAATTATCAAAAAGTTCCGATACCTACAAGCCGTCTACCACAACATACTCAAAAACGTATAACTTAAAAATACCATTACCCTTAGCTTCAAATTTATATTTTTATGTAACAAATACACTAGAATTTCATATGAAATCGTAAAATAGTCTTAAACGTTACCAGAAAATCTAAAATCTTCAAAAAGTTTAGCCGTCTACTACAATATACTCAAACCCGTATAACTTAAAAATCCCTTCACCCCACCCTTCGAATTTATAAGTTTAGGTAACAGATAAGCTAAACTTTCATATTAAACCAAAAAATCACCTTAATTTTCACTAATACCTGCAAAACCATTAAAACATCCCTCAAACCACCTATCACCCTATATTGTCATTAACCTTCCCCAAACTTACAAAGAACTTAAAGATAGCCGCAGCTCGAACAATTTGACCAGCTGCTGATGGCAATGATTCAACTTTCTCCACCCATCCAGATTGATTCCACACTCCAACACCTCGACTTTCGGCCACCTTCTCCGACATTAGCAGCTTCGTCACCAATCTTGAGTAGGCTGAACTCGTCTGTAGTGCATCGTAATGTTGTTTTTGATCCAATGTGTACACTTTAGCATATCCTTTACGCACCAAGTCAACGTTTAGATTTGTTAAGCCTATGAAGCTCTGAAAATTGAAAAATTTGATTTTTTGGATATTAAGGTAGGTTGTGTAATATAATTAGACATATCTCAAGAAAAATTGCTTTAAACACAGCTAAAGATGAACAAAAGCAAAAGCAAACATTATTTTATAATCTAAAACATAAACATTTGATAAAACAAAAGTGTTCTAAAAGATTCATCAAATCATATATTATCCTACCTTCTTGACGGTCAAATCACAATCAAATGAGTTCGGATCGCTTGCTGTTGCTTTGATAGGTTGAAAAAACACCTTCCTGTCCTTTAGCTTTAAATCTTTGTTAATATATGCTACTCCAGCTGGAGAAACGTCCAGTCCAGCCAAACGAAGTATTAATAGTTCTTGCTGAAAATAATAGGTATACTTTTTGACTTTTTTTGTCAAAAAACTGCCATTTTTCAGTGTTACTATCTTAAACAGTAAGTTTAAACTTTGTATTTTAAACGTACATCAACAAGAGCCGTATTTTACCTAAAAACCAAGAAAACACATAAAAATTAACTTACATTAGGTCTTTTTGCTCTCAAAAACCTTGGAAGTCCAATAACTGGCTGATGTTCGATCCGGAAGACTCCGTTCGTATCTACCTGGCGAATAATGCCTTTCAACTGCATTTCCTTTCGAATAAAAGCGTCTGGGATCTCGCTGACATTCTTCAACGATGCAAACAGCTTTGACCTTCTCACAAACAAATATGCTCCCAAAACTCCACAGCCAACGATCGTGCCCTGAAGAAACAGGATCGTAAACTGATGTTACAGTACCTTTACAGTTTAATAAAAACCTTTTCAAAAATTTCAAAACATTCTACTTGTCGTTTAAAAGCTTATTTGTCCAATATTGATCCCCTAAAACTTTAAAAAAACAAAAAATATTAACTTACTCTGAGTGCCATCACCTGATAAGGTGAGACGGGCTCTTTGACCGTGACCTGAACCGTTGGCGCAGGACTCTCAGCCATAATTTAATTAGAGTACATTAACCAAGCTCCTGAAACTATAAATAAGAATATTTTCAGAGATTGGACAATAAATAAAGAGAAAATTGAGTATAACATCGAAAATTAGGTATAAGGACAAAAAGTTAATGCCATTGGCTAAGAAAGACTAAAAACTAAAGTTAAATATTATTTAAAAACAATAAAAATAAATTGCCGGCGTTAAATAATATCAACATTCTTAAACCAATTCAAAACAAAATAATTATAAACAGTTCCAAGATGTTATACTATCAAAACCGATGTATTCTCACAAATCTCGTTGAAACTGCTATTTTAAATTAAATCTCTTTCAAATTTTAATATTTTATAAACAAGATACTAGTCTAACTTTATCTTAAAACATTTTGCAACAAAACGCGAAGAAAACAAAGCATAAAGCCGTCAAAAGTATTGTAGTCGCCTGCAAAAGCCGTGCTTTTGCCCTAAACCTCATTTTCTCAAAGATTCCTAAATAAAAGCCAAGATCTAGCCAAATCACAATAAAACCTAAAAATTCGTGTTAATTTAAACAATTTTTAGTTGGGTAACAAACGTTAAAAAGGTCAGTTTCATTTGTTTTTTGAAACGTCCAAACAATTTTTTGTTTTGTTTCGCATTTTTCCAAAAAATACGTCACTGGTCGCTTGTTTTGGACAGTTTATACATAAAATAGAGATATATAAAGCTGAAAACTTTAGTTTATATCTTTATGATTCTGTAAATTGTAGTAAATGTAAAAAAATGACGATATTGTACAATTTTAAGAGCGTCGCAATGACGATTTTTTTGGAAAATATGTGGTTTTGTATATTTATTTTAGCGGTTAATATTGGCGGTTTTATTGTATTTAAAATTAATGTTTTATTAATAAAAAATGTTTTTTATTCTTTTTTATATGTTACTTTTTATTTTTGTGGACTTTGGTAAATATTTGATCACTTATCTTGTAAGGTATATTAACCATGAACATTTAATATCTTTTATACCATAACTTTGTCATTTTTATCTCAATTTCTTTGAAATTTTGCAGAAACATATCTTTTTCTATTCTACAACTTGTCAGGTGCGGACTTGGATAGGGTCAAAAACGTCAGGGTTAGGGTCAGGTAGGGCCAAAAAGGTCAAGAATAGGGTCGGGTAGGGTCAAGAAGGTCAGGTGTGGACTTGGGTAGGGTCAAAAAGGTCAGATGTGAAGTTGGGTAGGGTCGAAAATTCTATATAATTATTTTTTATTTTTTTAATAAAATCAGGGGACATGATCATGCTGGGGACATGATCAAGCCGGGGACATGATCATGGCGGGTACATGATCATGCCAGGCGCTACAACTTATGTTATAATTTAATTTATATTTAAAAATCTTTTTAAGACAATATAAATTAATATAAACATCTTCACCATGCTATTCATAGTTAATATGCAAAACAGCTGTTTATTATAACAAAAACGCACAAGTTTACATCCCCATGAGTGTAAAAGTAATTTGTAAAGCTTCAATATACCTTAATCGTGAATCCATGTAAAATTTGAAAGAAATCCGGAGCGACTTTTGGCGCTGTTTAAAGGGGAGCAGGGCGCTGAAGAGAGAGAGAAGGCGCGCAACGAGGAGGGTGCGAGACGACGGTGAGCGGAGGGGCTTAGGCTTAGTGGGTAGGCTTAGTGTGGGGCGCTCGCTCAACATTCCCTTCTCTTTTGGTAAAATAGCCAATTTTTTGTGCTGGTTGGTGGGTTTATGTGGAGAGAGTTGGTTTGAGCGGTGGGCTTATGTTAGGCTTGCGTTCTCATTTTCGGTTGGCATAAGGAAGTTAAGCGGTCGGTTGGGGTTTAGATGGATTGCAAAGTAATTTGTGAGTTTTGGGAGTAATGATATTGGCAGTTTAGGAATATTTAGGGTATTAAAGCCAGGTTACGGGTAAAAGTTATAGAGGGTGTTGGATACGCTACTACAATATCGTATACCTTTATTTTTTGAAACTTTTAAAACTTCTTATTTTATTGTCATGAAAGTACAATGTTTTGTGTATAAAATAGTAAAATTTGAAAGATTTTGGGATTAAAGGAGGATAACTATGATTAATTTTGTCATCTCATACTAGTGGAGGTAGGATAAGATCGTGAAACGTGCCATAAATTTTTTATCTAATATTAGTGCATTATTTGTTTAAAATTTTTTTAAAGTTAATGTTTTTGTGTTTACAATAGTAAAAATTTAACTGTAATAGTGGTAAAATACGTTCCCACGACCAATTGGACAAATTAGCTTATGTCATGTAGCATAATATCCCTTTGTTGGTTATAACTTTATTTTTTGATTGTATTGATAAATTTTGTTGGATAGTAAATGTAAAGCAGTGACTTGTAATGAATTTACTAAAATTTCAAAAATTTTGGATGAAAATGAGTTTGGTACATCAAATTTTTATCATATTAACATCTAGGTCAGCTAGTATAATATTTTTTTTATTGGTCATAACTTTTTGATTTCGAATTTCTTGTACTAGTCTTTTTGCGTGGTCATAACTGACATTCTTATGCGTTAAAACTATATTTTTTTGAAACTCAAAAGTCACAGTAACTCAACTAAAAATTAATTTTTTCAGCAAAATGATCCAAATCAAGTCAGAGCCAATGGAAGAAAAACCGCCTCAGGAGAAGAGCAAGTTCAATCCAAGTAAGAGACGATGTGCCTATACGCATGAAGATGACATGGAGCTCATCTACTATTTTTTGGAAAAGTATCGAGCTGGAGATCCTGAGGCTATGAAGAAACAGGGGAAAAGGTTGTGGGAGCCAGTGATTGAGGAGAAGCAGTGGGAACGCCAGTCCAGCGCGGTGGAGTCACAGTAAGTGAAGAAACTTTTTTCTATAACCAATTTTGAAAAAATGGCAAGAACTTTCTATACGAAACATAAAATGGCAAAAACTTTCTATACAAAAGATAAAATGGCAAAAACTTTCTTTACAAGGTTTAATAAGTTTTATATTTTCAGCTTTCGAAAGATCGTAGTTCAAAAGTTGTTTGACTTCAACCTCCCAGGTACGGATGTATTCATATTGGCAGTTCATTTTGATGTTGCTGTTGATTCTATTCTCAAGGCTCAGTAAGTTTTTTACTTTATATTGTTTTAACTACTACTTCTACTGCACCCTTACGCCTGTTTCTTTTCTTGTTCCTATCCCTACTCCTACTCTTATCTTTACCCTTACCTATACTCTTGCCTCTACCGCTGTTTCTATATCTTTACCTCTACTCCTACTCTTTTAACTTTCATGCTTTACCCTTATTCTTGGCTCTATTCCTACCCATACTCCTATTCTTTAGAAGTGAGAAACGGCCCGGGTCTATTTTTAAGGCTTGGCTCAGGCCCGGGGATTAATGTCGATGGTCGGCCCGTTTTCATTCTTAGCTCAGGCCGTCCGGCCCAAATTTTTTTATGTGCAAACGGGCTGGACCGGGCCTTGATTTTCAGCCGGCCTGACATGTCTTTCAGAACCGGCCTGGTCTAAATTTAGCTCAAGACCGACCCGATCGCCATGTCTAATCGGGCCGAGTCTACACGGCTCGTTTCTCACCTCTACTACTCTTAAATCTACCACTACCCTTTCCCTACTCTTACAACTCTTCATACAGCTGCTCCTAATGCAGTTCTTTTTATACCTTGAGTCTTTCTTTTACCCTATCTTTGCCTTTATTGCTTTATCAATACTTACTGTTGTCTCTGCCCTCAATAGGAATGCAGGCTGCTGAACACATTTTATACGATGAATTTCAATATTTTATTTAACTTTTATTATAAAATGCCATTCTTTTTCAGACTAGAAGTAAAATACAACTGCCGAATTGACACAAACACTTTTGGTCATATTGTAGGAGCCTTTGGTCCAAATGGGGAAGAACTTCATTATTATGGATGTGTGGATTCGGTTAGAGAAGTCACGAAAAAGGAGTTTCGCCCGCGTCGGCGAAGGGATCGGGATGAGTAGGTTTTTTGTAAAATACGTGCGCATTAGTTTTGTGTCTAAATTTTAAAATTTGTAAAGAAAGTTCTTGCCGTTTATTAGTTTTTAAAGAATGTTTTTGCGATTTTTTGTTTTGTAAAGAAAGTTCTTGCCATTTTATGTTTTGTAAAGAAAGTTCTTGCTATTTTTTGTTTTGTAAAGAAAGTTCTTGCCATTTTATGTTATGTAAAGAAAGTTCTTGCCATTTTTTGTTTTGTAAAGAAAGGTCTTGCCATTTTATGCTTTGTAAAGAATGTTCTTGCTATTTTCTCTACTGTAAACTAAATTCTTGCGTAATTTTAGAACATTCGAAACCACAGCCAAGATATCTCGCCTAGGACATTCAATGGTTCAACAACAAGCAATGGGTCTACATTTGCCTACAACTTCAGAAGAGGCCTTCAATGGCACTGTCAATAACAATGAAACGGAAAATGTCATGGACGAGACCTTTGTGTAGGTTTTTATTAGTTTTAATGTTATAGTAGGCGATGGTTGATAGTTTGATTTCACAGTAGGCTTGAGCTACTTGAAATCTATTTGTTATGTTACAGTAGGATATGATTGATACTTTTTTGTGTTACAGTAGGTTTGAGCTATTTTAAACGGATTTTTTATGTTACAGTAAGCAGGGCCGGGCGGGGACTTTTGGTCTGGGGGCGGGGGTCCAAAAAATCGGCACAGGTAGCCGTAAGCTAAACTCAAGATTTTTATGTTACAGTAACCCAAACTCAATGTTTTTATTTTCTCAACCCAAAAATTACAGTAACCTTCTGGCCGGCCTCGACAAACTAGCCAAGGACAATATGTTCCCTCAAATCGTCAATAACAATATGCCAATCAACCAGTCCGGCCCATTGGCCACCCCAAGCGGCCCAACGATATTAGACATGACGAAGGCGGCTCTCGTGGACAGATTAATGGCCGTTGTTAATGGAAAAATGAATCCAGAAGAGTTCGATCAATGCGACATCTTCGCAAGGGCTAATGGATGCAGGTTCATGATCAATATTGTAGGTTTTCAAAGGAGTTTTGGGCTTGGGATTGGGGTTAGTGGACTTAGAAAACTTAGGCTTAGCCTTATGATTCGGCTTAGTGGGCGTAGGAAGCTTACTAAACGCAAAACTTAGGCTTATTTTTGGATTTAGGATTAGGCTTAGCGGGCTTATAAAGAGGATTAACGGGTTTTTGCTTTCACTCAGGCTTACAATTAGTGTTAGATTTAAGGTTTGGCTTAGGGTCAGCGGACTTAGAAAGCTTAGGCTTAGTGGGCTTAGGCTTAGTAGGCTTAGGCTTAGTAGGCTTAGGCTTAGTAGGCTTAGGCTTAGTAGGCTCAGGCTTAGTAGGCTTAGGCTTAGTAGGCTTAGGCTTAGTAGGCTTAGGCTTAGTAGGCTTAGGCTTAGTAGGCTTAGGCTTAGTAGGCTTAGGCTTAGTAGGCTTAGGTTTAGGAGTCTTAGGATTAGCTTTTTGAAATAGTTTTAAAAACCAAGCTTAACATAGCTAGATTTAGGCTTAAAATATGTACTAACAATGCCATTTTCAGTTAAAATCCATCTTAACTACTCTGTTTAATGGTAGTTCAGAAGAACTGCGCCACTTTGATAAAAAGCACCGCCTTATGCGAAGAAAACGAAGATCAGACCCAAATATGGAGAAGGCAGTAGAAGTGGCAGGCAATGAACCTACCACAAGTTTGGGTAACATTTTCGAAAAACAAAGTAATGGCAACGAAGTGGGCTGGGACAATATCATTGAAATGCTGGAATCGACCAAACAAGAAGCATGTGCGGTCGAAAATGTAGTCGAAATGGATGGTGATGACACGCTGGTCATTAATAATGACGTTGAGGAGGTAGGGATTGTTAAAAAGTTTTACAAAATTGAAATTTTAGCATGTTTTTAGGTATGAACTTTAGGAAAAATAGGGTTTTTAGGTATAGAAGTAGGGTTAAAAATTGATTTTTTGGGTATTAAATTAAATAAAACTAAGGTTTTTAGGTATAAAATTGAGTTTGAAATGGATTTTTTGGTTTAAAATTGAAAAAAGTTGATGTTTAGGTATAAATTTGAAAAAAAATGATTTTTAGGTATAAAACTGTAGAAAAAGGTGATTATCATGTATAAAATTGAATAAAACTTGGGTTTTTAGGTACAAAATTACTTTTTAGATGGATTTTTTTGGGTTTGAAAAACACTGAAAAATTGATTTTTAGGTATAGAATGGAAGAAAAAATTGATTTTTAGCCTAAAAAAAGTAATGAAAAATCAATTTGTAGGTATAAAATGGGATAAACTCGTGATTTCAAAGTGTGAAATTGAAAGAAAGTTGCTTTTTACATACACATTGATATTAAGACTTGGGTTTCAGGTATAAAATTGAGTTTGAAACGAATTTTTTGGTTTAAAAATTGAAAAAAAATTTAATGTTTAGGTATAAAGTGGAACAAAAAGCTGATTTTTAGGTATAAAGTTGAACAAAAAGCTGATTTTTAGGTATAAAGTTGAACAAAAAGCTGATTTTTAGGTATAAAGTTGAACAAAAAGCTGATTTTTAGGTATAAAGTTGAACAAAAAGCTGATTTTTAGGTATAAAGTTGAATAAAACTTTGGTTTTTAGATATAAAATTGAGATTGAAATTGATTGAAAAGTCGATTTTTAGGTATAAAGTTGAAGAAAAAGTTGATTTTTAATTCAAAAACGTAAAGAAAAATCTGATCTTTAGGTATAAAACTGAATAAAACTCGGGGTTTTAGGTATAAAATTGAGTTTTTAGTGAATTGTTGAGCTTGATTTTGGTTGAAAAATTGATTTTTAGGTATAAAGTTAAACAAAAAGCTGATTTTTAGGTATAAAAAACTGATTTTTTTTGGCATATATGGGGGATAAAATTGACGAAAAAGTGGGGTTTTTATGTATAAAACTGAATAAAAAATTGATTTTTAGTTATAAAATTTAATTAAAATTCAAAAATTTTTGATTTTAAAAATATAATAATTGCCGTTTTCAGCCAGCCGAAGCCTCACCGCCAGCCGAAGAAGAGAATCCGATCGATCTTCTCTCTGCTCTATTCAAAGCCACCCCCAAGAAAATGATCAAGCCCTCGAATGGAACGAAAAAGCAAAATGAAAAAGCGAAAAATTTAAGTTTTAAAAATCAGGAATTAGTGACCAGTACTCCAATCGGCCATGGCGACTTTTTTGATGTGACAAGAGAGGAGGCGGCCAGGAGGGCGGCAGTGGAGCCAGAGCTGGTTGAGGATTGTAGGTTTTTTAACTTTTGGGGGGGGAGGGGGGGGAGAGGGTGACTATGAGGGGTGGCCTTTTTGAAATTTTATTGTAGTGGGAGGGGAGGGGGTATTATGAATGTTGCATTTTTTTGAGAGGAGGGGGGGGGGTAATTGTGGGGGTGATGTTTTTTAAGTTGTTTTACGGGGTGGGGGAGGGGGTGATTATGAGTGTGGTATTTTTGGAAAATTTCTTTGAAGGGGTGGGGCGGGGAGGGGGTGGTGGTGTTTTTTGAAGATTTTTTTTGGAGTTGGAGAGGTGAAATCCTACCCAGCTTTACTCTGCCTATATTTTATTCTACCCAACTTTACCCTGCCCAACTTTACCTTACCCGACTTTAACCTACCCAACTTTACCCTGCCTTGCCCTGATCAACTTTACCCTGCTTTACCTTGCCTACACTTTACCCTACCCTACTTTACCCTGCCTTACCTTGACCAACTTTACCCTTCTTTACCCTGCCTACACTTTACCCTACCCTATTTTACCCTGCCTTGTGCTAAAATTAGTTTTTTAGTACCAGATCGTACCAAAAAATTAATCTTTTAGTACCACATGTATAAAATGTCATATTTTTAGCATTCTGTCTAACTGCACCGACCTCAGACTCTCAACGACCGGACAATGACATCACTTTCAGGTACCAACCCGACTCTCCAAGTGTCTGCTGATCTACAACAACATCATGTTTAATATAATATAAAGCTATTGTATTTGAGTCAAATTGTGATTTTTCTGTAATATTGTACTTTATTTTATTAGTTCTTGGACTTTGAAATCTATTTTTGAAAAAAAAATTTTTTTTTGAAATTTTGAAAAATTTTAATTTTGAAATTTCAAAAAAGTTTTTTTTGTTCGACAAAAGCTACTTTTTTTAATTTAATAACGTATATTAACTATGGTGATTCGGGTGTTCTGTCTTTTCTCTTCCTTTGTTTCTTTATCACCTATCAGTCATTGCTCTTGAAGTGAATCTTTGCTTTTTTTGGTCAAATTTTTTGTAAATTATTGTGATTTTTAAAGGTTTTGTGTATAAATTAAACAAATTAATTGAATTGTCGATTTATAATTTAGTATGGTATCAATTGCCGAAGTGTTATTGTACAGGGTGCGCCAAAAGTCCCCGGACTAACTTTACCGGTCGATTTTTTTATGTTGTACGCGATTTATAAAATTTTTTTAAAGATTTTCCTATTCCCCATAGTTTATTGTTATAAATAAGTAAAAACTGAGTTTTTCATGTCTACTGTCTGTATTTAGATGCCAAACATGAGAGGAGCCATCATTAAGCTGCATGAAGAAGGCAATGTGATATTGCGAAATCGTTAAATATCGGAAAAGCTACAGTATCCAAAGTGGTCAGACGGTATGTAGAGCTTGGACATGATGGTGACAGACCTAGAAGTGGCCGTCCAGCAACTGTAAACGCCCGCGCCAACAGACAGTTGATCAAGAAGCGATTGATGCGTAATCCAATGACTCCAATACGTAAAATGGCACGAGAGACCGGACTGAAAGTAACTTCACTTTGCCGTATAATCAGAAACAACTTGAAGATCAAGCCGTACAAGCCCAAGAAAGTTCAGAAACCTACTGATGAAAACAAAAAAGTGCGGTTTAAAAGAAGCAAAAACTTGGAAACCGCTTGACTATGTTATAACTAGTACTATATAAACCGCGAGCGTTACACATCGGATGGAAAGATTCAGACAAAAAATGCGATTTCTTTTCTGAAAGTTTCGTCTCTCATTTTTTCGCAGTCTTTTTTTCCTCTCGTTGCCGACGGTAGTTTGTGTAACGCTCGCGGTTTATATGTTGCTATTGTTAGTCGTTGTTTTAAGTATATTCATTGTTTTAATAAATATATGACTAAAATAATGAGTACGGGGACTTTACTTTACGCCACCATACCTGCTCCACCCTTCTCTATTCTGCTTTAGTCAACCTTACCTTACTTGTCTTACTCTACTGTTAATCGACTGTATTATACCACACTTCTCTCTAGGGTACTCTACTTTACCCTACCCTACTTACCATACCTAGATTTCTTTACTCTATCCTACAATACTTTACACAACCCTACCTCACGTTATTCTACCTTTCTCTAACCCCAGTCTATCATGCTGTATTTCACTCTCTTCTACCTTACCCTACCTTACTGTAAACTACTCCAGCTTAACTTTTCCTACATCTTCCTACTGTACTGTGCCTTATCGCACCCTATCCTTCTGTTCCTTACTTCAACCTACCCTACTTTATCTTATCTTACTCCATCTTACCCTACTGGGCCCTACCTCATCCTATCTTGACTTACCATATTCTACCACACTTTATCCTTTTCTGTCTTCCTTCATGTTACCCACCATACTCTGTTGTACTTCATTTCACCGTATTCTACTCTGCCTTACCCCACCTTATTCTATTTAGCCTTACCCCATCCTACTTTCTTCATACCTTACTCTATCATGCTCTACCAGTCCTACTCTCTCTACCCTATCCTACCCTACCATATTCTTCTTTAGCTTTTGCTGCCCTGCCTTACTCTACCCCACTTTACCTTGCTGTACCTTACTTTACTTTATCCTAAACCGATAGATATAACGACGAAAGAAAACACAAAAAATGCCATTATTTTATCGACGTATAGACAATTATTTTTACATCAAAAGTGCCGACACTCCAATCAAGCACATCATAACAATACTAGTCCAAATAGGTTTGTCAGCTGCACTTTCTTCCGTTGTTTCTTCATTCTCTTCCTTTTTCTGTTCTTCCATGGCTTCATTTTCTTCTTCTACTTGTTCTACTTCTTCTTCTTTTACCTCTACTTCCTTTACATTACCTTCATCTGACTTTGACTCGTCAGAAGCGCTCTCATCAGCCGCCCTAGTAAGCGGCTTGAGTGTTGTCGTAGTGGAGGTGGTAGTTGAGGGGGTGGTGGTTGTGTACTCGTGCTCGTGCTTCTTCAGGATTTCAAAGATCTTGTCAGTGCGGCGTGGGTATGGGCAGAAAGACATCAATATTGGCTCTCTGAAAATACTTTTTCTGTTTTCTTTTACGACATTCTTTTTGCATCAAGATTCAAACACGCCATTGTTTTTGCATCAAAAAGCAAATACGCCATTCTTTTTGCATCAATATTTAACCGCGCCTTCTTTTCGCATCAAAGTTTAACCGCGCCATTCTTTTTGCATCAAAGTTTAACCGCGCCATTCTTTTTGCATCAATACTCAACCACGCCATTCTTTTTGCATCAATACTCAACCACGCCATTCTTTTTGCATCAAGATTGTAACACGCCATTTTTTTGCATCAAGAAGCAAATACGCCATTCTTTTTGCATCAAAGCTTAACCGCGCCATTCTTTTTGCATCAAAATTCAACGACGCCAGTTTTCTTGCATCAATACTCAACCGCGCCATTCCTTTTGAATTAAAAACTCACCTTTGTAGGAATTGTTCAAATGAATAGTCGTAACCAACCCGCTCAGGATGTCCGTTCTTGAACCAGTCCACATCTGTCACATTCACAAAGTAAAATACGTGCCTGAAAGTGGAAAAGGTAAACATACCACATGTTCAAAACTGTAGGATAGGCTAGGTTAGGGTACTGTAGGGTAGGGTACTGTAGGGTAAGGTACTGTAGGGTAGGGTACTGTAGGGTAGGGTACTGTAAGGTCGAGTAAGGTAGGGTAAGGCAGGGTAGAGTAGGATAGGGTAGGGTAGAGTAAGGTCAAGTAAAGTAGAAGTAGAGCAAGGTAGGATAGTACGACTTACCTCGGCATGTCCAAATGATGAATACGATAATATGGCTGAGGTTTCTTCAAGACCACTCGAGTCGAGTGTTCGATGATGAGTTTGCCGAGGCGGCCTGCTGCATAATATCCGATGTTGGTGACTTGGCCGGTTTCGTAGTCTATGGTGCATTTTTGGTATGGGCTCTAAAGAAAAATGGCATTTTTAAAAACATTTTTTAAAAAAAAATTTTTTTTAATGCGAAAAGAATGGCGTGGTTAAGTAATGATGCAAAAAGAAAGGCGCGATTAAGCTTTGATGCAAAAAGAATGGCGCGGTTGATTTTTTATGCAAAAAGAATGGCGCGGTTGATTTTTTATGCAAAAAGAATGGCGCGGTTGAACTTTGGTTCAAAAGAAATAACCCGGTTGAACTTTGGTGCGAAAATAATGGCGCGGTTAAACCTTGGTGCAAAAGGAATGGCGCGGTTGAACATTGATGCGAAAAGAATGGCGCGAGTGAGTATTTACGTTTTTTGAAAAAAATTATACTGTCAAATTGATATAGACCCCTACCATCATGCACTTTTTGTTGATTTCGTCCAGTAAGCTGGATGAGATGATGTCATTCTCAACGTCATTCGATTTGACCCTCGTCCTAAAAATAACTTGGATGTGTTGACAAGACATACCCATGGTCCTTTACTCTATTATTGGTTGAACCAAAAGTAGTGGGACACTTTTTATTTCAAAAATAAGTCAAAAGTGTCCCGCTACTTTCGGTTAAACTTACATAATGGAAACTTACGGATTTCCTTTACGCTTTACAAAGTCTCGTATGTCCCAAATCTGGCTACCGTTGTTGGCGAACATGTAGTTCTTGTAGATGAAATTGCTGATCCCAAAACTGTCCATTCTCTGTAATTGGTATGTTAACCTATGATATAGTCGAGTTTACTATCATATGTATAGTAGAGTTTGTCCTGCCTACCTACCCTACCCTACCCTACTTTACCCTACCCTACCCTACCCTACCCTACCCTACCCTACCCTACCCTACCCTACCCTACCCTACCCTACCCTACCCTACCCTACCCTACCCTACCCTACCCTACCTTACCTACCCTACCCTACCCTACCCTACTCTACTCTACCCTACATACCCACACAGCTCTGCCTTGCCTTGCCTTACCCTAAAATACTAGCCCTGCTCTGCCTGTCTTGTCCTGAGTTACTCTTCGCCGCCTTGTCTTGCCCTCATACCCGCCCTACCCTGCCCTGTCCTAATCCCTACTTCTAACCTAACAACTCTGCCCTTACTCCTATACTTCTACTCTAACCACTGTGCCCTACCTTGCCTTGCCCAACCTAAACTCCCTTAACCTCCCCCCTCCCCCACCCCTTAACTTACCGAGCCTGCTTTACCTAACCCCCCCCTCTTCCATTACCCTACCCTAAAACAAACGCTTACGAAGTGATGCTTTTCGGTTTGACTGTCAGCGGCCGCGTCCAGAAATTTGAACCAGCCTCCTCCATGGCTGATGGCCGCCGGGTTTTCCTCTTCGGTCAGCGGGTACCACAACTGCTGATCGTAATTGCCTATCTTTGTGTCTGAAGCGGGTTTCGTATCAAGCAGGGTTAGAACATAGGTATACATATACTAATACTATGGGCAGAGGTATTTAAAGGTTTAAAAACTTACGTCGGCCACAGGCACCGAAAACCAGGCTTTTGGAGCTGAGCTTTATATCTAAAACAATATATTAAAGACATTAGTGGAGTACTATAGCTAAATAGCACAAAGAGTACCAGTCTGAGTCAGTTTTAGACCAGAAAATGAAGCACGCCATTCTTTTTGCATCAATAATCGACTGCGCCATTCTTTTTGCATCAAAACTCGGCTACGGCATTTTTTTTGCATCAAAAGTTTATCACGCCATTCTTTTTGCATCAAAAGTCAGCTACGCCATTCTTTTCGCATCAAAGGTCAGTTACGCCATTTTTTAAACCAAAATTTGCCCGTGCCATTCTTTTTGCATCAAAAATAAAACATGCCATTCTTTTTGCATCAAGAATCAAACGCGCCGTTCTTTTTGCATCAAAACTCAACCGCGCCATTCTTTTTGCATCAACACTCAACCGCGCCATTCTTTTGGCATCAAAAAGCAACCACGCCATTCTTTTCGCATCAATATTCATTCGCGAAATTCTTTTTGCATTAAAACTCAATTGCGCCATTCTTTTTGCATCAAGAAGCCCTACCTCAACATTCTAAGCCAACAAAATGCCTTACTGTATCCCTGTACGTAACACCACTGATCGGTCGTAGAAATGGTCGCAAAATCCACAAAATACCGGTCGAAAGCATCCACCGTGATAGGTACGCACGTTTTACCAGGATTATCCTTCTCGCAGGTGGTGTCAGGAATGTGGGCGGTGTTGTAGTAGCCTCTATACTTCACATCCTTCTTTTTGAACACGTCATCAGCATGAAATCGACCGAACAAAAGCGACCAGAGCAAGAACAACCTGACCACCGTTTGAGACATTACGAATTGAAACAAAATGAAATAATACAGATTTTGAAAAGTGAAAAATGATTTTTTTATTTTTTGAAAAAATATGTTTTGCTGTCATAGTTTGATGCAAAAAGAATGGCGCGGTTAAGTATTGATGCAAAAAGAATGGCGCGGTTAAGTATTGATGCAAAAAGAATGGCGTGTTTCATTTTTGAAGCAAAAAGAATGGCGTGGTTGATTTTTGATGCAAAAAGAATGGCGTGGTTAGCTATTGATGCAAAAAGAATAGCGTAGTTAAGTATTGATGCAAAAAGAATGGCATGGGTAATTTTTGATGCAAAAAGAATGGCGTGATAAACTTTTGATGCAAAAAGAATGGCGTAGTTAAGTATTGATGCAAAAAGAATGGCGTAAGTGATTTTTGATGTGAAAAATGGCATGGGTAATTTCTGATGCAAAAAGAATGGCGTGATAAACTTTTGATGCAAAAAGAATGGCGTAGGTGATTATTGATGCAAAAAGAATGGCATGGGTAATTTTTGATGCAAAAAGAATGGCGCAGTATATTTTTGATGCAAAAAGAATGGCGCAGTATATTTTTGATGCAAAAAGAATTCTTTACCTTACCCAATTCTACCCTGCCAATCCCGTTTTGAATTTCCCGCCAATTTGGCATTGTGTTTCAAGCTTATACCATTTTTTTACATTTAACTACTTTTCCTTGATATACTAGTAAAATATTTTTAAATGAACCTACATTTTTATACTTGTAAGCGTAGCTTGTCTGGAAAGTCAAAAAAAGTGCTTGAAACACAATGCCAAAGTTGCCAAATTGGCGGGAAACCAAAATAATTCAAATTCAAAACTCAAAAGCGCGGGCTAAAATTTTTGTGGGTACTACTGGTGGTAGGAGGAACTCATATAAAAATTTTTTTTAAAAAATTTTAGCATCAAAAGTCAGCTACGCCATTCTTTTCGCATCAAAAGTCAGCTACGCCATTCTTTTCGCATCAAAGGTCAGTTACGCCATTTTTTAAACCAACACTCAACCGCGCCATTCTTTTTGCAGCAAAAAGCAACCACGCCATACTTTTTGCATCAAAAATCAACCACGCCATTCTTTTTGCATCAAAAATCAACCACGCCATTCTTTTTGCACCAATACTCAACCGCGCCATTCTTTTTGCATCAAAAATTAAACATGCCATTCTTTTTGCATCAAGAATCAGCCACTTCATTCTTTTTGCATCAAATCTCAACCGCGCCATTATTTTTGCATCAAATCTCAACCGCGCCATTCTTTTTGCATCAAGGATCAATCGCGCTACTCTTTTGGCATCAAAAATCAGCAGCGCCATTCTTTTTGCATCAAAGTTCAACTGCGCCATTCTTTTTGCATCAAAAATTTATCACGCCATTCTTTTCGCATCAATAATTTCATTTTTCAAATCATCCCCTCCTCCTGGTTTTCAAGCATTTATGTGGCATAAATAACGTTCGGTAAGGTTGAAAAGTCATAGTAAATAAAATGTTTCACAGGGCTGGGTCTAGATCGTCTATAAGGCGACAGAAGGGTAAGGAAAAAGTGGGTAGTGTAACACAATTAAAGGGGGTGTTTTTTCGAAAAAAGACTCGTTGTATTTGCGCTGAAGCGACAGATGCTGAGATAGTACTGTGGAATGGGAAAGGTCGTACTGATGAGTACTGTAGGTAAAATTAAGAGCTTACTGTAACATAGGATACGGTATTTGAAAAAAGAGTTGCTGTAGGAAAGAGTACTGTAATATCAAAAAAGTGAGATCCTACTGTAACATAGAGTACTGTAAGCCAAAAATGAGATCATACTGTAACATAGATTACTGTAAGCCAAAATAATGAAAAATGAGATCATACTGTAGTGACGAGTACTGTAAGTTAAAACAAAATTTTACAGTAACCCTGGTTACCGTAAAGAACAAAATTTCTGATCTTACTGTAACAAAAAGTACTGTAAAAGATGAAAAGTGAGAACATGTAGTAACACATACTGTAAGAAATTTCAATTCCTACTGTAACAATAGCTACCGTAAGTATGTTCAGAGCATACTGTAACAGAACCTACTGTAGGTAATCTGATATCATACTGTAACAATAGCTATTGTAGGTATGCTGAAATCATATCGTAACAATAACTACTGTAAGTAAGCTGAGATCATACTGTAACAAAAGTTACCGTAAGTAGGCTGAGATCATATTGTAACGAAAGCTACCGTAAATAGGCTGAGATCATACTGTAAGATAAATTTTAAAATCCGAAGGAAATGTTTGAAATTGATAGAGGCAGAAGCAAGTGAATTCTTGTCGAGGCTACGATGAAGCGCCCGTTCCATTGCCGTTGGCGACGGGCGTGGGCACCACTTGTTGGCGGCAGCGCATTTGACCCGCCATTAGCGGATTGATCGCGTACAACCAGTCGTGAATCTACAACAATATTGTTTTAGCCTGCTGTTCAAACTGTATATGTTATGGTTAGATAAGGTATGAAGAGGGCATGTGTAAGGCAGGGTAGTGTATAATGAGTAGAGCAGGCAAGGGTAAGGTAAAGTAGGATAAGACAGAGTAAAGTGGTAAAGGCTAAGGTAGAGTAGGGTAAGGTAGGTTAAGGTAAAGCAGAGCAGGGTAGGGTAGATCACGGTAGATATGAATTTAGTGAGTAAAAAAATTCCTTACCTTAAGGTACCTTACCCTACCGTACTGTAACTTGCCTTACCTTACGGTATCTTACCCTACCGTATTGTACATAGTCCTACTATAAGATACCCTGCCCTACTGTACCTATCCCTAACATATAGTAAAACCAAACCACCCCAAAAACCTTCAAAACACCTCCTTACATCGTCTTCAGGCAACGTTTGCATCAAGAAAGCGCGATGATTGGTGCAAACACTGAAGGTGTTCGGCACTTTAAGCATAGCTTGTTGGTCTTCCGAGTACTCGATCCGTGCATTGGCCAGGTTGATCACTCCCCTTATCACCAGGTCTTTGCTATCTCTGTACAACAATATGTAGGGTCGTCGGATCACGACGTAGCGCTTGATCCAGCCATTCGTTTTCTCTTCCAAAAAGTTCATTTCGCCTTTCTTGCTGACCACGGTACTAACCCGCTCTTCGGTCACGTCTGGTACACTCGTGGTAATTTGGTTCAGCTGTGAGCCGCTGATGGAGCGCTTCATCGTGTCTGACTCGACCAGTAGGCCGGCTAAGTTATGATCACTGCGCGACTTTGACCGGCTTAGACCATCTAATGGTGCTGCTTGTACTTTGGTACAGGACTCGGTGGTACTGTTGTTCACTGGTGATGTGGCACTGTTGCTCAGCGATGACTCGACGGATTCTGGAGCCTTGCCGGTGGGGGATTCTTTGTTCATGGGGATCTTCAGCTTGATCAACTTGATCACCTTCTCCGCGATGGTCTTTTCCTTCTCGTTCAGTACCACCTTGTCGGGGATGGCGCATTTTGGTGCACATGGGCTGAGTGGTGTAGGTGGATCATTTGCCTTCTTGGATTTAGACTTGAGCTTGTGTCTGAGGCGTAGGAACAGTCGGAAGCGCTCGACTTGTTGTAGTTTAGCCAGCTTCTCAAGCTCCCATTGATGTTCGAAGATCAGCGAATCGCCTCGAGGTCGCCATAGGCCCAAGTTCTCTTCACCGCGCACATATGTTGAGGATGTGTCCAAGACGCGACGTTGGCGACGAATAGCACCTGGAAGTGATAATATTAGTAATGGTTTTGGGGTGTTGATCAAAGTGTTATAGTGACAGTTAGAAACGACAGAAATAGAAAGTGTTAGAGGTTATTTTTTATTTTTTAGTCATTTTCATTCTGTATAGCCATCTATGATCATTTTTCAACTAAATTTCAAAAATTTTCAAAAAAAACATTTTTAGATAACAAACTTTTAAAAAAATCGAAAATAATGTCTTAAAATGACAAAAAAAAACTTTTTATTGTCATTTTTTGGAATAAGTACAATATGCTGTTACCATTTTTTAAACAAAATTTCAAAAATTTTCAAAAAAAAATTTAGGTAACAAATTTTCCAAAAAATCGAAATTTTGTTTTAAAACAGCAAAAATATGTTTTTTAGTGTACCAGTAGTACCAAAAATGTCATTTTTTTAGTATTATACCACCTAAATCCTTAAAAACGTAATTTAAAATCTGCACGATGCAATCTTTTTTCTATTGCACCGTGCAAAATAAATTGCCTTGCTCGTAAGAAATTTTTTAATGATAAAACTTAAAATATTTTAGCCCCAGTAATAACAAAACACTTTTTTCTGTTAGTAACAGACAATTAAAACCGTCCAAAAGTTCTTGGAAAATTTGCACAGTACAATTTTAAATTTTTGCACCGTGCAAAACTAATTTTTTGCACTGTGCAAAATTAATTTCTTTGCACTGTGCAAAATTAATTTCTTTGCACCGTGCGGCCATTCTCCAAGCCCTTTCAAAAACAAAACTTTTTAAAAACCACATCAATCATTAGCTTGTAAACATAAAAAGCGTGTTAGAAACCCAAACTCAGGTCAGTGAAGTCACACTGCAGCCGCTTAAAAAGAAAAAAGAAACCAGCTTAGGCGAACCTGGACTACCTGTGTCACCCAGTTCCTTCATGGAGAGCATGTAGATGCCGGGCACGCGATTCATCTCCGGACTCTTCGATATACTACCCATCAGGGAGCGACAGAACCTGAAAAGGCATGGTGTGATTAGTATTTAATTTTTAGGTAAGGTAAGGTTACTGTAAACACAGAGTAATGTAGGGCAAGGCAGAGTAAGATATGATACGGTAAGATAGATTAAAGTAGAATAATGTAAGACAAAGCAACAAAAAAGTAGGTAGAGTAAAGTAAAGTAGAGTATGGTAAGATAAAGCCGGCAGAGAAGGATACAGTAGGGTAAGGTAGACTACAGTAGGGTAGGGTACAGTAACGTAAAATAGGATAGAACAGGGTAAGATAAGGTTGAGTAAGGTATTGTTTGGTATGTTTTAACTATGGCAATGAAAAGCTGTAGTAAGCCTCCAAAAAGCTACTGTAAAGCTACAGTAAGACTAGATTAAACCTCGAGCTACAAATTTTTAGACATGAGAAACGGGCCGGGCCCGATCGAAATTTTGCTCAAGCCCGGCCCGGCATGATGGTAGGCCCGGGCCAGGCGTAAATTTTTTTTACGTGAAAACGGGCCGGGCCCGGCTCATTTTTCAGGCCCGGCCCGTTTCTCATGTCTAAATTTTCTACCGTAACCGACCCTACCCCTACTCAGCATTGCACTACCTTACATTTCCCTACCCTACTCTACCCTACGCTCCCTTACCCTATCCTACCCATCCCAATCACGTACCATACTCTGCTCCACCCCGTTATACCTACCTGCTAGCAGCCGAGATCTTCGAATCCCTAGCATAAATGACCATACAAAGATCTTTCGTCACCACCGCCGGGTGAGGACTATTCTCCACTTCCATGTACGCACTCAATGTCATATAAACATATTCACCATAGTTCGAGACTCTATTTAACAACGGTGAGTTGTGAAGCGACGAATCCCAAGCCGCTTCGAATTGGAAGAAAACTCTGTCATCCATCGAGAACTCGAGGTAATTACCAGGAAACAGGCCTAACGACAGCACATCCGTGTCTTCACCTGACCACTCGACCTGAGTTCGAATGCGACCAACCACCAGCTCCTGACAGTCACGCCACTTCAGGTCGCCCTTCTCCTGACATATCGTGATCTTGATGCGACGTTGAATACCTTGATGTAGAAGGAAGATACCATGCGTGGGGAAGCTGTTGTGATCCACTACTGCTGGAAGATATTCACCATTGTTGTTGAGTTCGCAGATCTCGAACCAAACGAGAAGGTCGTGCTTTTGGCGGACTTGGTTTAAGCTTAAAAATTACTTTTAAAACAAATTTTGAAATTTGTTAATTATGTTTTATTCCCTAAAATTCCTAAAACTTTAATTTTTGTTACCTAAAAACCAAAAAAGTTCTATTTTTGAGGACTAGAAATTGAAAAACTTCTCTTTTGTTACCTAAAATGTAATTTTCTTAATTTTTTGTTAACAAAAAAATCAAAAAAACTTCATTATTGTTACCTAAAATCTCTTTTTTTTTTGATTTTGTTACCTAAAACCCAAAAAATTTTTTTTAAATATTTGCCTTGCTTGAACATTGCCTCCGGGCTTGCGGTTACTCTTGACTGGGGTCGAAATGGCTAGAGATGGCTGTTGATAAGTCAGTTTTGACGACACTTTCTTACTAAAACTTTTAATTATATTATCCGCGAAAGTCATAAACGGCGTCTTTTACAAAAAATTTAAAAATTTTTGCAAACTTTCAAGCTAGAGATATTTTATACGATGAAACGTGTTTCATCACCAAAACATGTTTCATCGTATAACTTGTCACTTTTTTTTTAATTTCACAAAATTAAAGCAAAACCTACGATAAAGGCACATGAGGACTGTCGATTTCAAACTCGTCTTCCAATTCCGTCGCTCCTTTGTCCAAATGGCCAAAGATTTCGAAAATGACCGGGAAGTGTTGTAGGTAATGGACAAAGGCCGAGTTGGCTGTGCATCGTAGCTCTTGGAAGTGATCGAACTTGAGAACATTATCGGCGGTTTTGACCGGCTTTTGATGAACTGGCTCGGTGGAGAAGGCTTCGTCGTGGCGGTGGAGGAAGCTGAAAAGTAATATCTTTAACTTAGCTAACTCAAGATTACTGTACATACTCTACGCGACTCTGCTCTATGCTACCCTACACTATCCTATCTCACCCTACCCTACCCGACCCTACAATACCCTACCCAACACTACCCTATCTTACTCTACCTCACTCTACCCCACCCTATCCTACGCTACCCTAACTTTTCTCTACACTTCCTTCCCTAGACCACCCTTCTGTTACCTTACGTACCAACAACTCTTCTAACCTGATCTACAGTACCTCCATAGTCCCCTACTACCGACCCAATTCCTACAATATCATTACCCTACAGGAAGCCGGTCCGAGTTCTCTAAAGTGACTTTAGCCCATCGTAAGCAAAAAGAAATTCCTTGCCCTTACCGTACCCAAACCCTATCTTATTTTGGCTCATAACCATACCCCTGCCACAGCATAAGTATACACTATTATATCCTAAGCTACAATATTACCCTACCCTGTACAACCCTACCCACACTAATCCTATACTACCGTACGCTACCTTGCCCTGCCTGACCAAACCCTTCTCAAGCCCTGTCTTGCCCTAAACGTACCCTACATTTTATTATCTGACCGTTCCCAAGCCCTGTCCTAGCCTTACCCTACCATGCCCTACTCACAACCCACCCTAGCCCTCTCCCGCCGTTCTCTACCCCACCCCAACGTACTTGAACTGACAAAACACATCAGTGTAATGAGCTGGCACTCCGATCGTCTCAATCACCGTGATCCTGAAGCTGAATTCCGTGTCTTTGACAATATGTTTCGGGAACTCCGCATCCAAATCCTCGACTCCAGAATCCGTTTCGGAGTTGGCCGACTCGTCCTGGTTGACACTGTCACTGATTTGACGTCGCTTTGCTTTGACAAAGTCTTCTTTCCGGAAATTCAGTCTAGCCGACTGTCTCACTCCAGTTTTCGGCTTTTTATCATCGTTTAGGACCGGCTCGATACAGACTCGAAGATAGCCTTTCACATCGCCATTCTCGTTCACTACCGCTACTTTGTGGATGAGTGGTACGTTGTGTAGGAGGTTGGACATGTAGACAAAGGCCCTGTAAAGACGTCGGAAAATTAGAGGTATCAGGCGGTTGAAATTTGAATTTTTATAAAAATTTTTGAAATTTTCACAAATCGGCGGCAAAAATTAGAAAAAACTTTAAAAAAATAGACCGGAGTAAATTTTGAGGGAAGGGAGAAGGAGGGGAGGGGAGCTGCAAAAAAATAATTTAAAAAATGCTAAGTTCCTTTGACGTTTTACTAGTTACTTTCAGTTTATCGAAAAATTTTTTTAAGCAGAGTAAATTTTTTTATTTTTAAGGGCGGGGGCTGTAAAAGACCAACAAAAATAAACCTATTTTTGATTTCAACCTAACATCAATTTTAACAGGAAAATTTTTTTTACCCCCCTCCCTCCGAAAAAAAAATTACCCCGCCCAAAAAAATTTTTTTACTAAAACTTAAAGTAAGTTCCTTAAATAGCCAAAAATAACTGAAAATTTTTTTTGTCCTTCCCCCCCCACCCTAACTAAAAACATTTTTTACCAAAAAAATCCAATCAAAATCCAATTCGTATTTTACCTACCTAAAACATCCCCCTCCCATGTCGACCCACCCCAAAATCAAAATCCTACCTTCCGACCAGTCGAAACCATGGGAATCTGTCATAAAACGGATCCGTTCCCATCCACACGTCCATCGACACATCGTCGTCCGGACTGTCCATGGTCTCGGTGCCTGCGTTGTAGGCGTCACGCATGCCGTGTAGCCGTTGTCTAAAATGAAGTTTTGTTAAATATAGGTTTAGAAATGTCATTTTTATCATTTTGTTACAAGAAGTTCGTAAATTTTGACTTAAGAATGCCATAAATTTATCAAAAATGACCTTTTGGACGTGAAATCTAGTGTAATATAGACTTCAAAGTGAGTTATAACAAAAAACTAAAGTTAATAAACACTGTTTTATAGCGCTTATAGTACAGCAAGGTTATGAAAAACCGTTTTATATTAACTTAGCTCATCAATTTTCAGAAAAAATGACCTAAATGGTGCAAAAACTGCCTGATTCCACTCAAATCTAGTGTAATATCCTCAAAAAAGTAGTGTCAAATCAAAACCACAAGTGATATACGACGTCTTACTGTGTTTGTGGTACAACAATATTGTGGTAAATCATATGACAATATCTTTTTACACCAACACATTCGCATTTTATCACTATAACTTCGAACACGACCTGAGTGCATATTAGGGTAGGTTGGGTTTGCTTAACTCTTAATATCATGTGGGAACAAGCTTTGATCTGTCAATAGTAACTTCTATCTTACTCTAGACATCAAACTCTACCTTTTAAACCCAAATTTAATTAAGACCGAAGCTCTCAGACCAAGCTATGAAGCTTTATATTAACCTAGACATCCAACCTCCATATAGGTATACCTTGAAGGATCTGCGACCGACAGCTGATTGGCGACGGCTTCTGGCTGCACCACCATCGCTGCAATCATCTCATTCACGTTAGCAAAACGATTTTCCGGCGTGACAGCTTCGGAAATGTCCGAGTTGTAGAGACGGCGCATATCCTCCAGCCGTTGTCTGGAAACAGTGAATATTATGGTATGTTCAGGTGAGTACCCGCATGAAAATTGATGTTTATTATAGGATAGGCATTTTGCTGTCTATTCAATTAAACTTTTAATCAAAAAATCTTTATTTTAACTTTTTTTTGGCTATTTTTATCATATTAACCATCAAAAATAGAGCAAAGATAACCAAAAAATAGTAATTTCCTGCCGTTTTCCAAAATTTCAAAAACTTTTTTTACAATTTTTAAAATCTTTAAACTGCTCTATATTTAATTTTCTTAAAAAATCATATGAATGCCCGCCGTATTTTACCTAAAACCCCATTAAAACAAGAGAAGCAAGCATAAAAAGGTGCGATAAAGCGGTGGAAACGACAAAAAATGGAAAAGCAAACGGACATTTAAATAGTTATTACAATACAACATAGTTAAATACATCCATAGTAACCTAATAAACATGTTTTCTTATCTAAACATGCCTTAAAAATTTTTGTAATTTCACTTTTTTCGAAAATTTCCGATATTATCCATCATTTTTTGTGTCCTACAGTTTTTAACAGGCTGGTAATCAATTTTTATAGCTTGAAATGACTAGATATACATTTTTACATGTCTTTTAAATACTTTACGTAGCATACAAAGCTAATATAAGTTCAAAAAATTAAATTATACTGGCTCAAAGTTGCTCCACCATCAAAATTCCATATACTTTCACATATTCTGATTACTCTATATACATTGCTACATCTTTTATAAACCTTTTTCATTAACATAACCAGTCAGTAAAATTTCAAAAAACTAAGTTATACTAGCTCAAAGTTGCCCAACCATCAAAAATACCATGTATAAGATCAAAAAAGCTTGTTTTATCACTCATAAACCTGGCTAATATCGCTAAACCGTATTTCACACTTACTTTAGCTTCTCCAGACTCCAATAATGCACAGCTCCATTCTTCAGATCTTTTACTTGAATCGCTACAACAGTTTTGGCATGAGGCCTTTGAGTCAAGTCTTCTCCTGGCGGCAGCAGCTCTGGTGGTAATGGTGAGTACATTGTGTCAGTAAGAAGACAGAATTGAAATTGTACTCGTTTTCTCAGTTCAACTGCAATAGCATTGGCTTCTTTCAGGAATATGGCATTGCCCCATAAGTCATCACGAACTGAAGTGAACTGGTGATAACGCCATTTCTGGGCGGCACGGCGAACGATTCGCTCTTGGTCTGGGGTCCAGCGTTCTTCGTTTACTGAAGAATTTGAGTTTAAATTTTGCGTTACTGTACCGTAGCTTAAACAATCGTATTTTATATTATAGTAATGTACTCTACCTTACCCTATTGTAACTTACCCTATGCTACCATACCCTACCCTAATTTATTCTACCTGCTCCTAGACTACCCTACCAAACCCTACCTTACCCTACTCTACCTTATCCTAGACTACCTTACCATACTCTGCCCTCCCACACCAAACATCACCCTACCTTCAGCCAACAAGCTCTTAGTCAATATCAATTCGCCTCCGCCATCCCAAGTCGAACAACCTGAACTGATCATGCTTTGAGCCAGGTCCACCTGTCTCTGCAAACTCTCAATCCTCGACTCATACTCATTGTTCTTCCTCTTATGTTGTCGTTCCATCTCCTCCATCTCCTTCCTGAACTGTTGCTCCATATCACACAGCTTCCTCTCCATCTCCTTCTTCAGATCAATACCTTGCTTCTCGTACAATTCCATCTGAGCATACTTCCAATCAATCGGCTGCTCCTTTGACGCAGCTCCAGCTAGGTTATATCGACTTTGTCTGGCTTCCATTGGATCATTGTAGCGGAAGACGTGGTATCGACCAAGAATTACGCGAGAACCGGTCGATAACTTGATCGGAGTGTCAACTTGTTGTCCATTCACAAAGCATTTGGCACCCTTTTCTGGTACTAATGTGACACAACCATCATCGTTTACGAATTGACAGTGTTTGTCGCAGATCTCTTCGCCTGATAGTGGTATGTCTGGTCGAATATCGGCTTCTGGACGTCCGGTTCTGAAGAAAAAGATCAAGAGTAATATTGTAAAATACGCAGAAGTTCCTAACTGTTTTATTTTGATAAAGTTCAGTTATATTTGATACGATTTAGATACTAAATTTTTTGATACGATTTAGATACTAAAAAAATAAAGTAAGTTAGAGATCAAAAATAGCCCGCAACCGTCGAAAACTTTGTTTCCAAGCTGCGCCCATAGTTTTTCGTGCTTTTTCGAAAAGAAAAAGATTCGTATTTTACAAAAAATGGTCTTGTTTCCGTATGTTCATGCCAGCACTGTCAAAATAATTAGTAAATTTCATAAAATAGGCGTTTTATATTACCAATCCCTATATTAAGGTATACCTCGAACTTTTTATGATTTCCTTATCATTTTGTCGTTCTAAATAAGTGTTTTTGTGTTCATAATGTAGTATTGTCTATCGTTATTTTATTTCTATAGACATTTGGTTCGAAGCCACATTGATCATTTCAGAAACATCAATATTATTTTATCCATGTTCAGCTATAGATGTTGACAATATTTTCAGTTTTTTTAGCTAAGTTTTTGGTTTTGAACATGTTTTTTGTGCTCATAATTTTATACTGTCCATAATTATTCTATTCCAATAATAATTTGGCTAAAAATTTCAATGGGTCTTTCAAAAACATCCATTTTATATTATCCATGCCTTTCTATAGACGTGGACTTCCTTTTCCTCAATTTTTACAGCCTTTTCTTTGCCGATTCAATTTTTAAGTATCCTAAAAGCTGAACAAGGTACTAAGCTTCTAAAAACTTACTTTGTAACTCCATCTTTCAGGTAGTACAACAAGCATTCGGACATTAACGGATCTTCATTTAGATTCACCAAATGTGGCGATTTCTTCGGTGAAAACACACCCAAAGCGCTTCCATCGGCCGATGTAGCCAAGCCCATCTCTCGTAGCTCTTCTTCACGCATTTTCTTAAATCCTTCCGTCTTCCGCAACTTCGCTTCCCACGGTTCATTCAACTGTGCTATCAATTTTTCGCTCGTTTTCAGCTGTTCAATCGTATCTTCCTCTGAGTATAATGCTCGTGGATTGGCTGATACCGCGCCTTGTTCATTGACTTCGATCCCACGTTGAACAAGAATGGATTTGAGACGATAGACTTCTTCCTTGAGTTCACGAATAAGTTTGGCATTAGGATCTTCGTTAACTTTGGCTCGGCAGACGATTTGTTTGGCTCGATCGGCGTAACTAAAACATGATTATGGATAAGAATCTTTTAACTGCTCGGCAATCAGACGTATTTTACAAAGAAACAAGACATATATTTATCTTGAGAATCAAAATAATTCAATATAATATAACAACCAAAAAGTGTGGCAAATTTTATATTATTCATCAAAATACTGTTGATGACCTAGTGTAATATCCTTATATCTCTTGTAAACGCAGATTAATCAAAAAGATATTAATACACAACGTAAAACATACTTTTAGCTACAAAACGAGAAAAAAATCAGGTTATTTCATCAAAAATTGATTTAGATACATCAAATCTCTAGCCATCTATATTTCAAGAAAGAGTTAATCTCTCCTGCCATTCTTACCGCAATGTGCTCAAAGTTTCGTCAAAGTTGATGTCAGCCGGACTCAAGGCAGCAATCATTGCCGTTTTACTGTTTCCACCAAGATTCTCCCTCAACAACCATGTCAACACCGAGTCTCTGTATGGCACAACACTTCGGCCGCCTTTGCCCTTCTTCCTCCCGGCTTCATCGGCCAATTTCGAGATGACCAAGCCCAAAGTTGTCAAACTCTTATTGATGTTGGCTCCCTCCTTCAATCGTTGACCTTCAGCACCAGTCGAATTGGCTCTTTCACTTCCGGCCAAGTCCACCAGCGATATTTTAGATACCTTCTCCGCATCCAGGTTCGTCACGTCGTCGTGGAACTTCTGAGTCAACACTATCGTGAATACGGCGTGAGATCGTGAAGAAGTTGAGTTCATGTTCGTAGCCGCGACTGTTCTTGCCTTGTTTCCAGCATCCATGAGGTCGAAAATGTCTTCGTACGATTGGACCGCCATCTTTTCCAAATTGTCCACATAGGGCCCGAGAGCTGGATGTTCACGGACTCGAAGGTTGTCTGTGGGCTTTGGGCTCAACAAATCTCGAACTTTTTCACAATAAATCTCCATGTAAGACACCTGAAAATATTTTAGGTAACAAATTTTAGTTTATTTAATTTGCCTTTCCGAAAAATGGATTTTTATATTATACTTGCTAAAAAGTAGGTCTAAATAGATGAACCTATCGTATTTTACCATCCATTTTTAGATAAAAAAGAAAGCAAATAATAGAATCTATAACTTAAAATCGTTTCTAGACTGTTTTTCCTTCAAAGACCACTCACATTTTTGGGTTTTCGATATTATACTAGATGTTGCTATTGGTATAAACAAAAATAGGTTATTTCCTGAACAAAATAGCTCAAAAATAGATCTGATATGTCCAGAATCGTTAGAAAATTCATTATATTATACTAGATTTATCAAATTTTTAGATTTTTCGACGAAAAATTGCGATTTTCGAAGATTTACTTGAAACATAACGCCAAAATAGCAAAAAATGTAATGTTTTTAACTTTCAAAAGATTTTTAGAATATTTTAAATAATTTTTGTTATCAATGAACTTTATTAGACCTTGTTTTATGTAAATCAACTTGTTTTTCTACCAAAATTTAGTTTTAGAGACTAATTTATATTTCTCTACCTACTACAATATAAAAACTCGCGTCTTCATCAATTCTCAATAAATTTTTGACAGATTTCCTGTATAATTCTCGCAAAATCTCACCTCAACTGAATAGTGCATGTTGTGATCACTAGTTTGATCAATACGATTATACAAATCACGGCACAGCCGTGGAATAATACCCATTTCGTCCGGATCGTTCGGTTTACCCATCATCGTGTACGATTTGCCCGATCCAGTTTGGCCATACGCAAATATACAGACATTGTAGCCTTGGAAAGCGTGTTCCAACATTTCCACACCCAGCTCTTCGTAGACTTTGGTTTGACTCGTGAAATTGGCATCTTGTTTGTTCATCGACCAGTATGAGTAGTCGTAGTTGAAGTTGTGGGCTTGGTTGCCTGGTCCGCCACTGATGGCTGAAAATGTGAAATTATGGGTTACTGCAATGTTGGAATCTTACTTTTAAAAAATTGGGATTATATTTTAGTTTTTGGAAAAGGTATGGCTAAAAAGGTCAAATGCTATATGCATATAGGTTTAGTTTTCAAAATTTTAAGTTTGATAAGTCACAACTCAAAAACGAAATACAGTAAACTTCTGAAATTTTACACAGTAATACTATATAGTATTTTTAACATATGTATGTAATTTGAAACGTATTTGTTCATTCTATCTTGTATTATGACTAAAAACGTCACGTTGCCCATAAATCATCAAATGTTTTATGATTCGCTAGTTTAACATGCCATAACTTATTGATGCCTTAACGTAACATGGTCTAACTTTAAAGTAATGTAAAACAGGGTATGATCAATGGTTTAAAAAAGTTAGACATTTATACCTAAATTGCTAAAATTTTTATGCCTAAAAAACTCTGTTCGGCCCTTGACTTTTTTTAAATTAAGCTTCTTTATGGCAGTATTGGTCAATTTTGCCATTCCTTTACTTATGTTATATTATAAAAATGTAAAAAATAATCAAACAGCACTTACTAGTCGTGTTTCCAGCCATAGAGATGACAGTTTTGGCTCCAAACTCCTTTTCCCTGTTGTTGAAGGGCCGTACTCGGACGGCGACTTTGACCGACGACATTTTGGCGTTTTTCAAAATTCAAAATCAGTATTTATAAAAATCTAGTTTACAACCTTGTAGACAATGTATTTGTTGATGTTCTGGCCAAATATCAGGATATTCCGTCAGTTCTCCAGCCAATACCAACACTTTTTCCAATATGAAGGTAGTGCAATATACTGCTATTCGCCTTCAACAAGTCGAATCCCGTCCAATCGAAGCCGAATTTCAAAAAAACCAATTTTGGATAGTAGAAAGTAATTAGTTTCTTAATCACAAGCAAAATTATCTGCTCGTTTGGCGCCGAACTTTGGCCCGGCTTTCTTGCGAATAGACAAATAAAGCGGCCGTAAATTTTCCAATATCCCCTTTTCGGGGAGAGCACGTTGAGTAATTTGACACTGGAAACGTCAAAAAATTGCACAGAATGATGTGGTCGTGCTATCAATATTGGTTGCTGTATATATAGTGGTGTGAAGGTTGGAAAAATTAGGGTTCAAAATTATATTGTAGTAGGTGTGTTTGGTTTTTTAGTTATAACTGTTGTTGTAGATGGTGGATAAAGTTAATGTGCGGCTGTAAAGGAAGGTATTAGAGTGCTGAATGCTATAATAGTAAATCCGGTCAATACAATTTGTCAAAAAGTTGCGAAATTAATTGTTTTTTCCAACCAACGTGACAAAAATTATACTGTAGTAGAGGACCTTCATTTTTGCAGTATAACTAGCGGTTTAGAAGTTCAAAAATTTTGAATTATATCTTAAACAAAAGCGAATAATCTACTCTATCTAAAAATAGTAAATTTCGTCACAAAAAATAACCGCAACTTTAAGAAATAAGCTTGGAAGCTATATTATAGTAGGCACTTTGATACTCTTTAGTACTTACCTTATAGCTGAAGATCTAGATGCTGCCAAACGTTGTTCTATTCCTCAAATAAAAGCCAATAAAATTCTGTACAATCTCCAATACAAATTTTCTCCAAAAATTTGCATAAAATTGAACGGCGAACGTTTGAATTGGCCCTACCGTGCCGGCAATGGGCCGGACCCGTTTTCGTTAGTGGCGTTCGATGCGGGGCCTACAAAACGACTTTAAACATTAATTAAAACACAAACGGATGTGTTATTGCATCTCGAAAATAGAATGGAAAAACACAAATTTATGGCAATAAAATGTGATACGATGACAGCCACGCATACTTTATTGTTTTTGTTCTGGGTTATGGTAAAGTGGGGTTTGGAAAAGTTGAAAAAATAGTGAAGGCAAGGCCAGGGCAAGGTCAGGGCAAGGCCAGGACAAGGCCAGGACAAGGCCAGGACAAGGCCAGGGCAAGGCCAGGGCAAGGCCAGGGCAAGGCCAGGGCAAGGCCAGGGCAAGGCCAGGGCAAGGCCAGGGCAAGGCCAGGGCAAGGCCAGGGCAAGGCCAGGGCAAGGCCAGGGCAAGGCCAGGGCAAGGCCAGGGCAAGGCCAGGGCAAGGCCAGGGCAAGGCCAGGGCAAGGCCAGGGCAAGGCCAGGGCAAGGCCAGGGCAAGGCCAGGGCAAGGCCAGGGCAAGGCCAGGGCAAGGCCAGGGCAAGGCCAGGGCAAGGCCAGGGCAAGGCCAGGGCAAGGCCAGGGCAAGGCCAGGGCAAGGCCAGGGCAAGGCCAGGGCAAGGCCAGGGCAAGGCCAGGGCAAGGCCAGGGCAAGGCCAGGGCAAGGCCAGGGCAAGGCCAGGGCAAGGCCAGGGCGAGGCCAGGGCAAGGCCTGGGCCAGGAAAAGGCCAGGGCCAGGAAAAGGCCAGGGCAAGGCCTGGGCCAGGAAAAGGCCAGGGCCAGGAAAAGCCCAGGGCCAGGAAAAGGCCAGGGCAAGGCCAGGACAAGGCCAGGGCAAGGCCAGAACAAGGCCAAGGCATGGGCATGGCCAAGGCAAGGTTACGACAAGAAAAGGCAGGGTATTTCTTCCTCCCCCCTATCATTAAAATACGTCATATTACAATGACGTTTCTGACAGTTTTTCCCCATATAAATGGCTCTAAAATTGATTTCACTGTTTTTTGGTCGAAAAGAAGCCGGATGAGTGGAAATCTCTCGGCCTATCCCTATTTTCTTCTTCTTCCTCATTCCGCCGGCCCCTCAACTCCATTAAGGAAAAGTCGATAGCCTGAGGGTGTAAACACATAAATGTAACAGCAGCTGAGCAAAATAGTAGGTTTTATAAAATTTTATTTGAAAATTAGCTTCATTTCAAAATTTTTTAAAATTTTACATAAAGTGATATGTTATACGATAAAACATGTTTGGCCGTATAACATGTCTCTTAACCAAAACTAATGAGGAAAAATGACAAAACTAAACTAACAACAAATTCAACATACTAAACGGAACGTTTTAAATATTATTTTGTACAAATATGATATAAAAGTGACATGTTATACGATAAAACATGTTTGATCGTATAACATGTCTCTTTTTTCAAAACCAATCAAAATTTTAATGTAAAATAGATATGTAATAATGAAAAATAGATCTAAAAACCCAACTTTAACCCCAATCACCAAAAAATAATGGTAAAAACGTTGGTCGAAGCAAAAACAAAGCCTCAGAGAACGTTGAGGATACATAGCACGACGTCAATCCTCGGAAGGCTTTTGGAGATGTCGAGCTTTTTTTGTCTTTCCCTTCCCCCCCCTTTTCTAGTACATTCACCCCACGCATCGTGACCAACATGGATATGCGGGAAGGACGGCGGGGTAAAGCATGGGGGATATTAGAGAGTAAGGGGTTTGTGGAGACTTTAGAGACGCTGGGAAGAAGAAAAAACGTTGAGAAGAGAACGTTGAAAGAAGAGAGACGGCAGAGATGAAGGAATAGAGGAAGTTGAAGATACAAGGACATTAGAGAAAGACCGTGAAAGAAAGTTGAGAAGAAAAAACCGTCAGGCACGTTGGGAAAAGAACGTTAAAACCAAAGAAACGTTAGACCGTTCCAATTTCAAAACACTAATAAACAAAATGACGTCGTTATACTGTTAACTGAAACATGTCATAAGGTTCGGAAATAGAAAAAAGCTAGGCCAGAGCTTTAGCCCAGAGCTCCAGCCCAAAGCCCTAGTCCAGAGTCCTAACCCAGAGCCCTAGCCCACAGCCCTAGACAAGAGCCCTAGCCCAGAGCCCTAGTCCAGAGCCCTAGCTTCCGAGCCCTAGCCTAGAGCCTTAGCTCTAGCATAGACACGATGAACAGTCCAAGCCACCCTCGAAATTTAGGTTGGACCGGGCCTAAAAAGCCGAACCCGTTTGCATTTAAAACAGTTGGATCAGGCCTGAAAAATAAGCCCGATCCTTCACGTTTCTCATGTCTATTCTAGCCCTAACCCTATTCCTAACCTTAGCTCTAGTCGTAGTCTTAGCCCAGAGCCCTAGCGCAAAGCTCTAGCCCAGAGCCCTAACCCAGAGCCCTAGCCCAGAGCCTTAGCACAGAGCCCTAGCCCAGAGCCCTAGCCCAGAGCCCTAGCCCAGAACCCTAGCCCAAAGCCCTAGCCCAGAGCCTTAGCACAGAGCCCTAGCGCAAAGCTCTAGCCCAGAGCCCTAGCCGAGAGCCCTATCCCAGATCCCTAGCGCTAGCCCTTTCAAAGTGCCATTTTCAAATAGAAAAACAAGTTTTTACCCAAAAAGTGCTTTCAAATCCAAAAAATATGTAAATTAAGTTTCTTCGCAAGAGTCTCGAGTAAAAGAAGTTGGAATTTGGCGCGGAAATAAAACATTTTACTGTGGCCTTTTAATCTTGCAATAAATGGCAATTTGTCTTCAACACAATTGTTGATTCCTTTGTCACATTTCCGTAGGCTTTTTTTTGAGGATTCTGGACTAAAAAAAAGAAAAAAAAATTTTTTAAATGATTGTAACTCAAAGCATATAGCTATAATATTACGTAAAGTTAAAACCCACACGGGGTAGGCAGAAACAAAAAACCAGAGCTAAAGCTTGGTACAACTAGTCCAAAAAAAAAGTTTTAACAAGGTGGTCCCAAGATGGTTTAACAAGGTTGGGCAGACTAGAGCAAAGTAAAGTAGAGTATAATAGGGTAAAGTGGAGGGTAGAGTAGGGAAAAGTATAATAAAGTAGGAAAGGGTAGACGCGTACAAAAGTAGGAAAGGGTAGACGCGTACTCCAACCACCCCCGTCCCCCCCCTCCCCCGGGCTTGAGCAAAATTTTGGTTGGGCCGGGCCTAGAAATCCCGGAAAAGCCCGACCCGGCCCTAAAAGGCAGGAAAAGTACGGCACGTTTAGGTCTTAAAAAATCGGGCCGGGCCTAACATTTTTACCCTACCCTCGTTTTTACCTTACCCTTACGGCAGGGCAGGGCAAAGAAAGGAAAGACAAGGCAAGACCACTAATTGCCCTACCCTGCCTCGCCCTGCCTTGCTCTACTCACCCCACCCTAACCTAAACTAAACTACCCTACCCTACCCTACCCTACCCTACCCTACCCTACCTTACCTTACCCTACCTTGTCCTGCTTTTTCTTGCTCCCCCCCCCCCTCTCCCTCCTCCCACCAATACCCATAACATTGTGGTCAAATAAACACTGACATTCCCCATCCATTCCGAAACCCATTAAACCCGCCTTCATTAGAAGCTACATTCCTATTGTCCTTGTTCCGATTACAATCTAAAACAACGTCAAATAACCCTAGCCGACTATTCGAATACATTTTTTTGCGAAAAAGTAGCCAGAGAAGTAGAGAAAAAACCCCTCCCCTGCCCGCCGGCCATGGCACTACATTTTGTTTTGGGCCGCCATTTTTATGTCCCTTTTTGCTCTTATTCAGTACTCCAACCAATCCTCCATTTCCCTTTGTGTACGAGAAGAGCGCGGCGAGAGAGCGCGGGAAAGGGAGAGACGAGAGAGGATTGGGAAAGGGTATGGAAAACGAAAAAAATAGAAATTTTCACAAATCTTATTGAACTTGTACTAGTAAAAATGAAATTATAGGTTCAAAACAAGTTTTTTAGTCATATTTGACATTGAAAAATAAAAATTAGCATAATTTTTAAAAAGCGACATCTTATACGATCAAACATGTTTCATCGTATAACATGTCACTTTCCTGTAAAATTTAGAAAACCTGTCATAAAAATTTAGAAAAATTTTTAATCTGTTATTTTTCATCTATAATTTACATATATCATGTTATAAGGTGACATGTTATACGCTAAAACATGTTATCATAACACATTTCATCGTATAAAATGCCGCCTAATGCAAAAAAACGTATCTTTAGACACCAATATAACTTAATAAAGGCTTAAAAAGTTATTTTTACTACAAAAATTTGATTTAGTTGTAAGAGGGGACATTTTATACAATGAAAAACGTTTGATGGGGTAACATTTTTCATCGTATAACATGTCACCTTTTGCAAAAAAGTACAAAAACAGTTAGAAACGTGCTACAAAATGTATTCGAGAAAAATATTTCATGCCCGATATGATGTCACAAAATGAGGGGAAAACGGAAAGAAATGTGTGGGAAAACATGTCGCGAGAAAAATACTAATTAGATTTTAATCAAACACAACAACAATTTAATTCGAACGGGAGGGGTTAGGGTAGAGGAGGATAGGGCTAGGAAACTTAAAGCAGGCTGGGCAGGGTAGAGTAAAGTAGGATAGGGTAAGGTAGAGCAGGGGAGAGTAGGCCATAGCTAAGCTCGAATGAGCTCGTTTAGGCTAGGCTATGCAAAGCCGGGCTGGGATAGGCTGGCAAAGGCTGAGCCGGGCTTGGTAGAGCAGGGCAAAGCAAGGCAGAGCAAGGCAGGGCAAAGCGGGGCAAAGCAAGGCAAGGCAAAGAGTAGGATAGGGTAGGGTAAGGTAGAATAGGGTAGGGTAGGGTAGGGTAGAGTAGGGTAGGGTAGGGTAGGGTAGGGTAGGGTAGGGTAGGGTAGGGTAGGGTAGGGTAGGGTAGGGTAGGGTAGGGTAGGGTAGGGTAGGGTAAGGCAGAGTAAAAACAAATTTAAAATGAAGTTATTAGGCCGTTTGTAGGCAAAATCCAATTTGTCAGCAAGAATAACAGGAAATAGACAAGGAAAAATACCACAAAATGACATAAATTATATCGTCTGTCATAATAAATTGTCAACTTGAGAGTGGGCGGTGTAAAATCAAAAAAAAAGTCAAAAATTTTTTCAAATTTAGTGTAGGGTATGATTTTATTTGACTTTTATTAGGTGCCGACATAAAGAACCCGCCATACTTTACCCGTAATTTCCTTTAAAAAATGGCGGGTTCTTTATGTCGGCACCTGGTAAAAGTCAAAATAAAATGACATTTTTAAAAAAATTTGAAAAAAAATCTATTAAAGATACCAGAACGTCAACAAAAAGATTGAACTAATACTTAAAGTAACATTATCAGATTAAATGGCAAAAACTGTTGGTATATGAGTAATTAGTCTAACATGAACATGAGCAAGATTAGCCGATGAGTTTAAACCGTCATCAGCTTTGTGTCAAACAGAAGAAGCTATTTTTACATTTAAAAATTGTTTCATTAAAAAAAATGTTTTTTAATTAACAGAGAAAGTAATTTGATGCGGAAAGAATGGCGCGACTGACTAAGAAACATGTTTCACCGTATAACATGTCTCTTTTTAAAAAAAATATTGAAAATAGTATAAAACCAAGCTTTAAATTAGTAGTTTGATCATTTACTTCTAAAATTTTTTTAAATTTTTTATACGAGACAGCTTATACGATGAAACATCTACGACCTATGAATCAAACATGTTTCATCGTATAACGTGTCACTTTGACAAAATTTCAAAAAAATATTCAAAAGTGAATCTTTAAAAAATCATCAAAAGTATACTTGAAACTCAAAAATTTACAAAACATCATCAACAATGACCAAAATTCAACTTTAAAGAACAAAAACCGGCTGTCACTAAGGCTGACCCCCTAACTTTCGGGACCAGCCTCTTCATTACTCTTTAAACACGCCGAACTGTACTCAAACGTCATTTTCGACAAAAACACTCATTTTGGGAGGAAAATATCATCACGGCCACTCGAAATGACGAAAGTTTTTTTTAAAATCGACCAAATCCCCGGAGGGGAAAGGCCGCCGGATTTCGAAGCCGCATTTATTTCCCATTGATGAGGCTTGAAACAATGGCTTAACTGAAGCCGGAAGATGTTCTTTAGTCCGGTCTATTAATGGGTAATGGCAAAAAGTTGCGTTGGTGACAAGTTATACGATCAAAGATGTCTCATTGTAAAACATGTTTCATCGTATAAAATGTCGCCTCAACAATATATAAATATAAAAACTAAGTAAATTAACTTAAAGTGACCTTTGAATTACCCATATATTCAGTTTCGCTGATTTTGGTAATTGGTGACACGATATACGATCAAACATGTTTCATCGTATAATATGTTCCCTCATAACAACATATATGCAGATTCGTTTTATATTAAATGCCTTTGAAGATCATTTCAACGCTTAAACTTTTATCGTATATCATGCGTCTTATTCGTATAACGCGCCTCCTAACCCACCCCACCCTACACTACAAACATGTTTCGCCGTATAAAATGTCCCTTTTAAACTAAAATTTAAAAAAAACCAAAAACTACTGTAACCCAAAAAACCAAAGGCATTTTAAAAAAATGAAACGGCCCAAATGAACAACAGTGAATGTCTCATTTGCGTGTCTGAGGCCATAAGGGAAAAGAAGAAAAACCGACCGAAATTAGATTCGGCCGACCGAAAAAACACAAAATTCAAATTAATGACGTGAAGATGGGACAAAAAACATGTACGTTAATATTGTTGTGTACGAGAAATGGTTTAGCTGTAGTCCTGTCTTTGCCTAAAGATTCTAAGATAACGGATTCTAAGCTCAAACGCACTAAGCCTAAGCTTTTTAGTCAAAATTTGCTTGGCCTAAAGCTAGTTAGTCTAAATCTAATAAAACTAAGCCTACTGAACTTAAGTTTACTAGCCTTAATCTTATAAAACATAAGCCTAAAAAGCATATGCTTTTATCCCTAAAACTACTGAGCGTAAGCCCTCTAAAGCTGCCATTACATAGTTTAAGCCTGCTAGCATAAGCCTACTAATTTTAAGCTTACTAGACCTTAGTTTATTAAGCGTAACCTTAATAAACCGGCTTGGGCTTATAAAGCGTAAGGCTTAATAAGTTTGGGCTTAAGAGGCTTAGGCTTAGTAGGCTTAGGCTTAGTATGCTTATGCTCAATAGTCTTGAGTTTAGTGGGTTCAAGTTTGGTAAGCTCAGGCTTAGGTTAATATCAATGAACTTTAAAGAAGTTTATACTTTGGTTATACCTTACTTGACAAATACAAATAAATAACACTCAAGCTTCACAAACAAACTCATTAATACAGAATAAGTTTACCTCTTCAGGTTGTTAGGGTTATTACGACATATACTTGCTTGAGGAAGTTGGCTGTGCAAAAGAAATTTTCTTGTCAGGCTATCATTGTTAAACTAATCATATTCTTAGGCTTATTAGGCCTTGTAGGCTTATTAGGCCAAAACTTAGCAGGTTTAAGCTTAAATAACCTAGGCTTATTAGGTCTTGACATCAGCTTAAGGTCAAGCTTAACGCTTCTCTACCCTTACTCATATTAACCTTACAATTATTAGCCAGGTAGGCTTAAGCTTACTAGGATTAACCTTACTTTACTTTGGGCCTTGAAACTACCCTATATTTGCCTCAAATTTACATTATGATATACTGTAACCCCCTAGCAAACTCATGGATATCAGCTTCGTATGACCTGACGGGTATTCCAGCTATTATAATCAACTTGTTTGTCATAAAACTAGGCTTAAAACAGCCAAAAGACCAGTGTGTTTGTACTAATATTATCATCTTTCACTCTGCAGTAGATGTTGTCAACAGTTTTATTAGAATTGTGTATAAACCGGTAAGTTTTTTTTCGATTTATAAACCCTGAGTTTAGGCATGGTTTTTGCAGACCCCGTACTCGCAGTAATTTGTTGGGTCGTTTTACATCGAGGCAAAAATGACATAAAACCATAAAATTGCATAAGAAGTTGTTGCGCAATACGATTTCTTGCAATTTCCCTAAGGCTATGTAGTTATCTCATTATATCATCAATATTAGGTAACATCGCAAAAATTTTCATATTTTTATGGGTCACGTGAGCATAGGTAGGCTTATACATACTTAGCAAATTTAGAATTAATAGGCTCATTATTAATCAGTCCTAGTAGGCGTAGGCGTAGGAGGCTTAGGCTTGGTATACTTGAGCTTCGTAGGCTTAATATTAGTAGGCTGCTTACTAGGGTCATGCTTAGCAAGCTTAGTTTTAAAAAGCATTTTAGGCTTAACAAACTGAAGCTTAGCAGATTTAGGCTTAGAAAGCTTATGATTAGCAGACTTGAGTCTAGCAATTTTAGGCTTAGCAACCTTAGACTTAGTAGGCTTATTTTAAAAGGGTTAAATTTAACAGGCTGAAACTTAGCAAACTTAGGCTTAAAAAACTTAGGCTTCTTACTTTAAAGGCTTAACAGGTGTTTAAACATAGCAGCTTTAGCCATAGCAGGCTTAGGCTTAACTTGCTTGGTTTTTGTAACCCTTGGCACCAGCTTAAGCCTAAGCTTACGACACTTACTCTTACTACTATTAATCTGAGGAGTGAGCCCGGTAGACTTAGGATTATTACATTTTAAAACCCTTAAACACTTTTAGCTCCTCCACAATAGCAAAAACTACATCTACATCTTTAACTACGCTAGTTCTCAAATTCCTACCTCTTATACTCGGTTTGTCCTATCACATACATATATGATCTTCTATGACGCATACACCGTATCCCTACTGCTTCAATTTTACTACCGCTATCATGCTTTACAGGGTACTGTAGCTCGCAACTTGAAATTGAATTTTCTGGTTATTACAATCGTTTTCGTAGCCTACAGCATTGGCGAAGTTTGGATTTTGAGCCAATTTTTATTTGAAAATGATAAAAATTCAAATTTCGAGTTAACCCAAAATGGCTGTGACGTTTCAAGTGCACCCCCTTATATTGTTTACGCCAGAAGTCCCAAATCTTTCATGCATTTTCTATACTACTTTATATTTTACGTAACTTTGTGTATACTAATGTGCTACTATGCTATTAAAACTTATTTCTATTTGAAAAAAATGTCAAAGTTTATGTCACCGTCGACCTTGTTGTTGAACAAGAGGCTCAACAGAGTTATGTTGTCACAGGTAAACCAAATTAATTTTTAAACTTAAATTAGCTTATTTTAGACCTTGATAAATATCAAAACTAAATTTAAGTGTAAAATCTATCATTTTTAAAAATCAATAACTTTGTGACACTCCGTCACATTTTCCAATATATTTTTGACATTTCGCCAAAAACACTAAAATCATAAAAATTACGTTAACTTTAACTCTGATAAAACATTTTTTTTTTCAATTTTAAATTAGTGACTCTTCTGAACGTTTTCCAATAAATCTTTGACATTTCGCCACTTTTTCCAATAAATTTTTGACACTTCGACGAAAATGCAAAAATACTATCAAAAGCTAGTAAATACTAAACTTTAAAATGTGAAAACTGCCTTTCCTCCCAAAAACTAACAATTCACATTATTTTAGGTTCTAATCCCACTAGCCCTCAACATCTCACCTACATTAATATTCGCGTTGGGTCGATTTATAAAAAACGTAGATTATGAATATCTTGCCGTTTTCAAAGCTATTGCCAGTGGAGTTGTGCCGATTTTAGATGCTTTAGTTATTCTTTGCGTTTTTCCTACTTTTCGCCAAATTTTTTTTAAATTTAAAAATGGAAAGGGTACTGTAACCTCGGTAAAGCCTGCTATATCGTTTGTTAGTGCTAGTACGACTGTTAGTAAATTGTGAGTGTAATTTTTTCAATAAATAAACGTTTTTTTCATTTTTAAAGTTTTGGTCAAAAAATACGCAGAAGTCAGGAAAATGTTGCGAAGTGTCACAAAATTATTGATTTTTTGAATTATTAAAAAAAGGCCAAAAATTGTTAAAAAAGCCAAACTTGTGGCTAAAAAATAAGTAAAATAGAAATCAAGAAAATGTTCAAAGTGTCACAAAATTATTGATTTTTTTAATAGTGAAAAAATGGCCGTAAATTGTTGAAAAACCAAAATTTTCGGTTCAAAAAACAATTTTTTGGCATTTACATTCACTTTTTCACAATTTACAAGTATTTACCGGTCGAAATGCTGCCATATGACGACTTTATCAACCGTTTTAAGGATAGTATTATGAAGGATATTAAAAACATTGCTGATCATAACTTGAAAAAAGTGCTGGAATGCAAATACTTGTTGGATTCTTACATTAAAAAAGACGATGCTGTAAGTTTTTATAATAAGTTTAGTTTTCGGCCGTTTTTAGGTAAACAAAACCTGTTTTCAACTCAAAATTAACTTTTTTAAAAATTTTTTCAAAAATTCAACTTGTGCCATTTCCAGGTGATCTTCTTTTACGAAACCCTCGAAATCAATCGAAGAGTTGACAAAGACTACCGTAATCTGAACAAAAAGTTGTGGGCCAATTACGAAGTAAAAAATAAAGAACTAAAAGCCCGAAAGTCTACATTAAAAAGCCTAAAATCAACTGTGGACAAATTGTGGCAACAAAAACGTCAAGCAGAAGATGCTCAATCATTCGACTCCATGGTCGACATTTTAGAAGTTTCTATGAGAGAAAACGACGATGTTAGTCAGGTAAGGTTTTGAATTGTTATTATAAAAAACTAAAAAAAAAGTAGCAAACAACGTGCTAACAAATGTCATAAGTGGTTAAAATGTCAAACCAAATGCCATAAAAAATTGAATTTTACGTTGAGCTTTTGAAGCATGATTTTCTGCCGAAAATGCCATTTTTTATTAAAATCTTGATAAAAATCTCCATTTTTACTTTCAAAAATACAGTAAAAAATCTTTTTTATAATATTCTTATAAAAAAATAGCTAAATCTAAACAAAAAATTCAAAAAATTAAGTTGCCGCCAGCAGGGGTCGAACCTGCGACCTTGGGCTTATTAGACCCACGCTCTAACCGACTGAGCTATGGCGGCACATGACTGCAAGCGATTAATTTTTCATTTTAAAAACATCAACAGTATTGTAATTGCCGTGATCTGCTAATTAAACGTTCATTTTTTTATCACTTTACGTTTTTTTAATTTTATTTAAAAAATTTTTTAAATTTCCATATTTTAAAAAGCTAAATTTTAAAAAATATGAAACTGTGTTAAACTAAACGTTATATTATCTATTGGCTTACGATACTGTTAATACTTTTGAAGTGAAAAATAAATTGTTTGCAGCCATGTGCCGCCATAGCTCAGTCGGTTAGAGCGTGGGTCTAATAAGCCCAAGGTCGCAGGTTCGACCCCTGCTGGCGGCAACTGCATTTTTTATGGTTTTTATGTGAAATTCGATTTGCTGATTAGTTGTTAAGTTTTGTTTTGTTATTATTTTCATAACCATAAGTTACATATTTGACCAAAATTACATTTTTCAGAATCTACTGGACTCATATTTGGCCGATCCGAGCGATATCGACCAGTTTTTCGAACTTTACCACGATTCCCGTGTTGCTTACCATACAGTAAAAGAAAAACAACGTCGGCTGAAGGAAATTATCATTCACAATCACAAAATGCTTCAAAAATAAACGTAACACATTGGATTTAGTCATTTTTTTAAAACCAAAAAACAAATTTTAAATTTTAAAAAATTAAAATTTTTAAAAGTTAGACCCTGTAGATCAAAAATTTCGAAATTTATTCAAAATCACAGCTACAGTATTTAAATTCTACTCTTCGACGCTTTTTTCCTTTGATTTCTTAAAAGCGTCATCAGTAAAGTACGAATATTGTGGTACATGCCCGCCATACCGACACTCAAAACGCCATTTGTCGGTTTTGGAAAAGTCATAGTTGACCAGTGTTGTCATACCAACAATGGGTCGTTGAGGTACTTTCACATTGCTCAAGTCAATGTTAACATTGGGTAGGCAAAGTTCGTGAACGTGCATCCACTGCTTTTCACTGAATGCTTTTGGACAACATGGGTCCTATAACAAGGTTTTATGTTGTAATAAGGGTAATTGTACTGTAAATTTCCAAAATGGCATAGTTTAAACTAGAAACTTATTCAAAAACTACATTTTTCTGTTTTTTCGACAGTTTTAAGCCATTTTTGACATAAAAATGACAAAATTGTCATTCTAATTATGTAAAACATAAAAAATATAAATTCATAAAAGTTGTGAAAAATCTTTTTTACTAAAATGAAAGATCCCTACATCGTATTTTACAATAAAACCCCAAAAAATGTACTTGCCGCCAGCAGGGTTCGAATCTGCGACCTTGGGCTTATTAGACCCACGCTCTAACTGACTGACCTATGGCGGCCCATGGCTGCAGGCAATTTATTTTCCGATTTAAAAGTATTTATTGTAAGCCAATAGATGATATAACGTTTACTTTAACATGGTTTCATATTTTTCAAAAAATTAATTTTTTGAAATGATTTAAATAAACTTTAAAAAACATAAAATTCTAAAAAAAATTAACATTATAGTAGTAGATTACAATAAGTACAGTACTACGTTTTTAAAATGAAAAATAAACCGCCTGCAGTTATGTGCCGCCATAGCTCAGTCGGTTAGAGCGTGGGTCTAATAAGCCCAAGGTCGTAGGTTCGACCCCTGCTGGCGGCAAATACACTTTTTGACATTTTCATTTATTTTTAGACATTCCTTTTATGAAGCCAATATAAAAAAAGTATTTTACTGCATCTTTAAAATTTAAAATTTTTTATTTTTTTCAATATTGCGACTAAAAATGGCATTTTCAGTCTAAAACTTTGAGCCAAAAAAGTTAAGTTTGGCTGCTTTTTACTAACAGAAGATGAAGTTTTCTAGATTGTTTTTGTGTAAAATACGTCTCCTTTTTTTCTCTCTCCATTATTAGTTGAGGTTTTTATGTTTTGCATAATTAGAATGACATTTTAACGGTTTCAGTCAAAAATTGCTGAAAAAATTTAAAAACTCTTTAAAAACATTTTTTAAGTAATTCTGGTAAAATACGTCCATCTCAATACAATACTGTTTAGAAAAACGAAAAAACCGACCTCATCTTCCACAAATTCTTCATAGCAACATTTGCTGAAGGCATCGGTAGCTAACAACGGGTCGCCTTGTTTCCTGTCGTTACAACATTTGAATTTGGACTGGAGGAACTTCTGAATACAGCATAACTGAACAGTACCATTTGCGCATTTGCCTGGTACACATTGATCGGTAAGGACGATTTTTGTCTGACAACACTTGTGGACTTCTTCTGGAGGTAGTGACGCTTGCTGCAAATGGAATTTTTATTTTAGGTAAAATTGAAATTGTCATTTTAAGTAACATTTTTATTTGAATTTTGTGATTTACTTTCAAAAAAAAATTAATTTTGCATTCTTCGACGATCTAGTTTTTCATATTTTGATACCCAAAAATCGGTCGATATTTTCGCCAAAATGATTAACATTTTGATTGGAAGTGAAACTCAAGGCTATGTAAGTTCTAATTCTCATGAGTAAACACACACACGATGCTTAATTCATTGTTCGAAAAAAAATATTTCAAAAAAATGCAATCCGTGTTTTACAACTTCAGATCCTAACCACAACCTTCGTACTGACATTCTCAACCCTATTAGGATTCATTTCACTACAACTCTCCAAAATAATCGATGTTGCCATCACACCGGTCGAAATTGAGCCCTATTTTACGAACGAACGCCTATACAGTGCTGAAGGCGGAGCTGTGCCAACCTATGTAGCGGATCGTCAAGGCGCTTCGCAAATCACACAAGATGAAGAAAGAGAAGCCCAAATTACCAAAAAAGGCAAAGATTAACGGGTAATGCAAAACGATTTGGCTAAAAGTTACAAAACGTGGATTTAAATCAAGGATAATATAAGATATTGATTCGATTATCATGTTATTGTTAATCTATATTGTTTTAAAAGTAAATAAAATGATTCAAAGTATCGTATTGTCATTACCTCGTAGAGGTTTATGCTTATTTTGCAAAACTTCCGCTTAATTTTAGCCGATTTTACCCTCTGCATTGAACAACATCGCGTTTTGATGTTATTCTACCTTTTTCAACGCAATATAATTTCACAAACACTGTAAAAGCTTCTAACTAACATTTATTATGTTTTAAAAACAAATCCAGGTACAATTTTGACATTCTAGCATCCATTTCACCGATCTATTTTAGGTAACATTGATAATCTTAGATATTGGTGTAGCTGTATGTTAGCTTTCATTGGTCACCAAGTTTTTTAACTATAGTTTCTTTATATAAATCCTCAGCTAACCTCACATTTTCTTGCTAATCAATAAATTATTGGCAAAGTTACAAGCGAAAGCTTTTTTATAATAAATCTTCATGGATAATATCGCGTTTCTTGTGGAAATTAACTTTTTTATCCTAGAATTTTATAAATGACACGTTTTACATCGAAAATTTTCCTTAATTTACGTGACCCGTCTAAATAAAAGCCATAAAAACAAACTACAACCTATTATATTACCCATGACGCGTCTTGTATAAGTTTTCCTTAAATTTTACCTCCAAAACCTAAAAATAATTCCTTATCATCTCCTGAATACCTTCGTAAATCATTCTTCATACCTAAAAACCAAGAAAAGCATAAAGAATGTAGAAACGTACCTGTTGATAACAGATTTCGTCAGTGAAACCATTGCAAGGCAAGTCAAACAAGAAGTCTGGATGATCGCTGATGTCGTCGCCCATCTTCCACATCGGTGATGGTGTTATTGGGCTTTCTAGTTGAACCTGAAGACTTCATCTTACTCACGGTTCTATTATCTTATTGTTTTCCAACTTTATTTTTTATTCTTTGGTAAAACAAACGTATAAAAAGTAAGCGCGGCCTGCAGAGTAAATAAGGCTAAAAAATAATTAAGGGCGCAAGCTGAAATTAAATAAAAAATTATAAAAATTGTAATATTACTTGTGGAATGGCAGTAGAAAACGCTTCTTCCTCAATATCGTCGTAATATTGAGCTAGATCAATGGACGGGCTTTCCTCATCGCTCGGATAGAACGGTGCGGGCTCCGCACTGGCCGGCTGTCCTTGTTGATGTCGCATTTTGATGGCAGCGATTGCGGCCGCTTGTTTAGCCTGTTCTTCTGCGATTTTTCGCTGAAGCTCGGCACGTTGAAGCTGTTCCAGCTCGATTCGTTGTTTTTCCTCGCGTTCACGTTGTCTTTGTGATGCATATTCGTTGCGCCGACGTTGTTGGACTTGGTACACAGACTCGCGATTGTTTTGTCGACTGCCTAGCCCATATTGATAGCGATTGTTGTTGACGTTAGAGTAGACTAATGGAGCTCGAGTGGTTTTTGGAGGGCGACGGGTTGTGGATGGTGTTGGTGGAGCGGGCTGTTGGAAGGGCTGAGGAGGTTGGGAAGATTTGCGGACCATTTCTTGTTGATGTTGATAGCTTTTGGTAAATGGAACGACAGCACCGTTCGCATCTTGTTCTTGGTCTTCTTCTGGCTGGCGTTGGTACTGAAAAAGGTAAGAGATTTTACTTTTTTAATGTTTTTGTTAAATTTTATTGTGTTTATTCAGTATTTTAGGAGCTAAAAGGGCTATGAATCCTATCTACGACTGCTGTAAGTTTTCTATTTGTTCTGCGTGTTTCATTCGTTCAAAATTATATTGTTTTAGGTTAGTGTTATCAAGTTTCTCCGATAAAGTAAATTCTTTTTATATATTTTTTAGGTAACAGTTTATCATTCATGTTAGTTTAATTAGCAAAAACAAAGTTCAATTGCACTGACCAAAAGCATCAAATATTTATTGGCATAATATTTCTATAGAAATGTAAAATACGACTGGCGTTAACAAAAATATATCTGATTAAAGCATTTGGAATGCTAAAAGTTACAATTGACAAAAATAAGGAGACGTACAGGTGGGTTATTTTAAAATATTAATTAATATTGTTTTCGACTTCTTAGGATTGTTTTAGACTTATTGCAAAAAATATTGAAAATAGGTAACAAATAGACTACGATGACAGGAAGAAGCTACTGGTAAGGTTTTTATAAGCTTTTGTAAATAATATCTTGTCAGTACAATAAGACATATATAACATCTTATAAGTCAGTACAATAAAACCTCGTATCACTGCAAACTTGAACTAAGAATCACACATGGTAAGTATTCGGTTTTAATGTTCTTTTCTGCTATGTATGATGTAATGTTATTCATTCAAAAACCTACTCGCATAGTACTACTATAGTACGAACGGTATAAAAGCTATCTGTCTGAGTACTATTATAGTACCAGCAATACTAAGCCTATTTGCCCAAGTGCTACAATACTATGAACGACTCGTAACCTATTTTCCCGTGTACTACTTTAGTACGAACAACTCAAAACTTAACTGTCTAAGTACTACTTTAGCACATACCTATCTACAAACCTAGTACAAGTTAGCAGTAACAGAGATTCTATCATAACTTTAACTGACTTGCAAGTTTCTGGCCATTTCCTCTTTCTCTTTGGCCAACAATCGTCTTCTCGCCTCCATCTGATCATTGTAGCTTCTTAGTCTGTCATTGTATGCATCGGTTGGTGCAACTTTGTACTGTTTTGTCACTTTTCGACTAGTCGGCGCGTTGGTGGGCGGTATTTGCATTTGAGGTTGTGGTGGAGCAGTCCAGCCGTATTGACGATCTCCTTGGACGGTCTGATAGCTGGGCTGACGTTGTGTTTGATAGTACTGGGAATTGTACTGGGCACGTGCTGTTTGTGCTTGTGGCTGGGGTAGTTGTTGGGGTGGATAATTGGATTGGGATTGGCTGTATTGTGGTCTGGCTTGAGTGTATGCTTGCTGTTGACTGGGTTGGCTATATTGTTGTTGTCTTTGGTCATATTGTGGTTGTTGCCTTTGGTCATAATTTCGAGATTGGCTTGGTTGTTGACTATACTGTTGTTGTTGTCCTTGGCCGTAAGATTGAGACTGACCATAACTTTGGGGTTGACTTTGTTGTTGTTGGCTAGTTTGGCTATAACCCGGTTGTTGAACTTGACCATAGTTTTGTGCTGTTTGATAATTTTGTTGAGATTGACTTGATTGAGGGTAGTTCTGTTGACTTTGAGGGTATCGTTGGGCTTGCTGATTGTATTGACTTTGTTGATATGAAGGTTGGCTGAAATTTGATTTTTTGTAGTTTTAAATCTTTGAATTTGGATTGAGGTAAAATACGGTATTTGGATAACATTATTAACAACAACTAGATAATGGTATTTTTGGTTTACTATTCTTTATACGATGGTTTGGCAAAAAACAAATTACCGTGATTGATATGATGTACCAGGATTACCAGCTTGACCCGGAGTACCAGCTTGACCAGGAGTACCAGCTTGACCAGGATTACCAGCTTGACCAGGATTACCAGCTTGACCAGGATTACCAGCTTGACCAGGATTACCAGCTTGGCCAGGAGCACCACCTGCTCCAATTTGTCCTTGATTCGAAGCCGGATTGTTCAATTGAAAACTAAACGTGACGGGTGGCGGAATAGCACCACCTGCACCAGCCCGTTGTTGTGGCGGATACCCACGCTGTTTGAACTCGTTCTGAATTTGTTGTTGTTGTAGTGCGATTTGTCGCGCAACTTCTGCTTGATAACGTTTGATTTCGGCTTCATAACGCGGATCGTTGATGGTTTGAGGATTAAAGTTGGGTGGTACTGAATCAGTACGTACTACGATTGGCTGGGGAATTCGTGGGTCACGGGGTTGGCCCTGAAATGAGGCTGTTAGGCAAAGGAAGGATAGACATTGGATTTTTATGTGATAAAGGCTTATAAATCTGAATTTTTTTTGAAATTCAAAAACATTTTGGCCGGGAGATTTTTGAAATTTTTTATTTGAATTGGCTTCTATAGATTATTGTCTTAACTATTTCATTTGTAAGCACTTTACGTCTACAACATTATTTGTCAGTCAACTATAAGCTAGAATTACATCGTTTGGTGCGAAAAGATTGGCATAAGCGTAGTGCTGATTGTCATTTACAGTACGTTTGCGTGAGTTTCCAAAATAAGCCGCAACTCGCTGAAAACAGGCAATGAAACTACAGTTACTATACCTAGTACTATACTAGTAATTGAAATATTACAGGTGCAGTTAAAGTTACATTGCGGTTAAAAGTTGTACTGTTATGGTTAATATAACGGGCTAATTTGTGCTTGTTTATATTAACGTAACGTGTTAAATAGGGATGGTTTTGGTCTAAAATAAAGTGCTAAACTGTGCTTGTTTTGTGTTGACATAACATGCTAAATAGCGCCGTGATGTGACTAATATAGGTTTTACAGTATTGGCTCTATAATTAGCTTTTGAGTGCTTTAAAGGTGACATTTAGGAGTGTAATTATTAGTGACACTAACATCTATAACTACTCTATGTTAACACTATCATATAGTGATGATAAAATGAGTTAACACTATCATCGTGATGACAAAAAAAAGTCTTGTCGTTTTTGAACGTGAAAATCAACATAAATTGACGACAAAACTTTTCAACACTAATATATTATGATTAAATACATCTAAACGACTACAACTACTAAAATCTACGTGAACAATATGTGATAAACAGCAGTAAAAGCGTGTAGCACCTCATTCGGACCGCAACCCACAGCTGAATCCGCTTGTTGTTGGCCTAATCCATGTCCAAACAATACCGTAGCCACTAGAATTTGTATTAGCCAAATATTCATGGCTAGGCGAACTTAGATTTCTTACAAAATAAAAATTTTAGATTGAATTAGAAAAATTTTTGGAACAAAAAAAGCTGCCGAAACTGAAAAAGCCCGCTTTCCTGCCAACCGGCTGCCTGTTGTTAGTGATTTGGCCAAATTCCTTTTGTTTCGGGTTTTTTTAAGTTTCGGTTTTTCTCGAGAGAGTGGATAAAAAAATAATTGACACACCGATCGCCCAATAAATTTATTGCCCCTCCGGCCATAATCTTGTAAGAGCCATTGTTCAGCGGGGTTTTTCTGCAAAAAATTCATTTTTGATTGAAAATAATTTATATGAAAAGATAACAGAGTTTAAAAAGTCAAATGTTTTTAGTGAAACCATGATAGGCTTGATATATTTTACAAAAGGGACAGGTTATACTGTCAAACATATTTTATCGTATAACATGTCGCCTGTTTAAAAAATTGCTATTGTTTATTGATGAATGTAAAGCTATTGATGGAATATAAGCAAATGTTGAGTTTTTTCAACTTAAAATCTAAAATTTTTGGTTTTGAGGCATTTTATCATATACGGTCAAACATGTTTCATCGTATAACATGTCGCTATATGTCATAAACTGTAAAATACATGATTTATGTCGTTTTTAAATAATTTTCATGGCCTTTTCAATACGAAAAGAGTTAAATTTTCTTTTTCACATTTTCATTTTTTCCTTCATTTAAAAAATCGACCGGTAAACCGGTCAGTTTTCCTGTAAATCCTCGCCGCCCACGGCGCTAACTTGTATTTATCGACTCTACGTGCATGTGAATTGGAAATGGCATCGCAGTCGTTGGAGAATGTTGTGGTCAAGTATCGTGCGGAGAACGACGTGTCTGACGAGGAATTTGTGAAACAAATGAATGATATCATTGGCTCCATTGTGAAGGGAAAAAAGTGTACCAGGGAGAGGGAGGTGGGTGGTTTTCTACTTTTTTAGTTTAATTTTTTGATTTTTAGGCTCATTTTTTAAAACATTTTTAGGTTTACTGGTAGATACTAGGCTAGAATGTTGAATTTGTGATGCCTGATATGTTTAAATTTGGCTAAACTACGGTTTTTTGGCTGAAAATTTGAAATTTTTGGTTTTGTAAAGAAAGTTTTTGCCATTTTATGTTTTGTAAAGAAAGTTCTTGCCATTTTAGATCTTGTAAAGAAATTTCTTGCCCTTTTATGTCGTGTAAAACAATTTATAGCAATTTTATGTTATCATCGTATAACATTTCATCCGTAGCCTGCAGTGGCTAGTTTTTTCGATTTTTTGGCCTCTAAAGAAAGTTGTTGTCATTTTATGTTTTGTAAAGAAAGTTCATGCCATTTTATTTCTACAAAAAAAGTTCTTGCCATTTCCTGTTCTGTAAAGAAAGTTCTTGCAATTTTATGTTTTGTAAACAAATTCTTGCTTCAGCAACAAAAAGCCCGATCACGTCGCTACAGCCTACTGGACGAAAAGGACATTTTAGGACCGGAACGATTGGACCGTGCTCACCGTGAGGCCGAAATGCAAATGAAAGAGGTCAAAGGCCTAATGTACCATTTGTCGCCGGACTGTCGCAACAACTACATGTCACTAGTTCAGGAGATTTACATTTGCGCCTACCACGTGCGCAAATGGCTAGCCGAACGAGGTCATCACATGAAGTCGAGGGACATTGTCGAGGCGACATACGTCATGGAACGGTCCAGACATTTGCATAATTTGCTGCGTGATTACCATTTTAAACTTCTCCAACGTAAACGCTAATGGGAGATACGAAGGATATTGATCATGTTTGGACATGTGGCTTCCTTAATCGTGTAGTAAACTTTGTGTGTATGTTTATTGTCAAGTTGTGTGTAGCTTTTGAATTTGGAGTCTTGCAATATTAAAATTTTTAAAATTCCTTCGAAATTGCGTTTTTTTGGAGGTATGGACAAGGACGGGGTATGAGATGTTACAGACACCTAGGTATGGATAGGCGAGGCTGTAATAAGCGGAAACCCATAGGGAAGCCCCTAGGGCTGACTTCCGGCTCGGCCTGAAAGTCAAGTCAAAAATCTCCTAGCCTTATCTTTAGCCATAGACCTACCCATACCCTTATATGTACCCATACTTACCCGTATCTCTTCTTCTACCTCTACCAATACATCTACCCCTACAATTACCCTTGCATTTGCCACTACCCTTTACCCCTACCTTTATCCCTGCCCTTATTCCTCAACCCTATTTATTTTCTGAACCTTTTGCCATTATTTTCCATATGATCACAAGACAATGTTGGGTGATTAATCACCTAAAATTATATTAGACTCTTTTATAAACAACATTTATTTACTTGTCAGCTGGGAGGGCCCATATAAACTTGTCGGCTTGGAGGTCTGATATAAGTTAGCCAGCTTAAAGAAAAAGATGTGTTAGCCAGCCTAAAAGATAATATAAGTCAGCTAATCTAAAGGCTAATATACGCTAATCAGTCTAGGGTTCATGGTTATATTGTTAAAGGATAATATGTGTAAATGTCTGAGCTCAAAGACAGTATAAACGTGACAGCCTCAAGTCAAAAGCCAATTCGAATCCAATTAACAAATTTGTTTTCGAAAACTGGTGACAATTGATAAACAAAGGTGCAGAATGTCACAAAGAAAACGTATTTTTGGAAAAACGATTGATTGGAAGGAAGAATTTTAGAAAAAAAGTTTGTTACATAAAATAAGTAAGTTGGAGGTCAAAATTACAGTAATCTTGAGCTAGACAGTAAACTTAAAGAAGTTGAAAAGCTAAATTAAAATTTTTGGTTTGGAAAGAAAGTTTTTGCCATTTTATGTTTTGTAAAGAAAGTTCTTGCAATTTTATGTTTAGTAAATAAACTTCTTGCCATTTTATGTTTTGTAAAGAAAGTTCTTGCCATTTTATGCTCCGTAAGGAAAGTTCACTTACATTAATCAAGTTAGAGTTCAAAATTACAGTAATGTTGATCTAGATATTAAATTTTGAAAAAAATATATCTTGTTACCTAAAATAATCAAATTAGGTGTAAAATACGGTGCTCGAGTTCTAAAAATAAAAACACAAATTTGAAAACAATAGATTTTTTTTGCATTCACCGCCAATAAGTGTCGTTATAGACAAAATTCGAAAGATTGATTTATGACTAGTCATGACTAAAACTTGTGACATTTTTAACCGCAAAAAGTGGCAAAAAACGAAAATTTTAGAAAATACTGATCCATCTTTAATCATTAGACTATAGGCATGGTCTAAAGCCCCTATCACTACCCTACCCCACCTTACCCTACCCTACCCTACCCAGCCCTACCCAACCCTACCCTACCCTACCCTACCCTACCCTACCCTACCCTACCCTACCCTTCCCTACCATACCCAACCCTACCCTATTCTACTCCACCCTACCCTAACCCATCTTACCCTACCTTTACCCAACCCCTAATATACGTTATCATACCTCACACTAGCCTTCCTCTCTACTACCATACACTGCGCAGTCTGTACCCTATTTTACTCTACAGTATCCGTATCCCTACCTACAACTTCTTCATCCTACTCTTTGTCTTATGGTTGACCTATTCTACTCTCATCTCTATCCTTTTCCCACACCTGTACCTACAATATGCTTCCTACCATACCCTGCGCAAGCTATAACCTATTTTATTATGCCATACCCCAACCAATCACAAAACTAAAAAACCTTCAAAAACCCTCAAAAGTCCGAAAAATTTTCCCTTATCATTACAATTGCAACTAAACGTGTGATAAGCCCCATTTACGAGTTCAAGTCCAGCTTCAAATGTCCATCGGACAATGTGACCTCTGTACCCGCAAACTAAAAAATGTTTCTAAATCGGTCAGTTGTAGGTCTTATCACGGGCGCCACAAGGGCGAGTTACACTTTATTTTATTGACAGATGTCAAAAAATGTGAACATTAGAGCATGGCTATTAAAAATGGCAGAGAAAAATGTATTTGACCATGAAAAAATGGCGAAACTATTGAAAGGGGATTTCAAATATCAAAAGATCAGTGATACATTTACTATTTTGAAATAAAAGGCTAGAAACACGCCTAAACCGGTAAAAAAAGACTGTAAAAAAGAAAGGCCGACTCATAAATAATATTATGAAGAAAAAATTTTATAGAACAGTAACCTTTCAATTTACATCAACACTGAAAGGAAAGCCCTAAAATTTAATTTAAAATTGAAAAAGAATACTAAAATCAACCGAAATATTAGTAAAAAAGAAAGTTCAAAATCTCTACTACAACGTACTACAATATTTTTTTAAAAAAATTTTCTTTATCATATCATAACGTATCTTACTCTTCCTTTTACTACGATATAACCGCTATAACATTTTAAACAGTATTTAACTTAATTTACTTTTACCTTCCCTTGTTTTGCCTTGCTTTGCTTTGCCTTATGTTCTGCGCTGTCCTGTCCTACCTTACCCTAAATGACCATACTCTAACTTCTACTACCATACATCTACTATAAATTACAAAAACACCCTAAGCTTCCTATTTTCCTCTCCAACCAAGCCTAAAAAACACCTTTTCCAAAAGCAAAATGTCTTTTACACTTTTTTCAAGTCCAACGCCTTTTACAATCAATTCCTTTTCACAATCGATAAAAACTCAAATTGACACTTCGGCCTGACTTTTTTATGCATCATACCCTCACAGCCCACTATAAAAGCCATGATGAAACCGAAACTCATCATTCAGTTCACAACTGTCTTCTCGACAATGAGAAGCTTTGTGTTCATTGCCTGCGCCCTTTTGGGTGCGACGGCCTTGAGCAGCTACAAGTCCCAGCACACCTATCGCTACCGATTCGACACTCAAGTCGCTTCGTCATTGCAAGGTGTTCAACATCAGAACTCGGCTACACGCCTTCGCGCTGAATTGTTGTCGGTTTTCACCTCGGACCGTCATGTTCAATGCCAATTAGAGAACATTAGAATTGGTGAAATGAATGGTAAGGCTGATTAAATTTAAAATTTTTGGCTGGATAAGGTCAAGTAAAATTTAATTTTTTCAAATTTTTTTTAAGTTTAAAATATTTTTTTAATTTTGGATTTTTTTTTAAATTTCAAAAAAATTTTTTAATTTTTTCAAATTTCGAAAAATTTTTAAAATTTCGAAATTAAACTAAAATTTTTTAATTAGTTTAAACCTTTAAAACTTTCAGCCGAAACCCGCATGGACCGTATGTTACCCTTCGAGCTGTTCCAAAAGCAAAGAATCCCAGAAGAAGTTCAACAAAAGCTTGACCTGCCCTTCGAGGTGGACTTTGTTGACGGCACTGTCGAACGCATCGCCTTCCACGAACAAGACTCGGCCTGGTCCAAGAACATCAAGCGTGCCGTGATCAACATGTTCCAAGCCAACCTGAAACGCTCCAACGTTCAGAACCTGAAGATGGAGAAGGTTGAAGAACAAACCCAATTCTTCACCATCCCTGAGATCACCGTTGACGGAGAATGCGAAGTCAGCTACACGATTCTGAAGCCAACCAACTGGGAAAATGATGGAGAACAATATGCTTTCAACGTGACCAAATCCGTCAACTTTGACAGATGCCAACGTAACGCTGACGTTCTCTACAACCACCGGCCTTCGACCTCTCAAGAACAGGAATGCCAGGATTGCATCAGAAACTTGGAGCTAAACTCTTTGGACCGTATCGAAGCCGCCAAGCACCAACAATGCCAACCTGAGTGCCGTGGTGACCGTGCCGACCAAGATATTCACCGTTCTACCGTGCACCGTCTCGAACTGAACGGCCAACCCGAGAAACGCTACGCTGTTCGCCGTGCTCAGATCATCTCCCAATACTTGGTTAGAGCCGTGAACCCAGCCGAAGAGAACACCGTCGCTCAAACCATCGCCATCTCGGAAGTCAGCTTCATCAGCGAGACTAAGGAGACCCAAAAGCTGAAGATCAAGTCAGCCCAGCAAGAGGAGACCCTTATGTTCTCGGCCGAATGGGATCTTTTGGAGAAGCGCTTCTACATGTACGGTGACGAAGAGTTCCCGGAAAAGAAGCAACAGCCTTTCGGCAAAGTCACCATGAAGACTCAGACCGCCATCAACGCCTTGAAACACTTGAAGAACCAATGGGAAGACAGGAAGTTGGGCTACGAACTCGACTCCACTCAACACTTTAACGAACTCGTCCAAGTCATCCGCCAATCCTCGATGGAAGACCTGAAGAAGATGGAGGAGAAGATCGAGCAGATCAACGAAAAGGACGATCAAGTCCGCTCCTTCTTCCACGATGCCTTGGCCGTCGCCGCCACTCGCAACACTTTGAGATTCTTGATTGAGAAGATCGAGAGAAACGAGATCTCTGACATCCGTGCCATGCACATGCTCAAGACCTTCGGCCGCAACCAACACAGCCCATCTGACCGTCAAACCGAATTGTTTGAACGTTTGGCCAAGAAGTTGAGCCAAGAGAACCGCTCCAGCGGCCTTAAACAAACCGCCTGGCTTCAATTCTCGGCCTCGGTCGCTCGCATCTGCCAACAACGCCCAAGCCAGACAAGCCGCTCGTTGTTCCGTCAACAAGAGTTGTGCTCCCAAGGGAAGAGAGAACAATACCAACAGACTCTGTACCAACTCTTGGACAACGCCGAGACTATGTACCAAAAGACCCTGGCTTTGAAGTGCATTGGCAACGCTGCTTTGGAAATCACCATCCCCCGTTTGGCTAAGATCCTGAACGACAAAAGACAGCCAACTTTACTCCGTATTGAAGCCATCGACGCTCTCCGCCGTATGCGCTCCACCATGAGCCAAAATATTCAAACCCTTTTGATGCCAATCTTCTTGAACCAACGTGAACAACCTGAAGTCCGCATGAGCGCCTTCTCCATGTTGATGCACACCCGCCCACAGAAAGCCATCCTCGACCAGTTGACCATGCCCATGATCATGGAACGCTCTCAACAAGTCAAATCTTTCGTTGTTTCGATCGTTGAAGCCTTGACCAGCTCTCCATTGGCTTCGGAACGCCGTTTGGCTAGCCAAATTCAAGGTTCACTGAAGATGATCAAGGCCGACAGTCAATACTGGACTCGTCGTGCTTCGGCCGCCCTCAGAATCCCAGTCTACGTCGCTCAACAAGAGGAAGCCGAAGAGAGAGACTTGATCTTCCGTGTAGCTTCGATTGTAGCCCCAACCAACGTTCTACCAATCCATTTGTGCGCTTCCTTGAGAGCCGCCTTGAACGGTCACGCTTTGGATGAAACCCTGAGCCTTCAATTCAACCAAAAGAACTTGGAACAGTGGTACGAGCGTGCTTTGGCCATGATCGACGATTCCGAATCCCAAGAACGTTACGGTCAAAAACTGAGCGCCAACCTTTACAAGGGTCTTGGCATCAAGAACCGCCGTCACGGTGTCTACTGGATGTCCGACGATGAGGAAACCACCACCGAACAACGCAACCAACCCTACGGAATGATGGTCCTCCGTGTCAACGAGATCGACCAATGGATTCTGCCAATCGAAGAGACCTCTTTGCCCGGAATCATCCGCAAATTGTTAAACGGTGAGAAGCCAAACATCAAGGAGCTTTTGCAAATCCTCCGCGAACTCCAATCCGACCGCCACTACAACGCCCACACCGCCACCAACTTGTACGAGAAGAAGACCAAGATCGCCACCACTTCTGGTCTGCCATTGGCCGTAATCTTCGAAAAGACTTTGGTCGCTTCAACTTCTGGTCAATTGAACATGAAACCCGAAGCCAGAAGTCTCAGAATCCGCGCTCACTCCTCTGCCATTGCTACTCACTCAATGAGAACCGAGGTCTGGTCCCCAGTCACCGTGTCTGGAGTCGAATCCCACCGGACTTTCGAACTTTCGGCCCCAGTCGACTTTGAGCTGAAGCAGGAGAAGAACGCTCTTGCCTTGACCATCCGCATGCCAGAGAAGAGCGAAAGCCGTGTCATGGGAATCCACGTTTTGCCCGTCACCTACACCCGTTTGTTCAGCTGGACTGACAAGACCTACAAGCCAATGCGTTTGCAAGCCGTCCACAACTACGAGCTGGCCCCAATGCAACGCGTCTACGAACACGAAGCCGGTAGCTTCCGTACCGAAGGCCATGTACACATCATCAAGGACTCGAGACTGTTGGTGAAGGCTTTGTACACCACCGAAAACAACGTCCACGTCTACTACAAACCTCAAGCCACCTCCGTGCAGAAGATCGTCCTCCGTGTCGAAGGAAAAAGCTTCGAACGTGTTGACAAGATGGCTGCCGCTGAAGAGATCAACAACTTCTACTCTCAATCCAAGTTTGACGAGTACGAGACCGAAGAGAACCAACAGTACTACCAACAAATGGGCTTGGAATCTGATGAGAAGAGAGAGAAGAACTTGAAGAACTACCTCAAGAAATACACTCCACGTGACGCCTACAGACACGAACTCAGACTTATTGCTCAAATCTATGCCGCCGAAGAGACTCGTGAGTACACCAGCCAAATCGGAGGTCAATGTGATGCCCGTCTTCGCCACTGCAACGTCGAAATGACCGCTGACAACTCGTTGAACGAGAAGACTCAATGGTCAGTCCGCTCCAAGGCCCAACTGGTCTTGCCCGAGATCCTCCGTGCCGATGAATCCAGCGATGAGAAACAGACTCGTATGTTGATCAGCTGGAACACCGAATGGAACACTCAATCCCAAGATGAACAGAACATCAACGTCCGTATTCAAGCCGAGCCAACCCGCGTCTTCAGATGGATCAAAGATGAAGAATATGGCATGAAGAAGACCTCTGACAGCCGCTCTAGATTCTTGAACAAGATCGACATGCTCTGCAAGTACAACTTGAACAAACAGAACCAACACGCTCTCCGCAGCGTCTACGAACTGTTGAAGGCTCGCTTCTTCTGGACCTTGTCTTTGCAATCCACTGAACACAAACCCCAACAAGTTCGTGCCACTTTGATTGTTGACCCAGTCAGCCGTCAGGTCGCCAACCTCACCATCCGCACCCCAACTGAAGTCGCACGCGCCGACAGCATGGTCTTGCCATTCAAGTTCTCTGGATTCCAATTGGAACGCCGCCCAATGAACATCAAGTCCGCTCACCACATCGTCCGCGCCCTGTCTTCAGCCGCTTCCATGGCTGAATGCCGTGCCGATTCTCGCCGTATCCGCACCTTCGATGGTGTTGACTACAAGGCTCCATTCACCTCATGCTGGTCGGTTTTGGCCAAGGACTGTTCTCGTGACGAGCCCCGCTTCTCCGTTATGATGAAGAACGGCGAGGAAGAGTACAAGACCGTCAAGATCGTGACCCTCGACCACGTTATCGAACTGATCGGACAAGAATCCCGCACCTTGATCAAGGTCAACGACAAGACCGTTGATGATGAAGAACAGCTGTACAACTACGGAATCGAAAAGACCTCGGAGAAGAAGTTTATCGTTTCAGTTCGTGGAATCACTGTTCAGTTCGACGGCCGTCACGCCAAGGTTCAGATCAGTGGAATGTACAAGAACTTGCAATGCGGTCTCTGCGGCCACTACGACAACGAAGAGGACTCGGAATTCAGAATGAGCGACAACAGAGTTGCTGACAACTTGAAGGAGTTCCATCAGTCATACACTCTGAAGAACAAGGAATGCCAAGATTCTTTCGACAAATCTTACAAAAACGACGATGAATTCCGTACCTACAGACAACAAAGACGAGGTGACTACTCTTCGGAAGACAGCTATGAGTACGACAACAGTGACTATGACAGAAGAGGTAGGTTTGGAGGGTTTTGGAGGAGGATAAAGCAAGACAATCTCACATTTTCTAACTAGAACCTCAAGTAAACCATACTTTTTCAAATTCCCTGACTTAAACCTAAACCCTAAAACTCTAAAATCAATACCTAAACCTACTAACCTTCCCATCTTCAGACAACACCTTGGTCAAGCGCACCGTAGTCCAAGAGATGAAGCACAAGCTTTGCTTCTCCCTCTCACCCGTCTCCCAATGCCCACGATCCCAGTACGCCGACGATGACGCGGCCAAGAAGACCGAATCTGTCGACTTTGCTTGTATCGACCGGTCCGAACCAGAAGCCCGCCGCTACATGAACTTGTTGAAGCGCAACAACGTTCTGTCTCAAGCCAAGGACATGAAGAAGACCATGAGCATGGAGATGGAGCTCCCAACCCGTTGTATCACGGCGTACTGAGCATTTACTTAACAGTAATTTACTGTGCATTTATATAACAGTAATTTACTGAGCATTTAAGTTACAGTAATTTACTGTGAATTTACCTTACAGTAATGATATTTTTCATCCTAGTCTAATTTTGTAGCTTACTGTAACTTTTCTAAACACCTTTATAGTACTAAAAATTTTTTTATCTTACTCTTACTTTACCGTAAGTTTAAGTAAATACCATAAAACCCTTCTAAAAATACGTCGTATCTTTCCAGTAAGACTCTATAAAGTTGTAACCGGCAGTTCCTATGGATAACATAGATGATGACCAGATCCCGTCTATTTACCATCCGTTTTTACATTACATTCTGTTACAATATTCTTTGTTTTCTTGTTTTATAACTTGTTTATCGATTAATAAATCATCATGCATTATTATTTTGGAAATTTATTTACCCTACTCTATTCTACCCTACTCTACTTTATCCTACCCTACGTTACCGTAACGTACCCTATCTGGAGCTTCTCCAACATACCGTACCCTACCTTATCCTACGTTACCTTACCCTACATTACTTTACTCTACACTGATATACCTCACCCTACTCGTAGGTTACGGTAGGATAGGATAAAGTAGGGTATGGTAGAATAGAGCAGCGTAGACTATATTTAAGTCCGGTAGTTTAGTGTAGGGTATGGAAAGATAAAGCCAAAAAAGCAACCACAAATTTAAATCCAAACAAACTATAAACCAAAATATGTCTTTTTTAAACTTTTTATAAAAAACTAAACGAAAGTTCATTTTATATGTAGCATATAGTTTTGTACATTCACCGGAAACGTGCCAACTTGAACATAAAATTTAGAAGGAAAGTCTCAAAAAACCTTTTGCCTACTTATTACTTTGTTCAATAGTTACTGTTTTTACAGTATCTTAATAATTTTGTTAATTACTTAAATAATTCTGTGCCCCCTCTCAAAGCAAATTTTCGGGGGTTAAAGTAGACATGAAAAACGGGTCGGCCTTGAGCAAAATTTGGATCGGGGCCCGGCCTAACATTCAGTCCCGGCCCGTTTCTCATGTCTAGGTTAAATGGCACAGAATTATTTGATCAACCTAAGTTGAGAGTTCGATGAAGCCTATAGAATAGTATTTTCACGTTTACTTTAGTAGTAATTTACTTTGTCAAGCGTTTTTCAACATCATTTTTAATAAAAAATAGTTGGCTGTTATATCAAATCTTCTAGAAACCCAACGGCTATTTTAAAATTTACGTGAAACCCGTGAGAAATTCGACAAAATTCCTATGTGACTTGCAATAACAATGCTGTTAAAGACTATAAGAAAGCATGGTTTTTGAATTTGATATCTTGTTTTTATAGGCTGACACATGTTTTACACCTACAACCGTTTTTTTTACCTAATTTTCTTGTAACTAGACCTGTAAATAAGGTTGTGAAACAGGCCAAGCCCACCCCGTTTTCGATTTTTTCTCAGGCCGGCCCAATCAAAAAAAATTCTAGGCTCGGTCGTGCGGCCTAGACTGGGCCCTTAATTTGAGCCAGGCCCAGCTAGGGTTAAAAAACGGGCCGTGTATGCCGATTCCTGCAGTTGGGCCGGCTTTGAGCTAAAGTTGAAACGAGCCGGGCCTAAAAGTTATGTAGGCCTGGGCCAAAAATTTTTTTAAAACGGGCAAAGGCCGAGCCTAGAGCTTGTTTGAGCGGGCCAGCCTCAGAAAAATGAAAACGGGCCGGGCTTAAAAGGTTAGGTATCAAACCCCCAAACGTGGACCCACACCGGCCCGTTCCTCACTCCTAGGCGCAACCCGAGCTTACTGGGCCCCCTTACAGGTCTACCTACAAATGTTGTTTTTTTGTTTTTGTCTCATTTCTTTGTAACCCCGTATTCTACATTATTTTTCAGAAGCCTACAATGAACTTCACAATTCTTATCCATATTGAACATCCTTATAAGTGCTATCTTTAATAGCAAAATTTTTCTCTATATTTTGAAACCTATTGTGACCTGTATTACTATATCAAAGCTAAAGGTCAAGCCTAGTGCAACCTACATTACTCGACAAAACCTTGAAGTCATGGTCAATATGAACCTCTACCACACCTCAAATTTCAATGACATACCTTTCAAAATAATCATCATCATGTTTACATTGTCACTGTTCACACAACCAACTAATACTCAAACTTATGACGGAAAGACATTCAACAGAAATGATTGTGAAAAGACCAAAGGATGCCTATTCCATCCGCCTAAATGTAAACTCTACAATAACTGTTACTACGCTTTTTCGTATGTCACTGACAGTAATCGACTGTATATGGAAATATATGGCAACTTAAACTATGTTCAAGCCGACTATGGGGCTTATGTGGCAGTCGGGTTTTCGACTGATGAACTTATGGTAAGAGCTAGCAGTTATATTAGGTCAAAAACTTTTTTTAGGGTATGGATACTGTAACAGAATGCAGCAGCTTCCAAGGACGACCATTCCAAGGTCGATTATCCTCAAACCCAGGCAAAAGTAACCGCAGAGTTACTGTTGATGAAGTAAGTTGCCTATACCTCATTGAGTTTTCCCTACAGTCTTATATCTACCTCTACAGTTTCACCTCGAATAACAAGAGCCTTATATAGGACTCTGAACTAGGCTCTGGCCTAGAGCTCTCAGCTAGGGTCTTGGGCTAAGACTTTGGGCTAGTGCAATGAGGTAGGGTTCTAGGCTAAGGCTCTGAACCTTATTTTGCGCCTCTAAGCCAATTTATAACAAAATCCAAACTTAACCCAAAGCCTACTACAAAATCGCTCCTAATCATTTTCCAGATCAGCCATGACATAATGTTGCAAACAATATCCTCTCATTACTCAAACAAAACCTTATATTGCTTACTATCCCAATCCATATACCCTATAAACGGAATTAAAGATTATTATGTTCGACCATTAAATGAAGAGTACTTTCTATTGTTTGCTTCAGGCCTAACTGATGGTGAAGGTAATTTTGCTGTTTTATAGTGAAAAAGGTTGCTCGCATTAGGCTTATGATCAATATTAAGCTAGCTAAACATCTTTTGTTGCTTTTTAAACAGAAACCATATCAAAAACATGGGTTTACACTGCCTTTTAGCCATGGATAACATAATTTACCGTTACTTTTTCAAGATTTTACCCAAATCTTAAATGTAATGACATAACTTCGCATTATAAAGCTTTTACCACTCTCTAAACTACGTATCCCACCCAATTTTAGACCAATGTTTACATTTTACATGGTATATTAACAGGATTTCCGCTTCAAAACATCAAAATTCAGGCATTTAGCCAAAAGAAACGTTTTTTTTAAATTCCTTAAACTGCTGACGTCCAATACCATGTTTTAGAGTTGGTGGTACATGCACTAGATGTCAAATTGTCCAATTTTCCATTTGTCACACAACATCCAGTCAATTTGAAGGCTTTTCATGCTGATAGTAAGTTGAGATCTACTATAATAAAGTTGTATGTGATGAACCAAAAAACTTGCTACTCCGGTATTTTACCAAGATTTTATTAATGTCCAGCAGCTTTTCAACCAATAATTGGCGAAAAAAAGACAGTAAAACGTCCAAAATTGATCATAGTTATATTATCCATGATGCCAGACCTAAAAATCAAACAAAAACAATAAAAATTACCTTTCCAGATCTCGCTGATCTGTTTAACAGCACATCCTTGAGCAGTTTCAATACCACTGACATTGGAGAACCTTCGGAAGGCAGTTTCAACAAGTCTGCCAAGGTTTTGAGGATGGATTCGACCATTGACCACGCCACAGAAAGTCACAGAAGTGTTCGTGACCGGCAACAAGAAGGTGTCCATTTTCAAACCAGAATTAGGCTTACCACAGCTCATGGTGAGGATAAAAATGGCTATTAGAGTTTTTATTAGGTTTATCCGGGGAGGTTTTGAAGTTGTTACCTAAAAAGATAAAAATTACAGCAAAATTAATTGAAACATCATTAGTGGCATAAAATAAGGTTAAGGTTACAAAGAAAAACTTGTACATGATTTAAAATTGTTATAAAAGTTCTAGAACGCTATATTCAAAAAGTTTTATCTTCTTTCACATCTTTCGACCATGTACAACACCAAAATACATTATTCCTTGGGCAAAAACAATAAAATCTTTAAAAAATAATCCAAAAATGACCTGTGGCGTATTTTACAACAAATAACTCTATAAATTACCTAAATATGTCGCCTTTACATCAAAAAGTTGTTCAAAATCTTGGAAAATAATAATTTTCCCTTTTTCAAGCAGCGCCCGCACTCTGCAGGCTGCACAAAGTTTTTTTATGGCAAGAACTTTTAATGTAGCAAAGCCTAAACGATAATTAGTTTTTTAGTATTTAGGGTATATGAAACTAATTTTTATTACATTGACATCATTTTAGGTATCACAATGTGCTTTTCATGGTTAGTGTTGGTACCTTTAGCAATATTGATAGCAAGATACGGGAGGAGAATATGGGGACCAGACAAACGGCTGCTCAATGTTCCGATTTGGATTCATGTGAGTTTATTATTGTTTTCTGTTACCTAAAATTGTTTTGAAATGTATTTTTGTAAAATATGACACACCTAACTTTAATAAATTCAGTGTCATCGCTTGTGCAATATATTGGCCTGTGTTATCATGACATTTTCAACTGTAGCCATCTTCGCGGCGCATGGTTGGCATTGGCATGGGTTGGAATTTACTCATGTAAGTTTGTTTTACCATAACTAATTATATTTCCTTAAAAAGCCTTTATTTACAAGGCTTTTTCATCAAAAATGTCATGGATAATATAAGATTTCTAGCTACAACTCAAAGTTTATGTATTTTTAGGTAACAAAGCTTTTTCAAATTTAAAGCAAATGTATTTTAGGGCTCAACGTTGGATTTGCATGGGTTTCTGGGTTTATTTGCGGTCATATTCGCTTGGTCACAAGTTTTGAATTCGATTTTTCGCTGTAAATTGGGTAGCTCGTTAAGAAAGTGCCATAACTTTTTGCACAGGACAGTGGGATTGGTCACTGTGATTTTGGGATGTAAGTTGGACTTTACTGCTTATATTGTTATCAATTTTGTGACTTTTGAGCTGCTGGTACACTTGGTACAGGGCTTCAAAGTTGGGGTAGTCTGATTTTTGAAATTTGAAGTTATTTTCATTCATTTGATTTAAAATGGGGGAAAATGACTGTTTTATGACAAAACATAGTTATAATAAGACAAAACAAAGATTATTCTTCAAGATTAACACAAGATTGTTTTAGATACAACCCTAGGCTTAGCAATATGGAGCATTTTTGTTGAATCCGCCGCCATCAAAGTGGCTTATGTAATATACCTTGTGGTAATTTTTGGAGCTGTAGCTATGCTTGAACCTCTGAAATGGAAGTTATATTGTCAACGACGTAGACAACAAGTCCAGATATCTGAAAAAGAAACCAAAAAGCCGGCTGGCAATATCGCGGTGGTCAAAAAAAGAATGGCAAGGAATGCGGCGCAGAAGAAGCAGGAGGCTATGGTAATTTTAAAAATTCAAAAAATAAAAAAATATGTCTATGGCATAAAATTCCATGTTTTTTTAAATTTTATAAAATTTCAAAAAAAAATTTTTTTTAATTTTAGGTAAGACAATTTCAACGGGTAACGATAGCAATTTGTGCGGTTATGGCTACAACAATAACAATATTGATTGATGCTGCGATTATTTTAAGAGAAACATTTTAGAATAAAATGTTTGATTGGCCACTCGTATTTTACAATAAACTAATTAATTTAGCCTAAAATTTGGAAGAATTTTCAAAAATCAATAGTTGACATTTCGTCACACAGAGTAAACTTGTCGAAAACACAATAACTTTTATAAATTGATCGTTGACATTTTGTCACAATATTAAAATTTATTTTTTGAACACTGTTGTAAAATCAATAGTTGACATTTCGTCACAAGAATTGTATTTAGCAAAAAAACTTAAAAATTATAAAAAAACAATAGTTGTTTGAAAAACCGAAAATACAATAGTTGATGTTTCGTCACAAGTATTTACATTATTAAAAATCCAAAAATTTTCAAAAATCAATAGTTGAAATTTCGTCACAAGAATTGTATTTAGCAAAAAAACTTAAAAATTATAAAAAACAATAGTTGTTTGAAAAACCGAAAAATCAATAGTTGATGTTTTGTCACAAGTATTTACATTATTAAAAATCCAATCATAAACCACTTCGAAAGCTTTGAACTTACTTTTTTCGGTTTTTTTAAAATTGAGTTATTAGTAATAAAATACGGCGGAGAAACAACTCTGTACCATTAATTTTTGAACAACGCGGCGATCTGAGGCATCGCTGACGCATAATATCAAAATTAACTCAGCTATGCCAACATCTTGCCTGGTCGTTCAAAAATGAATTTTTTTGTAATTGTAGTAGTAATAGCAGTAGTAATGAGAATAGTAGGTTTAGTACTGTAGTAAATATGTAATAGAAGTATGTAGGTAATAAAAATGAATTCTTGTTTCATAGGCTAGGATACCCTACCGTACCCTACCTTACTCTATCTTACCCTACTCTACCACACCCTAAAATATTATACCCTTCCCTACCCTACCTTACCCTACCCTACTTTACCCTACCCTACCCTACACTACTTTACCCTACCCTACTTTACCCTACCCTACCTTACCCTACCCTACTTTACCCTACCCTACCCTCCCCTACCTTACCCTACCGTACCCTACCTTACCCTACTCTAGCCTATCCCAGACCCAAGCACTAGCCTCAGCAACTGCCCAATCCCAGCTCCAGCCCTATCTTACAGCCCTAGTCCAAGTCCAAGTCGTAGCTCTAGCTCAACCCCCAGCCTCATCCCCAGCCCTTGCCTCAATCCGAGTCCCAGCCCAGAGCCTAATTCTAATTCCAAAGCGAAGTCCAAGCCATAGCTTTAGCCCCCAGACCTCCATTTCTAGCCCTAGTCTAAACTCATACCTACTCTCAAGTCCAAGCCCAAGCTCACTGTTTAGCCTAAACCTACGTCCAATCTCAATCAAGTAAGTCCTAGCCTTAGCCGTAGCTCTAGCCCGGGACCTAGCCGTAGCATTAATTTTAGCCATAGTCATATTCGTAGCTTCAAACCTAGCCTACCTTACCACTATCGACATGCTTTTATGCTACCTTATTCTACTTTGCTTTCAGCTCAATAATAACATCTTCTAACCCCTCTCCAATCCCACCTCGAAACCAGCGTCTTTGCCAGGCCCGTATCGAAAAACCGCTCGACAGTGTTTGAAAAATTGAGAATTTTGAAAAAAAAAATTGTTCTGCTTGGGAGTCCATTCTTTCCGCAAACACAACTTGGTGGTGTTTGCGTGGAACGAAGAGGACCAAGGTGTGCAAGGAGGACAGGTTTGAATTCCTTCTTCTTCTTCTTCGCCTTCTAACTAACCCCATCCTGTGTGGAGGGGGGATTCGCGGGCGGTCCCGCTGTTTTTTCGCGGAGAAATCGGAGAATAGCAAAGTAAAAGTATCCGCTGAAATGCTAAATAGATACGATGCTCAGCCAATGAAAGTGTTGTGGGAATGTCATGGAGCGTGGAGCTTACAAAATGTTATAGTAGAGAGATGAAGCTTAAATAACGTTATAGTAGACAGATGCAGGTTTTTAAAGGTTACAGTAGAAAAGTGAAGTTCAAAAAATGTCATGGTAAAGAAATAAAGTTTGTAAATTGTTGTTATAGAGAGATAAAGCTTAATGTTGTAGTAGAAAGGCAAAGCTTAAAAAAATGTTATACAAGAGATAAAGCTTTTGTAGAGCTAAGTTAATATCATAGTCAAGTTAATAGAAAGAAAAGTCGTACAATGTCATGGTAAAGAGACACGGTGCTTGTAGCAACTCATGATAAAGATATAAAACTCAGTTACGGTTATGGCTATGGTAAAAACATATGGCTTGTATGACTTTTTAGACCTAGCCTTAACGTAATCTTAAGACAAACCATAAGCCTATGCACATGTTTATGGTTATCTTTTGGCTAAGGCTAGAGCAAGGGCTATGACTATGGCTATCACTATGGCTATGGCTAGGACTAGAGCTCTGGGCTAGGGCTGTGGGCTAGGACTCTGGGCTAGGGCTCTGGGATAGGACTCTGGGCTACGGCTCTGGGCTAGGGTTCTGGGCTAGGGCTCTGGGCTAAGGCTCTGGGCTAGGGTTCTGGGCTAGGGCTCTGGGCTAAGGCTCTGGGCTAGGGTTCTGGGCTAAGGCTAAGGCTAAGGCTAAAGCTAAGGCTAAGGCTAAGACTCTGGGCTAGGGCTCTGAATTAGGGCTCTATGCTAAAACTATCGGCTAAAGCTCTGGGCTACGGCTCTGGGCTACGGCTTTGGGCTAGGGTTCTGGGCTAGGGCTCTGGGATAGGACTCTGGGCTACGGCTCTGGGCTAGGGTTCTGGGCTAGGGCTCTGGGCTAAGGCTCTGGGCTAGGGTTCTGGGCTAGGGCTCTGGGCTAAGGCTCTGGGCTAGGGTTCTGGGCTAGGGCTCTGGGCTAAGGCTCTGGGCTAGGGCTAGGGCTTTTGCTTAAGTTCTAGCCCTAGTTATAGCTCGTACACAGATCTAGCTTTCGTTCTAGCCCCTAGGCTTTAACCCTACCTTACTTCTCCCATAGTACCAATTCTTTCCACTTCCCACTACTCTTTCCATACCTCTTCAAAGACTTGAGGTAGGTGCTTCTTCAGCCCTTTTTAAACCATGTCTAAAATTCGTTTAAAACAGTAATAACTGAACTCCCACCCACAATATACCCTAATACACCCTTTAAACTATGTTCCCATACATATATACCTCTTATCTATATGCATATGTATTTATACCACTGCTCGTGTAATCCACTCTCGGTTAAGCCCGCAAATCCACGCCCGTTTCGTTTTTTCTTCTCACGGTTCCTAAAGCCGGCTTCTAGAGATTAATTAAAAGGTTAAATTAATATTTGATAACAACCAAACAGGATTACATTCGGGAGTGGTGGTGTAAAAAATAGAGTGTGTTGTGAAATGATTATGTAGTAATACAGTGTGTTCAGTAAATGTAATGTAAAACATATAAAAGCTGATATCATCCTAGCTCTAGCTCAGAGCTTTAGACCAGAGCCCTAGCCCAGAGTCTTAGCCCAGAGCCCTAGCCCAGGGTCCTAGCCTTAGCCTTAGCTTTAGCCTTAGCCTTAGCCTTAGCCTTAGCCTTAGCCTTAGCCTTAGCCTTAGCCTTAGCCTTAGCCTTAGCCTTAGCCTTAGCCTTAGCCTTAGCCTTAGCCTTAGCCTTAGCCTTAGCCTTAGCCTTAGCCTTAGCCTCAGCCTTAGCCTTAGCCTTAGCTTTAGCCTAGCCGTTAGCATTAACCTTAGCCTTCACTTTAGTTCTAGTCTAATCACAGGCCCTAGGATTAGCCTTAGACTTACTCTTAACGTCATCAGTAGTCCTGTTCCATTCATAGACTCTAGCTCTTCTAGTCTAAAGATATTACAAAGAAGTCTTATAATATCTTTAGACTAGTCTTGAACTTGAAGACCAGGCATTGTGACCAAGTAGGCATGAGGGACAGGCCGAGCCGGGCCCAATTTTCAAGCCCGTTTGATCAAAATTTTGCTCAGGCCCGGCCCGAATTTTGTGCACGTGGAAGCGAGCCAGGCCCGGTCCAAGCCTTGACTTCAGACCCGGCTCGTTCCTCATGTTAGAGCCAAGCCTAAGCCTAAGTCTAAGCTTAACACTTCAAAACCAACGAACCAATACAATAACCTAACTGAATTTCGCATATTTACTGTAATACACCGCGTATAAAACACACTTTGGGGCCAGAAAAGTAAAGATAATACGGAGAACACAAACGTAAAGTAAAGAAGCCGAAGCCGTGTAATTAGCTAGTCTGACGGCCCAATTGTAATAACTAATAACAAGAGTCGGATTTTCAGCAGTAAATAACAACCGCAGTAGTAATTTCGCGGTTCAAAGGTCGTTTTCTCGTAAAGTGTGCCGTAATTTATAGGTTCAAGGAGTTTTACTGATATAGGCTGGCTAAAATGGCATGGGTAATATAGGCATATTTGGTCGTATGGTGTCTCCTAATGTTACAAAATGATAAAAATGACTAAACAGTGTTTTTATAGAAGCTTTAGGTCAGTTTTTGTCAAAACAAAAATTTTTCTTGACAAGGTGACATGTTATACGATTAAACATGTTCAGCATTTTTCATCGTATAACATGTCACCCAATGTTTAAAATTACTAAAAATTTGTAAAAAATAAGTTTGAATATTACTAATATATTAAATTTTATCAAAATTTACCATTTTTTTTAAAGCGACATGTTATACGATCAAATATGCAAGCTGAATTTCATGTCAAATATGTTTCATCGTATAACATGTCACTTTGTGTGCAAAAATACTTCAAAATTGTAAAATACAAAATTAAATAGTACTGTTACTCTAGATTTTAGCTAAAATTATTTTTTCTTTGTCAAGGCGACATGTTATACGATGAAACATGTTAAACATGTTTGCTCTTATAACATGTCACCTATTGTTTAAAAAAATTTTAAAATTGTAAAAAATTGGTTGAAATAGGACAATTACTCCAATTTTTATCTAATTCTTTTTTCTTTTTGTTATAGCGACATGTTATACGATGAAACATGTTGAACATGTTTGATCGTATAAAATGTCGCTCTTGACAAATTGTTTGGAAATTAATGTAAAATACGAAAAATTAAAGTTCTTGCATAAAAAATATTTTTTTTTGATTATTAATCGGCCAAACCCCCAAGGGCAATGGCCTAGGACAAGCAAAGCCGGGCCAATGTAACAAATCCTCTCGACCGGTCGTAAAACTCACGCTAATTGATCGTAAACAGCTCGTAAATTGCTTATGCTTGCGGTGGATGATTATTGAGACTTTGGAGTAGTAAGCGACTTACAATTGTATAAATTACATTACCTATAATGCAATTAGATAATTGAATATGATAAGGCTATTACTGGTCAAATTACAATCAAGGCTTCGAAATTATTACGATTACAACAGAAGACAAAGTACTGTAGTGCAGTGGAAAAGTAATGGCTTTTTTCTATCTTCTGATTTTCAAAAAATGTTTTGAAAATTTAAAATCTTTCTTTGTTAAAACATGTTTCATTGTATAAAATGTCACCTGTTCATAATGAAAAGGAAAGACCTTGGTTTTTTAGTACATATGGCAAGAACTTTCTTTACAGATCTTGAAAAAATTCATTTTTGGTAAATTTTGCCACTGCAGGCTGCGGGTGACATGTTATACGATGGCACAGTGAATTTGCTGTAAAAAATATAAAATGGCAAGAACTTTCTTTACAAAACACAAAAATGACAAGAAATTTCTTTACAAGTCATAAAATAGCAAGAACATTCTTTACAAAACATAAAAAGTCCGCTTTTTAAACAAAGGTTATTGCAAAAGGCGATCCTGCAGCCTGCAGTCGTAGGGCGCAAACTGAAAAACTGAAGTTTTAAAACAAATAGCGAAAACTTTATTTACAACATAAAAAATAGCAAGAACTTTCTTTACAAAGCATAAAGTTGCAAAAACTTTTTTTACAAAACATAAAATGGTGAGAACTTTCTTTACAACGCATAAAATGGCAAGAACTTTCTTTACAAAGCATAAATTACTGAAACAACTTTCTTTACGAGGTTTAAATGAAGCCATTCCCCTTACACACACCTAATGTAATATAATAAAGGCGAAAAGCTGGGCCTCAACGAAAGTGGCCAAATAGAATAAACCACCTTTTTTAGGTCGGGCCAAGAATGTTTGTCCAGGAAGGTGCTTTTCCAGAGTTTTTTTTTGTGCCAACTCTTTTTGGTTATGGCAAACGAATAATCTTTTTTCGGCCTTAATTTGGAGTGTGGCGGCCGAATTATAAAAAAAAAATAAGCGGCCTGCTGTGCAGAGATTTTGAGCAAATTTTAATGGTTTTTGAACATTTAAAAATTTTTATTTTCTTTCTCAGGCTAAAATACGAAATAAAGCCAAAAAATGAAGTAAAATACGATGAACCACATTTTTGGATTTTCATGCCTGCGTCCTATGTTCGCAGGCTGCAGCATCACGTTTCCCTGCAATCTTTGGAGAAAAATGAACATTTTGCGTGTTGTAAAGAAAGTTCTTGCTATTTTTGTTTTATAAAGAAATTTCTTGCTGTTTTTTGTTTTGTAAAGAAAGTTCTTGTTGTTTTATTCAAAATTTAAGTTTTCAGTCTGCGCCCTACGTTCGCAGGCTGCAGGGCCAACTTTTTCCGCGATTTATCGGAAAAAGCGTTTTGTCAAGCATGTTCTTGCCGTTTTTTAATTCGTAAAGAAAATTCTTGCTATTTCAGGTTTTGTAAAGAAAGTTCTTGCCAGTTTATGTCTTGTAAACAAAGTTCTTGCCATAATCATCACAAAATTCTCGTTCTTTATCTTATCCTGCACGGTTTATTACTCTTGTTGTACTGTAATGTAATTACAGAAATGTCATAGAATTAATCTTTTTTTCAAATACTTATGGACAACAACAGATTTAGTACAGGATTAGTACGGGCGATTAAGCGTCTAGAATAGTCAATTAGGAAGCCTCAAGGTGTATATTTTTGGTATTTTTACAGTTTCGATTCAGAAAAAGCTTACTGTAAGTTTTGGTGTACAGTAGGTTTGAAAATGGAAAGGTAAGCCTCAAATCGCAAGAACTTTCTTTACAAAAAAATGGCAAGAACTTTTTTTACAAATCATAAAATCGCAAGAACTTTCTTTACAAGTCTTGAAATGACAGAAAAATCATGAAAAATCCACCCCTCTTCCCCCCCCTCCATATATACTACATCTATACATATTAGGTATCCTCAAAATAATCCACCACCTTCACCTATGAGCCATACCGTCACCATATCCCACCCCATCAACCACTGCCAATGCCAACCCAAGACAATAGACTAATGTAAATAATCTTGTCTGGGTACCGAACAGGTCAATCGGCCCTCCTCACTGAATGGGTTTGGCCCCCACCCGAACTTCAAACAATCCGCCCCCCTTTCAGTGTTTGTCTTAACAACGCCGCGAAAGGATCAGCCTTTTTTAACCTACCTACTTATAATCAGAAGCCATAAGCCGGGTTACGGTAGCTCTTAATAGTCACTTTAAAATATTAAAAGATAGATTGATTTTACTGGCTGTAAAGTTGACTTATTGCACGGTAAAGGCTTGGAAACGGCCTGGTAAAGCTATTTTTTGGAAAAAATGCCATTTTTTATTAATACCTTGTTGAAAAAGTTACATTTCTATCTTCGTATAGGTTGTAGGATATCTTTTTTATAATTTTTTACTATTAATATTACCTAATTTTCTCAAAAAACAGTATAAAACTAGACTTTTGACCATCTGAACCAGCTAACTTGAGCATATAAAACAAGTTTTTGGACCCAAAATGCCATTTTTAATTAATACCCTGTTTAAAAAACCATATTTTTACTTTTAAAAATAGAAAAAAATATCTTCTTCATATTTTTCTTACAAAAGAAATATAAAAAACAAAATAAAAAAGACCAAAAAGTTGAGTTGCCGCCAGCAGGGGTCGAACCTGCGACCTTGGGCTTATTAGACCCACGCTCTAACCGACTGAGCTATGGCGGCTCATGACCTTAAGGCTGTTTTTACTTTATAAAAAATGGATTAAAAGTGCATTATATATCAAAAAAAGTATCATTTAAAAAAACATTTTGAAATTTTTACCGTTTTCAAAAAAAATTTTAAATCCCAAAAATTTTCAAAAAAATTGAAATTTTTCAAAATTTTCTTTACAATGCTTTGTGCAAGTAAAAATTCAATAAGAAATTCAAAAATGTGATGAACAAAAGCATATATTAACAACCTACAATACAGTCAACTTTTCCAAAGCGAAAAATAAGCCGTTTGTAGCCGCGTGCCGCCATAGCTCAGTTGGTTAGAGCGTGGGTCTAATAAGCCCAAGGTCGCAGGTTCGACCCCTGCTGGCGGCAAATCAACTTTTTTTTGACTTTTCACTTATGTTTTGAATATTTAATTTATAAGAACAATATAAAAAAGATATCTAACTACATTTTTAAAGTACAAATTTTGCTTTTTTTACAAAATTGTAGTTAAAAATGGCATTTTAAGGCTAAAAACATGAGAATTATGCCAAAAAAGTAGGTTTGCTCCTTTTGTATTAGTAGTAAGTAAATTGTGCCTAAGGGTTTTTGTGTAAAATACGGCTTCTTTTCTAAATTTTTATTATTATCTTGCTCTTGAAGAAGAATCTATAGCTTTATAGCACCGTACTTGTTTGTCCCCCCGTTCATCCTCTTTTTTCACTCTCCCCCTCCCCTTCCCTCTCTATCATTACTCTCATCTTCTTAAGAAATCGCCCCATCTGACTAGTAAGTACAATCCATTTGACCAGAAAGTACAATCCCACATCTCATCTGACAGGTAAGTGCACCCTATCTAACCAGTCAGTCCACCCCACCTGACCAACAAGTACGACTCATCTGACCAACAAGTACGACCCATCTGACTGTAAAGTCTACCCCATCAGACCAAACCCAAAACCCACCTGACCCAAGAGCCATCAGAGTCAACTAATAGCCAAACAATGCTGAAAGCCAACCCCTCGAACGGAAGCCCGACCTCAGAGTGTATTCGCTTTCTGTTTGTCTTACTTTGTTGTCACAACGGCGACTGAATTGACTGAAAAGGTCGAGAGGAACAAATTTGACATCACAAACATCACTCTGGGCAAGCATTTTCAATTCTGCAACTCAAAATTGTCTTATAACGATTTTAAAGTGGCAAAGCGACAAGTTATACGATGGAACTTGTTTGGACATGTTTCATCGTATAACATTACAACTAAAATTGGCAAAATTTTTTAGTTTTTTCAAATGACATTTTTAACCATATAATATCACCGAAATATAATTTTTGATTTTCAGAGACATGTTATACGATTAAACATGTCTGACTTATTAAAACATGTTTCATCGTATAACATGTCGCCAATACAACCAAAATTGTCTAAATTCTTAAAATTTATTAAAATTGACATTTTTAACTCTCTAATATAGTTAAAATATACTTTTTGATTAATGCAGACATGTTATACGAGCAAACATGCCCAAACATGTTCCATCATATAACATGTCGCTGATGTCAAAAATTATGCAAATTAGATGAAAATTAAAAAAAATAATGTTAAAATTTGATTTTTCAATTTGATAGAACTATAATAAAATTAAAATAACGAGCAATAACAAACGTTTTCGCTTTTGTACCACTAAAATACGAAGCGGACACGTGTTGAATGATATATGAAAGGAAAGATGATTGCAAAGAGTAATGGATTATTTATTTTCTCCGGAATACAAAGGCAATTCATTAATCAAACCAACAAGAGACAATAACAACAAAAGGGCCAAGTTATGAAGAGGAATATATTATATTATAGTAGGTTAGGTATACAAGTTTATATGCCTAAAAAACAAAGTTTTTCTCGCATCTGTGGCTTTTTACTTGCATAAGGCGTTGCACGGTAAAAAGTCTAAAAATTTTGAAAATTTCAATTTTTTTAAAATTTAAAAATTTTTTTTTAAATTTTTTAAGTTTTTAAAAAGTATAGTAAAAATCTCAAATTATTTTTTTAAATAATACGTTTTTTTATATATAATGCACTTTTAATCCATTTTTTATAAAATAAAATCAGCCTTAAGGCCATGCGCCGCCATAGCTCAGTCGGTTAGAGCGTGGGTCTAATAAGCCCAAGGTCGCAGGTTCGACCCCTGCTGGCGGCAATTCAGCTTTTTGGCTTTTTTCGCTTTATTTTAGACAAACACTTTATAAGAACTATAATAAGGAGATGTTTTGTTTCACGTTTTACGACTTTTTATATCGTTGTAGCAAAAATGTAGGCTTAGTGACATTTTATACGATGAAACATGTTCAGTCATCTTTCGTCGTATAACATGTCACATATTGTTACATTTGGGCCGTTTTTTAATAAATTTTACGCAAAACAGACTTAAATCAAAACAAAAACAACAATTTGAACAACAAAAACTTTTCTTTTCATTTTGTAAAGAAAGTTTCTTCCATTTCCCTTCAAATCTCTAAAAATCAAAAAACTTTGTAAAGAAAGTTCCTGCCAACCCCAAAAAGAACGTAATTACCAGCTGTTTAAAGCCGTAATTCATTCGTAGTTTGTCCAATTCGAGCCATTTGGAGTATATAAAAGCAAATGAAAATTCAAAATTCGAGACAAAAGCCCTGAGGCAAAAACACAAAATGAAGAATTCAAAGGAGGGGGGAGGCGGCCATTTTAGTACAACGGTATTCGAATTCTCCTCAGGCCTTTCAATTTCAATATTTTTATTTTTTGACTCATTTTCCTCGTCGTTCCTCGTATAGGAGACTAATAACAAACATACCAACGTGCTATGACAACGTGTACATATATATACACAAAATGGCTTTATTAGACAGAAAATGGAAAGAACTTTCTTTGAAAATTAAAAAATGGCAAGAACTTTCTTTACAGGCTAAAAAAAGTGGCAAAAAATAATTCTTGGTATAACTTGTCACCTGCAGTCTGCAACAACAGTAAATATTGTTTTTTTAACTTTAAAGAGCAAGAACTTTCTTTACAAAATGAAAAATAGCAAAAACTTTCTTTACAGAACATAAAATGGCAAGAACTTTCTTTACAAAACAAAAAATAGCAAGAACTTTCTTTACAGAACATAAAATGGCAGGAACTTTCTTTACAAAACATAAAATGGCAAAAACATTCTTTACAAAGCATAAAATGGCAAAAACGTTTTATACAAAGGTTGTAGTTTCAGCGCTTACAAAACACAAAGTAAAATACTGTCCCGCAGGCTGCGCACACAGGGCGCAGATTGAAGTAAAGGAAATTGTTATTTTGAGTAAAATTGATTAAAGACAATTTTTGATCATCGGAGTTGTTATAGTGATCATAATGAACTTGTTTTATCATATTTCAATATGTTTTATATTAGTTTTGGTTCTTTATTACCTAACATGCGTTTTTTGGGAGATTTTTGGCAGTTTTTGGGGTTTGGACTTGATATTTTCATGTTTTTTCTTGTTTGAAGGCTAAAACAAGGTGTTTTTTGGACATTTTAGGTAACGAAATATGTATTTTTGAATTCTACAGGCTTTTTTACATCTATATTGTCCATAAAATTATGTTTCTATCCGTTCCACACCTTCTTTCCATCTCTTTCCTATCTTCACCTTGATTAATATGTTGATAAACAACTTTATTGTCCCCTAATGCAAATTAATCCATTCCTTCCTTCGAAGACGCTAAAACGCCAGAGGGCCTGCGCTATCGGCTGGCAGGGAACACAAAAGAGTTTTGTTTCCTCAAAAATAAAAGCGAAAGCCAGGGAAATGCTCGTGATTCAGTCCCGATTTCAGCGGTTTTCCACAAATTCAGCTCGTTTTTTGATTTATTATCAGTTGTCAGGTAATTGAAAGGTTAATCAAAGGGCAGACAATGTCAATTGAAGTTCGTACGATGTTTTTCGAAGCGGTTTTTATAGTTTATGTGGGAATGTAGCGCGCTTTTTTGCCGATTTCCAAGGAGATTTGAGATAGACAAGGAGAAATTTCAACGTTTCACGGTTATTTACTTTTGGATTTACGTAGTTTTTGGATATATCGTTGATTGTAACCTACTTTATATTGTAGTTAAAGGGTTTTTTGTTGTTTTATCAAAGACGTCCGTCGCAACATATTTTAGAACATAGACAGGTCATGGACAACATATTCTTTTTTGTTTAATATCATTGCCATTTTTAAATATATATTTCTAATTTTTGGATATACTGTTGATTATAAACTGCTTTATGTTATTGTAAAATGATTTTTTGTTATCTTTGTTAAAAAATGTGTTTTTACTGGTTTTAGAAGACCAGACAGGTCATGGACAACATTATTGCTTCCTATTTAATATCATTGTCATTTTTATATATATATTGCTAATTTTTGAGTATATTGTTTAAAGTTAACTCTTTTATGAGGTTGTTAAAGCGGTTTTTATTATTTTATCAAAGACGTCTGTTGCGACTTATTTTGAAACATCAGACAGGTCATGGACAACATTATTGCTTTTCATTTTATATTTTTGTCTTTTTTTAATGTATATTGCTAGTTTTTGTATATTTTATATACTATAGACTTGTACACAATATTGTAAAAGGATTTTTTGTTATTTTATCAAAAACGTTTGTTCTGATTAATCTTGGGACATCAGGTGAATCATGGATAATATTGTCAATATTTTAGAAATTTTGAAACGTTTTTCAGTTCTTGTGTGTCTGCAATATTTCTACAGGTTTATATTGTTTTTTTAAGATATTTTTTTGTTTTGTAAAATACGCTTTCTTCATTTTTGTTGTATTTCATGAGATTCCCGCGAAAATCTTCATTTTCAACTGATTTTTCGGCCCAGACTGGTGTATTTTTCTTGTTTTTAGAGGATATGAACTGGAATTGAAATGTTGATGATCAAGAATGAGTCTGTGTTTCAGTTCGTGCTTCGAGAGCTGAAATCCCTGTATTTTCCGGCCAAGGACTACACTTGTGGCAATGAGACGCGACATGAGGTCACAGCGCCATCAATCTTCGATTTCCTTAAAAGTAAGTTGATATATTGTCGATATATGTTTATAAAAATGATTATCAGTGTCGTGGCTATGATTTATAGTCCAATTACCGTTCTTTTGGCCGAGGTAAAGTTAATTTTCGACGATTTTTTGTGAAGCAAGGCTCAGATGTCAAGTATAATATCGAGTTTAGATGTGGAAAAGCATCAGATGATCATGCTGATCATCGGGTCAGCATTGACGCTGGTGGCAGTGATAGTGGGCTTGTTCGAGTGTATATATGTGTACAGGAAAGTGTCATCAGAGAGGCGGAGGAACAAGTTATACTTCATCATCACGTTATTCCCGGTAATTTTTTGCTTTTTTTGAAACTTTAGGTATCGAACTAAACTGGATTTGCTGAATTTGGGTTGACAAGATGTATATTTTTACTATGGTAAAATACGTAGTTTTGATTCATTATTTGTTTAATTATAATGATAAAATATATATTACACTACTCATATTAGTGTCTACAACAAGAACTTCAATAACAACACAATTCTCTTTCAGATATCAATGATTTTCTGCTTAGTAGGCATGTTTTCACCTCGGACAGCACCATTAGCGACATCAGGTGGAATGCTGTACTTTTTGTTATGCTTGTTTGTGCTCGTCTCACTGATAAGACATCTAACACAAGGTCGTCATCAGTTGTCCAGAGAACTGTTAATAGCCGACAGGAGGATAAACTTTCAATCGCCACCGTTTTGTTGTTTGTTACCATGTTTACCTGAGGCTAGGCCGACATTGTAAGTTTGGAAAGAAAGTTCTTGCCATTTTATAGTTTGTAAAGAAAGTTCTTGCCATTTCATGGTTTATAAAGAAAGTTCTTGCAATTTTTTGTTTTTTAAACAAAGTTCTTGCTATTTTTTATTCTGTAAAGAAAGTCCTTGCCATTTTACATTATCGTTTCAGAAGGAACCTCCGAATCCTCGAATTCATCGTCCTACAAGCTCCAATCGTCCGTGCCGTGGTGATCTTCATCGAAGCCACGATAACGATCGAAATTCAAAGAGATGCATCATACGAGATTCAGCTTTGTGAACTAGGCACGTTGGTGTCAATATTAATGGCAGTCTTTGGAGTTCACACTTTGTTCCGACTGGTGGCGGATCGAATCGCCCATTTTGGATTCACATGGATGTTCAGAATCGTGGATGTGGCATTGTTCTTGTTCTCAGCACAACATCCTGTCATATTTCAGAATATTCTTTTGAGATTTGAGTGGATTGGGTGTACGAATGTGTTGACGCCAGAAGAGAATGCTAGGTGTAAGTGGTAGTTTTTATTAGGGACTATTGTTGAGCTTAAAAGGGAAAGGAGGGAGGTGTGCTTTTTTGTACGTTACAGAGGAGAGGAGGCATGATTTAGATTTTTTTTGGACTAGGGGGTGGTTTTTTTCAAAAGGGCGGGGTTTTTTTTGGCAGTTTATGAAAAATGAAAGATTTTGCAATTTTAGGTAACAAATTTTTAATTTTTGGTTTTTAGGTAATACATTTTTGTCGAAAAGCAAAAAATGGCAAAAACTTTCTTTACAAAACAAAAAAATGGTTAGAACTGTTTTTACAAAACAAAAAATCGCAAGAACTTTATTGACAAAACACGAAATGACAAGAACTTTCTTTACAATGTAAAAAATATCAAGAACTTTCTTTACGAAACATAAAATTGCAAGAACTTTCTTTACAAATCATAAAATGGCAAGAACTTTCTTTACAGAGCAAAAAAACTAAAAATTTTTTGGATTTTGAAAAATTTTAAAATTTGAATTTTCAGTCCTCTGCAACTTCATAATCATCTGTGAGCTGTTCTTCCTCTCAATTCTCGGATTCGTGACAATGGCACCAAGCAGGAATCGACTGTTCGACCTCTACAAATCATCCGACGATCAACAACCGATCACTGAAAACGACTCGTTAACTGACACTCTGGACCAGACTACCAGCTCCAACTCGGTGATATGCTTCAACAACCCCTAGGACAATAAATTGAAATGGTTTTTTAATTTATTTTTTATTGTAATTGATTGAGGTCTTTTTGAGGGGCTTTTGATTTTTAGATTCTGAAGGCTTCTAGGTCACGGTGAGGTCGTTTTTGGAATTTTTGTTTTTTTTTGGATTCTGAAGCTATTGTATGATTCATGAAAACTCTTCATCTTATAAAGATGATTCTAAATCCATTGTTTACTTTTGAAGGCTTTGTAGGTCACCGTGATGTCGTTTTTGTGATTCTGAAAGCAGTTTTAGTGTTTTTAAGGCTTTTTATTAGGTGCCGACATAAAGACACCGCCATTTTTACAGGAAATTACGGGAAAATTATGGCGGGTTCTTTATGTCGGTACCTAATAGGTCGCCGTGGGGTCGCTGTTGGGTGTTCTGAAGCTAGTTTTTGTAATTGTGATAGCTTCTTTCAATATTAGAAGACCATATTGGCCACAATGAAGCCGTTTTCGAAATTTAAAAGCTAGTTTTTAAATTTCAAAAGCTTGTTTTCATCATTTCGAAGGGGTTATTTGACACATCGAAGAGGTGTTTCAGGATCCTAAGGCTATGTTTAAGATTCTGAAGGCTCTGTCGAAGTAAAGCCTTTTTGTGGACGTTGGAGATCATTTTGGCTATGTTGGAGCCGTTTTTTTAAATTCTGAGGCAGTTATTAAAGTTTTGTTGGCTTGCTTTATGATTCCAATGATGTGTTGGCTATCGTGCAGTTGTTTTTTGGGTTCTGAAGCTTGTTTGTTTTATTTTGAAGCCATTTTGTAGCCTCTGAAGCAACGAAAACAGTGCTTTTTGGCTTTGTACCTAAGGTTTTTAAGCTTCAAACCCTTAAAAAACTAGTCGCAGGGCCATTTCAATGCCATTCTTTATAAGCCATGATAATATTCTTGCTCTTTATTTATTATCCTTCTACTGGTCGATAATTTTTCTGTTGATATTTATCATTTTTCACTTCTTTTATTCCCCACTTCGATTGTTTTGAGCTTGTTTTCATTTGAAGTCCAGTGCAATTTTTCTTTCGCTTTCTGTAGCCATACGATGTATATTTGTCCATATTTTTCAGTTTTATACCTATTTTACTGAGTTGTGTCAATTTTGTATATCAAGTTTATTGTATATTTTACCATGGTATGTTGTGTTTACCATAATAAAGTGGTTTATATCAGCTTTGATGAGTTATATTGGCTATGATTTGAAGGTTTTTGATTCGTATTAATCGAACTTTTACCTTTTTTTCAAATTTAAAGTCATTTTTCGATGTACTTCTTGAATTCCCGAGTACGGAAAAAAAAGAAAAAAAAACCTTTTGTATTACCCAGAAATGCGTACTACAATATCCAAAACACCGTTTTATTTCCAGAAATATCAGCCAATAGGTTGTGCAAATAATTCTGTGCCTCTTCTCAAAAAAATTGAAATTCAAGGGGGCACAGAATTAATTGAAGAGCCTAATAGTAAATATTATTAGATGCCGACATAAAACAGTCATTTCCTTAATTATACGTCCATATTATAGTAGATATGCTACACCTTACCTTGGTGAAGACTAATATACTGTCAAAAACCTCATTTTATTGTGATATATTACCCAAAATACCAATATATATTACCTTAAATTCCAATTCTTTCCCTTATTACTTTATTACACTTATTAAAATTACAAAATGAGGAAAGGGATGAACGAAAAAGGTTATTATTAACAAATTTAGAGTCATAGAGACAAGTTAGGATACTGTAACTAATACAAAATGAGACTACACTATGATTCCGATACGAAAATTGATGAAAAAATTGAAGTTTACAACATTGGTCAAGGTGAATTATGTGCTTAGGTTAGGCCGAAGAGGTGGTCGAAATTGATGTTCAGCTGAAACGAAATTGGCTATATTATAGTGGATACAAAGCTTGTTTGACATAAATTTTGGGAGGGGGGGGGAGGTTTTTTAGTAAAAGATTGACAGGTGGGCATGGGTAGGAGAGGTAGGGTTAGGCAGGAAACAGTAGGTAACCTAGGCTTGCTGCAGTAAAAAAATCTAAAAATGGGAAGGGTGGGGGAGCATAAATATTTTTTGTGAAACGATCCGCCTATCGCTTTTCAATATTTTTTACCTAAATTACAAAAATCCTCTAAAAAATCAATTTTTTTGACAATTTTCAACGGATTTCCATTACTTTTTTCAAAAATTGTTACCTAAAATAATAAAAAATCTCAAAAAACACATTTTCCCATAATTTTTAAACCTTCAAAGCCAAAAAAAAATCAAATTTCAAGCTCAAAACTAGGCCAAAAGATCGATATTAATCGCTTCAGGCTAGCTTTTTCATATCATAAATTCAGCCTTGCTTGACCAGTCAAAAATCCTTATAAGGTTACCTTAAAGCTTTTCCACGCCTCACACAGCTCAATCTTCGGGGTTCCAGCCCGCTTCTCCGCGATATCGTTGCCATTTTGTTTGAATTCCTGGAAGGCCTCATCGAATGTCTTCTCCAACTCCTCTGGCACCTTGTAATCACCACTGAATCCGGCTTTCTCCTCTTCTTCCTCGTCCGATCCTTCCATGGATTCGTCGTCACCGTCGTCCTCAAACTTGGACGTGGACTGTACGATACTGAACTCATCGCTGTTTAGGTCTTCGGACTCGTCTTTTAGGATCTCACTGTCATCGTAGTCGTTGCTGGAGGTTGTTGCATCGTTCTCCATGAGTTTAATTTTGCGTTTTGGGGTGGAGGAGGAGGATAGGTGCTCGGATTTGGAGGTTGAGGACTTTGGGGAGGGCTGAAAGTTGATTTTCTAGATTTTTAGGTAACGCTTAAAATTGAGAAGTGAAATTTTGGGTTTTTTAAGTAACAATATTTACAAAAATCAATTTTTCGAAATTTTAAGTAACAAAAATTTTAAAAAATCACTTTTTTGATTATTAGGTAACAAACTTTTAAAAATAATCAATTTTTCAAATTTTTAGGCAACAAACATTCAAAAAATCTAGTTTTTAAATATTTTAAATAACAACCCCTCAAAATTACCTTATTTTTCTTCTTCCCCCTGCTGCGTCTGGCCCGTTTCTTCGGTGACAGCGACGATGAAGTCTTTTCTTCTCCAGATTCCTTTGCCACCTTCTCCTGTCTTCTCATCCGCGAGCTTCTGACTCGTTCACGTTGAGTTGAGTCCCGGATCGTCTTCTTGCATGCTTCCAGATATCGTTGCGTAGCGGCTTCTGAATTGGCTGGACTGCTGGCTAGGAGGTCGGTGGGGAGCAGGAGGGGTGGGGTTTGGAAGCCTTCGATGTCTTCGTTATCGTGGGGTCGTTTTGGTGTTCTGGGCTTCTGTTGGAAGTTGAAGCCCACGTTGTTGAAGGGCGAGTTTTCTGGGGAGGCGAAGGAGAGCTGGAAATGTTTATTTTATATTTTTAGGTAACAAATAATGATTTTTTGGGTCAAATTTTTTGACTTTCATTTTTTGGTCGAAAAAAACGTCATTTTGGATCAAAAAATGACAGTTTTATACTCAAAGTGACATTTTATTTGCAAAACAACATTTTATGTCAAAAATGACATTTAGGGTCAAAAATGTCATTTCCCAATCAAAAAATGTCATATCATGCCCTGTTATTATCTAAAATCTCAAAAAACTCAAAAACAAAAACTCACATTAGCCGAAGGCAATATAGAACTTGAATGAATCGCCTTCGGATGCTTAATCTCTTGTCTTGGCTGAGTTGTCGAGCTTGTAGGTACATTACTCTGTAGCCGATTACCTTGATTTGGAGACATCAACATCTTCAAAAAGTATTCGCCACTCATTGGCGAGTTCTGTTGTGGCTGTGATGTTGCTGTATCTAGGAGTAGTGGTGCGAATAGTGGGTCTTGACTAGAATTTTGGTTGAATCCGGGCGGGGAACTGATAAACGATTGACTAGACGAGGGTAGATGAGATGGATTGGCGTTCTCATTGAGAAACAGGCTTTCCAAGTAGCTGGACTGGATTTGGTTTTGGGGTGAGATGGGGTTTTTGGCTAAAATGAGATGTTCATAGGTTTATATTAGCTGATTTCTCAAAAATTTGTTAACTAAAAAATCAAAGTCTTTCCTTCGCCTATTTTTTCAAAAGTCAGCCCTAAATGTTACCTAAAATTTTAAAAAACTTCAAAAAACCAATTAAAATCCCAAAAATCCCCCTAAAAACAGCATTAGTTACCTAAAACCTCAAAAATCACCTCCAAAATCAACATACCCTTAGGGATAACAGGCTGAAAAGCACTGCCTTTGCTTTGACTTCCAAATGATTCACTCAGTCTTAGGCGATTCTTCTGCTCACTGGCTACAAATCGTCTAATTTCATCAACACATGGTATGATGGTGTAGAAGTTTCTGGCGACATAACCTCGATGAGCACATGCTTGATTATCCGCCTTGCTTCTGGGTAGTTCTCTGATCGGGTACCAAGCAATTTTCCTGAAAATAAAACTAATTATTACCTAAATACATAAGATTTTCCTATTTTTTGGTGTTTTAGGTCATAATGTAGGTATAGTTAACTTATATTATCCATATCGTAGCTAATATTGCTTTATTTGGGAAGAAATTTGTCTTAAAAAATAGCCAAAACATTCTTCTATATTTATGTATCACCCATGCCTCACAAAAATTACCTAAAACTCCAAAACAAACCAAATATATTAACCTACCTGATCTCCTTCCTCATATGTGGATGAAAGTTGAAATCCTGATCAACATCCAGTGCTGCATATAAACATACAGCAGTATCGTTCAAGTTGTACCTAAAGCACACATCTGGCCTCATTTTATCCGTAATATCATAGCCAGTCTCCTCCAGCACCTCACGGATAGCACACGCTTCTGGAGTCTCATCTTCATTGACTTTGCCTTTGGGGAAACCCCAAGAATTCTTGGTTGAGAAGTAGCCTTGAACCAGCAAGACTTCAGTAAGGTCTTTGTTAAACATAACGGCGCCATACGTGGGTACACCGCCTTTGTATTGGCGGAATTGTTCAATAATCTGCAAAAATTCGATGTTAACATAAGGATTTTGGTATGAGTGTCTAAAACAAGGTGTTTCTGGCTTTCTAAAACACAAAACTCGCTAAATCATAACTTAAAAGATCAAGCACCTTCTAAATTACATAACATTAACAAACAGTTCCTTTAAAAAACCATTAAAACATTAAATTATATTGCAGTAGACCTACTTCATCCACATGGCCTCGGAAACAGCTGAGCATTTCGCTCTTGTTGAACATCTGCTTAACAAAATCACGGAAATTTACATTAAAACATGGTGGCACATTGGTAGGCTTTTTTTCGCAAAAATAGTCCACGTAATACCAATGAGCCTGCTCTAATTGGAAACATATTCGAATCGGATCTCTCTTCTGAAAATTTTGGTCATAACTTTTAAACCAACTCGTCAAAAATAGTCAAAAGACTCTATTGCAACTATTCCCAAAATATCATCATGATCTGTACCTAAAAACCGAACCAAACCAAGTCAAAATTATATTACACTTACCTCATGTTCAGGTATATTGTTCAAGAATCTTAAAGACAGGTTCTCAATTACAACCTTTGGCACCTGGAAACATGGGGAGTTCCTGTGTGTAGACGTAGAAGTTTCTGTAGGCGTCTGCGCCTTCATCTGTTCGGGAATCGACTAAAATATTGAAGTTAACATCATGTAAAATATGGTTTGTTAAAACACGTATAAAGGCTTCTGTCAAACTACCTTTAAAGTAAGGCTTAAATCAACACAAAGCTACTTAAAATGCTCTTTTTGAACCGCTAAACTAAAAAAGTAAAGAAAGCGCATCAACAAAGGTTGTTTTAGATATCCAGCCTCCAAAAGTCGTTAACGCAGCAAATTAAATCTTTCAAAAGTTCTAAACTAATCAATTTTTTTAAAAATAAAAGTTCAAAACAGTTAACAACCAGCTCTCGTGTCTTATCACCCAAGAACACCTGATAAAAGAGAAAGAAGGAAAAATAAAAAAGAAAAGCCGATAGATTTTGTAACGAAATGCCACGATTGATTAGAAATAAAAATGAATGACTGAAACAGTTCAGAAAGGCCAATATTGTAAAATACGTCAAATGTTTTAGCCTTTTTTAGTTTTTTTCTAATTTGGTATCCCCTATATAAGCCAGGGAGTCCAAGTTTTTGCTGCTTTACTTATATTATCCTTACCTTTTGTCGTAACGGCGTTCGCCGGCTTGGCTTGCGTTGCGGTGTTAGTGAGATGTCTGGAACGCATGGCGAGTCCAAAATACCTTTAACACTTTGTTCTAATTGTGCACATGATATTACACTTTCATCCAAGTTTGATGTCTAAAAAGGGTTTATTACCTTAGGCGCCAGAATTGATAGTTGGTCACTATTTTCGATCATAGTGCAGTTTTCAAGCAAAAAGTAATACTTTAAATACTTTTAAAACATAACAAAATATTCATTTTAACTATTCTATCGCATAAAATTTTTAAAAAATACTCAAAAATGGGTTTTTTCGATTGTTTATATTAACTTACGTTAGGAGAGTTGCGTAGACTGTTTGGGAAGAGCTGGCTCGGCCTAGTGGGAGTTTTTTGAAATAAATTTTCAACACTAAAGGACGACATTTTAGCTGAAATAACATAAATTAAATATTAGTATAATATATTCAATTATTAACATTGTCATCAACGCGACACGAATCAACATTGTGATATTAACAAGGTATGGGTTGATGATGTTTAAAGTGCTGTAACTTTTGATTGGACAAATGTTTTTAAGAATTGTTACACAGTATTAGAAATTATAGTTGTATCGTTGGCATAGACAAAAAGTAAAAGAATTGGTAGAGGTATGGAGAAGATATGATTAAGAATGCTATACATAATCGGAAAAATAACGCATGATGTAATTTTTTGGCAGAGAAAAATTAGAGCAGTTTCTTTCCAACTATAAAATGATATAACATGTAAGATCGTAGTAAAATATCAGTGTGAAGCTTAACAACGATTTTACTCTTATATCAATGTCTCTACTAAACAATGACAGTTTAATTTTCCCCAAAGATTCCCATCAAAAAACACTACAAGACCCATTTCATCATGTACCCAAGAAGCCCTCAGAAAAAGTGATGGGCTCGTGTCCGAAAAGTTCACGTTTGACCCAATTAAAGCGTGAAGAATGTGTGTGTGTGTGTTGTATTAGTAGCGGTGGGGAGAAAGGTGAACACAAAAGAGCATGGAAATCAATCCGCGGGCTGAGAGAGCCGGTCCACCCCGAATCGATTTTCGGTGTGTCCCCATTTCAAATTTTCAGCTGTTTTTGTGCGGAACGAATGTATAAATCAACACAGCGCTTGTCCGATTCTTCGTTCACTTTTTGGTAGGGGGGATTTGATAACGACCGTTTTGGAGGAAAAGTGTGAAGGGGGGGGCTGGCAAAAAACATGTCGGAGGGCTTTGCGAAGAAAAAGTTTGATTAAAAAACAGTTGCAGGATTAGGAATAGAGTTTGGAATTTGAATATTTTTGTAGACAGGGTAGGGCGAAAGACGAAAACACAGGGTATGGTATTGGGAGGGGTAAAAAATAAAAGTGCAGTGCAATCCAAAGCAAAGTATAGGGTAATGTAGGTCTAGGTCAGGGTATAGTAGGGTGGGGTAGGAAGACTAATGTAGGGTAAAGTGGAGTAGGGTCAGTTAGGATTATCTAGGGTAGAGTAAGGTAGAGTAATATTTTCCGAACTTATCCCAAGGTTAAGAAAGAATAGTGTAGGAAACGGTAGCGTAGTTTAGGATAAAGTAAGGTATAGTAGGATAGGATAGTATACGGTAGGACGGAGTTGGACAGAGTAATGCAAAGTAAAGTGGGGTAGGATAAGGTAGGGTTACTTGGCGTAGGGTAAGGTCGAGTAATACCCTTAAACCTTAATCCTAAGGTCAGGGAAGGGTAGTATAAGGTTGGAGATGAAAATAAAAAATACAGTAAGAAATGTCAAATAAAAACCAACGTCACAGTAAAATTTTCAAAACCAAAAAAAAATACTGTGTGATACCCTCTGGCACAAAATTAAAATTTAAAAAAATTAAATCTAGCGAACTTAAACTTTCTGCAACCCAAAACCGATGCCTTTTCCCAACAATGTTCTTTTGCTGAGCGAGGAACTGAGATCAAATCTATAAACAACTTCCTGTGATGATAAAGTTGTTTATAACAGGAAGCAGGGGTCAGTTTGACACAAGTGACAAGACAAAAGATAGGGCACATCATTTTGAAACAAACACGAAACAATGAGAAAAGGGTGAATAATGGTATATAAACCACGATAATATAGCTGAACAGATGGTTAATGACTAACATAATATTTGCACTCAACTATTATACGTTTGGCCTTACGTCAACGCATTTGAAAAGGTCAAACACACACACCTTGATGGATAATATCGAATAGGAATTGTATCTGAAGATCACATTTATACCTACCCAACCCTACCCTACCCTACCTCATCCTACCCTACCCTATTCTACTGTGCTCTGTCCTACTCCTACCTTACTCATCCTATCCTACATTGGTTTGCCTTATCTTACCCCTAAATTGCTTATCCTGCCCGTGCCCTACCTTGCTTTGTCCTACACCTACCTTTCTCACCCTTCCCTGCTCTGCCTTGCCTTCCCCAACCTAACCTGGGGCCGGGTTGTGTCCTATTTTTTAGCTTGGTCCACGTACCGAGCCTTAGTTTAGGCCATGCCCCCTCTCCCGTTATCACATGTCTCGGCCTGGCCCGGCTTACAAATTAGCATCGACCAAGCGGGGACTATTGGTGGTCTTATCAGGTCTATCGGATCCTAACAAAAATTTTGCTTAAAGTTTACCCTATTACACTCTATTTTACCCTATCCTTTCTAAAAGATAACCTTAAAGGTTTATATTGTTCATATAACTATTAGTCAATCCTAAGCTTCTATAAACATCACCCATCAAAACCCAATCCAATACCACTACAACAACTCCCGTTATAATGCCAATACTAACCTGACCTGACTGCAAACAAATTTGCCATCACTTTAATTAGGAAAAAGTTTTGGCGCAGCGCCCACAACCTGTGAAGGGGGGGGGGTTACCTCCACAAAAGAAGCTGTCTTTGGTTTGGCGCGAACAAAACTCTTTTCCCCTAACGCCGCGACGAGGGGGGTTGAGAATAGAAGGGTAGGGAGGAGAAACAAAGTACGGAATGTGTTTTGTAAGGATGAATAAGTTTGCGATTGGGAAAGAAAGGGTCGTGAGTCAACTGATTATCAAAGCTTGGTCAAGTGATTGAGAGTTTCATAACTTATTAGGGATATAGCTAGTTAGAGCTTGTGGCTTGGGCGTTGGACTAGGTATAGGGCTTTGAGCTAGGTGTAGAGCGATTGCTAGAAATTAGGCTAGGACTAGAACTATGACTTGTGCTAAAGCTAGGAATAGAGCCATTACTTGGGTAAAGGCTAGGACTAGGGCCATGGCTCCCGACTAACGCTTGGGCTACCGTTAAAACGAAAACAAGAGCTATAGTTTAGTCTAATGTTCCGGGCTAATTCTACAATTTAGGCTACGACATAAGCCAAGCCTAGAGATTGGGCGCTAGCTTTGAGCAAGGGCTCTGGGCTAGGGCTCTGGGCTAGGGCTCTGGGCTAGGGCTTTGGGCTAGGGCTCTGTGCTAGGGCTCTGGGCTAGGGATCTAGGCTAACTTGTAGTTATACTTCCCTTCTAGTTACAGGTTAAGTCATAATGGCAGAAAACCTTCAAAATCATTGAATAACACTTCAATTCACAAAAAAAAACGTTAAATTTAGGTACCGACATAAAGAACCAGCCATACTTTGCCTGTAATTTTCTGTAAAAAATGGCGGTTTCTTTATGTCGGCACCAATAAATCTTCATTACAACAACAATCCTATTTTAAATTTAATTTTTAAATTAGCAACAAAATCTTTTCTCTAGTATGTTCTTAATCTTGTTCAGGTCCATTTGAAAAAGCATTTCAAACTTTGAAAATTTCGAAGGAAGCAGTAACACTATATTGGAATGACCTTCTTTGACCAGCCGCTTCCAGAGAACCGATCGTTTTGTGGTTTTGTTATCTTTTGTATGCTCGAACGGACATGACATTCCAAAAGAAGCTTCATATTTATTGTTACAATTCGGTCAGCCGGCTTCTGGAGTTTGTTTTTAATATTTTTGATGTAGGTATAGAGAGCTATGTTAATATAGAAAAAAAAGCTTAATTAATTGGAAATCTTAAATGGTTTTTGGTATTTAATATGATTTGAAAGGGCATTTACAACATTTCTGATAAAAGGTCTTCTTAATTTTAGGCACACCAATTTATTTTTGCTCAAAAATGGCATGGATAACATCATATAGCTCTAAAAAAACATTTTTAACATTTTTTAAAAATTTTTAGTTTAAAATGTTTAAATTTTGTTAAATTTTACTTTTTACTATTTAATTTTTCTTATTTTTACAAATAAATCCCACTTTCCTACGTAAGCACTTTTCATCGTATAAAATGTTTTTGCAGCCTGCAGGATCCTTGGCCGCCGCTCAAGAACCAATAAATAAACAAAAATATTATTGTTTTTGTTTTTAGATATCAAAACACATATTTTCGACAATTTTACAGCTTTACAACTCAAATATATTTAAAAAATGGACGATTTTGAAGTGGCTAGGGTAAGTTTTGGAAATTTTTTGGCAAAAATCGGGATTTTTGGAGGTTTTTATATATTTGTTATAGGCTTAAAAATTGTTTTTCTGGGGCAAAACAGTCGTATGTTGTTATGTTACGGTTGGACATGTGATTTAAAATAGTTTTTTAAACGTTTTGTATGTTTTAGAGTTTGTTTTAGAGGCAATCGGCTGGTTTACAAGCTTAAAGTTAAGCCTAGTCCTAGCTAGGGGTTAAAACTTAAAAAATTTTTAAAAATCTTGAAGCATTTTAGAAAGTAGATGAAACAGACATCAAATCACTGGTTTTGACAAACCTAAAACGTCATATGTTGCTACATCCATACATCTTGGTTAAGCATCTGGTCGCCTTTACCTACAAGCCATTACTACTGCATAATAACTCGGAACTCTACTTTTTCAACACTAATTTGACTGGTTATTGTGAGTCGTTGGTTTTCTGGCCGTATTTTACAATGGTGCTTTTAAAATTGAAGTTATTGTTATTTTGTTGCACGGTGCAATATAATTTTTGGTCTGCACTGTGCAGATTGTTGAACTGCCATTTTTGAGTTTAAAATTAAGAAAAAGGAAAAATTATAGCTTGTCTTTTTAAAAATGACCTTTTTATGTTTTTTCTGACACAATTTTTAATTTTTTATTAACAGTTTGCTCGGTGCAATAAAATATTTTGGTTTGCACCGTGCAGGTTTTTAAACTGTCATTTTTATAACTTTAAAGTTTGGAAGTTTCAAAAAACACCATTAATTTATTCAACTGTTTGTTTTAATAATTTTTTTTCAAAAAATTTTTCAATCTCACAATATTTTTAAAAAATTTTCGAATTTAATATTCTGCACAGTGCAACCCAAAACATTTTATTGCACAGTGCAAGAAACTTAAAAACAACATTTTCAGGTAATTTTAAAGCCCTAAACTTAATTTTATTTTGTTTTTAGTACAAACCCTATACTACAATCATGGTAAAGACATCTACCTCACCGGGATTGACACAAGTATTGCCATAAACACCATTAGTAATATCACCTGGTCATTTCTGCCAACTTACTTTGATCTCAATTATAATGGATTCAAGGACGAGGATGACAAGAGTTTGAGTGAGTATGACATGACGGAACATCAGAGTATTGTAAAACATACTCGAGCTGCTTTCAAGCAGTGCACTTTCAATGCTGTATTGGCGGTTGTTCAGCGACCTTTTTATGGTAAGTAGGGGGGGGTGGAGGAGAGTAGGTTTATCATAGGATGGGGTAGGGTTGGGTAGAGTAAGGAAGGGTACGGTGGGGTAGAGTAGGATAGGGTAATGAAGGGTAGGGTAAAGCAGAGTTAAGGTAGAGCATCAACTTATAAAACGACTTCATTTTCAGTTGTCCTAACCCGCCAGCTAGCCTTCTACATGTTCAACAACGCTTCCCCTCCCTTTGTCATCCCAATGCTAAAAGACATCGGTGACACCGAAGGTTTGCCAGGCCTTTTCTCCGGCGTAATCCCAGCCATAATACACACAGTATTTGCCACCTCAGCTTACTGGGCTTTGAGATTCTTCTTCAGCCGCTTCATTGTCCACACCCAAAGAGTTGCTATCAAAAAGAACTCCAGTTACCTTCATTCATTAGTCAGTTTCGTCAAGGAGAACATGAACATGGGACTCTGGGCCATCTGGTTCTATACCGACTTGAAGTTTGATGATTTCGACAGAGAAGGGAAGCTACTGGCCTTGGGCGATGTTCTGGATTTGGCCGAGATTGATGGAAAACGATAGGAAATGATGTTATAGTAGATATTTGATGGATAATATAAGGACACTAAAGATTTTATGGAGAATGGAAGAGTCCTATAGATTTTTATGGAAATTCTATTTTACAAAAGTTGAAGATCAGCTCAAGAATTGTATATATTGATGTAGATTTATCCTATGTGTTAATGTAAATTTTAAACTGTATTTTAGGTAATAAAGGCTTACATTGGAAATTTTGATACATGAAAGGATAGTGTAGAGTAGGAGAGGGCAGGGAAAGGCAGGAGAAAGAAGTGGTAAAGGAGATAGATGGACTTATTGGGGGAGACGTGATGAGGGATAATATAACATTGGAATATAAAATTTGCTATTTCTAGGAAAATTGATTTATTTTGAATAAAAATATAAAAAACTAACATAAAGATGCATTTTTGTTTTCAAAAACCCCATTTACAATATTACACTTAATACTTATATAGGTCCTAACACGAAAACGCACCCGCTGGCCTCCCGCTTATTTTGCTTTTTTTGGCCGAAAAGAAACGGAACTGCTTGCGGACGCACGTTCAACTGCAAAAACAGCAAATATCGGGTTTAAAGAACGTTTAATTTCACGTTAAACATTTGTTGCATTAATTATGAAGACTCTAGGACACATCTCGAACAAATTACCTGGTAAGTTTTGGGTTTTTACTAGTCTTTTTGGTTTTAGATGAAGGTTAACGGCTTGTTTTGAATTTAAAAAACAATCTCGAAGATGTTTGTGTTTATGAACCTTGTTTGTCTTGATTTTGAAAGGCGATAGGTTAGGGTTTTCTTTAAATCATGAGAAAAAAATTATTTTGGAAGTTTAATGTTGTTTCTAATTTGAAGCAATGTGTATTGGCTTGACACTCGTGCTATTTTGGACTTAAAAGATTCCAAAAAATGTTTTCTTACTTTTAAAAAAAATTGGTTTTTGAAACATTTGGAACACTAAATTTTGAGTTCTATTGTTGTAGGAAGACATCGATGTGAATGTCAGGCAAGAATTCACGGATTGATTCGAAATTGTAAAGGATGTGGACGGATAGTGTGTGAACAAGAAGGATCTGGTCCATGTGTGTTTTGTGGCAAATTTGTGTGCACCAGAGAGGAAGAAAATGTAATTTTTTACATTAAGTTCTACTACAATATGTTTTCTAACGTTTTTGATGTCAAAGCTTTAAGAAACAAATTAATCTTATAGATCAGGATAGTTTAATGTATGGTGGATGTTTTTAGATAATACAGAATGACAAACAACGAGGTATGCAACTGGAAAGGGACCTGATGAAGAAGGCTGGTTATGGAACGGATCTCAGCAGGAGTAAAGAGGAATCTGAAGCCGAAAAGTATCGTGATCAATTACTGAAAGCGGATAGAGAAAGGTAATTTACTATTTTTTATTGGTGTTTAGGGTTATTTGGATTTTGAGGCTTGTAAGATGGCTTATTGGATCAAAAGGATGTTGTACAGGAGCTAATGGGGAACTTTTAGTTTTTGTCATAACTTTGTTTAGCTGATGGGTAGAAGGTTAAAAATTGGTGTGACCGAAGCTTGTTACATTGGGCAACTTTCAAAAAACAACTTTGGTCCACAAGTACAGTAATCTCAAAGTTACAGTAGTTTTACCATAACTCATACTTTTTGCTAAACTTTGATGTCTTTGGCTAAAACTGAAGTTTGACATTGTGTAAATCGTACCACAAATATAAAGTAGTGACTAAAATGTTCTAATATTGTCTTAATTTTAGTGTAGTTCGAAACAGAGTACTGGATTTGGATTCCGACTACTATAATGTTGAGAATGGTCATTATTTGACGGCCGAAGAGAGGAGTGCCATCAAAAAGAGGAAGGAAGAACTCCATAGACATCGATTGAATAGAAGAGGACATTCTTTCAAGATGGATTTGGACTTTGCCAATGCTTCGGTCAAGGAGATCAAAGTACGTTTTGTTTTTCAGGCTTAATATTTTAGGTTTTGAGGTGAATTTAAGGCTTAAATACTGATTTTTTGGAATCTAATGATTTGTTTACTCTACTTTATAGTATTTTTTAATTACTTATTTATATGATACTATCAAAGGTCTTAAAACAATTGTTTTAGACCTCAGGCGACATTGAGAAAGAAGAAGACGAAGTGATCCAAGGAATTCTGCGAAGAGCTGAAGAACGACGAGAACGTGAACGGCATAATGCTGTCTATGAGAATCGTGCAGATAATTTGCCAAAAGTTGATGATTTTACAGCTAGGGTAAGTTGTTAAAGGTGTCATAGTGAAATATTGTTAATGTCATAGTGACTTACTTAAAATATTAATATGACGCTTTTGTGATCTCTACATGAATGTTAACGTGTTTTAAAACTATTTTTAAAATTTATATAATTTCAGTACGACGAAAACCGATCAGTCAGTAAAGAACCAAAAGTTGAGAAAACCGACTGGTCGAAAGCCATTTTCCTGGACAAAGACGAACGATACGCTCATACGGAACAACAAGGGTTTTGTATAGCATTATCTCAACCAACAGCGTCTTCTTTAATCAATGGTGGTTTATGGTATGTGACAAGCCCGGACGAACTTCAAGTAGAAGGTCCAGTATATGTGGCGGCTACAGAGAGTGATGTCAAGGAGTTACCAGCGAATTCCATCATTGGAAAGATTGTCTTGAATAATTGTGTTACTATGGCCGAATTCAAGGAGGATGTAAGGCTTCATTTTGTGTTTGGGGGTGTGTCATGATGACATATTATTAATGCCATTGTGACAATTTGGTGATGGCTGTATGATAATTTTACTGGGTTTTCGATGTTATTTGGAGGACATTAATTTCACTGTATCATCAGGACATTCATATTGTGTCATCATGACTTATTTATATTGTCATTATGGCTTAAGGGATTCTTAAAATTTATCAAAAAAGGTATTTTTTAGAATAAGGACATCAAGTTCCCAGCAGACGTTAAAGACTTGTTTGTGCTGACATTCGACTCACCCGAACCACTTACAGTACCATTACCGTACATCACCAAACATTTCTTCTATCAGCTACCCGCTAACTTGAGATACATATTGAGGAAGGCATAGATTATCAAAGTTTTTATATGACTTTAAAACAGTTTTGATTATGTATCATGATGATTATAAGATGCCATTGGTGCTTGTTAAGGCGTCTTGATGGCAATTTTAACGTGACCTCATGACACACTTTATTGTCAGCACGACATGTTTATTATGTTGTTATAACATTTTTTGTGATATTTTTGGGGTTTGGGTTGTTTTTGTTACATCTACGGGTGGTTTTGTTGATATATAGTTAATAAAGCATATCATATTGTTGTAGAAATTTGGAAAATATTGTTAGAAATGTGTCGAAAGTCACATTATATTACCTTTAGTTTGATTTAAATTGATTTAATAGACATTTCAGCGTGATTTACTGTGATTTATTGGTTATTTGAACGTGATATGTACCATGATTTGAGGTTTAGAGGGGAAAAAAGTCTAGTTCTTGATATTGTTTTAGGTGAAAGTTGAAGAAAAATGGCCAGCGTCGAGTTGAAGAGAGAGCCAGCCGATCCAAGCAAGGCCGATAAGGACGTGAGTTTATTATGTTTAATATATGTTGTGGTAGATCAGTTTAAAAGTTTGAAATTCTGAGGTTTGGGTTGAAGATTGTGTACGCCGATGAGATGCTTTATATGTCATCATGACACATGTGTAATATCACTATGATTTTCAATATTTTTATGACATGATTAATATGTTTTCTATGTTAAGAGTGAGCACGTTGCCTATGCGAAAGCCCTCGGAGCCAAAGCCTTGATCGGAACGGTCACTTATCCATTGACCTTCGCTAAAACCCTGTTCCAGTTGGGCTACGAACCATACCCATTAAGCACTGGCAGAGTTTTCATTTTCTTTGGCCGCGAAGCCTACTTCCTTCCAAATGCCTTCCAGTACTGTAAGTTTTTTTAGGTAGCAAATTTTGAAAAGATGCTATTTTTAGGTGATAAATTATTGAAACAGTTTTTTAGGTAACAAACTTCGAATTTTTGATTTTAGGTGACAAATCTTTTAAAAAAATATAATTTTAGGTAAAAAATTTTAAAAAAATGGCGTTAGGTAACAAATCCATAAAAAATGAAAAAAAAATTAAAAATTAGGTTAAAAAATTAGAAAAAATGTCATTTTGGATAATAAATTTAAAAAAAATAATATTTTAGGTAAAAAATTTATTAAAAAAGTCATTCTAGGTACTAAATGCTCAAAAAATGCATTTTAGGTAACAAATTTATGAAAAATGCCATTATAGGTAACAAATCTTAACAAAACTCGTACTTTCAGTGAGAAACGTCTACAACGAGCACGGTCTCTCCGCAATCTTCCGCGGCGCCGAAGCCGGCTTTTTGGGCACCGTCGTCGGCGGAGTCTCATCGTACGCGTTCGAGAAGTACATCGACGAGTACTACCCTGACATTGGTGGTAATCCAGACAACGTGGACAAGGCTGACGAGGAGTTGACCGACTACGAGAGCTTCAAAGTTCATGTCAGAGCCGCCATCAGACAATCCTTGTCCCATACTATTGGATTGATCGTGCAGAGACCATTGAATGGTAAGGGCGTGGGCGAGGGAATATTGATGGTAAGGGCGTAGGCGGGGGACTAGATGAACTAGGAAACACGTTTAAAACACATTTTGTCGTATAACTTGTCGCCTTTACAAAAAAATTTCAGTCCTGATGTTCCGTGAGATCGCACAGCACATTGGCGGCGAGTCCAAGTACACCAACGCTCTGTGCGGAATCCTCCGCGTCGGCGACGAGGAAGGCCCCGCCGGCCTCTTCTCCGGCCTCATCCCCGCCCTCCTCACCGAGCTGCTGCTGGTGGTGGGCGTTCAAGCCGTCTCCTACACCGCCGAACGAGTCTTGTTGCACCTGGAACGGAACAACAAGGACGACAAACAGGCCGTGGACACGATCCAGAACCTGAGAAAGGCCTCCAAACTCTTGGTACCATTCTTGGTTACAGGATGGTCCTACCCATACAGTGTGTGCTCCACTGTCATGAGCGTCACCGGATCAAAGTAAGGGCGGGTGGTGGGCATCGGGGAGGTTTTATGTCTTTTTTAGGGGGAGGGGTTGGGTTGGGGTGGTTTTTTTTTGGGTCTTTGGAATCATTGGAAAAAAAAATTTAAGGGCGGGGTAATTGAAATATGGGGGTGGTTTTTGAATTTATGGCGTGTTTTTGGAGGTTTTTTTGGAAAATTTTTGTTTTTATGAATTTAAAAAATTTAAAATTTTGTTTTTGGTATGGAAAAAGACAAATTAAAAAAAAATTTAATTTTTTTAATTAAAAAAAATTGAAATTCCCACCCCTCTACATCAATATTTTCAGCCTGGTTGTATCCCTCCTCCCATACGCCCCACTCCATGGCCACTGGACCGACGCCTACCACTACCTGAAGCCACACGGCCTGACCCGTGGCAACCGCCTCTTCCTCCGCGAACAAAAGGGCGCAGTCAGCGTCGGATCGGACCATCAATTGTACGCCAGCAACAAGTTCTTCATCTAAACGTCGCACTCTCTAATTACTCCTAGATCTACATTAATCCCCAATTACACTACAGTACTTTTTCATAGCTGAAGCTGTACTATCATAGCCGTTTTCCGTATTTTAAGTAGCTTCCAACACTTGTATACTAACAAAGTACAAGTCTCTCATAGTTTCTTTAGTAATAAACAAGGTAAAATAGTTTTGGGACTTGATGCGATTTATGGTACCATTAGTACCAAAAAGTGTACCATTGCCAACATTTCTTAAAAACGCTTTTCAGACAGTCAAAAGTACTATTTTCAGCTTTTTTTATAAAACAGTACCAAAAACGGCGAAAAGTACCATTAGTACCAAAAAGGGTACCATTGCTAAAATTACTCAAAATGGCATTAAAATGCATTTTAACTATCATACATTCTTAAAAGTACAAAGAATTATTCAAAAACAGTCGATAAAGGTTGTCACAAAAGTCTTGTCGCTTTTTTGTATACAAAATGATATATTTTGACGACAAGACTTTTGTGACAGCTAATAGTAATTAACTGAACTGTAAAAAAAGCACAACAACATAAAAGTCTGACAAGTAGACCTGAAAGAGGGCCTACTAGACTAAGTCCAGCCCGGAGGTATATTTCAATCAAAATTTTACAAAAAGTCCAGCAATCAAAAAAGCCCGCCAATTCAAATCAATGTTTATTTCGTGGTGGGGTGGGACTATTTGCCTTCCTCGACGACTTTGGCCAACTGTTCGGGAGTCATGTCGGGGCAGCTTTCGTAGCCGCCGTTGTCCTCTTCTTCGCCGTCCTTCTTCTCCTCCGCCGCCTTCTTGTCCTTCTCCGGCGCTTTGCCGGCCTTACTCTTCTCCGACTTCTTGTCGTCCTTCTTCTCCTCCGGTTTGGCCGTCTAAAAGCAAAATATTGTTTAGTCTGGAACAAAGTGGCTTAAATTATCTTTCAATATAGTATAAGATTGACATAAAGATGGTATTAATTAGTCCCCAGAATGGTCAAAATAAGCTCAAAATGGTACAAATTGGTTAAAAAATCGTGCAAAATAAGCTCAAATAAGGTAAAAATTAGCTTTAACTTGGTCTAAACCAATCAGAAACTTGTTACAACGACTTTTTGAAAAATAGTACCAAAAATTTTCAAACAGTACCATTAGTAACAAAAAGAGTACCATTGCCAAAACTGCTTAAAATTCATTCTGGAGTACCAACAAAATTTAATTTCAAGGTTTTTTTGATAAAAAGTACCAAAAATTCTCAAATAGTACCATTAGTACCAAAAAAGTGTACCGTTACTAAAAATGTTCAAAATGGATTCGAAATGCATTTTAACTACTTTTTTGCTCATGCTATAATAATTTTTAATGTTTTATATCAAAAATAAAGGAACTTACACCGTCTGCAGGCTTATCAGCGCCCTTTGAATCCGGCGCTCCAGCTGTGGATTTCGGAGCGTCCTGAAGTTAAAAAAATATTAAAATTGGACTTTCTGGGCTAGGATGGGGCTAAAAGTTAAAGTAGGGTAAAGCCAGGGCATTTCTAGGGCTACAGTATGGTAGCACATGGTATACGGTGGGTTACGGTAGGTATACAGTAGATTACGGTAGGTATACGGTAAAATACTAAAAGTCAAAAAAGTTTTCTTAAAAACCCACTTTAGCCTCCTTGCTCTTGGCTACGGGTGCCGGCGCTCCACTGGGCGGTGCAGCGCCGGAGCTGGGCGGGGCGCCGACCTGAGATTTTGCGGCGGGGGGTGGCTTCTTCTTGCCGCACACAATCATTGAAAACCCGATGAAAGCGGTCGATAACGTCATGCACAATATGGGCCACATTTGGGAAAATATTGCGGAATCAATCATGGCTGAAAAGTTACTGTAATAAAGATTACGGTAATAAGCCTAGTATTACGGCATTAACTTTTACCTTACTGTAGAAAGTATAAATAGTAAAAAATCTTTCTAAAAATACTGTAACCTCTTAAAAATTCAAAACAACTCGTTTTCTAAACTACAGTACCCCAAAAAGTACAGTAACCCTCAAGAAAGTACAGTAAACCCAAAATAAGATACGACCCTGCCTGTCGTAGTAAGTGACTGGATTAGAAGCAGGGCGAGGCCTAGGAAAAGTATTCAAAGGCACTGTCGTACGGCAAAACTCGACCGGTTAGTGGGTGGGCCACTTCCTCGAATGACACCGATTTCACCGATTTTCGGCCGAATTCAAGTCAAAAATGCCATTTTTGAATGCAAAAATGAAAAAGAATTAATTTTTTAATTTTTTGAGTCTCAGGAGACGGATGGGTTCGTATTTTACCATTTTTCAGCTTTAGCAACGGTTTTATTTGATTTTCAGTCATTTCCTTACGGAATCTATTGATTTTTCTATCATTTCCTGCTTCTTTTATCAAGCCTTCTGAATGATAAGACTTCAGAAGCAACTCGTAAACTGTTTTTTAACTTTAGCTTTATCTAATTTGACTAATTTTAAGTTTTTCAGATATTAGTTTTGTCAATTTTAATGTTTTTCAACGACTGTATATCTAAAACAATATTTTTTCAAGTTGCCATTCTAGCTTGATTGTGTATACTTACAAAAATAACATTTTAGCTTCTTTGTAATGTTTTAAATTTTACTTTGAATATATTTAAATACGGCTTTTTCATTTCACGCTTATTCTTCATCAAACGATATTATACTTGATATTAACCTCAATATTTTAGCTGATTTCCGAACAAATGAAGGCGCTGAAGCTCACAGATTCTTCTACATCTACACAAAGGTACTCATCATGTGTTTTATATGTTAAAGGATGTGATTAGAACTTGTCAATCTGGTTTTCGAATGATATCTTTGAACATGTGGTAAGAACAATATAATTTTGATTTTCTTCAGTTTTTAGGTATCGGATCATGATGAAATTTGGTGAGTAGTTGAAACAAAGTCTTTTGATGGTTTGTGATAAGTTTCAACCGTTTGTGGCTATTGTGTCAATAGTTATGAGCAAAACTTTTTGAAGTACTTGAACATGAGGTAATTGTTATGTAACTTTGGATCTGTTTGATTTTTAGGTATTAGATTATGATGAAACTTCTTGGATAGTTGAGGTAGAGTCTTATGAAGGTTTTTGACTATTTTCAATTGTTTTTGTTAATTGGTTCAAAAGTTATGATTAAAAGCTCAGAGAGATTTGAAGACGTTTTTGAGGTACATTGGTATTTTTTAGCTTTTATGGAATTTTTAAAAGAAATACTTATTAATTTTATATAGTTTAGAATGTGCTTGATATTTTTCGTTATGATTTAGAGGGTTTTGCATTTTAGAAAGTCAGAAACACTTTGTTTTAGACGCCTGTACCAAGGTTCCTTATGTTAACATCGAATTTTTGCAGATTATTGATCAATTCTGCCGTTATAAAGCCGGTGTCTTACTTTTTGGGTGATTATGTTCACCGAGAATCTTATTGATGTGATGTTCAAGAAAAATCTCACTGGTTTCTGGTTGTAATCTATCTATTTTGGCACGTTTTTGAATGCTTCGTTGACAGTGTAATTTAGGTATGTTTGTTTAGAAACGTCATTACTAGGGACAACAATTGATTTCCTTTCTTTGCTTTTGGGGAGAATTTATTAGAATGGTCAAAAAGTTTTTAGAATAAGGTGTTTTTAGCCCATTTTTGAAATTTTTTAGAAAATTTGAAATTTGGTTTTAAAAAAATTTTTTAAAAATGTGAAAAAAGCCGAGTTATTTTGACTGACTTTACCTGCACTGACTGGTCGAATTACGCTTTTTTCCTGATTTAGTAAGTTTTTTGGTTTTGTAAGTGTTTTTATTGCTTTAGGCTGAAATACGTCAATTCTTACTGTAACATAAATTAGAAAATTTAAAAAATTATAATTTTCAAGTTTCAGGAATGGCCAACAAGAATTCGAGCAAAAGACCTCAAAGTCTTCGAAATCCTCGTCCAAGAGCGCCAGTCCTCCGCCGAAGAAGGAACCTGGACTGTTGGGTCAAATGGCAGCGACAGCCGGCACTACAGCCGTGGGATCGGCCGTCGGTCATGCTGTTGGTCATTCTCTTATTGGTGGACATAAGGGCAAGCTTTTTTGAAATTTGATGGAAAAATTAAGGTAGGGTGAGGTAAGGTACTGATTTATGGGCTACTGTTAGGCTAATATAGAAAAATTGAAAATTTTTTGAAATTTTTAAAAGTTTAGAAAAGTTCATTTTAGACTCCCCGAAGCAGTCGGATCCAATGAAGAAGCCGTGTGAAGAACAGTGGCAGCAGTACGTGGATTGCTTGGAGGTGAACAAGGACCCACAGCTTTGTCGCCAACTCCTTGACCTCTTCATTGATTGTCGCAAAAAGACGGATGGAAAATAAAAATTACTTTTTGATTTTTTATACTTTAGCCTTGATCAGGTTTTTTATTTTTTGGATTTTTGCTTTGATTTTGTCATTTCTTTTTTGCTATTTTTGGCCATTTTTGATAGGAAAAACACTTTTCCAAAAGAATTTTAATGTTTTTGGTTGAAAATACGTATTTTGTATTAAATTTTATGTGTTCTTTTAAATTTATAGGGTTTTAAAAATTTTTTATCTTTAAAAATGCTTTTTTAAAGTAATTTTTATTGATAAAAGGTGCAAAAAGTTCAGTTGCCGCCAGCAGGGGTCGAACCTGCGACCTTGGGCTTATTAGACCCACGCTCTAACCGACTGAGCTATGGCGGCGCACGTCTGTGGCTCGATTTTTTCTCTCTTTATTTCAAAGGGGAGTGGAAGATGAATAAGATTAGGTAACATAAAAAATAAATGGCTTTATAATATTGAAAATGATTAGTTTTAAGCAAAAATGATTATTTTGGAACGTTGTTAAAAGATTTTTCAATTTCTTTAAGGATTCGACGTTGCTCCTTCCTCCATTTGATTCGACGGTTCTGGAACCAGACTTTTACCTAAAATTAATAGTTTTTAAATGTTTTCTTGGAATTTTAAAGGTTAAAAATGGCATAAAAGGCTAGAATACCTAGAAAAATTATTTTTCTACCATTTTTTTTATTTTTGATAAGGCCAGACGATGACTGGAAGGTCGGGTAAGGTAGGGTAGAGTAAAGTAGAGTAGGTTAAAGTAAGGTAGGGTAAGGCAGAGTAGGATACGTTAGGTTAGGACTTGGTAAAACGTAGTCTTACCTGAGCTTCATTTAAGCCTAAAGATTCAGCAAAATTTATCCGAGCCTGGCCCACGATATATTGTTGTAGTTGAAATCGATGTTCCAATGCTTGTAACTGATCAGAAGTGAAGGATGTTCGTTGTCTTGGGGGTTTAAACTGTCGGATTTGACTGCTTATCTTGAAAAAATAAAGATTTTTTTAGAAGTTTAAAATTTTCAAAAATTTCAAAATTTTTTTTAAATTTGGGTTTATAATGACAAGTATAGTAAAAAATGTCATAAACTTACATTGTGAGTCATCATTTAGTAAAATACTCCCCAGTACTATTGAAATTTAAGTCTGGTACTATTCAGTACTAAGTATAATACTATTAAGTACTAATTATAGTTTCCTGAGTTCTTAGAATCAAAAGTTTGTTTTCCACAACACCGCACAGCAAAAAAATACAGTAAATAGGCTATATTGCTTTACAGTGTAGTTTAATTTAAGTACTGTATTGTATAGTATATAAATAGCTAAGTTATGGTACTAGTCAGTACAATATTACAATAGCTATTGTTCCCCGCAGTAAAAAAGCTGCAGAGCTTTATAGTATATTGGCATTTAAGTACAGTACTGTATGGTAGAAGTGCAGTACAGTACTGTACAGCACAAGAATAGCTAAGGTATAGTACTCAACAGTATGGTACTACAACGTTTGAAAAACTAGTAAAGAACAAAAAACTACAGTAAGAATCTCTTAGAAATATAGAAGATATAGTACGTACAGCTTTAGAAAGACCACCCAAGTCAGCGCGCGATACCAATAATACCTAGAATAATGTAAATCATATAATTTGTCACTTTCTTTCTTTCCGTTCATCGTTTTCGACCTTTTCCATTCGATTGACACCAACTTTTTCATCTCTTATTTCATTAAATCATCGTAAATAAACATTTTTAAACCGTTCTTTTTCCAAGATGAGTTGAATACTACCCTACCTTACCCTACCCTACCTCACCTTACCCACTTTCTTTACAGGTAGAGTATGATAAAGTAATCCTAGCACTACCGTATAAATTTAAAAATTTTTTCCTAGCCTTGTCCTACCCTAATTTACCCCACCCTACCCAAATTTTTCTATCAAATCGCAAAAAAAACCTACCCTTATGTCCATCAATAAGAGAATGACCAATTTTTGCTCGAATTCTTTTTGGCCATTCCTGAAAGTTGGAAACAAAAAATTTTTTGAATTGCCAAATTTCTTGTTACAGTAAGAATAAAGTATTTTAGCCTAAAGCCTTTATTTGAAAGGTTTGTGTTGTAAAAAAGGAATATAAGAAAAACGGTTTATGAAAGTCCGGATAGCATGGTAATTGATTAAATCATCATAGATCCCTACTACAACATAGGCATGGTTCGTACAAAGTTAGCGCTGTAACCATACAACCTTATACTCCTTTCTTTTCAATAAATACTAATACCTACATAATTATACATACGAAAAGAGTATACTCTCTTTATACTATAGTACAGATTTTGTACGAACCATCTCTATATTGTAGTAGGTATCTCTGGAACTTTAATCAGATAAAACTATTCTACTAGGACCTTCACAAAGAAATTAAATAAATAAAACAACATATCCACATGATCATACACACAATCAGAGAATACTTTCTTTATCCTATAGTATAGACTTTGCCTCTATATGAAATAACCCAACTAATTACTGCGAGTACTTGAATATTTTGCTGTTCTTTAGGTAGGGTAGGCCAGAGTAAGGTAGGGAAGAGAAAGCTACAGCTGAATGGAGCAGTGTAGAAGTCGGCTAAAAGTCAGGTGTAGAAGTAAAAGTAAGCAGCCAATATCATAGGATGCCCGAAGGGCATCCGTTGATTTGGTCCCCTATATGAGAGCCGGTACATGTCTGAGACAAAAATAAAGTCCAAGTAAGAGAGGCATGCAAAATTTCAAAAAAAAACAATTTTAAAATAAAGAATTTTATGAAATTTTAAAAAAAAACCGGTTAATCGCATGGAAATTTTTCTAGCAGAGCGGTCGGTTTGAAATTGTTTTTTTCGATTTGACAGAAGATACGATGGCACATGTAAGTATGTTTCGTGATACTATTTTGAGTACAATACTAATTATTTTATGATTTAAAAAAGTTTTTGAAATTATTTTATAGTATAAATAAGGGTATAAATATGGGGAGGGGTAAGGGTATGGGTATAAATATGGGCATGGGTGAGGGTATGGGTATAAATATAGGAATGGGTATGGGGGAGAAATTTGAAAAAAAAACTGCTTGAATCTTGAAGGTATAACTATTCTAAACGTAATTTTTAAGTATGTGACAGATTACTATATTGTGCTGCTTTTTAGGACAAGAAAACCGATGTACCTAACAAGGCGAAGAAGAGCAAGGACCGCAAAGGCAAGCTTCGCAAGACCAAAACAGTGAGTTCCTATAACATTTTTCGCTTGAACTAGTCGAATATGAGGCCGAATGGACTTTAATTGATCAAATATAGATAGAGGGGATGATAAGCTTTGATTTAATACATATTTTGTATAGGTTTTGGTTTAGTTTGGTTATTTATGAATCAAAAACTAAGGTAATATGTTTGTTGGAACGCATCTTTTTTAGATCTTTTTTAGATTGGGAATTAGATAGAAATTTTTATTGAAACAGACAATTTTGGGCTTGAATTCAGCTTGATTTTAGAATGAATAGATGAAAAAGATTCTGGGCTTTAATTTGATATAAATGTCACTTACTTTTACTTAATAACAACTTGACAATTTTGAAAGATTTGGAAAATTTTTCAATTTTTCTGGCAAAAACATAAAATTTCAAGGGTAATTCGATAGAAACTAGGTTACATTGAACGTTTGTGACTTATAGTTAAGTGGATAAAATAATTTAGAGTATTTCGAATCTAAAACACTCTTTTACCATTCATTTTTAGGAAGAACAAGACGAGGAAGTTCAAAATACGGCTGTTTCGCACCCCCCGCCGATGAAAACTGGTGAATCCAGAAGTCCGCCGAGGCAAAAGGAGTAGGTTTTTCGGTGTTTTTGAAAGCTATGGGCCTTAATTTTTAAAATTTACGTAAAAATTTTACAATTTTTACTATTTGGACATGTTATACGATGAAACATTTTCAGCGAAGAAAACCAGCGCACGGTGTTCGAAAAGGTTGGCTGCCCGATGCGACCGTTCATTTCGCCGCTGAAAAAGGAAAAGAAGAAACTTACCAAAGGGGAGAAGGCCATGAAGACAGCGGCCGAAGAGGAACACAGCTCTGGAGCATCACTCGCCTCTGAGAATTCGGACGCGAAAGCTGCTACAGAATCCAACGAGTCATATTAAGTTTGACCCACATCGATTGGAAGATAAGAAGCCCTGGCACCGAAACAATGACAAGAAGGCGGAATCTCAGGCATGTGGAAGCTGTGTAAGTGAAAGGGACGGTTTATACGGACATGTCTGGGCGTATAACATGTCACTGTAGCAAAAGTAGATACAGTAAAGGTATGAAAATTATTCATATGGCTTTTTAATACCACTGCGAAAATTTTAATTTTTTTTCACAAAATGCTTCCTTAGGTGACATGTTATACGATAAAACCTTTCTAATTTTCTCCACCGCTTTTGATGCTGTAGGAATTCGTAAAGTAATAACACTCGAAAAGCGCTGTTTAAGGTCGATTTCGGGGTTCTCGGCAATTTATATCGAATTCCTCTATAATGAACATAAAATGTAGATCCCTGCGGGTTATTTATATAGAGACCCTAATACAAAAAGCTAAACACATTTTAATAAAATTTTGTTTTAGCTCTTCTGCTTAAGTCACGGAAATGGTAACAACAAGGAAGAGCGGGAAGCTTTTTTGAGAATCATAATGCAACCGTATGGTATCGTTCGAAGAGCCGAGCCTATACCACCGCCGAATCCTTTCCCGAGGCCAAATAAGGTGTTCCATATTGGCCAACTGGAGGAATGTCGGGAGTTGAGAAACAGGCTGAAGACGGAAAAGAAGAAAACGAAAAAACAAAGGACCCAACTATCCACACTGAATTGGATACTAATCAAAAAGAAGGACTACTGGCTCAATCCGCACGGTCTGATGAACGCATTAGGGTTCCTTGCGTATGGTTCATCGTTTGAACCTATTAGTGCCCGTTACTTCCATAGTAACTATATAGTGTTGTCCATAGTGTAAGTTAATATATTACAACAAGTTGAAAAACCTTGTCGAATATCCCAATTAAATATACAAAAATTTATTTTCAGCTCGCGCAAGACAGAATCTCCAGAAGACCAACCAATATCGAACATGCAGAAGACCGCCACTGCCCCATCGTCTTTGTTTTCTGCTGTTACTCCTTCGTCGTCACATGGACTCTTACCTTTTTGTACGTCTGCTTCTAATCGCATGGCGCAGATTGGATCATCTGTACCTATTGAGATGTCAAAAGAACCCGGATGTTCAAAATCCACTTCTATATTGGTCGACAAAGCTGGTGGAACGGCTTCGAAACCTGTCTCTAATGGAGCTGCTGTTCTAGGAGCTTTAGGTGGAGATTATGGTTCATCTTCAGGAGATGAAGAATGATCTCATTACACTTTACTCTTATCTATGCGTACATACTCATAAACAATCCTTAATATTTTTTTTGCTTTTGGGGAAGGGATGTGTTATTGTCGCTCCGCAGTTTTTGATTTTAGCTTACGTTTATTATTTAATCTCGAATGACTTTCAGATTTAGATTTAAAAATGTAACCTACCCCAATCTACCTCTTGGGGTAGGTTGGTTATCCCGTCATTTCCTGTTTCACCAAGCTCTATCTTACCCTGTCTGGCTACAACAAGTCCAAAAATTTTTTTTTTTTTTTTTTTTTTTCGTTTTTATTGATTTTCCAAGCAAATCGAGGGTATATCCATGAACGGATTGGCTTCAGGCGTGCCCATTTTCATGTTATGATACGAATAAGTTATTGCCGCTAAATTGTCATTCCTTTCTGGTGTATAATGAGAATGGATTTCGGTTAATCGACCATCTTCTGCACTGCCAAACGCCTATAAATACACTTTTTTTATATTGCAGGTCAGGGTAGAAAAGGGTAGGGTAAGATAAGATAGAGTACGGTAGGGTAGCGTAGGGTAGGGCAGGGTAGAAAAGGGTAGAGTAAGGTAAGATAGAGTACGGTAAATTAAGGTAAGGTAGGGTATGAAAAGGTAAGAGATGGTAGGGTAGGGTAAACTAGGACAATGTAGGGTAGGGTAGAAAAGAGTACGGTAAGATAGAGTAAGGTAGGGTAGAATAAAGTAAGGTTGGGTAGGGTGAAGTATAGTAGATGTTAAGCCAAATTCATCTTACCTGAACCAAAAACGGGTTTTTGTTCAAAAAAGTGCAATTGGTACCAGCTCCTTCGAACACATATACTTCTTGTCCTCCTTGGTACCGCTCCACCTCCGAATGGCGGTCGTATAAATCGACCAAACTTAATTGCTTCAAAAACCCGTGGTAACTTATATTGAAGCTTTTACAGGCCTAAAACTTATATTATTATAGCTTATAATCTTATAATCAAAAAATTTAAAACAAATTTTAAAAATTTTATTGAAATTTTAAATTACTTATACCTCAGTCCTAAGATAAGGTAAGAATATGACACTTTGAGAACTTGTACAACTTTTTATTCTTAATGAAACGTATCAAAACAAATTTCGAAAAATTGTGACAATAAAAAGTTATGACGTCTAGAAACTGCACGGTACACCTTCAAAACCACCTTTCTTCGTATAACATGTCCCTTTGCAAAAAAAATTTAAAAAAATTAAATTTTTAAAATTAAATTTTTTATCATTATCAGATCAAAACTTACTACAACTTTTTCATATTCATCGATTGTAGCCAAATATAAAGTAGTATCGTTTACATATGCTATCGTATCTTTGTTGAGTTTCATCTGAAGGGTCCTATTTTGTTTGCTTTGGTACCAGAATGAGGGATAGGTATCTATTGTCTAAAACATAAAAAACAGAGAATTCGTGTACCGTTCCTTGCCCTACCCCACCAAATCTCAAACACCCTAACCTACGGTTTTCTACCCTACCTTACCCTAGCCTAATCTGCCACCCCTACCCTACCAATATTTATTCTACCCTACCCAAAATTTCCCTGCCCTACCCTTTCTACCTACATTTTCAATTTCACCATGATATGACATCACTACTGTGCCGTCTTCAGAGAACTGTGTAAAGTCGGGAGTGTATGGATTCGAACTATTAAAGCGGTGTCGTGACCTGCCTGTGTCGTTACCTAAAAAATATTTTGAAAAAAGCAAAATACTCTGTCCTTCTTTTCCTACCCTACCCTACTCTACCCTACTCTACCCTACCCTACCCTACTAAAAAACCTACTATTACTAATAGCATAGTAGCAAGTACCAATCACAGCGCACAACATAAGTACCACTAACGAAGCCTGAAGGCCTTTAATGAGCCATTTGTTCTTCGATCCAATTGGATCGTCGCTTTCCGTGTCTTCAGATTCAGAATGATGGGAAGGGAACTGGACACTAGTTCGTTTGAAAGCAATCGAATTTCGTTTCTTCTGTTGTGATGCTCGTCTCGCTGCTTGATCTTCCTCTTCTTCGTCCTCGCTCTTCGCATTTTCAAACTTTATCGCCATTTCATAGGCTTGAAGTTCTGAAAATCAATGAGATATGGACGTTTTAAAACTTAAAATTGTAAAATCAATAAATTACGGCAATTTACAAGCTTCAAAACATGAAGATTAGTAAAATACGACACTCTGTCTCTAGTTTTTCTTTTGGCATGACGTGCGACCGTTTTTAGAGCCTAAAACCTAAATATCTATAAGATATGGCTGTTTTAGGCTTAAAAGACTATAATAAGTAAAACAAAGTAATTTCTTAGGCTTATAAGACTAAAATAAATAAAAAATAGCCAATACTTAGGCTTATAAGACTAAAATAAGTTAAACAGGGCCATTTCTTAGGCTTATAAGACTAAAATAATTAAAACGAGACCATTCCTCAAGTTTAAAAGACTAAACTAAGTACAACAACGCCACTTCTTAGTCTTATAAGACCAAAATAAGTAAAACAAGATAATTTCCTAGGCGTTTTTGCAATCAAAGAGATACGGCAATCTTTAAGACACAAATCACTATAAAAAATCAAAATAAACTTGCTATACCCATCCCCAGAGTAACAAAAAGTATATTTGTTTTTGGAAGAGCATATAAACCTTGTTATCAGTCATTTTAGTCCATAAAACGAGCAAATTAGTCTGATTAACGACGGACGGTTCGCACTTCGCGTCAGGCGCTAAAATACGCAAATTTATATGAGAAATGAGTATGAAATACTCAAAATATAGTGTAAATACAGGTACAAACACCATCAAACCAATAATAAAATCAAATCACAAACATTTTAAAAGAAATTTTATTTTCAAAGTCAAGCCAGTTAAATCATAAATAACTAGTTAGTACATCTACAAGAACTTCTGAATCTCATCGTAGATGGCCAATACCAGAGCGCCGCCAGTTCCTCTGAAGACGTTGCTCAGAGCTCCCTTGAACATGGCACTCATACCCTCATTCTTGATGATCTTCACTGCGCAGTCGTACGTGTTCTTGTACAAAATGTCTTTACGACCACTCTGCATCATCATACGACGACGAACAGTGTCCCATGGGTACGATAGGACACCGGACCCGACGGTGACGACCTAAAGTAACGTAGTATTTAAAATATCATATTAGATATCTAAAACAATATCAAAAACACTCCAAAGGCTTACCTGAGCAATGCCCCATGCAGCAAAGAAGTTCAACTTCTTGTCGGCCGAGAACATCATCTTGGCTGTGTCGAACATACCAAAGTAGGCCGCACGGTAGATGATAATACCTTGGACGGATACAACGAATCCTCTGTAGAGGCCAATAGGCCCATCAGACTTGGCAATCTTCACCAAGCAGTCGGCAAGACCTTTGAACTCACGAGAGTCGCCTTTTCCCACGTCAGCGGCCAATCGAGTACGAGCAAAGTCGAGAGGATAGACAAACACAAGTGAGGTAGCTCCGGCCGCTCCTCCAGAAGCCAAATTGCCAGCGAAGAACTTCCAGAAGTCCTTCTTCTTATCGTAGCTAGAAGAAAAAATGTTATAAATGACTAAAACCTCAAAAAAAGTAGAAAAAATAAGCCATTTTAAAGAAAAATTATATTATACTGAACAAAAACTGTTGTAACTCAACCAAATCAAGTCAAACCAAGCTCAAACTTCACCAAAACATTCCAAAAACTTCACGGCAACTTTCCTCGTTCTTCTCTCAAGCGTTGTTACCTAAAAACCAATAAAAAAGTTAAAAACTTACCCAGCGACAAACCACTTCTTGTAGACGTCCTTGAAGGCAAAGTTCAACGCCTGAGTTGGGAAATACCTAATAACATTGGCCAAGTTTCCTCTCCACAGAGCTGTGAAGCCCTGCTCTTTGGGTACTCTCACCAAAACATCAATGATACCCTTGTATCTCTTGTCAGCGGCAATCGTGGTCGAAGCATCTTGAACTTGAAGCAACAACTTGACTCGCTCGATCGGTGCGACGGCAGTTTTCGAGATGGCAGCAGCCGTACCTCCGGTAGCCAAATCTATCAAGAACTTGCGAGCATTGAAGCCTTTGGGAGCTTTCTTCGACGATTTCTTCTCACCTTCGGACATTCTTTAAATTGGCTGAACAAGAAGTAATAAAGATCGTGAAAATTAGGTAACAAACCAAAAATCTTAACAAAAAATTTATTCTAAAGCCTTAAAAAAGAAAAACAGAGCTAAAATATGCTACATACACCATATATATATACAAAAAAAAATAGAAACTTAAAACAATGTCAAGAAAACAATCGAAAAACTTACCTTTTATTCGAACCGACCGCACGCACCACTGGGATCCAAAAAACCGAAAAATGGGCAAACTGACACAACCGGCTCATCCCACGTTTCAAACTCTAAAATTTGCATAAGTCTAGAAAAATCATTCCGAAAAAAAAAGCACCTTAAAGTCGGTAGTTTTTTTTACTTATTGAACACTGAACCAAGTAAATGGCCTTTCTTTTTCAATATTAAGCCTAAAAAATATAAAATAACTATAAATTAACATAAAAAATAAAACAGTGTAATATACACCTCCCCACAACAAATAAAAAAGTTCCAAAATCACAAAAAACATATAGAAAAATATTTATTTCAACTAAGTTCAAGCTAGTTAGATTAGCGAAACAACAAGTTAGTCCATCTACAAGAATTTTTGAATTTCGTCGTAGATTGCGAGCACCAAAGCACCACCAGTACCTCTGAACACGTTCGACAGAGCTCCCTTGAACATGGCGCTCATTCCTTCGTTCTTGACAATCTTCACCGCACAATCCCAAGTGTTCTTGTACAATATATCCTTCCGGCCGCTCTGCATCATCATACGACGACGTACGGTGTCCCATGGGTACGAGAGGATACCAGATCCAACGGTTACAACCTAAAACAAATAAATTTTAAAACTTTCTTGTTATAAACGTTTATAAGATTACGGAATTTATTAGAAAGCTATAATAAAATCTTTTATCATTTAACAACTCAAAAATATTAGCATTAAAGCTTTAAAAACCTAAAAAATAACAAAAACCCACAAACAATCTACAACAATATAAGAAAACTTTATAAATAATCCATTTCCTCTAAAACAACATCAAAAACACCAAAAGCTTACCTGAGCAATACCCCACGCAGCGAAGAAGTTCAACTTCTTGTCGGCCGAGAACACCATCTTGGCTGTGTCGAACATACCAAAGTAAGCAGCGCGATAGATAATAATACCTTGAACCGACACGAAGAATCCTCTGTAAAGTCCAATTGGCCCATCAGACTTGGCAATCTTCACCAAACAATCCCCAAGGCCTTTGAATTCACGAGAGTCGCCTTTTCCAACATCAGCAGCCAATCTGGTACGAGCAAAGTCGAGCGGGTAAACAAAGCACAAGGATGTGGCACCGGCAGCACCTCCAGAAGCCAAGTTTCCGGCAAAGAACTTCCAGAAGTCCTTTTTCTTGTCGTAGCTGAAAGATTTAGAATATAGCAGGCTAAAAACATTAAAAAAAGTGAAAAATCCACCAAATTTTACAAAATTTATATTACACTAGCCAAAAACGAATGTAGCTCAATTAAATCAAGTCAACCCAATCTGAAAATATAACAAATTGTTCCTCAAACGTTTAGACAACTTTCCTCGTGCTTTTCTCTATCTTTGTTACCTAAAAATCAAGCAAAAAAGCAAAAAACTTACCCAGCGACAAACAACTTCTTGTAGGTATCCTTGAAGGCAAAGTTCAACGCCTGAGTTGGGAAATATCTAATCACGTTGGCCAAGTTTCCTCTCCACAAAGCTGAAAATCCCTGCTCCTTGGGGACACGAACTAAAACGTCCATGATACCCTTGTATCTCTTGTCAGCGGCAATCGTGGTCGAAGCATCTTGAACTTGAAGTAACAACTTGACTCGCTCGATCGGGGCGACGGCAGTCTTTGAGATGGCAGCAGCTGTACCTCCGGTGGCTAAATCGAGGAAAAACTTGCGGGTATCAAAACCCTTGGAGGCTTTCTTCGATTTCTTCTCACCTTCGGACATTATTCAAAATGGCTAAAAAATAAAATTCGTAAAACATAAAAATAAGGTAACAAACAGATCAAATTTGACTACATCCGGTAAACAATATCAAAAAACTTAAAAATTACACATTAAACGAGTTTGTTACCTAAAATATTTAAAAACAACCAACGCAACGTTGAAAACCCCAAAAACTTTAAAAAATTTACAATTCAAAAATCTGAACAAACAAAACCAACAAAAAAAAGTTTATTTATCAAAACTATATTCAAAAATAGCAAAACTATCCATTCACAGAAGAATTCCCAGCAACTAAACATTACGGTAACAATATTTTAAGTCCCGCAACGAAAACAAACAACCGCTAAATTTGCTTTCAAAAATATTTTTTTAATATTTTTTTAAATCGGCCGAAAGTGGAGAAGAAGTGTAAAGAAGTGAAAGTTTAGGCTTGCTTTCGCAACAATAATTTGCATAAAATTTGAATTTTCAATTTTAAAACTCAAATTGTTCGAAATTTCAGTCTAATTCGCCATGATTTGACATTTTTTACTTGTTCGCCCGGTGGAGTGGTCGTTCTTACGCGGGTATCGATGTATGAGAATGTTGGAAATCCAAATTCAATTCCGCCAGCTGGGCCAGGAGGCTATGTTGGAACGCCGCAACAACCACCCCCACCTCCGGCGCCTCAGAGCATGGCCGCGATTCCTCCGCCTATTGGTGTTAGCTTCATGTCAAAGTTGGGTATGTTAGTACTTTTTATGTTGTTTTTGGTTTTAGGTTATTTTCTGGATCTATTTTGAAAGAGTTTTAGGTGATTTGTTGCTGATTTTTGGGTTTTGGTTGAATTAGAAGTTAAAGGATGTTGTAGTACGTTGTTTTTGTCATAACTTTTTTGAAAAAATGGTTAAAGATCTGAAAATTGGGGTGATTAAAGGTTCTTTAGTACGTGAACTGCTGGAAGGTTTAAAGGTTTTAAATTCGTGTTGCTTTAAAAGTTACAGTACGTTAACCGTAGGTCAGTGACTTAATTTTGGAAATTTTTAGTATTTTTGTCATAACTTTTTAAAAATTATATCTAGAGCCTTGAAAACTAATGTGTTTAAAGTTTATTTACTCTTCTAAGTAATCTATAATTTAAATTTTTTTAATTAAAAAAAATTTTAGATGAATCGTCATCAGTAGTGGTGCCGTCGATTCAAGATACAAACGGATGGAAAAGGCCACTAAAACCAAGCGAAAGACGTCCCAACAACAAGGCCAAGCTGATCAAATATGTGTCTTTAACCGTATTTTTATTATCTGGCATTGTTCTTCTTACAATTATGGGTCTGCTGGTCGGACAGTAATACTGTAATTAGAGTACGGTGGTTTTGTAAATAAACGATTGAGATTTGATTATTTGGGCTTTGTGTTGATTTTTGATAAATTTTTAATTTTTATATTTGTTTGAGGTGTATTTTTGGGATTGGGAGGCTTTACAAGCCAGGGTTGGTTAATATGTTATTGTACGTTGAAAAGTTCTCAGAGTATAACGTGTTACTTTGTTAATGTTGGATTGTAAATACGGGTTAATCGTACTATGTTTAATTTATTTCTTTCAAATTATATAATTTTAATTTTAAAGTGACATGTTATACGCTAAAGCATGGTTAGTAGTGTTGTACGATGGTACATGTTCGATCGTATAAAATGTCCCTAAATTGGTGTTTTTTTTTGTCGTCCTCCTTTTACCTTGCTTAACCCTTACTCTATGTGACTCTACCTTACCCTGCCCTACCTACCAAAATTTGCCTTGACATGCCATGTCCTGTCATTACCTGCTTTGCCTTGCCCTCTCTTGACACGCCCTGTTCTGCCATACTCTGTCGTACCATGCCTTGCCCTATTTTGCCTTACCCTGGTTTGCGTTATTCTGTCTTATCCTATGCTGTGTTGCCATGCCCTGAGTTGTTTTGCCCTGCCTTGCCTTACCGTGCCATGCCCTGAGTTGTCCTGCCCTGCACTGCCTTACCGTGCCATGCCCTGAGTTGTCCTGCCCCGCCCTGCCTTGCCATGCACTGCGTTGTCTTGCCCCGCTCTGCTTTGCCATGCCCTGAGTTGTCCTGCCCTGCCTTACCGTGCCATGCCCTGAGTTGTCCTGCAAAGCCCTGCTTTGCCTTGCCATGCGTTGTCCTGCCCCGCCCTTCTCCGCCTTACTTTGCCATACCCTGTCCTATCCTCTCCTATATTGTCCTAAGTCAAAACTCTGAAGGCTGATGAAAATTAGCCGGCCTTTCAGCGATAACCTTTATCGGTCGGCCACGAACGAGCAGAGTAAATGGGATTTGTTTCGGCGCAAAGAATAAAACCCGAAAAGATTAGAGGCCCACGATAATCCAATTGCTTTGTTTTTTTGATTTTCCTCGTCGTCGCTTTTGTTCCGTCAAACGTTTTCACGGCTACGGCGTTTCGTGAAGGGCAATGTTGGGGGTTGGGTACTTTGTGAAGGGCAGTGTGTTTGTTGGGCATGATGGGGGCTGAAGGGGGGAGGTGTAAATTTTGTGAAGGGCAATGTTGGGGGATTTGTTGGGCATGGGTAGGATGGGGGGGGGGGGGTTTTTTTAAGGGGAATGCACAGTGTTTTGTTTGGCATGGGCATGCTTGGTGTGGAGATTTTGTAAGTAGAGGGCGGGGGTAGATTTTTCAGAAGGGAGGAAGGGCGGGGTAAAAAAAATAAATTTTATGGGAAAGAGCAAAAAAGGTGTGGGCAAGGAATTTTTTTTGAAAGGAGGAGTTTTATTACTACCCTACTTTACCCTAACCTACTCTGCCTTACCCTACTCTACCCTATCGTACCCTACGCAACCCTGGACATGAGGAACGGACCGGGCCCGAACGTTAGGCTCGGCCCGATCAAAATTTTGCTCAGGCCTGTTCCTCATGTCTACCCTACCTTACCCTACCCTACCCACCCTTGTCTTTTACCCTACTCGACTTTTGAAGTGTTCTGTTGGCATTTGTCCAATAATCCACCGCCGAAGCTCTTGTTTCCACGTTTTCCCACACTTTTGCCATGCCCTTTTCTGTGGTCTGCGTGTGACAGGTTCACCGGGGCTAAAGTACATTTGTTAGACAACACCCAGATTTTAATTTTTTTGCTATATTTGTTAAAAATAGGATATTTAGACCATTTTTCGATTATTTTTAACTGACAAGGATAGTGCCCGACCTTATATATAGCAAGATCATGTAAAAAATCTTCAGCAAAGTACTAACTCGCGCATTCCAGGAAATCTTGAAAAAATCAAGATCAAAAAATGGCGTTTTGAATTTCCCGCCAAATTAGCATTGTGTTTCAAGCTTATAACTGTCATTTTTTGACTTTTATTTATTTTTCTTTGATATAATAGTAAAATACCTTTAAATGAACCTACTTTTTAAAAGTTTTAAGCGTAGCTTGTCTGGAAAGTCGAAAAAAGTGCTTGAAACACAATGCCAAATTTGCCTAATTGGCGGGAAACCCAAATAATTCAAATTTAAAGCTCTAAAGCGCGAGCTAAAACTTTTTATGTGTACTATTGGTGGTACAATGAGTTCATATAAAAATTTTTGAGGTGATTATGAGCGGGACAGGTCGTGTACTTTCCTTGTGAGTGACATGTTATACGATGAAACATGTTTTCTCGGATAACATGTCACTTAATAGAAATTACTAGAGTTTATAAGCGATATTGTAAAATACGTGGAGTTAGCCATTGGCGGTAAACCTAGTTTCAATTATTTTTCAAATGTCAAGGTAGGCCATCTTAACATAGGCCTATGCTCCTTATATAGTCACATGTCTACTATAACATGTACGTATTGGATAACACGAAAGGTAGTCGCAAACAGGTAATCCTAGCGTGAGAACCGTATTTTTCTTCCGAATTTTGTTCGAAATTTTTATATTTGGCTCACGAAGATCGCGTGCCTTGGAGAGAACGAGGTGACAACCGGCTGGTTTTATGGCGAAAACTTTTTATTACTTTTCAATTGGCTATTATAGTAAAATTACCAAGTGTTATGGGATACATGACACACTGGCGGGGGGTTTTGACTGGATATTTTATAAGTTTTTTAAGTTTAGCCCTAGCCCAAAGCCTCAGTCCAGAGTTCTAGCCCAAAGCCTCAGTCCAGAGTTCTAGCCCAAAGCCTCAGTCCAGAGCCTTAGCCCAGAGCCCTAGCCCAGAGCCCTAGCCCAGAGCCTTAGCGCAAAGCCCTAGCCCAGAGCCTTAGCGCAAAGCCCTAGCTCTAGTCTAAGTCCTAGCCTAAGCCCTAGTCGAAGCAATAGCCCAAGGCCCTAGCCACAGCTTTTTCATTAACCCTAGCCTAAGTCCTAGCTTAAGACCTCACCTAAGCCCTAGCCTCAGCCCTAGCTTAAGCCCTAGACTAAACCTTAGTCAAAGTTTTAGTCTAAGCCTTATCTTAAGCCCTAGACTAAGCTCTAGTCTAACCCTTAGGCTAAGCCCTAGCTCAGAGCCCTATCCCAGAGCCTTAATCCTAACCAGACCCTATTAGTACTCTAGCTTATTATAACTAGTTCTAGCATTAGGTTATACAACTCTGGACTAGCCTAGCCATATTATACAAATTCTAGCTTAGCCTTCATTACTTGGTTTTATCGTAGTCTTACACAAGCTCTACACTAGTCTAATTTAACATTTTTTAAACCTTATTTTTAGCCTCATCTTCATTCCTAACGGCACTATTAATACATTGCCATTATTAGCAAAACATTCTTTGGTATTAATGATACAGTAGTGATCGTTAATTTGAATAATCTCAAAAAAGTCTTCACTTTCCTGCTATGAATGCATAAATAATTAGGTATGGCCAGGTAGGAAAGAAGCGGAAGATGATGATTAGGATACGATTCATAGCTGCATAATAAGTCGACGCTTTTGGGCACTTGAGGTAGGGCAAGGTGTGTCGAATACATTTTTTCGTTAAAACTTTTTAAAATAAGACTGGGAAGGGTAGGGGAGTGAAGGTAGGGTAGGTTAGGATAGAGTAGAGTAAGGTAGGGTAGAGTAGGGTCATTATTTTGAACAGTAGACTAAGAAAAGGTTTTGGGTAGGGTAGGGTTAGATATTTAAAAAGGTAAGGCAAGTTTTTGACTAGTGTAGGTAACGGATGTGGAGGGTAGGGTAAGATAAAGCAGGGTATGTTGTTCAAAAAGGTATGATATTTGGAAGGGGGTAGGTTAAGAAGAAGGTTTGGCTAGGGTAGGATAGAAAAGCCTAGCCTGTTTGCACACGAAAAACACATTTGGGCCAGGCCGGCCCTGAGAAAAATTTTTGATCGGGCCGGGCCTGACACGCACTCCATGCTCGCGAGCCGGGCCTCGTGTCTATAGGGTAAAGTAGGGTGGGGTAGAGTAGGGTAGGGTAGGGTAGGGTAGGCTAGGGTAGGGTAGGGTAGGGTAGGGTAGGGTAGGGTAGGGTAGGGTAGGGTAGGGTAGAGTAGGGTAGGGTAGGGCAGAATAGGGTAGGGTAGGGTAGGGTAGAGCCTTTGTGATTAAATTTTTTCATTTTTTTTTGTTTCGTCCTATAATCAATTCCCAGTATGTCTCCCAGTCGTACAACATGCCAATTCAGTTGGTTAATTATATTCCAGTTTTAATTTGACCATAATCCCCTTTTCGCTAATACCCACTGATAGCACAACAAAAACAATATTCGACAGTTGTTTTTGGCTGAAGCTTGAATATTACAGCATGATGATGATTATTTACATTTCTAAGTTTATTTGTTAAAAGAAGCAAGATTTTGGCATCTTTACTTGGGGTCTTATATAAAATGGCACGTACAGCTGAATTGTAAGTATTAGGTGCCGACATAAAGAACCCGCCATATTTTGCCTGTAGTTTCCTGTAAAAAATGGCGGGTGCTTTATGTCGGCAACTAATAGTTGAAAAAGGTAATTGAAACAGACTCCTGTGTCCCAGCCTTGGCCTAAAACCTTGTTGTAGACTTAGCCAAGTCTTAAACGGAAGGCTAGGCTTTGGTGTTAGGCCAAGACTAAGGTATTAAGAGGATAAAGGGGTAGGTGGAGGGGAAAACGGTACTAAGAAAAGGGTTTGTGTAGGATAGGGTAGAAAGGTAGGGTGGACCATGGTAAGGGAAAATAGAGTAGGGAATGTTATGGTAGGGGAGAGTAGGGTAGGCTTAGAAGCGGTAAGGTGGGATAGAGTAGGGCATGGTATGTTTTAGGCTTAAAAATGAAATTTTAGGTTTAAGCCCAGAAGTGACGTCATAGGCTTAACCTTACACGCTAGGTTTAATAATAAATTTAAAGTTAAAATTGGAATCTTAGGCTTAAAAATGTA